TTTGGCTGACAAGATGAGCCACATCTCTACCGGAGGCGGTGCGAGTTTGGAGCTTCTCGAGGGAAAGCCACTTCCTGGAGTCCTCGCCCTCGACGACGCTTAAGAATCAAGTTTCTTTTCTCTTGTGTCATTATTATATGTATAACAAGCCGTCTGGTTTTCTTATGACCAGACGAGCAAGCCATGTCAGCTTGAGATTTCTGTCTGCGGCTCTTTTTTTCTGGAGTTTTTTTTTAATAAAAGATGAAACACTAAATTAGCGAACTTGCTAATTCAACCATTCATCAGTTGCCTTTATAGCTCGCTCATTGGTATTTTCTGGATGATTCATCATCTCTCGGCTACAAGTTACAAATACGTTTCATTTTGAAAGGGAAAAAAGCAATCACATTTGTGCTGTACTAACACGTTATGTGAATGAAATTTTACGAATATTTGCAGGCAAAAACAAAGAAACAGGTTTGAAAATTAGAAAAAGGCCTTAAAAAAACAGTAAATTTGAAACGAATAACTGAATAAGTACGGAAGACAACAACGGCCCAGCTTTGGTAAAAAGAAAAAGATAACGGCCCAGTAAGTGGGGATTGTTCGGCCCTGTGAAGATAGCAGTTCAGTTAAACTATCCCACATCGAATAGAAGCTAAAGTAGACGGCAATGGATTCATGTATAAATGTATCTGGTGTTTCCTCGTTACAACTCATGGAGCCGTGTAGTGAGCATAAAGCGAACTATTCTTTCGCCTTTTACTAAAGAATACCGTGTGCTCTCTATGCTAAACGGCATACACCTATTTTTGGAGGAGTAACTTCATTCGAAGTTCGCTCCATCATAACATTCAGTTCAATTTGTGAAGTTTTAAATCGGCTTGTACTTGTTAACTATCTAATGTCAAATTTATTTGAACCGGAGGCCAGATGTGAATTGGTATTATCCGACAAAATAGTTTACTCCGCTTAGCTGAAGATTTATGCCGGTTAATTTGGTCTGAATACTAGGTTTCACATCAAAAACCTTATGTTAGAATAATTTTCAAAAGGTAGGAAAAACACGTTGGCAGTATATATAGTCTGTAGATGTGTGAATTTGTTTGTATTCACTATTCACAGATTGATTGCGGTTTGAGTATTATCATACCGATTAGTTCTGTACCAAAACCCGGGTCGTTTCACTGGCTGTTCTTAATATACCGATTTATGGGTTAAACCGGTTGAAATTAATCCAGAGTTTGCTCCGATGTCCGAAAACCCTTGACGATCAAAAGAAAAGCCGTCTTCCTCCACAGACGGAGCCTCTTGGTCTCTCCCATCTTTAATCGGAGAAATATTTGAAATCTCCTCAGATAACCGAAAACTCTCAGATTTATCCATGCCCCCTAATCTCTGCGACCAATCGAAGTGAAGGTGGGCGCAGCAGTATTGCCGCCTATATGCTCATCTCAATTGGCGTTCTTCATTTGCCGATCATCTATCTGCGAATCCCTTGAAAAGCCCTGATTTCTGCATCTATGAACTCCCGGGCGATGAGATTTGATTTCTCATTCGCGTCTCATCTAATATGAAATCACAGATGTTCCTCCGATCAGTCATTCAGTACTACTCAAAGCCGTCATGGACGCATCGTTCCTACTCCTCCGGTAACTCTGAATTCAACATCTCCGGCGAGGTCATCAGTATCCTAGCTAAGAAGAGACCTATAGAGCCCGCTTTGGAGCCGCTTGTCCCATTTCTATCGCATAAGATCATCACATCAGTAATCAAAGATCAGGTCAGTCGGCGATTGGGATTCCGTTTTTTTATATGGGCATCGAGAAGAGAGCGTCTCCGGAGCCGCGAGTCTTTCGGTTTGGTCATCGATATGCTCTCTGAAGAGAATGGGTGCGATCTGTACTGGCAGACATTGGAGGAGCTTAAATCTGGGGGCGTCTCTGTCGATTCTTATTGCTTCTGCGTTCTCATCTCGGCTTACGCTAGGATGGGCATGGCGGAGAAGGCAGTGGAGTCGTTTGGGAGGATGAAGGAGTTTGATTGCAGGCCCGATGTGTTCACGTACAACGTGATTTTGCGAGTCATGATGCGAGAAGATGTCTTTTTTACGCTGGCTTTCGCTGTGTACAATGAGATGCTCAAGTGTAACTGTGCCCCAAATCTATACACATTTGGTATTTTGATGGATGGGTTGTATAAGAAAGGGAGAATGGGTGATGCACAGAAGATGTTCGACGATATGACAGCCAGAGGAATTTCTCCCAACAGAGTCACTTACACGATTCTCATTTCAGGCTTGTGTCAAAGGGGAAGTGCTGACGATGCACGAAAGCTATTCCACGAGATGAAAACGGGAGGTCACTTTCCTGATTCTATCGCGCACAATGCTTTGCTTGATGGGTTTTGTAAATTAGGTAGGATGGTTGAGGCATTTGAGCTGCTGCGGCTGTTTGAGAAAGATGGTTTTGTACTTGGCCTCCGAGGTTATAGCAGCTTTATCGATGGATTATTCAGAGTTGGGAGATACAATGAGGCATTTGAGCTGTATGCAACCATGCTGAAGAAAAATATCAAGCCTGACGTTGTTTTGTACACGATACTGATTCAAGGGTTATCCAAAGCCGGGAAGATTGAGGATGCATTGAAGCTGTTAAGCAGCATGTCGAGCAAGGGCATTCGCCCAGATACCTACTGCTACAATGCTGTTATAAAGGGTCTGTGTGAGCAGGGACTTTTGCAAGAGGCTCGGTCCCTCCAGCTCGAGATGTCGGAAATGGAATCCTTCCCTGATGCCTTCACGGACACGATTCTCATTTGTAGTATGTGCAGGAATGGGCTAGTTAGGAAAGCCGAGGAAATTTTCAAGGAGATTGAGAAGAGAGGCTGTTCTCCTTCGGTTGCTACGTTCAATGCTTTAATCGATGGACTGTGCAAGTCTGGTGAGCTCAAGGAAGCCAGGTTACTGTTGCATAAAATGGAGGTGGGGGGTCCCGCTTCCTTGTTTCTACGGCTTTCGCACAGTAAAAATCGGAATTTTGACACCATGGTTGAGTCGGGTTCGATTCTCAAGGCGTACAAGGATCTTGCACATCTTGCTGATACTGGGAATTCGCCGGATATTGTATCTTACAATGTTTTGATAAACGGGTTCTGCAAAGCAGGAAACATTGACGGTGCTCTCAAGCTGCTCAATGTGCTTCAACTAAAGGGTTTATCCCCTGACAGCGTCACATACAACACTCTCATCAACGGACTTCACAGAGTTGGCAGAGAAGAAGAAGCGTTTAAACTTTTTTACGCGAAAGATGACTTTAGACATAGCCCCGCGGTTTACAGATCGCTCATGACATGGTCATGTCGGAAAAGAAAGATTGTGGTGGCCGTTAGTCTATGGATGAAGTACCTGAAGAAGATATCTCGTCTGGACGATGAAGCAGCTAATGAGATTGAACAATGTTTCAAGGAAGGGGAAACCGAGAGAGCTTTAAGACGGCTAATCGAAATGGACACCAGAAGAGACGAGTTCGGTTTAGGACCTTACACAATATGGCTGATCGGGTTATGCCAATCCGGAAGATTTCAAGAGGCCTTGATGGTGTTTTCGGTTCTAAGGGAGAAGAGGATCCTCGTCACTCCTCCGAGCTGTGTCAAGTTGATTCATGGACTCTGCAAAAGAGAACAACTTGATGCAGCTATAGATGTGTTCTCATACACTCTAGATAACAACTTCAAGCTGATGCCTAGAGTTTGCAACTACCTCCTAAGAACTCTCCTGCAATCAAGAGGCAAAATGGAGATTGTTTCTCAACTTACAAATAGAATGGAACTTGCAGGGTACGACGTTGACTCGATGCTTGAATTCAGGCTTTTGAGACGTCTTAGACATAGAAAGGTCAGGTTCTGATAGATTCTTCGGCAGTGAAATGATACACAAAGGCTTCATTACATCAGGGTTTGTTGGCGGGTTTTGTCGAGAGGAGAGTTTTGAGTTTTGATTCAGTCTCTATTTAACTTAACATTACATTAGAGTAGACGAATCTCTGGAACCAGAAGCTCAGAGGAAACATGTCAAGACCGAGTGTAAGCAGGTTATAAGGGAGAAAAAAAAAATGGTAATACGTAAATGCTTTGTAAGCTTTACTTATAGAGTCGTTCTTCAAGTTTTCATTAATGTACACTGATTGTTCTGTATGATGTTAAATCTCTTTGAAATAAAGACTAAACATGTCTGAATCTCTGGTTTCATTCCAAAACCTCTTCCAAAATGTCTGAATCTCCTATATATATACACAGCTTGCCTCTAAAATTGCCTGGTTATGAATGTTTGTTACCTCTTTTTGATTCTTCATTGTGGATCAGACATATTGTTCGAAATCGAATCATAAGCTTCGTAAATGAACCAGATTGATATGAGTTTTGGGTCCACTTGCATTTTAGTCTTGTGTAACATTTTGAAATTTTTCCTGAAGCTGAATTTGATTGATCCGGAAAGTGGCTTTTTAAAAACCCCGGCCCAGATCCGTCTGACGTGGCATCACCAAAGGGCTTTCCCAGCAGTCAGTATCTCAGTGCCAAAACAACAAAAGATCTTGCTCAAATTACACAGGAGGCCTACCAATCATGGACCTGAGCGCTGGATCCACTACACGTGTCTTTTTGTGTTCCGTGTTTAAATCTCAACCCTTGATTCTCATAATCGTATTAATTAGTATTTGTATCCATTGTAGGTGAGCCTCACCGGATCGCAACCCATCAATTTTATAGCAACAGAGTGTCGTCTCTGCACAGTCGTAGGCACATTTATATATTCCTAAAAAAACTCCGTTGAGTAGACAAAAGAGTGCAATTCCTAAGCATTTCTTTGAATTTTAAAAAGGGAAAAAAGGAGAAACTCTGCGAACATATTGGATTCTTCACGTTTATATTTTGGCTCTACACCTACTCCCAGAAGCCAACGAAGGGGGTTAGGGTTTTTGACCAGCGAGATCTCTTTGTTTCTCCAGTAGCACGATTCCATGGCCCTCTCTTCTCTCGTCAGATCTGCCGCCGCCTCCACGGTTGCCGCTCCTCGCGCTGACTTTTTCTCTTCGCCGGCGTGTGATCATTTTAAGGTCCGTGACGACGTTTCAGCCTCTTACTGATGTTCTGTTGTTTATGCTCGATTTGATTTTCCTTTTAGCTTAGGTCGTGCTTTGATCTGCTTGAGTTTCGCCTTTACGCGCCTTTGGTTAGTTCGGAGAAAGTGGTTTGATGTGATGAATACGTTAATCATGTTTTTGTTTTCGTTCTTTCGTTCTCGTATGTCGTCTCATTGAATCGATGAATTTGTTTCGAGCAACCTTGTGAAATGGCCTGAGGTTTTGAAATCTTAGTTGTTGGTGGTGTTTTAGAAATGTCTGATGTAATACATGTTTGTGTTATCTGATCAGACTGTTAGATTTAGATAGTTTAGTTCAACAATTAGCTGGAAGCTGATTTATATGCTCAGATTTTTTGTAAGTCTCTTTTGGAGTTGCTACGTTGTTTGTTTGATTTGAATTGTTTTATATCAGGAAATTTGCAAGAAAAGCAATCGTATTTATTCCGTGTCTCTCAAATACTCAGGTGTCGTCAAGTCTTGGATTTAGCCGCAACCTGAAATCATCAATTTTTTCTGGTGCTGCCATTGCTGCTGGGCCATCTGCATCTCTACAGTGCTTCCACTAACTCTATTACACATGTAAATCGTACAATTCACTTTTTGATTCTCGTAGATTTGTTGATTTTTATGTTCATATGTACAGCAAAAGCAATGCGAGAAGTGTGCAACCCATCAAGGCCACGGCTACGGAAGTGCCATCTGCAGTCCAAAGTAAGTAAGAAGAACTTGTTATTTTGGTGGCTGTGTTTGTTGTTGTGCGCTTATTGGTGAATTTGATTTGATTGGCTTGATTAGGGTCAAGTAGCACTGGAAAGACAAAGGTTGGGATCAACGGTATGTGTTTTTATCGATTGATGCCTCCTAGATCATCAATATTACTCCCTTAAGAATATTTTGTTGTCCCAAACTTATTCATTTTTTTTTTATTGAACCTCTTCTTTTTCTATCTGCAGGCTTTGGTCGGATCGGAAGGTTGGTCCTCCGTATTGCAACATCCAGGGATGATATTGAGGTTGTAGCAGTGAATGACCCATTCATTGATGCCAAGTACATGGTAAGGATGTCTTCCTAGCTGGTTATTTTAGCAGGCTATATCTTGAAACGCTCTAAATGTTCGGTTCTTTATCTGAGTTACTTTCTTGCTTGCTTGAACCCCGTATAGTTTGGAATATGTATCATATGTTAGTCTTATGCCCCATATTTCACAGGCTTACATGTTGAAGTATGATTCTACTCATGGAAATTTCAAGGGAACCATCAATGTCATTGATGATTCTACTTTGGAGATCAATGGGAAAAAGGTCAATGTTGTCAGCAAGAGGTATTCGCTTCAGAGTGGAATGTTGTTTTCTGCAGATCCGATAACACTCTCTTTCTCAGTTTAGAACTTAACATCTTTTTTCACTCTTCCTCAGAGATCCAGCTGAGATCCCTTGGGCTGATCTTGGAGCTGATTATGTTGTTGAGTCTTCGGGGGTATTTACTACCCTATCAAAGGCTGCATCCCATCTGAAGGTGCACTTTCATACAAAACATGCATTGTTCACCTCATAACTTGTGATAAAAAAAATTGTTAAAAAAAAACTTGTTTTAAGATGACATAAGCCTGCTTGGCATTTCATTGGTTTTGCAGGGTGGTGCAAAGAAAGTAATAATATCTGCCCCTTCAGCTGATGCACCCATGTTTGTCGTTGGGGTAAATGAGAAGACATACCAACCAAACATGGATATAGTCTCCAATGCAAGTTGTACCACCAATTGTCTTGCACCTCTTGCTAAGGTTTGTAACGCTGCCCGATGATCTCATCCCCACCCATAAATCATTCATTGCTAAGAACTTTGTTAATGTCAACTTAACTGTTTATTTGGCAGGTGGTGCATGAGGAATTTGGTATTCTTGAAGGCTTGATGACAACTGTCCACGCAACCACTGGTCTATATTTCTTGCTCTCCTGCTGTACATCACTGTATATTACTAACCCGGTAACACTAACTTACGTGTGTTGATTATCTTTTCCTTCCACGTTCAGCTACTCAGAAAACTGTTGATGGGCCATCAATGAAGGACTGGAGAGGAGGCCGTGGAGCTAGTCAAAACATCATTCCCAGCTCAACCGGTGCTGCGAAGGTACACAAAAGTCACGTGGTTATCTACAAGCATGTAATTATCTTAAATCTGGAATCGTATTTGAGCTGTGTTTTTTTTGGGGGGTCGAAAAAGGCTGTAGGTAAAGTTCTGCCAGAACTGAACGGGAAGCTTACAGGAATGGCATTCCGTGTACCAACATCAAACGTTTCTGTTGTGGATTTAACTTGCCGACTTGAGAAAGGTGCCTCTTACGAAGATGTTAAAGCAGCCATCAAGTACGCTTTCCAAAACTCTCTTGACCAACCAATTTTTTTTCTCATCACAATATTATTGTTTAATGTAGAACATGTATGTAAACCTCTCATGGTTTAATGTAAACCTTACACAGGTTTGCCTCGGAAGGACCTCTGAAAGGCATTCTCGGGTATACAGATGAAGATGTCGTCTCCAATGATTTCGTTGGTGATTCAAGGTTGGTGTCTCTTGTTTCCTACAAAGCCATCTAAAATCTTGCTTTTGTGTGGTGATTTCGATTTTGATATATAACAGGTCAAGTATCTTCGACGCCAATGCCGGGATTGGGTTGAGCAAGTCCTTTGTGAAACTTGTCTCTTGGTACGACAACGAATGGGGTTACAGGTACAGTTGTTGATTCAATCATCTTATATTTACTCCATTACATATAGCCACCAGTCCTCAAAACGCTTACAGTTCTTCTCCCATTTTACTACAGCAACCGAGTGCTTGACCTTATAGAGCACATGGCCTTGGTAGCAGCCAGCCGCTAAAGACACACCGGTTCTTGCAGAAGCTTTGAGACTTTCTACTTTTTGCGTTACGTGCTACAAAGCCAGTTTGGATTGGTTCTACTAGTAGGTGCTAGATCTTATAATTAGGGGGTTTGGTTTGAATCACGAGCCTTTCCTTCTTTTTTTTGTTCTCTTTCAGTATCTGCAACTACGAAAACATTGATTTGGTCTAAACGACTACAAAACATGCGATTATCATCTATCATCAATAAGGGGACAAAATTTGTTGTACTTTTACTAAAATGAGCTTTATCAGTCTTCAAGCAATTATTGGTTGGGAGTTTCTTTAGTGCATCGCTTAGCTTTGCCCGTGCTTATGGTCTAATTATATCGCTAATCACTTCACATTAAAAACCTCTACTGTAATCTTAATTCACCGTGTTTCAAAGAAGAAAGCTTACTCGTTTTGGCATTCAAACTCGCTTGGTTTTGGCGAATTCAGGAAACGAAGCACAAAGATTTATGCCTCATGAGATAGACAGCCTCGTCATACATCTCCTCTGCGTGTCTTGTCTCTTATCTCTTTCAGAAATTCTCATCTCTTCGCCATCATCACCACTGGTGCCGAGGATCTACAAGAAGAAGTCTCTCCTAAAGAAAGAAGACGAGTTAGAGTCGACGGAAGCATAATCCGATCACTGTGTTCGGTTCTTCTCAACTCTCAAACGAGGCTACGTGTCTATGACCGAAGCCGAAACGAAGTACGTTATGATGCGTTATCATTCGCGAGTGTGAGGACAAGGAGAAACTCTTGGGATAAGGTCCTCTCTCTCTCTCTCCGCTTGCTCCAATATTTTACGTGAAAATTACAAAGTTTATCATATAGTATTGTTTATTTTCCATATGCTCCTTCAAGTATTGTGTACTGCATATGTTCATTGAACTTTTATTGTATTGCGTATGCGCCCTGAAACTCCACCCTTTTTCAGCTAGCTCCTAAGATTGTCTTTTATTACAAATGGTCCCTGAAATTTTGTTTTATTACATATCCACACGAAACTTTTGTTCTTTTTGTGTAAACCTCCAATATATATGTTCTAGATCATTGATTTCTCTAGTTAATTCCGGATGGTGTTTTTTTTCCCTTTCGAGCTGTGATCGAGTCGTGTGCCTTCGCCTTTTTCTAATAACTGATATTTTTTTAATGTTGATTTGAAGATTTTGTAAATGGACAAGACTCTCTCTTGGTTCATATCTACACCACTAGAAACGAGAGATGGTCCAGTTTTCAGGTCGACCACTTTTGCACCACCACCATAAGTCCACAGCCACGTATGCTCTTATCAGATATTAGTAATATCTACTTCATCTACACAACAAACAATATATATATTGCTTGGTGCATATCTTTCTCTTGATAATACCAAATCATATCAATTATACTTTTTTTAACCTTGCTTTTTTTATCAATACTATTCTGTACACATATGTAATAGTTTGTCTGTTCCCTGGTTTGTAGTTTTGTACTTCGTATATTCATTTTCATGTGAAAAAAGAAGACACATTTAAAAGTTTATTTAAGGGAAAGGAATTTTGACATTCTATAGACACAGCACATACATAGAGAGAGACGTGGCATTTTCTGGCAACTCCTAGTTCCCAAAAAGAAGCTAACAATATTTGTTTCGCTCGTAACTTCCCCAAAATATCAGCAGAGAGAGATTAAAAAAAAAGATACGAATATGGCGACGGAGCATCTCGGCGTTAGTGGAGAGGACTACATTGTCGACCTTTTGCCGAACGACGAAGACGACTCGCCTCCGTCTTCATGGCGTCTCAGCCTCGACACATTCCGCCTCCCTTCTTCTTCGCCTTTGTCCTCTGGCCGTCACAACGGTGACGGTCGTACTCGCTTGTCCCGTTATCTCCGGACTCCGAGTAAGTTTCTTCCTCTCCCTTCTTCTCCTAAATTTTTCGTTTCGTGTTTATGTGTATAATCGTTCTACTGTTCGTGTTTTACAAGGAATGTCACTCTCTTTTTTTTTTTTTTTTTTTTTTGCTCGGCAAGTTAGATTCAGAATTTAACCCTAAAACTAACTTTCCGCAATTTCTCCAAGTAGACGAACGGTTAATTAATTCCCAATATTTGAACTCTATGGAAAATTCTAGACTTGTCCTGCCTAAACTTGTCTGTGTAAAACCCTGTTTATTGTCAAGCTTAGTTTTCAAGAAATTTGAAATAAAAATCGATGGATTGTCTACTTTTAACATGGAGCAAATGTTGGATTCTATATGGATCTGAGAATCTTCTATTAGTTGTTTAATCAAATAGTGATAAATGAGAATCTTGCTTTATTTAATTGTGATGGGGACGCTGAATCATATTCTTCGGAGTTTTTACGCATTGTAGATTGATGTGGGGAAATGATAAAACCATTAAGGATATATATCACTATACATGCTTGAATCATCAGTAATTAGGTACATATAATCTTTGACATGGGTTTTACTCTTCTTTGTTGTCAAAAATCAGAGAAGGAACGTAAAGTCTCTGAGTACTACAAGAAGCAAGAGAAGCTCCTTGAAGGTTTCAATGAGATGGAGACAATTAACGAAACTGGTTTTGTATCTGGAGCTCCAACTGAGGTTCCGCTCTTGCTTTCGTTACACTTCTTCTCCTCTCACTGAGGTTTCCTCCAACTTTTTTTATAGCATCCATCGTGTTGATTTGAACAGGAAGAACTGAAGAAGCTTGCCAAGAGCGAGAGGCTTGCGGTTCACGTCTCAAACGCAGCTAACCTTGTGCTTTTTGTAGCAAAGGTTTATGCTTCCATCGAGAGTAGATCTATGGCTGTGATTGCTTCAACTTTGGACTCTCTCTTGGATCTCTTGTCTGGATTTATTCTATGGTTTACTGCAAATGCCATGAGCAAACCAAACCAATTTCACTATCCAATCGGAAAACGACGGATGCAGCCTGTGGTATTATAGTCTCTCTGTTTTAATTAAGATGTCTAGAAGATATTGGGTTTTCATCGAAGTAAAAAAATCATGGTTCTTGAATTTGGCAGGGGATCATAGTGTTTGCATCTGTGATGGCAACTCTTGGGCTACAAGTGCTGCTCGAATCAACCAGGCTACTTGTTTCCAAGGTATACAATACGCTGGTTTACTTCGCCGGTTGGTTACATGATCTAATCTAATCTTTCTCTATGTACAGAATGGTTCTCATATGAGTAGCACCGAGGAAAAATGGATGATTGGAATAATGGCTTCTGCTACAGTGGTCAAGTTTCTGCTCATGCTGTACTGCAGAAGTTTTCAGAACGAAATCGTCAGGGCATACGCACAAGACCACCTCTTTGACGTTGTCACCAACTCTGTCGGTTTAGCAACAGCTGTCTTGGCTGTGAAATTCTACTGGTGGATTGATCCCTCTGGTGCTATTCTTGTAAGCAATAAATCAATCAACCTTCATGTCTCTTGTTTCTTCGAAGTGTCTCTTGTGGCTTATGAGATATACAAGAGATTCGAGTGTTTGTTTGAGTTAACGTTGCTTCTTTGTGGTTCCAGATTGCTCTGTACACAATCAGCACATGGGCAAGAACGGTTCTGGAGAATGTCCATTCGCTGATTGGACGCTCTGCGCCGCCGGATTTCTTGGCGAAACTAACGTTCTTGATATGGAACCATCACGAGAAGATCAAACACATCGACACGGTGAGAGCCTACACGTTTGGGTCGCACTATTTCGTTGAAGTGGACATTGTTTTGCCAGAGGACATGAGGCTGCACGAAGCTCACAACATCGGAGAGACTCTTCAAGAGAAACTCGAGCAACTCCCTGAGGTCGAGAGAGCGTTCGTCCATATTGACTTTGAGTTCACCCATCGTCCCGAACATAAGTACAAGGTTTGAATATCAAACACAGGTTCTAATTAATGGATCCAGAGGAGATAAGTAGTAGTCTCGGTTTCTCTCTCTTTTTTGTTGAATCGCATTCGACAAAAGATAGAAACTCAAATCCCAAACATGGGTGAGCCTTTTCGAAAACAATTTTGTTCCTTCACCAGGAAATAACAAATGAAAGCGACCAAAGCTACAACGGAACACATAATCGCACATCGAGAATTTAATAAGCCGAATACTATGGCCCATTAATGTGGGCTTGAAACCGCAACAGCTCCAATGTAACGACCTACTATTAAATATCCATAAGCCTGTTTTACAGACCCAATGTTATGGCTTAGTAACATGATACTTCGAATATATTACAAAGCCGAAATTACAAACCCAATTACTGTTTTATATTGGCCCAAACTCTCAAGCCCAATAAATTCGGCTTTGAAAATATGAGAGACGGTCTTTAGGGTTTCTTGTAACCTAGCTTACTAACTATTTAAGCCGCCTTTGTCAATGATTTATACATCAACTCAGCCAAAAGCGTTTCTACATTCTTACTGCTAGTTTTCGTCTCCTTTCAATTATTTTTCTCTATGCGTTTCAAGTTCTATGCAGATCCTGGCCTATGATGTTTGAGATTGTCCGTACCATCTGAGATTTTAATTCTCTTTGATGATTAGTTACCTCTAGGTTCTGAGGCTATGGATCTATTTTTCTACCTTTCTTATGTTTTATAAATGTTTTTATGAAATCTTTGGCGCTGATGATGAAAAAAGATTACCATCAAACTTTGAGAGATTCACAGCTCGTTGATGCTTACCTCTTTTTATAATCTGAGCCTAGTTTGTGTAGATTCTGCTCTGCTTTGTCATATGTATTTTTATTCGCTATTTCTTTGCGTATAATAGAAGGCAACAAATTAGAGTCTCTGGTACACTTATCAATAGTGTAATTAAGCGCTGTACGTTGCCAAAATTGAATCTGGCTGATATTCTGGTACTTGTTCTAGTTTAAATAGGACTTGTGCATTCAAAAGGCCTTACAAGAATTCTACATCCATAATTTCATCATCTTGGTTTTTTAATATGCTTGCTTGAGTTTGATTATCGTGTATGTCTATACGAAAGGCAACAATTTAGAGTCTCTTATTCACTCTTCAATAGTGAATAAAGTGCTGTACGTTGCCAATAATTACATTGGTGCAAAGATTTTTTTATTGGTTCAAATATCTTTGGGCCAGTATGATCGATGTTCCTAAATATGTCTCTCCAAAATTGTATAATTTGATCTGCATAGCTAATGCTATTTTCGACAATTGGACAGTGATTTCTTTCTCTTTGGTAAAATGGCTCCCTTTTATCCGGCGTCTAATACGGCGTACGCACACTAGTTGGTGATTGACTTAGTTCCGTATACGGCCCACAATACGCCCCTTAATAGGATGATTACGCTCCACCATTTGGTCCATTAAGCACAACTATTTGGCCCATTACGCACAACTGTTTTGCCCATTACGTATCATAATTACGCCTAATTCGAACCACTGTTGCATTTCGTACCACTGTTGGGCCCAATTCGTTCCACTGTTTCGCCCATTCCGGAAAACTGGTTGGTCCATATTGTACCACTGTTGGGTCCAATTCGCACTCTTGTTGGACCCAATTCGTTTATCTGTTGGGCTCATTTTGGTCCACTGTTGGGCTCATTTCGGACCACTGTTGTGCCCATTCCGGCCTACTGTTGTGGCCATTTCGCACCACTGTTTGGCCATTTCGCACCACTGTTTGGCCATTTCGCACCACTGGTTGGCCATTTCGGACCTCTGTTGGTCCCATTTTGGGCCACTACTGGGACTATATCAGCCCAGTGTTGGACCCAATTCGCACCCCTTTTGGGCCCATTTCGGACCACTGTTGGGCCCATTTCGGACCACTGTTGGGCCCATACCGGACCTATGTTGGGTCCACATCGGCCCACTGGTGGGCCCATTTTACACTGCTGTTGGGCCCAGCTCGCATTTGTTGCGCCCATTTTGCACTACTGTTGGGCCACTTTTGAGCCCATTCGTACCACTACTTGGCCCTATTCAGCACACTGTTGGGTTGGGCCTATTTCGTACAAATACTGGGCCCATTTCGGCACACTGTTAGGCCCTATTTGCACTACTGTTGGGCCCACTCCGCACCCTTGTTGGGCCCAATTCGCACCAGCGTGGGTCCAATTCGGACCACTGTTGGGCCCATTTCTCCCCACTGTAGGGCCTCTTTCGTACCGCTAATTGATCCATTACGCTTTACTTTTCGGCTCAATAGACCCAATAATGGCCTTACTATTACGACCCAATGTCCAAAATTTCAAGTTTCATGCGTCAATGTCTTAATAGTAAAATTATAAGAAATAGTTAGTTTTTTGTTTGGGCAATCAAAAGTGAGATTTTATATTTTGACGGAATTGTATTAGCTAAATTGTTTGAAAAAGTAGTTCAAACCTATAAAAGTTTTCAAGATGTTTTAAAATCAAAAGTCAAAGGTAGAAAGATCGAAACGTACCTTAGAATCTTAAATGAAAATTAAAAGGAAGAAAAGTAGATAATGATAATTAGAAGTTAAAAGGAACAGAAGAATCAAGGCGAGGTTTGATTACCACTCAAAAAACGAACAGCTGTTTATCTTCCAACAAAGCTTCGTGCATCTCTTTGCTCTTCTCATTGTCTTTTTTTTTTTGAAAAAAACACACACTGCGAAGAGAAGCTCTAAAATACAGCAACTATGGCGTTTCTTCTCCCGAATCTCTCTCCTTCTTTCCCTCTTCAAACCGGAAAATCCCTGAAAGAGAAACCCATTTGCAATCAACCTCTTTCGATATCGTCGTCGTCGTCGACTTCTCATTCCAACAGCTTCGAATTTGAAGAAGATAGCCTCTCTCTGCACACTCTTCCGGTCCAGGCTCCTCCGGTTCGAGGTGCGCAGGTTAAGACCAGGCCGAGTGCGCAGGATAAGCACCAGAATGGCAAAGATGAGTTCTACATCAATCTCGGTTTAGCTGTGCGTACGCTTCGCGAAGATTTGCCTTTGCTCTTCACCAGAGATCTCAATTACGATATTTACAGGTATCTTGTCTCCTTCTGGTGATGATTCCTTAATCGGGTGAAACCTGGGGATAAAGTGGTTTTCAAATTCCGCAGTGATGAATGTCTCTATTTCTTATCATGAGTTTCTTTCAGGGACGATATAACATTGGTGGATCCAGTGAACACCTTCTCTGGGATCGAGAACTACAAATTGATCTTCTGGGCACTCAGATTTCATGGGAAGATTCTGTTCAGAGACATCTCACTCGAGATCTTCAGGGTGTGGCAACCATCAGAGAACATGATTCTCATCAGGTGGAATCTTAAAGGTGTACCTAGAGTTCCATGGGAGGCGAAAGGGGAGTTCCAGGGAACTTCTCGCTATAAACTCGACCGCAACGGCAAAATCTACGAGCACAAAGTCGATAACTTGGCTTTCAACTTCCCTCACCAGCTTAAACCTGCCACTTCTGTTCTTGATTTGGTCACTGCAAGCCCCAACCCAACTTTCATGTTTGGCTATGCGGGTTCATACTCGTCTTCTTGGATTGAATTCTATCAAGCGGTGCGAAGGACGTTGGACAAGCAACAAGAGCAAACCCTTGTGCAAGACCGTTTTGTGATATGTTCATAGACATTGGCTCACACTCAGACTCAGGTGTATAAAGATATATATATATACTGTTGCACTGAAGATAATATACATATATCTCTCTGTTTGTGCAGGTTGACTTAGGTTTTCAGAAATCATAAAGGGTAGGGAAACCAAAGAACACTCTGTATATCCATGAGCTTGTACAACTTGCCTTTCGAATGTAAACACAACTCACTACAGTTTTTATGTCATACGAGATTTTCAGATTCCGCAGTGACTCACAAAAGTTCTATAAATCAGTTTATCAAAAACCCTACAACCTTTATTATTTTCAAAATGTACCCAAAACTCTTGCATCGTATATAACTTCATCAATCATGATTCTCTTGAATAGAAGCATTTTTAAAAGAAAATATATATGTTAAAAGTTTGGAGCAAACAAAAACATATAATGCTCTTAGCTCAAGTAGATGATGTCCGCTACGGAGAAGTTGCCACCGCAATGAGAATATCAAATGTCCGAGGAGGAGACCTAAAGTTTCAGACAAATGAATTAAAAAGTATAGCATGAAAAACACAAGATAAACAAGTACGAAGTTCAATTTCATATTTTAAAATAAGAGTATTCAGCCAAGGGAACCCAAGTTTGTCAGTTATTCAGAAGACACAAGAAAGGTGATGACAAATGATGCATTATCATGGTTGTGTCGTCAAAGTTCACATTCTTTTCCATCTAGTTACCACGATTACAAACAGTTTTAAGTGGGGATTGGTTCTACAAATGATGAGAAGAGTCATATCATATATGCCCATTTATATCACTCACCTCAAGAGTACTCACGTTCCATCCTAATCGCGGTAAGGTGTAAGATCAATTTGGAATCGCTGCTTCCCTTTTGTGACCCTCTGTGACAAAATTTAAGAATCAAGATCTTGTAAATGCTAATGGTGTATAAAAGACGGACTGTTGAAACAAATGTGGGAATCATAAAGCAATAATCCATGCATCGAAAAGGCTTACAGCGATCGCAATGAGTTCTTCAAGGAGTTCTTCTAGATGACGCAAAGGCTTTGACAATGAAAAAACACAAGAAATATTCATATCATTTCAAGTACGAGAGGGATACTTTTGGTGTTGAACTGAGGATGAATTAATGCCATTAGTAAGGACATCAAACTAACCCACTGAGTTGGACCATCAACTGGAGCACTTAGGGGATCATCATGAACCTGATCATAATCAGAATTCAAACAAAGAATCCAGGAGTATGTTACCAAAAACCCAATGAACTTGATCAAATGTCTAAAATGATTTGGTGTTGTCTTAAGTGGTATCAAACAAGTGATCCTACCTCCATGAAAATTCCATCAACCCCAACTGCTACAGCTGTTCTTGCAATGCAGGGTATTAACTCGCGAAGGCCCCCACTAGCAACACCACCACCCTCCAACTGCAAAAGAATGTATTGTTTGTGTTCGAAGTATTTGGATATCATTGGCTTCTAAATGAAATAGCTGTTTTCAAATGGACGATACCTTTTTGCCTGCAGGTTGTTGTAGTGCATGTGTTATATCAGCAACCTGTCACCAATAATTAAAATGAGAATGTTAATCACTATAGAGTGACTAACGTACAATATAAGCAGAATAAGCAATGTGAAAAAAGAAAAGATGAAGCAAGATTCACATACGACAGGACAGTTAGCTTCCCTCATCCATTCAAAGTTTCGTGGATCTACTATCAAATCATCTGATAATCAAAACCAAGCAGAGTATCAGTCAGACAATTGTAAAGTCAAGACCAAGATGTCCCAAAATGTTTGCATGATCTTCGAAAATGTCTACTTAATCTACGCTGCTAAATTCCATGGACACAAGAAACATCCTAAAGCATGCTACCGACATTAAATATCTGGACAGGAGATGATAACTTACTGTATCCAAACATGGTTCCTCTTTCACAAACCATCACATTTGGATTCCCAGCCAGTCTGATCTTCTCGGCCGAGTTTTCCATGACCTTAGAGTTTCATCATATACACAGTCATTAACAATATGCCAGCAAAAAACAAAATTACCAGCTCGAAACATGTAAGAAGAAAGAACTCACAGAAGGAGCACAAAATTGTCCTTTCTTAATATTGATAATTTTCCCGGTTTGGGCTGCCGCAACCAGAAGATCTGTCTGGAATTATCATTAACAGCTTAAATCATGAACCAGATGATATGAATAAATCCAAGATTGGAAGTCTGAAAGCTACAAACAGGAGCCGTGAAGAATACACAGTTTAGAGTCTTGCCTGGCGACATAAGAATGCTGGTATCTGAATTATATCTGCAACCTTGCCAACTTCTTCACACTAAAATAAACAAATAAAGCATCAGAAGGTACCAACGACTTGCTACGAGTCAATTCTCTAAGGTAAATACGCTCCTTGATACCTGGATCGCTTCATGAACATCAGTTACTATTGGTAGGTCATATGCTACTTTCACCTTCTCAAGAATCTGCGTTGGAGAACCACCAATGTGACCAGTACATAAATAAAATATATAAGTAAGTAGCTTATTGTTCAAGCTGGCAATAATCCGATCCAAAGGTCAAAGAAGAACTTATATATATATATATATATATATATAAATTCCTGCAATGTCGAAAAACTGTAAATGTTTTCAAATGCACAGTCCTAACATCCTAAGCATATATGGACATCACAAGGAAATAAAATGAGTGATGAAAAGTAAAAACAGGGGAAATATACCTTGAGACCCTCAGCCATGCCAGGACCTCGAAATGACTTTGAAGAAGTTCTGTTCGCTTTATCAAAACTTGACTTGAAAACCAGAGGCAACCCAACTCTACACCATTCACACACACACACACACACCCACAAAAGTTGCATAAGTAACTTAAAAGAAGAAACCACTTTGTTCAAGATGTGAAGAACATCTCTCAAGAAAGAAAATTCTCGAGTCATAAGATTATGATGGTATAAACGCAGAAAAAAGCTTCACTGGTCATGCAACGTAGAAGGAATCATACTTGGTGGCAATGTCTTTTATGTGCTTTGCCATTCGAAGAATATGTTCCTCGGATTCGATCACATTTGGACCAGCCAACAAGAAGAATGGTTCAGCAGCCTATACACAGTTAAAATACGTACTATAAATCAAACTCACTTTCATAAGAAAATAGCGAACATTTCGAGATTTTAAAAGCAAAAATGGCGAGATTCAAAACCTTAAGCTGATTGTACAGTGGTGATGTTGCCGCCATTCTTTCCGTCAAGCCAATCACCGGAAAACAAAAGCTCAACTGTTCGATAAAATCCGAATAAAAAATCTGAAGATCGAGAAACTTCTAATTTTTTTCTCGACACGGATCTGCAACGAAGAGATGGAAAGTTAAGGAATCTGACCTCTAACTTGATCTCGAAGTTGCAAATGCAGAGTGAGTGAAGGGAAGTGAGATCTCCTCCTCCCACCTCTTTTAGCGCGTGGCAGATGTTTGGATACGCGGACAGATTAATTCCTACCCAGGATAAGGACGTTCAAATTTTCGGAAAGATTAATTAATTCCTCTTGCAAAACGACGGAAACTTAACATCTAAGAACACTAACAATGATTTGAAAGGCGTAAACATAATTTCCATTATATTTTTCAGACAAGTATTAACAATGAGAGATCCGATACAGAGAACCCATGATTTTTTTGTCTCATTTGTTAAAACGACTTGGAAGACATGAGTGGTTTGGGAGGTGACATTGATCGAAGCTCAGGAGCGGAGCTTGGGAACATCACATTCAGCTTATGCATCAAAATATCAGCACGAGAAGGGATCTCGTTCAGAAGAAACTGTTGCACGATCGGTTTCTTGAACCATTCCATGACCGAATCGCCTGGTGCCCTCAACACGACTTTGCTGACCTCAAAAGGCGACTCAACAGAGCTCAGCATCTGAGCGATTACAATCTTCAGTGTCGGCCCTGTGACTAGCTTTATACGTCTCGGGACTACACCGTAGTATAGCATTCGTTTTCTGAACCTGTGGAGAGTGTGAACCACGGCTATGAGTGCGGCTCCAACCGACAAGTTTCTCACGTCGAGAGACCAAGCAATGTGTTGGTCAAAGACGATGGCTTTTGGGAAGAGTTTGTTCTCGTATGCTACTTTCCAGACACATCGAGCTCGGTTTATCTGAGCCATTAAGACAAGGTAGTTGAGAAGGACGTTGACAAAGTATCTAGCAGCTCCTTCTTCGAGTTCATAATCGATTCCTTGGTAAAACTCTCTGACGAACGTTAGAACTGGTTGTTTCCTCTGTTCTGGACCCGTGAAAAGACCGCACATGAAGGCGTGAGCTTTGTGCTTTGTAGTGCTGAGGATTGACATCAATTGTCTCTCTTTATCTTCGTCTTGGCAACGGACAAGATGGGCAAGAATCGAAGTGTAAAGCACCAAGTCAACTTTCCCAGCTGAATGCACGAGCGTCTCGAGCAAAGGCCTAGCTGAATCGTATAGACCATTTTTCATACATGACTCGAATAACTGCCTGATGATGAAATTGTTCGTTTTGATTCCTGATGAACCCATGAACCTAAGCCACTTCAAAGCGAGATCCACAGAAGCATCTTTGATATATATCATCAGAACATCGCTAGCGCAGACATCAACGGAATACCCCATTGCTTTCATCTCGAGTAGTATCTTCCCAGCTACATCAACGAGTCTTTTGTTGGCCAAAAGTGTAAGAAGAGAGATATAACTGCTCAGGCCAGGCCTTAACCCAGCATTAGTCATGGAGTTATAGATCTTCATTGCAGAGTCTACTTGCCCAGAACCAGCGTGCATCTCTAATAGACATGAATATGTGGATGGTGTCGGTAAAAACCCAGCTTTCTCCATGTCTTTGAAAACCGACATTGCCACTTCAAGCTTTCCTGATTTTGCATGAGATTCAATGATCATTGTGTACAGTCCAAAGTTAGGCCTGAAACCTGACTTCTTCATCTCATCCCAAAGCCTAAGAGCAGTATCCAGCTTGCCTGCTTTAGCATAAGAATCAATCAAGGAGACGAACATAGTTGCCGATGGCCGATGACCAAAGCCCTGCATTTCCATGTAAACCTTCATCGATGTGTCCAACCGACCAGCTTTCCCCATTGAATCAACAAGTGAAGAAAACACACCAAAGCTTGGTCGGAGTTTCCTTTCCTTCATCTGCTGAAAAAGCTTGAAAGCTGCATCAAGCCGGCCGGATTTGGCCAAGCTTGGAATGATCAGCTCATAAGTTGACCCATCCAACAAAGAATCAGTTTTCTCCATGCTCTCATAAATCTCAAACGCCTTATACGGCAGGCTCTTGTTCAGAAACAACATCATCAGATTATTATATGTCTGCGTATCAATCTTGCACCCCGAGTCCTGAGCCTTTTTGAAACAACAAAAAGCAACCTCCAATTTCTCAGCTTTAGCCAAATACTGAATCACCTGGTTATAGGCACCAAGCGACAAATCTCCGTGGCTACTCGAGTCCTGAACCATCTCCTCAAACAGCGTCTGAATCCCTACAAAATCCCTGCCCTGGTTCAACGCATCAAACAGCACGACATAAGATTCATCCGAAGGCAGATACCAAGGCTGCTTCTTAGCCCACCTGAACAAACTCAGCGCCGCATCAACATCTTGAACAATCTTCAAGGACTGCGTAACATGAACCATGTTCGGCACAAACTGGAGCTTGTCCAATTGGGTCTCCAGCTCCGGTCCCCATTTCCACCTCTGCACAACCTCAACAATCTTTGCTACAGCAGAAGCATTCATGAATGGCTTCTTCAAACCACCGACCATTACATGATCATCAAGCCCTGGCTCTACCGATCTTATTCCTTTGCCGCTGTGTATCACACTACCCGACTCGTCTAAATACTCTACCTCCTCGGTCCAGCCACTAGATTCACTGCTTCCGCTCTTATCACTGCAGAAACTCCTGATCATACTCGGACTTTGTTTAGTTAACCCAGCAGAAATAGTGTTTCTCGATACAGAACAATCCGGACTAAAGGCATTACCGACCGTGAAATTGCGCAATAATCGAACGCTGAGGGAGTAACGACCGGCTAAACTAGGGTTTAGAAGAGCGGGAGAAAGCAATGGAGTCCCGGAAATGGTGGTTTTCCGGCTAAGCGTGAAAATGACATTTCTGGGAATTAATTTGGAGCTTCTTCCACGGATCATCGTAGACGGAGACGGTATTATTGGGTCATATAATGCGAATTGAAAACTCAAAGAATCGATCCTAACCTGGTCTCCAGAGATTGCGATTTTCAGTCTCCTCCTCGGCTAAAACCCTAAAAGCCAGAGACTTTAGATGCAGGGGTTTGCCCAAAATGAATATTATTAGCATATTTACAATACTGTCCAAAGACTTTGTTAACGTAGTAAACCAAACAAATCATCATTTTAATCGTTTCGAATAATAATCAAAACAAAACTAAAATTCATGCGCTTTACTTAATTTTTCTTTTCTATAACCATAAAATCCCGAACCTGAATTTGATCATACGACTTCTATCAAAAATTCACAAAATGTAAACCACCCTTCCTCCACCAGAAACAGTCAAATGTTTAGTAATTCCATACTCAAATTCGGTTCCAATTTCAAAGAAACATCACATCTCTAACCGGTTGATCAAACTGTACTTGGTTAAGCTTTTGCTTCTTTTTAATTACAAAAAGATGCAAAACTCTAACAGTTGAATTTTCGAATTTCTAAACATTCTCTTTGATTTTGTAGAGCTTGTTTGTGTAGATTAAAGAACCCGAAATTGAATATATTATTGTAGCTAATTATCAGTTGTTTTATAATGACCATATTATTTCCCAAGCCTCTAGTTGTTATATGATGGTTATATTATTTTTGCCAAGCCTAAAGTCCAGAGAGAGAGGAGCATCTAATGAGAATGTGTGAAGTTTATGCAAATGGATGTAGTCAAGAAAAAGATAAATCTAAAGAGCTTTGTTTGAGTACAAAGCAAGCAAAAGTTTACTATAAACAACTTTCCTCTTTGATTATTTTTGCAATGTCAAGCAAGCATATATGCCAATTGGCACACATATGTGTGTATATTCTTGTACTATACTTATAGTTTAGACGGTTAAAAAATCGATTAATTATGTACAACTATATAAATATAGCCATTTTAATTTCAGGAGTAAAGTGATTGTTGGAGGACAGCAAAGTGAGCTGCTAAAGGACCAATCTTTATAAGAAAACAGAACAGAACCTTATATCCTTCCACAGGTTGCCTTGCGGGATTCCTATAGTTTTGTGTTTTGTTTCTACACATGCACATGCACATGACACACACACACACACACACAATATATATAGAGAAAGAGAGAGAATAGACATTTATTCAAGCTTTCTTCTTCTTCTTCTTCCTCATTGGTTTTAGTTTTGAAGATTTAGCATCTCTTCTGGTCTTCATCTTAAAAACCATGGAATCAAGTAGAGGTCTCACAACCATTTGTGTTCTCATCTGTCTCTTTCTCTCGGCCAGCTTCTTCACTCATTCTGGTAAGCCTCTCTCTCCTTCACTCCATTTCTAACTCTAAAACCATTATTTGATTTTGATTTTCTTATATAGTTGTAGATGCAAGAAAACATGTGGGATTTGAGAGAGACTCAAAGCAAAAGCCAAAGAAGCTGATCATCAACGCTGTAAAGCACACGTCATTGTTAGAAAAAATGATGACACAGCTCAATCTAGCTCAGCCTTTGGACTACTCAACAACATCCTCCAACACTCAACCTTATGGTGTTGGCACAACTCTCACTTTACCTCCCTACGTTTCACTTCCCCCACTTTCAGTTCCCGAAAATGCCCCTCCTTTCTGCGTTAACCCCCCTAATACCCCTCTAAACTCACCTCCTCCCGGTCCAATCACCGTACCTAACCCTCCTGAATCATCCCCTAACCCGAACACTAACCCAAACCCAAACCCACCTGATTCCACGTCTAACCCAAACTCGAATCCGAACCCACCCGAATCATCCTCTAACCCAAACCCACCGGTTTCCTCATCTAATCCGAACCCACCGGTTAACGTCCCTAACCCACCCGAATCATCGTCTAACCCGAACCCACCCGAATCATCCTCCCACCCAAACCCACCCGAATCATCATCTAACCCGAACCCACCCGTTACTGTTCCATACCCGCCTCAATCTTCCAATCCAAACCCGCCAGATACAGTTCTTAACCCTCCTGACCCCGGTTATACATCAGGCCCATCAGGACCCACTTCAGGTCCACCTTACTATGAGCCAAGCCCATCGACCCCGACTAACACTCCTACACCGTCCGGTGATATTCCATCCCCAACCGGTTCAATTCCAAGCCCATCATCGGGGTTTTTACCTCCGATTGTCTATCCGCCACCTATGGTGCCACCGCCACCTAGCGTGGCTCCGACCTCGGCTTACTGGTGTGTGGCTAAGCCCACCGTGCCTGACCCAATTATTCAAGAAGCCATGAATTTTGCTTGTGGATCAGGAGCTGATTGCCACTCAATTCAGCCCAATGGGCCTTGCTTTAAACCCAATACATTGTGGGCTCATGCTTCATTCGCCTTCAATAGCTATTGGCAGCGGACCAAAGGTGCTGGTGGCTCGTGCACGTTCGGCGGCACCGGCATGCTTGTCACCGTCGACCCAAGTAAGAGACTTACTTTCTCAAAAAATAATTGTTCTAATCAAATTTTTCCTTATAAAAATTGCTGCTAATATTGATATTTATTTAACTTTGACTCTTATTTTTTTGAAAACAGGTTTTAATGGGTGCCATTTTGATTTCTTCTGATAAATGAAGACGAAGACGTCTCTCACTTTTTATTTGTCATCTTATACCGGATACGAATAATATCATATAATCTTTGATATATATAATACCTTAGGTGGGTCTCTCACTTGTAAGTTGTAACCCATTAAACACTTTACAAATACTAATCTCGTTGGGAATGGCATAATTATAAATCTTCTGCCAAATTCGTATATTGCTTTTTCGCTAATGGAATTAGGTCTTCTAGACTTACAGTACGTTGCATCTACTATCACTAATATTTCATTTCCTTTTCCCCCTACAAATGATATTGCAACTTCGAAATATAGAGTAATAATATACTGTATACGCATTCTCATTACGACATTTAATATTTGTTTTTCTTTTTTGCCGCCTATAGAATTTAATTGTAAACAATATTGGGAAAACGGAATTTGAGAAACAGTGGTAAAAAGAAATTTGGCAAAAAAAAAAAAAGACTGAAAAAGTAAAGAAGACGAACGAAAGGAATCTAACCCCAAAAAAAAAAAAAGGAAGAACTTCATCTGAGTTTTTTTCTTCTTCTTATGCATATAAAAACTAAAACTTCATCTCTCACATAACTCACAAGACACAACGTTCCAACGACTCCAATTCAATAGTTTGAGTTTGTCGTCTTCCTTTCTTAGATTCTCGCAAAAACCCTCGCTTAAACCCTTATTACCTCCGCCTCCCTTCGTCTCTACCGGCGGCAGCAGCGATCGATGTCGAGTTTCGAGGATGGTTTCCCGGCTGAAAAGCTCTTCGCTCAGGGATACTCCTACACTTACGACGACGTCATATTTCTCCCTCACTACATCGATTTCTCGACGGACGCCGTCTCTCTATCCACGCGCCTTAGCCGGCGCGTGCCGCTCTCGATACCTTGCGTTTCGTCTCCGATGGACACTGTGTCGGAATCTCACATGGCTGCCGCAATGGCCGCGGTCGGCGGGATCGGAATCGTGCACTATAACTGTGACATCGCCGCTCAGGCATCGATTATCCGCCAAGCCAAGTCGCTCCGACATCCGATTGCTTCCGCCGCCGGTGTGAAATTGCCGGAGTATGAGATTAGTTCGTTGGATGCTTTTGGTCCTTCTTCCTTCGTTTTTGTCACGCAAACAGGTGAGAATCGTATTCGTTTCTAGGAATCCATCACTGTTCCAAGGATTTGACCCAAAAAAAAAAAAGATGACTTTGCTCGTACTTAATTTGACTACTGGATCATTAGATTGAGTGTACTTCTTCTTTAGCTTATTGGTTTTAATAAGCGTGCTTGTTGATTGATCTAAGCAGGAACAATGACGACTCCGAAGTTGCTGGGCTATGTCACGAAATCGCAGTGGACGAGAATGAATTACGAACAAAGGGAGATGAAGATATACGATTACATGAAGAGCTGTGATAGCAGCGACTATCGTGCACCATGGGACATTGATATCGAGAAGATCGAAGCTCTGTTAGAAGATAAGCAGAAGGGCTTTGTGGTTCTCGAAAGGGATGGTGAGACTGTGAACGTGGTGACGAAGGACGATATAGAGAGGGTTAAAGGGTATCCCAAGTCAGGGCCAGGGACCGTTGGTCCAGACGGTGAGTGGATGGTTGGTGCAGCGATAGGGACGAGGGAATCTGACAAGGGGAGGCTGGAGCATCTGGTCAGTGCCGGTGTCAACGCCGTGGTGCTGGATAGCTCTCAAGGGAACTCTATTTACCAGCTTGAGATGATCAAGTATGTGAAGAAGACTTACCCTGAACTGGATGTGATTGGTGGAAACGTTGTGACGACTTACCAGGCGCAGAACTTGATTCAAGCAGGAGTTGATGGGCTAAGAGTCGGTATGGGATCTGGTTCGATATGTACCACACAGGAGGTTTGTGCGGTCGGCCGTGGACAGGTAAATCAATAGCTCTGTTTGATTCTTCTGGAAGGTGTAAACTTTGTGAGTTTGTATAACTTAACAGACTCGTTTCTGTGATTTTGGACCTCTTAGGCTACTGCTGTGTACAAGGTTTGTTCAGTCGCTGCGCAGAGCGGGATTCCGGTGATAGCGGACGGTGGTATCTCAAACTCAGGTCACATTGTCAAAGCTCTAGTCCTGGGAGCATCAACTGTTATGATGGGAAGCTTCTTAGCCGGAAGCACTGAGGCTCCAGGGTCTTACGAGTATAAGGTATTATTGTCACATTCTCTTTCGGTTTAGCGAACACTATTCTTGAAGATGGTGCTTGTTTTGATCGTTTGTGGTAATGGTAGAATGGTAAGAGGATCAAGAAGTACCGTGGAATGGGATCGCTAGAGGCAATGACTAAAGGAAGTGACCAGAGATACTTGGGAGACACTGCAAAACTCAAGATTGCTCAAGGAGTGGTTGGAGCAGTCGCGGATAAAGGCTCTGTGTTGAAGTTGATACCTTACACAATGCACGCCGTGAAGCAAGGCTTCCAAGACCTTGGTGCTTCTTCCTTGCAATCTGCTCATGATCTGTTGAGATCTAACATCCTCAGGCTCGAGGTGAGTGAAACTAGTGTTGTTGATCCTTGTAGGAACTCTCTGATTTGCTGAGCTTAGTGTTAATGCTGCTCTGTTTTCGTATGTTTTGATGTTGTGACAGGCACGAACCGGTGCAGCACAGATCGAAGGAGGAGTTCACGGGCTGGTTTCTTATGAGAAGAAATCGTTTTAAGCTTTGGCCAAAATTTGAGGGATTTGTTTTGAGTTTTTTTTTTTCATATAATCTTCATGTTAAATTTATATTTTATTTCTTTTAACATTTTTGTCAGCCCTAACATCAGTTTTTTTATATACTCTTTTATTTTCATCATACGTAGAGCCCATTTCTCCTCTTGCAAACTTTATAATCATACTAGTGGAAGTTCGGCGCTACATTGGTTTAAAATAGAATTTGAAACTGTAGAGAGACTGAGGCAACTTGTAGTATATCACAAATCTCTTAGCAATGGCTACAACCTTTAGGAAAAGTTTATTGAAATAACTTAGTAATGATAATTCAAAAAATAATCTAGTAAATAGAAATGTTTCACCCAATAATCTAAAAGGAAATGAAGATGAAGCTAAACTTTCCACTCAACATGAGTGGTTGAATAAAGAAGGCGAGATGATGATGAAATCCTAGGCATAGATTCCAACTCCTTTTGGCACTCTTGAAGATCGCAGGTTGGTATAAGTGAGAGATCGATCTCCACTGTCTTTAAACAGATTGAGTTTGCGAGAATGTATGTCAGTAGTTGTTTCTCATCTTCTGTTCCTCCATACATTCGCCACCTAAAAATCTCTAGATGAGAGGATAAGCATCCAGGAATACTACTCGGCTGGTTCCATGAAGATGGGGGACACCATCCCTAATACCATTACATTTACTTTAATCCTTATTTAGAAATTCATCAAAACTAGATAGATGTGCATATTTGAAGAGATGATGGCACTTACCGTGGTGTTGAGCGTAAGAGCTTTCAGTTTAGGACAGTTTTGAAGCAACGAAATAAGTGGTTCCAAATAATCTACTGGATGTTCTGCAACAAAGAATAATCTTATGAGCTGAGAGAACTTAGTGGTGTTACAACACGCAGCCTGCAATAAAAAAAAAAAAAAAAAAAGATTAGTTGACCAAGCAAGGAACAAGGAACAAACAAGGAACAAAGGAAATCGGCCCCAGGGGATATACCATTGATTTGGATAACCACAAGCACATGCGTTTAGCAGAAGAGAGACATGTCAGAAACTTTACATCATGGTCATAAACATAGCCGATGTATGCAAGATCAAGGTAAGGCATATTGTCTATCAAACTATAATAGTCTCCCCAATTGTCAACTATGATTAATTTTGTTAATGCAGGGGATTCTATCACCAACGTCCCAAAGGTAACCTCTTCCTCTTCCTCTTCCTCTTCCTCTTCCTCTTCCTCTTCCTCTTCCTGGCGTCTTCTACGCGTATAAATTAATGATTTCAATGAAGGCACTTTCACGGTAAAGTTTGCCAAGTTGCCATCCCCTTCACGTCGTTCAACCACTAGTTGTTCGAGAACAGGGGAACTCGATAAAAGCCTAGCAAGAGAGTCCTCGTCTTTGTACACCACCTTTATAAGTTCCAGAGATAAGAGAGATGGAAGGCTCGCCGGGAAAGAAACATCGACGAGAATCTGGTTGGATAGAGATAAAGTAACGAGCGTGTCGCATGTGTAAAGGCTCTTAGGGAAGCTTGTGGGCTCTCCTTTCCAGAGGAGCTTGAAAACCAACTTTATTACACCGAGTTTCACTGCCTTCTCAACCCACTTTCTGACATCTACGTCAACAGGACATCGTGGACCCAGTTCGAGATCCAGGGTTTCTAGTCTCGGTGCCTTAAGGAGTTGCAGTGACTTGTCAATTAACCACCCAACGCTTTCGCTGCCTTGCTCGTCTTTGAAGTCGAGTTCGTACAGCATCTTCCAGACGGAACGCCATCGTTTAGACAAGACCGAAGTGGCGATTGCATCTTTTGTCGGGGCGCGGACTAAGATCCGCAATAGCAAATCGTCGGGAAAATCACATATTCTCTGACAACCTGGATCAATCTTGACAAATCCATAGTGCCAACGCAACAAAACCCTATTCCTTAATCTACGAGACAGTTCCAGGAAACGATAAGATGATAAAAATCCCTGACTAGAAACTCACCGCAAACTCGACGAAAGCGTAAATCAGAGAATCACGGAGGAAGAAGGATCAACCCAAGTACAACAGAGATTGAAGGAGAAGATAATTTATTTGATTGATTATATACGACGGATGGTCAAAGAGCTTAAACCGGGTAACTAAACCGAAACCGATTAAACCAAATAGTCAATAGATAATAGAATCTCCTATAACAGATAGTGTTGCTCATTTGTTTCCTCGATTTGACTGGCATGCGTTTCTCTCAGCTCCTTCCTGGTGGCAATGTACGTTTCGAAACGTTGTTGTTCAGTCAATATTATGTTGTTGTTTGAACAGTCAACGCAGACTCATCCTGTAAGGTCACAGGCTCGTAGATCACAGATTTAACAACACTCATCAGATCCTGTGAAGTGAAGCCATCGTCTTTCCTGTAAAATAAGTTCAACACTTTGCTCATTTTCAAAAACGCTTCCTTGCATTCCCTTGGAACCACACTTCCTTTCTCTTCCAAAACTAGCTTCTGCAGTTCTACCCTCTTTCTCTCTGCTAAACCCTTCATCGATTCTATGATCTCGTCTTTGCTGCGATTTTCTTGCTCGTGTATCCTGTGCAATGAAACCGCATTCAGCTTCCCTTCTGCGTTTTCTCTCTGCCAAAAACATGGACCCATTAAACCCGAATCTACCATTACAGTTTGGTTATGTTGGGTTTTATACATCTTTTGCCATCTTTCAACTCTGCAGTTTAGTTCAAACTTTAAGCATGGAGTCTTACCTTAAAGCCTTGTATGTCGTTTAGAAGACGACCCATAATGCTCACGAGCTTGTAGAGCTGATTATATTCAGGGCTTTCGACAGTTTCTTCTGTAAGTGTTGGTCCGATCAGATAGGTAGCTGGGAGGACAATTGGTCCTAATGCAAATGATATGTACGCATTTTCCATGTAATCCTCCAAGCTTGGAGTTGGCTTGTCACTGGACCACTCGGCTTCTCTCAGCATAGACTTGAGTAATTCCAACCACTGCATAAGAATTGACTATGGTCAGATAAGTTCTTAGGAAATTATAACAGTTAGTGTGGGATGACAAATATATACAATTTTCACAATGTGGTGTGTCACGGTGCGTCCTTGGTAGATGAACGCTTTGTCTCCTGTTTCAAGAATTGTGTCCCTTAGAACTGAGAAAATGATCTCGACTTGTTCAGAGCAGTACTCAGGAACACAGTTCAAATCCCACCTGCAGTTTGTAAGCGAGGAACATGTTATGTTTCTTTTCTTCTTTTTTTTTAACTAGAGAACAAATAGATAAAGAGCTTTAAAGAAAGGAGCCAAATCGATATACTTTTCGACCAAGTGTATGAGGTTTTCCATTTCTTCTTTGGAACCTCCAACGTCGAAGAAGTCGTCTACAACTGTTGTCAGTACTCCACCTTTGGCCCACGATATACGAGCATCAGATAATTCTGGAGAGAAAAGGGTTGCAGCCCCAGAGAAGTAACAGTAAGCCAGCTTCTGTCTGGCAAATTTCAGTTCCTGCAATCTATTCTCCACAATCCATCTGCAAGTTGAAGTTGGTGAGCAGAATTATAGAGATATGAGAGCTAGCCATATAAGCTGATTCGTGACGACATAACAAATAAAAATCTGGCAGCTGAACAGAAAACGGTCATGACAGAGAACTCGCTCAAGTGTGTGGTTATAACCATAAAATTCATTAGCTTATGTAAGAAGGCTGAATAAAGCGAAAAAAATTAGTTGAGAGTGCACCTATCAAGACGTTTCATTTCTTCACCGTGTATAGACTGGCAGAAATTGAAGTCCTCCACTGCTAACTTCAGGATATCAGAGCTGCAAACATTGGGCAAACTAGCACATAGAAGAAGAAGAAAATGAGACCTAAAGTGTTGATTAGATTTTCGTTTAATCAACCAAGAAAGGAATGAAACATTTGATTTTTACCAATACGATGTTTTCATAACTCTGGTGTTTTCCACACATGAACCACTGAGTAATTTTCTTCTATGATCTAATCTTTCTAGGCTTGCGTAGGGAGGAAAAGCAAGAGCATCCTCAACCTGAAAAGGATAAGACTCTCAGATATTGATTACTCTATAAGGCTCACACAGGAAGATAGTTAAGAAAAAGAGGTTGCCTCTTTCTTGAGGTATTTATCTCGAACAGATGTGATTGGCCAGTTGGATAATTCCATCTCTAGATATTGTTTAGTCCACAAACACTGCTCTTTCAAAGCTGATTCATGTGGATAACTTTGGGCAGCCTTAAATAGTTCTAACACGGAAATTGTGTTCTTTAGATATCCTTCCAAAGTATTGGAGAAACCACTTTCTTTTGCAAATGGTTTTAGCAGATCTGCAACAAACACAACGTACCAACTTAACACATACATGGAGTTGACTCAAATCTAAGCTATACTCATCTGAAAGAAAAGAGGTCACTTCACCGTAAGACACATCATAGCCATGAGCAAGCAATAATCGGAAAGCCAAAGCACAAGTGGCCAAGTCCAAACATATCTCTTCATCACCACGTAGCCAGCATCTGTTTATTGGCCAATGATGGTTTCGGAAAATCATGAATACAGCATCGAATTTTGTGTGGTTGAACTAGATAACTTACCACCATCATAAATTTTGTAGTGCTGAAGGCATTTTACCTATAGGTTTCATCTAATACGCTTCTGATTTCATTCTTGAAGTCCCTATCGATTCCCAGGCTTTCAAGAGTGTCAACCATACTAAGGCGTGCATATTGGTCAAAGGGATAAACTGTGGGAACTGGAAAATGATAAGCAAATATATTAGCAGTGGAAATCTTTAGATACAACGAAAATGAAACCCATGGTGATCAATATACCTGCAGCCTCAAAATTCTGGAAGAGAGAAGAGAGATAACGGAGACACCCATCATTTCTGAACTGAGTAAATGCAGCTGCTGTTGTGGCTGGAGAATCAAACAGTGAGCCATTTTTCCTTTGGTATTTCACAATCAAATCCCAATCTTTAATCTTTCTTCTTCCCTCTAAAACATACGCCAGATATGCTTCTCTTCCCTTTGAAAAGCTTTCACCATCACTTGTTAAACATTCAAACAACAAAGGTTGCTGAGATGAACACTTATTATGTACACGACAAGCTTCTAATTTCTTCTGAGTGTATGCTAATAAAAGAGCAGGAGTATACCTTTTAAGATCCAGATCTCTTTTCTGTATCATGGCATCCACCACATGTGAGCCCAATGGAATCGCCAGATTCAAATCTCTAGCATATTCAATCATCCCAGGAAATATAATATCAAATCCTGCTGGTTTCTGCATGGTTTCATCAGAGACTGATGCAGAATTCAGCTCAATAAACTGGAGACCTGAATATTTGTATTTGAACACTCATCAGTCCATGAATTTTCCAAAAGTCAAACAGTAAAAAAAAAGAAGAAAAAAAAAAAAAAAAACTGACCCTTGCTTATTTGTCTTTCACCAGTTCCCCACTTCTTCAACGCGAGGATACATGCCAGTGTAGATGATAACATATCCTTCTTAAGAGACTGATGGTTGAGATGATCAAGTCCCCAAGATCCATCGTCACGTTGATTTTCCAATAACCAGTTCAAACACTGTGGGAACAGTGGAGCACTTTGGGAACTCGGTGATGGAACCATTGCTACCCAACTAGTATCATAAGCCGAAACAGAAAGCTCCACTTTATCTAACATCTTCCTAATCTTTTCCTTTGTCTGCTCAAAGCTCTGGATAATTTTAAGAACATCAGTTGGTCTAGACCAAAATTATCATACTATTCAAGATTATTGTAGAAGCGAGCAAATATGAAACTGCGAATTAGAAAAAGAATAAGTGGCTGTGTTTAGTTTACCACATTGGTAGCTCGTGTATGTTGAACTGCTTCTAATCTCCTTTCCAAAGTAGCTGCACAACAACGAGAGAACATTTCCAATTGATTCACGCTACATACTTGAAATCAGGTAAAAGAGACTGTGATAGTCCAAATCCATCACTAACGATGACTATGAGGGATTCGATTTCAGTTTAAACCGAAGACATAGCCATTCTTATAAACCAAAAAACCAAATCATATAACAATTCGTACAATAGCTTCAAACTGTAGAATGATGCCACTTTATCTCCATTTAGCTCCGAGAAATCACAGAGAACATAATTCCAGTACAAATCAGGAAATCCACGAACATGCAAGCAAAGAAATCAAACAATGCCGAAAAAAGGAGAAAGCAGAAGATCTTACCTGAGATCGGAGACGAACAACCCGAAGAGCGGAGGTTGGTAGAGGAAGAAAAAGACATGGAGAAACCAGAACCAACCCAAACGCCGTCGTAGCAACCTGGTTTCCATACCGCGCGGTGTCATAGTCAACAGTGAGAGTCAGTGACAGAGACAACTATCGATTGTGAAACAGAGAGGAAATACAAAGAACATATAAACAGGAAAACATGTGAATAAATGAGAGCGACATCGAAAATATACTTGGAAGAATTAGCTTTGACAACCGGATGACCAAAAAAAAATCTGGAAATCTGGCTTCAGATAATAATAATATAACTTATACTACTATAGATTATAGAAGTCATTAATACAGTAAGCAATCTTTTTGACCAATTATATTACGACAAACGAAATCAAGAAGAGGAAAATATGCAACGTGTACATGTGTAGATATTAATCCGACAGGTGGACCATAGATTACCGAGAAGTCACATCTTCTTCACTCCAGATTTTTTTTATAAAACAAAAATGAAAAATCAGGAATAAGATAGAAGATAGCTTTTTGAAACAAAATATTTAAAACCAAATACTTGGTAAGAAAGAAAATCTAATTTTATTAGAAATTTTTATATCTAACAGTATGTATGATTATAATTAGTTTCAAAGGTTAAAATGTAAGTGAGAAAATTTTAAAGTTTTAAATGATAACTTTTGTACTTTAATAGCGAAAAATGCAATTATCCATACTAAAAATAGGAGAATAAGAAAATTATCTTTAAATATTTTTAAATTTAAAACCAGTCACCACAAAATCACAAACACACATCAAAATGGTTTGGCTAAAAACTGAACATATATATTCAAGTTAATTTGTAGTTTTGAACTAATTGATTTACATTATTCTCTAAACATTATTGGCCAAAATTTTACCAATGACATGACAAAGTCAAAAAGTTTTTTCAACAATATCGAATTATATATTTTTTTATTTCTTTTGTTAGCTCAGCCAAAACTACGTTGTTTGACGATACGGAACAAGCCAGAAACTGAAGAACTTTATATCTTTATCATCAACCTCCAGCACTTCTGTTCCACGAAAGGTACGAGGGATCTCCTAGTTGCCTGAAACCCATAAGACAGCAAGATTATTTCACTGTTAACACAATTCTAAAAATATCAAAGTTTCGTCATGGCGAAAAGCCAAAGAAGTATAATAAAATGAAGAAGACTATGTGAAGAAAACGTTGATAAAAAAGTACCTTGGCTTAACTAGATACAATACGGCGAACGTAACAGCCAAGAACAAGCAGATGCTGCCAACAGTCAGATACGCAATCCCGAGGAAATCGTTCCTTCCACCGAGCCAGCTGGTGGTTGATAGCACGAGCTTCTTCTCGCCATTGAAGCTGTATGTGTTGTAGTTGTTTTGCAGCAAGACCGATATGGTATCACCCGCGTGCAGATCCGTTTCAATCTTCCCGTACAGCTTCCTAAACGTTGGCAAAGCCGCAGTTCGCATCCAGACTATAAGGTCTTCTTGCTCACTCAACTGTCCAACAAAGAACTCATTATAGCTGTTAACATCATCCAGTTCGGAAACCTAATCCATACTGATACTGAAGGATTCTTTTTTACCGGTATCTTGGGATCAAGAGTTCCACCACCTATAGGTGCTCCTTCTTGGAAATTTTTAGGGAAAACATTTTTGCCAAATTTTTTATCTCTGTCGCTCTTCCATGAGATGCCTTTCTTATTCACAGGAAGTTGTTGGCTATTTCTTGAAAAACGATATGTATCGTTGAACAAACTCCAAGCAACAAGACCACATGGAACAATTGGTTTCCCTCCCACATTATCCTCAGGTGCACAAGTCTTCACATCACGCTCTTCGCTTGGACTTCTCAGTTGTGCATCGTTTCGGCTTTTCACATACCTAAACATATACATCAACCAGAGATGTAACTGATATGAACACATGTAAAACTGAAAACCTCACTGAATTATGGGGAAAAAAAGTCCAAGACAATTTCTGAATAAGTCCTCGATTTTGAGAACTGTAAAAATTTCTATCATGACGAGCTAGAAAATTACTGTCAATAAGAAACTTAGCTTAAATATGGAGTTCAACACACTGTTGCGTGTTCTTGAAGGAATTACTAGATTCCAGGGAAAGTTATTAGCAAAAGCTGGCTAAATAAGGGAAACTTACCGTCTATGGTTTTGGTAGAAATTCTCAAGTTGGTAGTATATATAGACAGGATGCTTCATAGTTTTTGTGACCTTAAAAAAACAGAGACAAGCTTGTGAAGGAACCATACCTAAGAGAAGAGCTAACATATTCAATCATAGAAGGAACTAAATTACTAGATAAGAAGATATCTACCGTTATTGTTCTGTTACATATCTTATCTCCTTCACCCTGTATGTAAGCGACCTTGTTGTCCTTAGAAGATGCTGGAACGCAGTCTGTGTCATATCGATCAACAATCTCAACGACCTTCATGTATAAATGAAACATATCCTCACTTATAAACCAGAAAATCAAAGCTAGAACACAAACATGAGGAAAGACTGAAAACATTCGCCTAATGGACATACTCCCTGAGAGGCAAACAAGCAGATCACTCCGAGGGGAATGAAGACAACGCCAGCAACAAGAAATGTCAAGATCACCTGCAAGTAGCAATGAACAGTTGGAAAGCAGAGAAACATTCTTTTCAAATATCGCAGTTGCGAATCAAGGAATGTGACAGAACCGAGATGGAACTTACCCAACTTGGAGTAAGAATTGGCTTGCATGCTGGAAGCTCTTGCTGAGTAAATTTTGAATCTGGCAAAGAAAAGTCAGATTAAGGACAGAGAAACCAAAGCCACTCACACTGTTTATGGGAGACCGATGGTAAAGTTTGCGAACAAAAGATAGAACCCACTTTGTATTAAAAAAAACCAACAACCAAAAGTGAGTTTTGTAAAATAATCCAACAGCTACACTACACATTCTCAAAGAACATGAAATTTAACTCAAGGGACCAAGCTGATGAATTATATCTAGTTTATACAGGAATCAGTATCAAACATACAATATACAAGAATTCTTGCGCACACATGTAAAGATAGATGCTCCCAGGATACAAAACATGCATAAACATGGTGATCGAATTTATGACGTTTTGTCTATATTGCCCACAATCGTTTTTGAGAGAAAAACAAGAAATGCATCAGTTAATGGCAGAAAAATTGTAAAAAACTTGCAAGACAACATCTCTAACTACGAAAACAAAAAAAGTATTCAGAAAAAAAACTCTAAAAGAAGTATTCAGGGGTAATAGAAAGATCACATTTTGGCCGCTTCGAGGTTTTTTTAACACAGGAAGAAGGCTCGGCCGATCTGCCTCCTACGACGGTGGAGGACGCTGCGGTGGAACTCATTTACCGAAAAAATCGACGAGAACGAAAATAGAAGAAACTCTCCTCTAGACCAAATTTGTCTTTTTTTGAATAGAAAATGACAGAGAAAACAGATCCGATTCGAACGGAGGGCGAATAATGTTAAATTAAAGTTACAAGATGGGAAAGAAAGAAAATCATTTTTGGGAAGAGAGGAAAATTTGGAATTTGCCCGAGCAACAAGGAAGAAAACTCTAAAAATGGAAAAAGAGTAGAGTACATACAAAATGATCTTAACATCCCTATTAAGTGTATTAAGCTATTACTCTAACTCCAACTGTAACAGCAACAAAGTCCAAAAAGTAAAAAATTCAGTAGACAAAGCCATTAAGATAAATCAGATTTGATACAGATGACACCTCAACTTGTAACGATCAAACTTCTCCATAAAGCTAATCCACTTGACATTAAAAAAAAATTAAGAGAAATTTGGTTAACCCGTGGACTCCTTAATCATAGAGAGAAACGCCAATTTTTGGGTCAACGAACAAACCCGGCAAATGCCACGTTGACACTAGTTTACAGTCATCACCCACCTGTCATTTTGTCATTTTTTGCCTTCCAATTTTTTTTTAATTTATTACTATTATATTATAATTTTAATTGTACTCTGCTGTGATGGCGAAGAAGATATTATGCTCATCTCTGCACACTTGATTTCATTCGCTGCTCATCTTCTGATCTCTACTCTTACTAGTTTTCCGTTCAGCCGCCTTGTTCGATTGAATCAATTGAAATTTAGAGAGTTTCGAAAACTGGAAAATGGTAGTCGGAGCGGCAGCGCGTGTAGCCATCGGCGGTTGCCGAAGGCTTGTCTCGTCGCAGGCTTCCCTCCTCGTCTCTTCTCAGTGTCGCCAGGCAAACCACTCTCACTCATTTCTTTTGTATATACATATTCCTCGTAGATTTGAATCTAGTCCCTCGCATCGACAGATTTCTTCCGATCGCTGATGTATATTCCAAAATTCAGAAGAATGATAGTATATCCGGATTCCTCTTTCTATCGCATCTCGATCTCGTGGTACCAATTAGTGGTGGCCGTTTAAAACCTCTGAGCGTATTTTCGTTTACCAGATGAGTATGGACGCCCGAAGCGTCTCGGAAAAGCTCAGGAACTCGGGTCTATTACGAACACAAGGGCTAATAGGAGGAAAGTGGATTGATTCGTATGACAAGAGCACAATCAAGGTCATACATCTCTGCCTTTGATTTCTCTTGATTTAACCTAAACCTTTTGGGGTCTCTTCTGTTGACGTCATATATTCTGCTCGACAGGTTAACAATCCAGCCACCGGTGAAATTGTAGCTGATGTTGCATGTATGGGAACCAAAGAGACAAATGATGCTATTGCATCTTCTTACGAAGCATTTCCATGTACGTGACCCAAGTCTCCTCTTCTTCTTAATTACGTCTCTACTCAATCTTTGATGGCCACTTCTCTATTCACGCTGAACAATGTAAAAATTTAATTCCTGTAATGCTCTTATATTTTATCACATTCAGCTTGGAGCAGATTGACTGCTGGAGAGAGGAGTAAAATTTTACGGAGATGGTATAAACTTTTACCCTGTGGCAATGCCTACTCTTTTAGCTTTGCAGTGTGCGTGAGGATGTTTTAGAATTGTAAGGTTAGTCTAAGATCGCAATGTAGGAATGTTTGCCATGGATGTTAAATGCCCATGGAATTAATATATAGGTTCAAGGCTTTTGTAAACAAATGACTGCTCCCTTTTTAATGTCGAGGTTAGAGGTATGGGAGAACTTAGGGGGACTTTCTGGTATCTTGTTTCAAGCTATTGCACTTTGCTGGAATCGAGGGTCCTGATCCACTTCGTTTCTCCAAACACAGGTATGACCTCCTGATTGCACACAAGGAAGAACTTGGACAACTTATTACTTTGGAGCAAGGAAAACCACTAAAGGAGGCCATAGGAGAGGTAGATGATTCAGTTTTATAATTGAGAACATTGAGTGTGCTGTTTTTGGGTTTGTCTCAAGTGTTGCAATCGTCTCTTAAATGCAATATATGATTCTGCTGTAATTTAGTTTACAGGTCGCATATGGGGCAAGTTTTATTGAGTACTATGCGGAGGAGGCAAAACGTGTATACGGTGACATCATTCCTCCTAATTTGTCTGATCGCCGATTGTTTGTTCTAAAACAGGTTTGCCCAGTGTCCTGATTCATGCTTCTAAATTCTATATATATGCAGCTTTTGTCTTTGAGTGACATAATTCTGCACCCTTAGCTTAACTTTGATGTGCATAATTGGAAATGTTATGGTTAAATAATTGCCAGGCTATCCGGGCCTGGAAAACCCTGACTTTGCTCTGCATTCCCACCACCTTCTCAATATTTCCAAGTCCTGTAGCAATGCTATATGAGAACTTGGAAAATCTTAATTTTGCTTTTGCGAATCCCTTTGATATGTGGAGATTTTTCGTGTACCATTTTCGCGTCATGTGGCTGTATTAATAATAGCAGCTGTGTACTTTACACATGCTTTACTTAACTCTCTTCGTTCTCTATGCAGCCTGTTGGTGTTGTTGGCGCAATTACCCCTTGGAACTTTCCCTTAGCCATGATTACTCGGAAGGTCTTACTTGTTTACCATTTTCATTTACCTTCTATTATTCTGTAAATAATCTGTCTAGTATACTATCCCAGTAAATTATATAGATTTTTTTTTGCTAACTTTGATTTGGATGGTTTGACGGTATTGCAGGTTGGCCCTGCTCTTGCTTCTGGATGCACAGTGGTTGTTAAACCATCTGAACTTACCCCCCTAACTGCACTTGCTGCGGCTGAACTGGCACTTCAAGCTGGAGTTCCTCCAGTAAGTTGTGATTTTTGGCTTGAACTATATAACCCACCAGTTTTTACATGTAATCTGATTTTTTACGGACCCATCTCCAAGCGCTTATATGCGTAAATGTGGCTACTAATTTGATGTATGACCCATTGATGTATGACTCTTGTGGCTGGAAGGCTAGTTTTTAACAATGTTTCGTATGTGCTCATGAACTTTCTGAGCAGACCATTTCTTTGCAGCTGCTTTGTTTTTTTTTTTTAATTTGTCTGATTAATTTGCATGTTTTTCTTACAGGGTGCACTTAATGTGGTCATGGGAAGTGCTCCTGAAATTGGGGATGCTTTGCTTACAAGTCCACAGGTTTCTCTAATAATATATGCGTACTTTCTTTTATTTGTATCTCTGCCATTAGTAGTGATTGATGATAAGTAACCTTATCAATTGACTGTTTTTCTTTTCTTGTGCTACTCAGGTGAGGAAAATCACGTTCACAGGATCAACAGCAGTTGGGAAGAAATTGATGGCAGCTGCTGCACCCACTGTGAAGAAGGTATGCTTAGTCAAATATCATGTTATTTGAAAAATATTCTCCAGATTGAATATCGCTGGTACCTCTTCTTTTTTTCTTGATGTAGGTTTCTCTAGAACTTGGTGGCAATGCACCCTCCATAATATTTGATGATGCAGACCTGGATGTTGCAGTAAAAGGAACGGTAAGTGATAGTCATGAGTTTTAAGGCATTGCTTTATCCAAAAGATGCAAAAGCGTTAAAGTGACGGTATCCAACTTTTTTCCATACAAGATGTTACTTACCTCCACGCTCCACCTATTCGAGCCCAAGTTTCTTAGTGGTGTACTATGGGCATCGTCACTAAAACATTATATTACCCATTTTGAACTGTGATTGCAGCTTGCAGCAAAATTTCGGAATAGTGGTCAGACATGTGTTTGTGCTAACAGAGTACTTGTGCAAGATGGTAAGAGTTGGGATACTCGGCACACCCTTTCTGGATCTTACATCTAATATTGACTTAATATTTTAATTTTTTCCCACAGGTATCTATGATAAATTCGCCGAGGCATTTTCTGAAGCGGTTCAAAAATTAGAAGTAGGAGATGGCTTTAAGGAGGGGACAACCCAGGTATGCCCTTTTATGATCTTATGTTTTTGCTTTGTGATGTTACACGCTTGATGATTGTGCGGGTTATAAAAATAATTTAGGCTAGTTGCTATCGAAACTATATAAGCAGATCATACTGTTGGTATCTTGTTTCTACGTTCTCTGGCAACTAGCATCCCTAACGACTTGATTTAAGGTTAACTGAGTCTCCAGTGTTCTCTGCTATCTTGCGGTAAATCTTATCTGTCGCTTCAACATTTTTACAGGGTCCACTTATAAACGATGCAGCAGTGCAAAAGGTACATTAATAGTATTTTTCTTTTCATAGACATCAGTAATGTTTGATAGCACTAGTGTTAATAGTCTTGCTCTTCATGCTAAATCATTGCAGGTAGAGTCATTCGTACAAGATGCTGTTTCCAAGGTTTGTATTCTTCCTTATGCATCCTTGCTATCTTTGATCTAAGAGAGGCAGTTCATATTTTATATGTGTATTCCATTCAGCAAGAAACAATTCTTGTATTTCCCCAATTCATACTAGCAAGAGGTAAATCTTATGTATCGTTGTCTTTTTGTTAAAGGGAGCAAAAATCATTCTCGGCGGCAAAAGGCACAGCCTAGGGATGACTTTTTATGAGCCTACTGTTATCCGCGATGTTATGAGTAACATGATCATGTCTAAGTAAGTTCTGAAAGATTCACAGAAGTGCAGTGTTATTTCTTTTTGTGTCTCTTAAGAATTAACTATAAACATCTAGTGTTCCTGGCATTTATTTATCAAAAGAACTAATTTACTTTTCTTAGGGAGGAGATTTTTGGACCCGTGGCTCCCCTTATTCGATTCAAAACCGAGGAGGACGCTATCAGGATCGCTAATGACACGATTGCAGGTTTGCCCACGTGTAATCTTAGTAAACCTATGTAAGCCAGGCTTGACATGATGAAGGAAATGATGAAATGTGTGTGTGTAGGACTTGCTGCTTATATATTCACGAACAGCGTCCAACGATCATGGCGTGTCTCTGAAGCGCTTGAATACGGGCTTGTAGGGGTGAATGAAGGACTCATATCGACGGAGGCAAGACCAAAAATGAAAGAAACACATTCTCTAAATTGTAGCCATACATTTGCTTACAGCTTTTAGTTTGCAGGTGGCTCCATTCGGGGGAGTGAAGCAGTCTGGTCTTGGAAGGGAAGGATCCAAGTATGGTATGGACGAATACCTTGAGGTAACTCACAACACTCATCTCTCTCTGTCTCTTATCGACCTACGCTTCATTTAATCGAATCAACCTTGTTTAGAGATTAAATCAATTGTAATATTAAAAATCTCACATGAAGACGTAATAAAGTATGCAAGTTTATAGGTGGTTAATTTTACATTTTTCTGTGAGTACTCTCAAACTCTAACTCGTGGAATCTGTCTTGTAAATTCTTTATAAGCATAAAGTTTTTTTTGTAAATTACTTTTCGTTATTGACGCTTGGCTTCGATGCAGATCAAATACATATGCTTGGGAGATATGAACAGACAGTGATTTGGTTCGTTAGACACCTTGAAGTTCCTCCACTTATACCCTTCCAATAAAAAGCTCAGCCTTTGGGGACTTTTTCCCCTGCTACTTTAATCACAATAAGGATTTGGAGGTGTACTTATTAAGAAATAAAGCTTTGGTCTACGACCAATGATTAGCACGGTTTTTGAATAATATTCTGGTGTTTTGATCTTTGGTTTTAAGTGATCTTTTTTGTAATATTCGGACAATTTGTGCTTTGTATATACGAAAAAGAGTATTGTTCTTTGCCTACAAATAGTAGAAATTCGTTTAACTCGATTGTTTTTGTTTTCTGTTTCTTTTTTAGTCAGTATCTTACCGTTTCGTGTGCCACTGGTTAGGAGTGTTATGTATATAATAGCATTCAGTCAATTAGTGGTTGAAAAAAAGCATTCTATCAATTTATCAAAGGTGAGGTATTAATTATTCAAAAAATTGCGCTCGGTTATGTTTCAAAATAGCGTTAGATTATATGGTTCTTTGCCAAACTTGGGTTTTGTTTTCTTTTATCGTCTTTTTTTTTAATTGGGAAAAGATAAGAAGGGTGGAAGGAATATATTCATTTCGAAGAAGAAATTCCAAAGCACCATAAAAAGATGCTTGAAGTTCAAGCAACCGTGGCCTCTATTTTTTAAACCGACTTACTTTATTTTCATTTAACTTATTTCTTTTTTCCGTTCTTAGTTTGCTTCAACAACAATTAGCTTTGCTTGGTTTAAAAAAAATATAAACAAGAACTTTGCTTTGTTTTCATAATTAAAAACATTAATCAAGAAAATTAAGAACATAAATGATTTTTTTTTAGAACTAGAACTTAAATGATACACACAAAAAATTAATCTTAAGGCCGTCTAATTGCTACGATATACCTCATATAACTACAAAAAAAATTCAAACAATCGGGGTATACTGATTGCCAAAAGATTTTTAAAAATGATACAAAATATAATATGTATATCTGTCGCGATAATAATGTGTGTATCTAAATTCACTCTGTAGGGGTCAAAAAGTCTAGTAAACATATTGCATGTAACTATGTAAATGTGGCTGTCCAAGTTTATACGGTTGGCATCTATCGCGGGAGTTCTATTTTCATCTTTTAATATTGTTGGCGCAATAAGAATCTATCTTTATTCATCAAAGAGGCGAAGAATTGATTCCAATTCTCATGCAATTTGAACTTTGAGTTATTATTATTTAAACTTAAAAGTTAACACCAGTTTTTTTTTTATCCTATACAGATTTGTGTGCAGTGGTTAATTTCTTGTACAAACAGTTCGTTTACCAGCCACAAAAATAATATATCTGGTAGAGAAAACATTGTTTCTCTCAAAATCTAGTTCAAACAAAAAATATTGTTTCTCTCCCACTAAAAAAAAACAAAAAAAAAAACAATGTTTCTAATTTAATTCAAGTAACTAATATCTGGAAAATGTATTACCATGTATAGCTGCACAATCGTCAGTCCTACAAAAGCCAAAAAGGGTTATAGCCCCAGCAAGCTTTAACCAGAAAATAAAATTAAAAATGAAGAAAGGAAGAAAACTATATGGTAAAATTAAAATAAAGAATAAAAGAGCTTTAATAAGTAGAAGAAGAGGTCCCCAACAGTAACACTATCTTTACACATTGATGCATAATTCTCCACATATATCTAAACCATGTATATGAATAACTTAAAGTTTTGGTTCCATATTCTTAGTTGTTTTTTTGGGATGCTTTAATTTCATATTCCTTCACTAAATATTGGGCTAGCATTGAACATTTCCCTGTTTTCCCTTCATACTTAATGCAATACATAAATTATATGCAAATTTTATATTCTAAGATCATATGCTCTCTTTTATTGTGTGCATATCAATCTCAGCCATATTCATTGACTTATTCTTGTTCTACGTAAATATACCATGGGACCTCCCACTCATATATATTAGGTTGACCATTTTACATGTATTTATTCATTCAATAAAACCAAATTGTTATAAATTATGCGATACTGAGCTACTTATAATTAACTGAATTGTATAAAAATAACTGCGTTCGTGTATTAATTTTACATATTTATTAATTATACGTAAAGACGATGATGTTCATCATCGTTTGTAAATAATATAGTTCAGTAGTTATCGTTAAATAAAAGGCTGATTTTCTACACGTTTGTATCGTCCGTAGTTGAAGCCTTGAAGGTCAATATTCTCGTTTGTAAATTGTAATTAATCACGTATATATGTCTTGATTAATTGTGGATGTAAACCACATTTAGATTAATCAATAAAAAGCGTTTTTGCTGTAGAAAAACGTTTTTGGATCATAGGTGCTAATATAAATTTTGTTTCAAAATATACGGTCTATTAATTTATGACGAAACTCATCATTGCTTATAATTATATATTCAGCCCCTAATCAGCCAAAAAGGTTTACCCTACCATAATGATAAATTACCCTTGTGGAATTTTTGTTTAGATATTTGTATGTAATGTATCCCGATTGCAATATATATATATAACGATGCAGACATAGTATAAGTCTAGTATACGACTGACTATCCTCGTGCGGTCTTAATTGAATAAAATATATAGGACTTTAATATATTCCACCTTTGAAATTTATATCATTCTTGTCGAACTTATTTCTACAGTTTTTTTTGCCAATAAAGTAAATATTTACAAAATCTCACATCCAAATCTAATATTAAAAACGATATTTAACACTCATTAATTAATAGTTTTTTTACAACAAACTATAATAGTAGTAGATAATAGTACAGTAAGTTCAGGATAATTTGAAGATATTTCAAAACATTTTAACGTTTATATATATCATAAATTGAAGAGAGAAAAAAGCTTTCCTAATTCTGTAAGAATTCATGCATATGTATTACATACACCTCCCATATCCTCTTTTTATGTGTATTTAGCTAACTCGTGTAAGATCTCTCATGTTAAGACTTACTTTAAAAAAATAATTCAGTATATAATAATATATGTGAATTGGATTCATATTTTTATTATAATATTTGTAATTAAAATTTGCACAATAATTTAAAGTAATTTGAGACAGACATGAATTACTTCACGTATACGTATATGCCCTTGCAGACATTTTATATTGAAAGTAATTCAAAGGTAATTCAAGCTGAGAGGATAAAAAAAAAACAATTGAAAAGATAGCGACAGTATCTTTTCACAAAGGAACGTCTGCGTACTAACGATAAAACAATACTAGTAATTATATTAAAAACTATTATTAATTTATTTTATTCACAAACAAAAAATAAAAAGAAGACGAGAGAGAGAGAGAAAGAGAGAGCAAAAAGCCGTCATCTGATCTCTTCAAAAACGCATCGTATTCTCTCACATTTTTGCATCACATTCGTTTCCTTGAATCCCTCTGTTAGAGAGAGAAAGAGAGTGAGGGAGAGAAAGAGAGAGAGAGAATGTTCCATGCTAAGAAACCTTCAAGTATGAATGGTTCATATGAGAACAGAGCTATGTGCGTTCAAGGCGATTCAGGCCTCGTCCTCACCACCGACCCTAAACCGCGTTTGCGGTGGACCGTCGAACTCCACGAGCGTTTCGTCGACGCCGTCGCTCAGCTCGGCGGCCCCGACAGTATGCACACCACCAAACACAGATATATTTATCTTTATCGATTTAACCCAAAAAAAACAAAATTACAAGTTCCTGATCGTTTTTCTTTATTATTTGCAGAAGCGACTCCAAAGACGATTATGAGAGTTATGGGTGTGAAGGGTCTTACTCTTTACCACCTAAAGAGCCATCTTCAGGTATGTACACAAATATAAATTAGGGCTCTCTTTCTTTCCTTGCTTTTAAGTTTCTCCTCTCTTTATCTTTTAAATTCTTTTCACTTAATATTATAATATACAAATTATTTGGATCTATGGGTGCAGAAATTCAGGCTTGGAAAGCAGCCACATAAGGAGTACGGAGATCACTCCACAAAGGAAGGTTCAAGAGGTGACCACTCTTTCTTTCTATATCATATTAGGGTTTTGAAATTACACATAATATATGTATGTATATATGTATATGTATGTTATCAGCCTTTTTCTAAAAAATACAAAATTTACCGTGTAGCTTCTGCCATGGATATTCAGCGCAACGTAGCTTCTTCTTCTGGCATGATGAGTCGCAACATGAATGAGTATATATCTTCTCTTCTAGTTAATTCTATATCTACTTTAATTTAATTTCTCTCTATATCAGCAGCAACTTACACTTGGTTTTATTTGATCAGGATGCAAATGGAAGTGCAGAGGAGGTTGCACGAACAGCTAGAGGTGATTGATTTATACAGATGTTTTGTGATATTTAACTCTTGAAAATATTAATTTTGATCCATAATATATCTTTTATTTAAATATTTTTAGGTGCAGAGACATTTGCAATTGAGGATTGAAGCACAGGGGAAGTACATGCAATCTATATTGGAGAGAGCTTGTCAAACCCTGGCCGGTGAGAACATGGCAGCAGCCGCCGCCGGAGGAGGGTACAAGGGCAATTTGGGAAGTTCGAGTCTTTCCGCAGCGGTGGGTCCACCTCCTCATCCTCTTAGTTTCCCGCCGTTTCAAGATCTAAACATCTACGGGAACACAGCGGATCAAGTCCTCGACCATCATAACTTCCATCATCAGAACATAGAGAATCATTTCACGGCTAACAATGCTGCAGATACCAACATTTACTTGGGGAAGAAGCGACCAAACCCTAGTTTTGGTAATGATGTAAGGAAAGGACTTTTGATGTGGTCTGATCAAGATCACGATCTTGCCGGAAACCAACCGATCGATGATGAGCATCGGATTCAGATACAAATGGCTACGCATGTCTCCACGGATTTGGATTCTTTGTCCGAAATTTACGAAAGGAAATCGGGTTTATCAAGTGATGAAGGGAATAATGGTGGGAAATTACTGGAAAGGCCATCGCCTCGAAGATCACCATTAAGTCCTATGATGAACCCTAATGGTGGACTAATACAAGGAAGGAGCTCGCCATTTGGGTGATACAATAATTAATTTTAATATATGTAATGCATGAGAACCTGAGAACGAATTATATATTTTTGTTCATTATGAGCTTGACTTAGGGTTTAGAGATGAGACAAAAAAAACCAAACAGAAGGTTTGTTATGTTTATCGGATTAGTTTTGCTCGTGTTTAATTTGTACTGAAACTACATATTATTTTTGTTGCTATAAATATATAGGATCTATTCTGTACTTATTGGTTATTTTCCAGTCAACTGTTTGAAATTGATTTTTTATATTGTTTATTCAGTAAAATGACCGGATGAGCCTATGATTTTTTTTTGTTTTATCACCCGCATAATTTTTTGGTGTGTTTTATGTTTATCTATTTTGGTATTGTATGTCTGATAACAATTTAATTGTGATTTTAATAAAATCCGCCATTTTATTATAATTTTTTGTACGATTTTCATAATTAACAGTCTTACCAATTAGAGGCATATACAAAAATACTAATTAAAGTAACATAGAGATAGCTTAACCAGAGTATATGTATTACATATAATATGCCTTAACCAGTATATATATCTCATGCATGAACGTAACATTGTACAGGACAAATAATGAACATTTATGGGTAGAGAATAGAGATCGCTCATGTTTCAAGGCATGTACGATAATTTAAAGCTTTTGAAGGGCCCTTTGCTTTTTCATGAGTTAGTTATTTCTATCTCAAGTTAGTTTGTACTTGATGCCTTATATATGATTACACTAAAATGGGATATCTGCATCGGGAAACTAAATTTCAAATAAAACTCAAAACTAAAGTTAATGGTAAAATTCATGAGTAACTAAGAAAAGGAAGGACAGAGCCAGTTATATAATGATGATGATCCCCATCAAAGCAAAAGGTTTTTAGGGTTTTGGGAAATCCACATGCAAACAGCACAAAAAGCTGTAAACTTTGATTCAAATGTATATAGTCACTTGATTTTTACATGTATACATGTAAGTATAAGTAAATATGTATGTGTGTGAAGAGGTTGATAGCTACAAGATCCTTTCCAAAAGAAATAAAAGAACTTGTCATAAGAGAAATTAACCGACACTGAGTATCTATCTTTCCTTCCGTAGATATCTTTGTTCTTTATTCTTTTCTTTCTTTTTTGCTTCATATGACCACTAATTAGTACACATATCTACTATATATATCTATTATATATATATATACAAAAATGATGATTAGTGCATTCAGTCTTAACTCTTGAATTTTTAATTATATACATGAAGTGTAAAAATCAAAAGTTTTTCCTTGATAACGAATGATTTTTGTTTACTCGATGCATCCAGTTAATTAGCCGCAACAAAATTCAAATTACGGCTCATATATATGCAATTAGTTTATAACTATATATGTACTACTGATCAACTTTGTTGGTTATAGAGAGAGAAAATGTAAAGATCTGGTCATCACTGCAAGTTGGCATGTAAAAGAGAAAGCTCTCTCAGTCTCTCTATCTCTAAAAGCTGAGAAAAACAAAAGGTAGAAAGAGGAGAAGAAGGAGAAGCATAGATAGAGAGAGATACAATCGTAACGCACTCCCATGTGTGCACTTCTCGAGGAAGCTTCTCTTCTCCTTTTACCTACGCCCCCACACTTCCCTCTAATTACGTTCCTCTGTTTTTCTCTATTATAAAATCTATTTTAATTATTAGATTAAACCAATCATTTTGGCGTTTCATATACTCCATATCCAGGCATTTTATCCAGGTTCTATGTTTTGAAGTTTCGTGCTTATGCACAAGTAAAGAAACTTGCTATATACAAATATACTTGAAAATATCATACAATAGTTTATAGTATTCTTTTTAATTATTAAATCAGTAGCCTAGGTGTGGTTCAATACCCATTATGTCATATATAACCAACTCATGTAGTACGGTTGAAACTTGACGGGTGCATACTGGGTTTGGGAAATTAGAGTCATTTCCCTTAATTTTGACATAGTTAATTATTGTAGATGTTTAAATAATATCCAGTTTTTCTCAAGATTCAAAGATTAGTTTAGACAATCCGGAATACCCAAATATAAATATAGTAAACAATATGTCGTCATTTGTGAAGATGCATAAATCATATAAATATTGGACATGGAATGAGAGTGATGCATGTTTAATGAATATTCTGTTGCAAGAAAATCACACCAAGCCTTAAGCCCTTAAGTTAACTACGAGAACAGGCTTTTAATATTTATCCATCTCACTCAGTTACTTTTTGCGCATTTCACATGCATAAACGTGCATGTGATCGTAGCTTTACTTCTATATCATATTTTTAAATTAAAATAATAATAAAAGTTAATGTTTGTACGCATATCATATGGTAATTATTATGGCTGTTAAGCAAACTAAAGTACTTATTATAAATAAATAAATAAAAGTAGTAAAGGGAACGGTCTCATGGATGGTCTATGCACATTCTTCCATGCAACTTAAATACAATCATCTGTAGGCACCTCATTACGATTTCAGACCTTGGATTCCATTTTATACATCTTCAATTTTTCAAACAAAAAAAGGGGGATATTATACTTCTTTTTGATATTTTATATTTTTGAAAACTATACTTTATCTTTGGTATGTGTTGATGTTGAATGCTCTCTTAACAAAGTAAATTCCCCCGAAGAAAATCAAAAAAAGAAAGAACACATTCCCAAAGCTTTTTTTGTTGTTGTTCTTTCTTTTTTCTGATATAAAATGTACCATTAGTTCTAACTAACTGTTTTTTTCCCAAATACATCAAACCTATTTTACGCATATACGTTGATAAGGACAAATATAATTAATGTATTTGTTATATTGCGTGGTGAGAGAAAGATGAGAAAAGCCCATATGTATATCTTCTGAACGATCCCCACTTTCTAACTCCATATAAGTTAGAGAGACCTTTTACTATTTGGGCTTAATACAATGCCCATTAAGAGAGATATATCTCCCACATTTGCATTTTATATTGGTGGGCCATTAAGAATTGATGTCTCAACCCGAATCCAATATTAGAATATTTGTCATTATCATACAACCCAACACAACAAAAACATTAATTCTTAAGATTTTATAGAACAAAAATGTACATATACCATCACTAAACCAACCCGCCAATAATTTGTTTTTATGGTTATCAAATTAGTCCACATTTACCGGGAATTTACATTACTGTAAATATTATTACTGTTATCATCTTCAAATATATCGGCGGGAGGAATAAAGGAATCTAATGAAAGCCCAGGCACATCGAAAACGACGTCGTCTATCCTCCAGATCTCCTCCATCCTGGTCCTGCTATACTGCAACGACGTCTCTCCGAATCGAAACACCGTCGCGACGGCACGGCCACAATGCGCGACAGCGACTCCGTCAACGTCGCGGTAATCCCCGATACTACTTCCGATTGTCGTCTCCCAGTAAACAGCCTCGTCCTCCGGCGAGATCGTCGTGACCCTAGTGAGGTGCGAATCCTCCAAATAGATCAGTAGACCGCTCTTCTGACAGAAATATCCGTACAGTGCGTGACGTATAACCTCAGCCGGAGCTCCGGCGTCGTTCCGCTCTATCAACGAGTTACGATCGGCGGAAACTTTGAGGACGAAACAGTCATCGTCGCCGATTCTCCTCTCGCCTAAGCATTGGGCCTTTGCAAATAGGCCTGCTGTAGTTTTTGGATCCAAGCCCTGTAGCCCAATTACAAAAGAAACGTGTTTATTAAAAAAGTGATTAAAAAATTAACCATACATTAATGTAAGTTTGGGTGGTTATACAATTCAAATAAATTATAGCAAAACAGAAATGTTGTCCGACAAATATTCGTTGCGGTTTGAACGACAATAACAATAAAGCAAAAGATTTAAAAGAAAAAAAGATAAAGTCGAAAGACAAACTTTGATAATCCCAAGAAGTTCCCCCACTTTGAAATTGAATGAATGTAAGATCGTATTCAAAATAAAACATGCTTATATAGTACATTATACTGTTTAATACACTCTGATATATACAAATTTAACCAATAATTGTACACAGTTGCCTAACAAAGCGTTCTGACTCTCTGACGTTATATTTCAGTATACTTTTTTACTTGTGAAATAAAAATAAAATGTACTATATAATATATATCACCCCGGCGATGAAAATTTAGGAAAATACCTCATACCTTACTAAAAAAGGAACTAAAACGGAAATTATTAGGGAAACATAGACAGATATCTAGTAAGTATGTCTTCGTTTTAACGAATATGCATTTCAACAAAACAATTTTCACAGATGACGTCACGTGACAGAAAAGGAGAAACCACGTGTGGTGGCGGGAGAGTCAAGGAGTGGGTAATGTGGGGTTTAGTTTGATTTTGAAGTTTCAAAAGAGGGCAAAGAAAGAAGGAGACAGCTTCTCCATCACTTGTCAGGTTATACATTTTTATTAGCTTTCGTTTCTAATTGGACAACGACTACTCTTTTTTCCTTCCACCTCCTTATCTCTCGAACAATCTTATGACGTCATCTCTCTTTTTCTTCTTTTACCAAAGTATATTCAATTATTTTCTCTAATCATTATTTCGAACTTAAAAAATAGACCATTCCAAGAAATATTATCATAACCTAGAATTCTAAAAATACCACAAACGTTTTTAAAATGTGGTCAAGTTATCTTATAAACATTTTATAATTCTATTAAAACCTTTGCTTTGACTCAAAATTTGTGTGTTTTTTTCCCTATAATTTTCCCCCAAATAGTCGATAAATATATAATTTTTTAACTAAAATTTGTTTATGTAGTATTTATCAAAACTAAATTAATTACCTGGATGAGACGACGAAGTGGACGTTGAGGGCCTTTAGCGGCGTGAGTACCGAGCCAAGGCGTATGGCGCCAAACGGTTTTGCCGTCGGAGCCGGAGATGAGTTTAGTGCCACCGAGAACAAGCTCGAGAGACCACATCCCAGGCTGCATCTGCCACAATACAAAACAACCGCTATCTCCGCTCCGACCGTTTCCGCCGCCGCCGAGTGTCTTCACACTCTTACCGGCGGCAATCTCCGTCTCACAACAACTCATTTTCATTATCCCCGTCGCGTACATATTCTTCGCCGCCTTAGCTCGCTTTAGACATCCCGTCGCCGCTAAGTATTGTTGTATTATATAATGTGCCGTCGACGTCTCCTACATGATATATACATATATGAATAACTAATAATAAATCCATTTGCATAAAGAGTTTGCATAATTAGATGATAAAGACACTATTGTGAATAATTGAAATGGCTAACATTACTCGGTTATTCCTAAGGTTCTAGATATCAGCTTGGACTTGGTCTGGAATCTACCGATCTAGGATTCATTTTGAGATTATGTTTGATATAAATTAACAAAATGAAAAGAAAGTCTAAAGTTGAGGTCTAGAGAGGGATTAAATAGTAATACTCACAAATGGGACATTCTTTATTTGGAAAGAAGCAAGAGGAGGGTCATCGGGTAATAGATCGGAGAGGACGACGGATATTGGAGCAAGAGGACAACCCAAGACGCCGAGCAAGAGCCTCAAATCTTGTCCCTTCGCCGCCACGTCATAACTGTTGCAAAGTGGTTGTACGGAGGGAGAAGACATATTTCCAGAAATACCCTTGTGAACCTTGAACCATTCTCTAATCGCTTCCCATGAGCTCTCCTTCTTGGCTCTCTCGTCTTGCATGTCTGGATCTGGTCCTTCCATTAATGGCGTTAGAGCTTGTGGTGGCGTCCCCCATCTCTGTTTTCTCCAGTATGATTTTGAGTTGCTCATTATAATCTGATGATACCAAAGAGAGTGATTTATGATGATCAGTGTGATGTTTCTGAGTTTGGGGTTTGAATATCTAATAGAATGGGTTTTTGTAATGGAAAGAGATTATTAGCATATGTTTATATACAGAGAGGCGTAAATATGTGTGAGTGTATGTGTGTGGAGAGAGACAAAAGGGACATTTTATCAGTCTAGGGGTCCCAAAAAATTAACATTATATTTTTTGTATTCATCGGAACAAGCTTATAGTTAGTTCGAATATTGACATTAAAAAAATAGAATTTGGACATTTTAAGATTTCTTTTGCAAAATAATTGGCGAATACATAAGCTGGTTACAGGTTAATATATGTAAATATGCATCCAATAAACTATGATGTAGGATGAACAATTTTGATTCTACAAAAAAGTCATTCATAGCAAATTTTTGTCTATCTTGAAGAGATAATGTACCGAATTTACCAATTGTTATTCATACGTGGAAAGGAAATATTGAACAGCGACTAATAACATGGAATAAAATCAGTGTGTCATGTGAATAGATCCGATCCGTGCAGCTTCTTTTTGTACACTATGGGCTCTCCTTTTGAGTCTTCGATCACACACTTTTTTGGTCCTTCAACTTTGAATTGTATATCATTTTAACTCGATTAGCATACGATCTTTGTCTTGTTCTTTCGAGGATATCTATGCTAATTGTTTAATTTAATTGTAATTACGATCTCTAGGTATGATCTTTCTTGGAAAATGACACCACACCCAGTGATAGTACTGTTGATTAATGAAATTTTGTATATGTCTTAATTTTATCAAATAAGATGTTGTGTCTTTTGATAAAGGTCCCATAGAAAAGATAGTCACATACCCTTTTTTTTTTTCCTTTCATTCTCCGGATGTCTTGGGATTCCAACTCACTTAATTTCATCATGTAAAACCAAAATAGTGACCACAAAATAATTTATGCATATAAAAATTGTACGAGATTATATGGAAATATAGAATAAATTAATGATCAACAGCTTCAACACCTACAAATTAAATAAAAAAATATCATAGAACCCCAGTAAATATAAAAATAAATAAATAACATAATTCATGTGTTCGAATAGGCATTGCATTCAACACAAGGTGGCAAGTCACCAGTGAGAATGGTGGCGGTAGATGTAGATGGATAATCTTATAAGCCAAGATTATAATAATTTATTTCACTATTCAGTTTGATACTCCCCTTTCTTTATTCGTTATTGTTTTTTTTATCAAAAATAAAATAAATTCTTTGGGAGAGATGGTAAAAGACTTAAGAGGTCAAGTTTCACCCTTTTTCTGCAACAAGTGGAACTGTGGAAGCACAACAACATGTCTGTGAATGAAACCGTAGACGTCTGATTACAGTTTAAGTTTGAGCTAACCTACTAATGGGCTTTTACAGCCCATATATGAATCTACTACACACATGCTTCATTGGTCATAAAATATATGTATGTCGTATGGGCTAGTCTGGATTTGCAGGTAAATATAAATGAATTTATTATTTACATGCTTCAATTATTGGCTAGAAATTAATCCTATTGAAAAAAAAGAAGAACAATATACAAACAAATCTCAAACAAGTATCATTTTAAGATCAGGATCTTCTGAGTCTTTGACCACACATTCTATGCCAGATTTGGTATTTTCTTCACAAATAAAATTTGAGATTACAGGTTATATACTTGCCAAGTACTAGTTGATTCTTTATTTTTCATGCAAATAATTCTCACATCCTCAGAGAAAAGTCAACTGAAGTGAGCAACAATGGCGGATTCATCATCAACAGTACCATTGTTGACCCGGATTGAAGATGAAGACACTTCTCCGCCTTTGAATTTCGACAAGATCTTCGAACAGAGCTTGTCTGGTTTCGGGCTCTCACAGTTCTTACAGATAATTCTTGTCGGGCTTGCCTTAACCTTCGATTCGCATCAGATATTCATTACCGTCTTCACAGATGCTTATCCCACATGGCACTGTCTCGACGACTCGATATGCAATGCCGCAACCTCCGACATCTGTGAGATTCCCCGGTCAGCCTGGGATTGGGACGGCGGATTCAAGGGTAAATCCGTCATTTCAGAGTTTGATCTCGAGTGTTCGAGCTCCTTCCTTAGAGGTCTCCCCACAGCTACTTTTTATGTGGGGTCTATCGTTGGAGGGGTTTTCATGGCTGCAATCCCAGATGGTTTCTTGGGACGGAAGCAACTTCTTTTCTTCACCACTTTAGCAATGTCACTCACTGGAATCTCAATTTTCTTCTCCTCCAGCATATGGATCTACGCTTTGTTAAAGTTCGTTATCGGATTCGCGCGTTCCCAGACCGGGACGTACGCGTTCAATCTGATCAGCGAGCGAGTTTCCACCAAATGGAGACCGCGAGCTACTATGATTCCGTTTACTCTGTTTGTGTTAGGGCTCATGTCGCTGTCTGGAATCGCCTACCTTGTTAGACACGCTTCTTGGAGAGTTCTCTATCTATGCACATCCGTTCCAGCAGCCATCCACAGTATTTTCCTCTATTTCTTCGCCTTGGAGTCTCCTCGTTGGCTCCATTTGCAAGGGAAGAACGAAGAAGCCATTGAAGTGCTCAAAAGAATTTCACCTGCAAACAGAGGCTACTTGGAATCAATATCTTCTAGGTTACCTCCAAAAGAAACGCTAGAACAAGCTCCTAGCAGCTCAATCGAGGACTTGTTCATCCGAAAGTGGGCTTTTCGAAGAATCGTAGTCGTAATGATCATAATGTTCGGGATGGGAATGATGTATTACGGAGTTCCATTAGCAGTCAGAGACATAAAAGTGAACATCTACTTGAGCGAAACCCTAAACGCAATGGTGGAGTTACCGACGTTTGTTATCACACCAATCTTGCTGGAGAAATTCAACAGAAGAAGCTCTGTGCTTGTGAATTGCCAAGTCGGAGGAGCATTAGGAATGCTCTGTTTCGTCCTGACCCATTTCGGGAAAACGAACATCGCTTTTGCCCTAGAACTCGGTTCTTTCTTCTGCGCTAGGATCGGATTTAACTTAATGGCAGTTTATATGATTGAGATGTTCCCAACATGCGTGAGGAATTTTGCGACGACTATGCTAAGGCAAGCGCTTGTAGTTGGAGGAGCTTGTTGTCCAATCATTGCTTCGATTGGAAGAAATGTTCCGTCCCTCTCCTTTGCGGTTTTCGGGTTTACAGTGTCGGGTCTCGGGTTATTCGCTTTGCTTCTTCCTGAGACTAAAGGGTCAAGTCTTTGTGATACAATGGAAGAACAAGAGCAGAGTGACCAAGCCTTGAAGAATGAAGACTAGCCATTGTTAATGTTCCGTGTATTTTAAATGTGAAGGTGAAACCTAAAAGGTTTATTGTATATCTTTGATAAATCGAACCATTTCGACCATTTATTATCAGTATCGTTAGTTAAGGTATGTTCTCCGTTGGTCGTGTGCTTCTCTATGGATCCCTTCTCGTCACAAATCTGTTGCTAAATAAAAGAAAACTAAAATAGTCTCTTTGGCGGAAACAGAAGTCAGAATTGTGAATTACAGTTTTTTACCTCCCAAAAGAGAAATACGAAGCAGAGTATACAGATACATGGACTAAAACATGTCATTTGAATAAAATTTATCCGTGGGTAGTGGATAATTTTTGTCCAATTCAAGTTTTAGCTAACCTGTTAATATTATACTTCACAGCCCGTTTTAATTTTTTAAACGAGTAGACGTATACATATTGATGAATATGTATGTCGTATGGACTTACGTAAGCAAATGTGTATTTATGCAGATGCGATTATTCTTCAATTATTGGTAAACATTACAGATTGCGATCTTTTGACCACATAATACAAGATTTGAATTTTCTTCGTTAATACAAATTCAGATTCCAGTTTATATATTTTTCTGTTTGGTTTTTAATGTTAAGAAGGGTGTATGTAGTAATAGTATAATAGAGACTATAGAGTGCGAAAAGTGAGCAACAATGGTGGATCCGTCAGCACCATTGTTAGAAAATGAAACAACCTTTTGCCTGAATTTCGACAAGATTGTCGAAAAGAGCTTGTCGGATTTCGGGATCCTACAGATTTTACAAATAAGTTTTGTCGGGCTTGCCTTCGCTTTCGATTCGATGCAGACATTCATAACCGTCTTCACAGATGCATATCCCGCGTGGCACTGTCTCGACCAGACGATTTGCAATCCGGCAGCCACCGACATCTGTGGGATACCTCGGTCAGCCTGGGATTGGGACGGCGGTTTCAAGGGTAAATCCGTCATTTCAGAGTTCGATCTCGAGTGCTCGAGCTCCTTCCTCAGAGGTCTCCCCACATCGGCTTTCTATATGGGTTCTATCGTTGGAGGGCTTTTACTGTCGACGATCCCGGACGGTTTCTTGGGACGGAAGCAACTACTTATTTTCTCAACTTCAACAATGTCACTCACTGGGATCTCAATTTTCTTTTCCTCCAACATATGGATCTATTCTTTCTTGAAGTTCGTGATAGGGTTCGTGCGTTCTCAGACTTGTACCTACGCGTTAGTTCTGATATGCGAGCGAGTTTCCACAAGGTGGAGACCGAGAGCTACTATGATTCCGTTTACTCTGTTTGTGTTAGGGTTCATTTCGCTGTCCGGGGTCGCCTACCTTGCTCAACACGCTTCATGGAGAGTTCTCTATCTATGCGCATCCGTTCCAGCAGCCATCCACAGTATTTTCCTCTATTTATTCGCCTTAGAGTCTCCTCGTTGGCTCCATTTGCAAGGGAAGAACGAAGAAGCCATTGAAGTGCTCAGAAGGATTTCACCTTCAAACAGAGGTTATTTGGAATCAATATCTTTAAGGTTACCTCCACAAGAAACGCTAGAACAAGCTCCAAGCTACTCGATCAAGGACTTTTTCATACGAAAATGGGCTTTTCGAAGAATTATGGTTATTATAATAATTATGTTTGGGTTGGGAATGTCGTATTACGGTGTTCCTTTAGCGGTTAGAGACTTAAAAGTGAACATCTATTTGAGCGAAGCCCTAAACGCAATGGTGCAGTTGCCTTCGATTGTTATCACACCGATCTTGCTGGAAAGATTTAGCAGAAGAAGCTCTGTGCTCGTCAATTCTTTACTCGGAGGAGCAGCAGGAGTGCTCTGTTTCGTCATGAGCCTTTTCGGTAGTACAAAGATTGCTTTCGCGCTCGAACTCGCTTCTTTCCTCTGCGCGAGGATTGGGTTCAATTTGATGGCAGTTTACATCATCTAGCTGTTCCCGACATGTGTGAGGAATTACGCAACAACGATGCTTAGGCTAGCACTAGTGGTCGGAGGAGCTTTGTGTCCGATCATTTGCTTCGATTGGAAGAAACGTCCCATCGCTCTCATTCGCGGTTTTTGGATTCGCAATGTCCGGTTTTGGTTTATTCGTTTTGCTTCTTCCTGAGACCAAAGGTTCAAGTCTTTGTGATACAATGGAAACACAAGAGCAAAGAGACCAAGCCTTGAAGACTCGCCATTGTTGTTGATAACAGAGTTCATGGACCCGAACCGTTTAGCCTTGCTTAATCCTTTTTAACTTCCATTATCATTTTCCCTTTGTTCCATACGTGAAACTTATAATTTCGTATGATAAACTGAACCATTTCGTTTCCAATTCCAGTTTTGGTTGTTTTTTAATAAACTCTAAAAAAACATGCGCAAGAAATTAAAGTGAAAGATGGTTTCTGCTGAAACTAAAAAAATGTTTGCTAAATCATTGCTCAAAAAATAAAACTAAGAAATGTTTGCTAATCATCTATAAAGCTATCATGTGAGTGTCTTTGTCTTTGAACAACTAATACAGACGCATTTACATCTAAAGATGAAGCCAAGAAGTCACCGACAGTTCCGAGCTCCGGACATTCTTCCCAGTCTTTCATTCTCACTGTCATTGGGCAGTCTCCTCTGCTCTTGCCGACCACAAACAGTGAGTACATCTCTCCAATCTCTCTTAGAATCGTTAGCGTATGCGGTCCGCTGCTCACACGCTTCTCTATGAACGCCACTTGTCCCGTTGTCACAAATCTATTTCAAAATCAAAATCAAGAAATCAAAGAATGATATTTTTAGCTCAGACAAGAGACAAAAAAAGCAGAGAAAAAAGCAGAGTATGTACATAAAACGGAGCATGGCTAAACAGAGTAATGAAAGAAAAAAACAGAGTAATGGAAGAAAAAAAACAGAGTATTTAGAATCAAAGTATTAGGTAAAGGTACCTGTTATAGAATTCTTCTAAGAAACTCCGATCTGTTTCATGTTCAGTTTGATCTCTTCCCAGAACCTCGATAAAAACCTCGTTATTATCTCTTGTTGTCGCGTTCCCAATTGGAGTCTCTGCCTCTGAATCCTCGGAGATGAACTGTATGATTGTGAGGTGAATCAGAGTGTTGTTGGCGAGCCACTTGCACAGAGCTAGAGCCTCACGATCATCCGGACCACCAAAGAACAACGCCGCCACGTGTTGTACCGAATCAAACCCGTGCGGCTGTTGAAATCCGGTTATGTTTCGGTCCACAAATATACCGATCGAACACGGAGCGTGCCTTAGAACATTCCGGTTCATCTGCCGGAAAGTTTCCCCATCGTTTGTAGTCTTCCCATCGATCCTTTGGTGTTTATGGAACGGAAGAAACACAATCGAAACTCGGAGATCTTCTGTTGCGTTACAGATCTCTTCGTGCATGTTAAGCATCTGCGTCACGAGTTTCACCTGCTGGATCAAGATCTTACTGTCTTTAGCAAACGAATCAATCGAATCGTTAATTTCTAAACCTTCATTGGTCCCGAATTCATCGTCTCCGTTCACATTTCCTCCATCTTCATCGTGCTCGTGATACAACAATTCCGATTTCCGTTTCTTCGGGAGTGGTACGAGGTGCATAAGCAAAGGCGTGAACGGCTTAGAGGCTCCACGAGATCCGCTCAGGGCCGAGATAAGAGAGATCGAACCACGAGCGGTGCGGACTCCGTAAACGCATGATAAAACGCGTAATTCCTCGTTCGTGTCGTGAGATTCAAGCGAAGTTTTCTGGTGAGCGAAGTCTTTCTCTCTTGCTTTGAGCAAGAAGGACGCAAGGACACCGCTTACCAGCGTCGAGACCACCAAAGCAGCCACCATCATATCATGAATAGTTGTGGTCCACCATTTCTACATACAGATTCACACAAAGAATGTGACAAAAAAAAAACACGAGTATAATAATACTCAACTATATAGCCAGATTATTCTTGAAAACTTGATGAATGTTACCAAGAATAACAAGTTCAATAATACCAAATAACATTGTAGGTTATCTTTGATATTTTATATCAAAACTCTTTTTCTATCTTAACTGTTCTTAACAAAATGAAAACCCTAGCTAAAACGTGTAACCTTATTTTTTTGTCGTCGATTGTGAAAACCCTTTTTCTATCTTAAATCTATTAGTGATAACACACCCTAAAATGAGATTTACTGTGAAGATTATATAAATGAGGAACATACCTTTTCGGTGAAGTTTGCGTCGAGAATAAGAAGACCCACATGGCCTTTAACAGAGAGGATGGTTGGTAAGAAAAGCCAATATTTCTTGGGGATCTTCAGGTATATACAAGCGCTTATAACACCAATAAGTTTCCCAGCTAAGCTTAGAATCACTATAATAACGAGACCGAGGTAATAGCGTTGGGTTAATGCGGTGATGCTGAATCTGAATCCGATGTAACCAAAATAAACCGGAAGAACAAATTCGTAGATCGGGTAACTAAGCCGTTGAATCAACGTTCTGTGAGTCTTTCCTTGTCTTGGAAACAGTATTCCAATGGCGAAAACCGAAACCGCTGAATTGACATCGTAGGATTCGATTGTTATGGCGATGATGAGAAGGAAGATGAAGAAGACTAAAGTTTCAGCCTTTGAGAGGTATTTCTCTTTAGGGTTCCTCTTTGGGAGCCATGGAGCTAGAAACCTGTTGAGCAAGACTAGGGCTCCAGTAGCGAAAATAAATAGGACGAGATCACCTATCATAGATCCAGAGATGATCGCGATGACTACAGTGTAGATGACGACGTTCGTTATTTCGATGAACAATGCACAGGACATTGTGAGCCGTCCGATCTCAGATGTGTTGAGTTTCCAGTCAGCGATTGAACGGAGGACGACGGGAGATGCCGCGTTGCACAATGTTATGAGAAGAACCAAGAAAAACGTAAAGCGATCTTCTTTGATATGAAACAAAGGGATGAATATCAGTAAGGAGGCGAGGCTGAGGAGACCGCAAGCTACCAATGAGCTAAACGCTATCGTGGCGGCTTTTTTGAAATTTCTTTTCATGAAATGTAGATCGACTTCAAGACCAATCAAAAACATGAAAGATGTTCGTAAAACGAATGAGAAGAAAGAGTAATAAGCTGCTGCGTTTTTCTGGAGAAAGAATTCTTTAACTTTTGGGATTCTTGAGAGCAGAACCGGACTCAGCACAATCCCAGCCTGAAAAATCCAATTAAAACAAAAAAAAAAGTTAGAAAGTTCTGAAAGCCCTAAAAACCGGATGTTTCGTGTGACGCAAGGAAGAAAATTTGCTTACAAGAATCTGGGCAACGGGACCAGCTTGGCCACAGGGTTTAAGAAGGAGATAAAACAATTGAGAGAAGACGAGAATGCAGGCCATTTGAATAAACATGGTGTTAAGGGGATTAAACAATTCATCTCCCTGTGGCAAACAAAACAACAGCTTTGGATCCATCTTTTTCTTGATTCGATGATCATGAGCATTCTTCAAGCGTTGCGATGGGAATAAGATCACACACACACACAAAAAAACGTTATGTTGAGGGAAAGAAATTGAAATTGTTGTCTAAACCAAGAATTTATATTTTCCGAGGTAAATTATAAATAAAACTAATTAGTTTATTTTGGTTGGAGTTGATTAGGGATTTACAATTACTTGACCATCCTTCAATTACTCGACGCCTCTATTTTTTTCCTTGGCAATCGGATTAAGTAGACTAAAATCAGAAAATTTACGTCAAAAAGTTACGAAAGAATTGGTTATTATCTGGTCAATCAAGAGATTCACAATACACCATGACTACAAAATTCCTTTTCTTTTTCTCTTCCACTTTTCTTCTATCTACATTATTATTATAATTATATTATTATTATTATTCCTCCTGTTGTCAAAATGACATTATAGGGGGTGTTCCTGACCGAAAACAAACTATGTATACCGTTGTTGTCATGAAACAAACTATAGGTGGTAAAATATAATTTATGAACTGTTAGGGGCAAAAACTGAAACTTAAGAACAATTGGGAGAATAGATAAATATATAGAAAATTATGAGTTCCTTGCAATTACGCTAAAGTGTGAACCTGTAACTGAAACTCGAAATCAAGAACCCTAGAAACCCCCGGTGAAAAAAACGGTGACTCAGGGGGATAGAGAAGGAGAAAGAGAGAGAGAGAGAAGGAGAAAGAGAGAGAGAGAGATGTCGTTCTTGTATGAGAAGAGCGATTCGTGGAGATGGCTAGTGAGGAAGACGCGAGATTCTAGATCTTTCTTCTTCACGTTCGCTACCTTCTGCGGTGTCATTCCGGGAATAATTGGGTATGGGGTTATGCAGGTCACCAATTCCACAAACCCGGAGCTTGAGGCCCGTCTCCGACAATCCGCCCGACCCGAAACTGTCGTATGTATCGCTCCTATCTCTCCTGTGTAACGTTTCCTGCATTTCTACTCAGAAAATTTGTCCGTGAATCATCGGATCTAAAAATATGTTTTTTTTACTACAGAACTAGACATTAGTCGGATGTAAAGTAGCACGGTTTCGCTGGTTCAAAATTCCATAAGTAATTGGTAGTCTGTGCAAGTTCTTCATTTAGTGTTTATGATAACTGTTGTGTGATAGTAACAAGTCATTTGTCTCCTGTTGATGCTAATCGGAAACATATCCCTATGTTAGTAATCTAAGGTTGGACTTGTTAAACATGAAACCATGTTAAATCCTCATTGACGTTGATTCTAGCTCGTCATAGTGCTCTTCAAACTTTTTTTTTGTGTGTATTATATTGTGCTGATGAACAACATTTGCCTGATGGGCAGATGATGGGTAAAGTGAACCAGGAGAGGCTAGCTGAATATCTGGGAGAGTTGAAGCAGAAGCAGGATACAAACGACAGATACGTTGCTGCTCTAAGAGGAGAGACTCTTACCAGGAAGCCTTACCAAAGAATTCAACCAGTGCCAAAGCCAAATGACACGGTGACAACCAAACCTCAGTAATGATGATTTCTAAGCCTCTCACTCTCGAACCTTTCGTCGATGTAAAGATGGCATGTTTCTTGGCCCTACTTCTTTTTTCTTTAATATGTCATACTTTGTGGTTTTCAAACTGGTACAACCTTCAGTCACTACAAACGTTTTGTGATGGTGAATAAAAATGTAAAACCCATGTTTCTGTACATTGCTTCTTCATTCTTGTTTGCAAGTTAACGTTTATAGTACATAGGATACAAGCTGATTCTGTTACATTGTGAGAGACACTTGGTAAACGAAACAGTAGATTCTAAAAACTGGAGAAAGACAATATGTGCAAACGTTTTGTTATGTGCAGACAAGAGTTTGTCAGCATCGATCACGTGTAAAGCCGTAGCCGGCTAGTGATCAGTACTCTGCAGATGGGGCAGTTTGATATCCTGGATCCGCAATCTCCACATGTCTGCAAGAAACAAAGAAAAATAAACTTGCAAAGGTCAAGAAACTGGTTTTGTTCGTAATAGATAGGAAAAGAATTTGTGAGTGAAACAAACCATGTGACCACAGCCGAAAGCCACGTCTTTCCGGTTAGTCAGACAAATTGGGCAACTCTGTTTCAACGGAAAAAAAACAATATGAGATGAGATTTGATTAGAGAAGGCATCAACAGAGTAAGCAATTTCTGGGACTTGCCTGGGCTTGTTCGTCTGATGCAGATGATGGTAGATCAGTACTTATTGGAGGCGTGTAAGGAATCGGTGGTGGCCTCGGGTTTATTTTCTTGGCTAAGCCCGTCGATTTCCTTAAGAGCAGCAGAAGCAGTTAGACAGAGCTCTGTTCTGTATTCTTGGAGGATATCAAAAAGAGAAGTTAATTATGGAAGTACCCGAGTAAGCTGAGCTCGATTGCTGCTTGATATTGAAAGGGAATCTCCATCAGAGCAGCAAGAGCAAAGGCAGTTTCTTTGGCGGACGCTGGTGAATCTCTCTTCATAATCTCTGTGAAATTCACAAACTTTGCAAGAGAGCAGATCAAGATCAAGAAGAAACTCGAAGAAAGGGAATAATAATAGATGGAGAAGAATATGGAACTGAGATGATACCTGAAAGTTGTCGAATTCACGCTTAGGGATCTTGTCATCAAACTTCCTCATGTCTTCCCATGGCCCATCTCCAACACCGATTAAAATAATCGACAAAGCATACGAGCTGCAAGGTTAAAAGATACCGGTTAGGTTCTGGAAAACAGAGTTGCGGAAATGAAAGAAAAACCGATTTGCATGTTATTATTTCACCTCGCGTTTACAATCGCGTCGATGGTTGTTTTCTCTTGTTGGCTGAGTTCTCCCTCGGCCATATCCAAACCTCTCGTTACCTTCACGTTCAGAAGGTGGCCTTACATGGTTTTAGTGTTCATGGTTTTATTTTCTTTTTAAAAAGCTCTAAACTTTACCTGCCCATCAGCTACAATCACCAGAACATGAAATTGTCCTTTGTTCTTCTCGACAATGTCGACAGCAGCATCGATGAGAGGTCCATACGAAGTCGGCCCTTTTGAACAACAGATTTTGCTAAAATGGCAATGGAGGAGGCAGTAGAGATTTTACTAAAGAGGTATGAAGTTAAAAAAATGAAAGACCTGATAGACGCAAGTCAGGTGCGATTCTCCTGTAACATGCTAAGACCTCTTCGAAGCCGTGACATGGAGAATTGTCGCTGTGGAAACCGAACACTTCCTCGTCATGCGTCGTTGCTGGATGATACAAGAAACACACAGTCTTAGAAACAAGGATTGAAGATGAGATTTTTGGTTAATATATAAAAATCTTACAATCGCCAAAACCGAAACAAGGGATGAGATTGTCTTCGTCGAAAGGGGCCAATGTTTGGCCGATAACAAAAATCGCCTTTTCATATGGATTCGGAGTATCACCGAGCTCGTGCAGACATTTTCCTTGGAAAGAAGTTTTCCCTGACAACAGAACGATACTCTGTTACATTCAAATAACTGTCTGCGAATAATTACAGTAAGTTGTATTTATACTTACCAGTCCATTCGTTGCTCTTTGTGAAATCAATTCCGAGAATGAGGTTGGATGATTCAAGACCAGCTTCTCTTAGAGCTTTTGATACCTTTTTAAAAACACCATCGAGATAGCTCAAGAACAAAGTGAACAAACCCTTTTTCAGACATTTTTACTTCTTTTTTTTGTTTGTCAGAAAAGTTATCAAATCCTTTTATATCGAAATGTCAACGAAATTGAGGAGAGGAAAAAGTAAAATAATCATTCTTAAATTATTAGACTTTGAAGAACTCAAAGTACATGGAAGTAAAAGTCAAGCCAACACCAGTTATTGAGGGAGGAAAAACGAACCTGATCAAGTGAAGAGAAGCGATCAGGGATCAGAGCGTACTTCTTCTTGGCGGCGTTGATCTTGTCGGAAACGGAGATTGAAGAATCCGACGGTGATGGTTCATTAGAAAGAGACGACGTCGTTCTGTCTCTAAAACTTCGACTGCTTTTGCTTTTTCCACTTCCCAATTTCTTAAAGAAATTCCCCATTGACATCTCTTTTCTTCTTCTTCAAATTGGAATTTGGATAAGGACTTTCTTGTTACCGAGAACTTTGATGGGGATAGATTTTTTGTTTTCCTTCTTCATTGCTGGAATATTTATGAAGGCTACTCTTCAAGACGCCAATAAACTATTTCTTGCTTCACTGTTCTTCATTAATTTATTATTTTTCTCCAACGCGGCACTTGTTCTCTATTTATCTTCTTCTTTTTTTGTCAGCCATTAAAATTGTTCTTTATTTTTCGCGGCCAGATAAGACTTCATATTTACTAACCCAAATGATACGGAAACCTAGAAAAATTCGAACTATATATATATAAAGAAGAATGACTTTGTGATGAAGATGGAATTAGAAAAAAGAATGACTTTGTGATGAAGATGGAATTAGATGCTCTTGTGCTATCTCAACGGCCAAGTTTAATTTCTCCATTTTTGCACTCCACGCGTTTCTTTAAGCTTACTTTACCGAAATGAAAAACCCAATAGCCCATAACCTAAATCAAAGGCCCAATCTAATATTGTTCCTCGGTTTTAAAAGGTGCTAACGCAATTGAACTTGGTTTTGGGCCCACAAATCTCATCATGGCCCAAAAAGTATTAAGTCTATAAAATTTGTTCGAACGTTAACTGAAGCAATAACAACGTTTGCAAACTTACTGGACTAACCAACTCGGGTTATCGTATATTCGTAATTAGTTCAGCAGAATCGTTGTTCTTAATTACTCCTTTTTCGTACTATGTTTTTAATGGTCTTGCATTGCATGTCGAGTCTCCGCCTCGATCAAAGTGAGTATTTAATGACTTGTCTGCCCACGTTACCAGCTTACGATTGTGATCTCATGTTGGCCCACGAGTATATTTGAAATGTACAAAGATTAGTCTATACATGGGAACATGAGCTTCCGATTTTGATTTTATGTATATTATAATTAGATCAAACGGGGTTAAGTACAAAAACAAGAGAATATTCTAAATCGTATATTTCCGTGGGACGATCGTGCTTGTAAGCTTACTATTTAATGGCCAGATGATAAGGGGTTTTTATTTCACATCAACAAAACGGGCTTTAGTCAAAATACTAGATTTGGTTTGAACAGATTGTGTAGATTTGAGATTCAGCAAAGTATAAATATTTTGATTTTAATATAGGACACGTAGCAGAAAAATATAGTCAATATTATATATCCCCTTTATTTATTTATATGGTAGAGCTCCAACAAATGACTACACACGTAATATATAGTCAATATTCAAAAGTTTAATGTCTTAAAAATTTTAGCCAAAAAGAGCTGTTACATGATACACTTTCTTATTTTGTTGGATTTTCAAATGTTTTGCATGATTCATCCCACCATTTGCAAGAGAAGGCTTAATTTGGTTGGCCCCAAAAAAAATAAGAAGATATCAAAATTTAATTTGATTAGTTTCAAAAACGTGCTAACAATTTCATTATTTCAAAGTCCACAGAAAAACAATTAATTTTTTTAAACGGCATACACACATATATATATATATATATTATAATATAACCCACATAAAATAACAGCAACGTCATCACTGATTAACCGCAAAACATATGGAAAAAAGTCGAACATAGCATGTCGGCTAAAACATCTGTAGTTTAAAATAAACAAAAGAATAAAGGTTTTATTTGATTTGGTGTAAAAAAGAACGAAATTGCATTTGTCCTATATTATTATTAAAGCGCAATAACTAGACCAATGTAAATAAACAAAATACTTTAATGATTAGTTCTTTCAAAAACGAAACTACAGTATTTTGAAGCTTACGAATTGACTAATGGAGACACGAAACAGTTTTTTTACTCCAGAAATACTGCATACGTGTACAAGACATAGAGTTACTACCATGTGGAAAAGTCAAAGACAATCTTTATTACCATGTGGTTATTTATAAAAGCAGGACGAAAGACTAGCCGCCTCAAAAGCTTCTAAGGATTAATAAAAAAAAATTAAAAAAAAAAGAAAAACTCGTGCAACATGGCTGAATCAACTCGGCCGCTTCTGACCGATTCGAACTCGCCACCGCCGAGATCCCTCGACGACACGATAGAAAGATACATTGGAAGCTTTGGTTGGGCCCAGTTTCTCCAAGCCACATTGGTCTCATTCTCCGGCGTATTCGACGCTCAGCAGACTTTCATCTCCGTCTTCACGGACTTCGAACCCACGTGGCACTGCACCGAGTCGGACTCGTTCTGCCACCAGTCCGTCTCCAACATCTGTATCCTCCCCAAAACCGCCTGGTCCTGGGATTACTCTCCTCACGTCTCCGTCATTTCCGAATGGGGCCTCCAATGCGCCGGCTCGTTCGTCAAGGGCTTGCCGGAGAGCTCCTTCTTCGTCGGGTGTCTAATCGGCGGTTTGATCCTCTCAACCTTAGCCGATTCTTCGCTGGGTCGTAAGAACATGCTGTTTCTCTCGTGTCTCCTGATGTCGATATCAACGATGCTAACGGTTTTCTCGCCCAACATTTGGGTTTACGCTCTTCTTCGGTTCGTTAACGGTTTCGGCCGAGCGACGATTGGGACGTGTGCGCTCGTGCTCTCGACGGAGCTGGTCGGGAAGAAATGGCGCGGGCGAGTCGGAATCATGAGCTTCTTCGGGTTCATGCTCGGGTTTTTGTCTCTTCCCGTCATGGCTTACATCAATCGAGGAAACTCGTGGAGGATTCTCTACATCTGGACTTCGGTTCCGACCATAATCTACTGCGTCCTGGTTCGTTTTTTCGTTTGCGAGTCTCCAAGGTGGCTTTTCGTTAGAGGCCGTAGAGAAGAAGCCATTTCGATTCTCAAAAGGGTTGCTTCAAATGGCGGTGCAATCTCCATGAGCTTTTCGAGCTTACCGTTTCAGGAGGAGGAAGAGAAAGACGAGAAGCCTAGTGTTAATAATGTCTACGCAGCCATGAAGGTATTGGTGGAAAAGAGATGGGCACTTAAGAGACTATCCGCGGTAATGGCGGTTGCGTTTGGGATCGGTTTGGTCTATTACGGGATGCCTTTAGCGTTATCCAATCTCGATTTCAATGTCTATTTAAGTGCAGCGTTCAACGCGTTGATGGATTTGCCTGCGAACCTCATCACGCTTTTTCTCGTCGATAAACTCAGCAGGAGAAACGCGCTTATCGCGTTCACAGCTTTAGGCGGAGTCTCTAGCGTTCTCATATTCGCGTTACAGAATATGAGGATCGGGAACCACGGGGCGTTACAGTTGACATTAGAGCTAATTTCTTACTTTAGCGCCTGTTCGGCTTTTAACATGGAGATGATATACACAATCGAGTTGTTTCCGACATGCGTGAGGAACTCGGCGATTGCATTGACTAGACAGGCGTTGGTGCTTGGTGGGGTGTTCAGCCCTATTATGGTAGCGGCTGGTCGGAAAAACGGGTTCTGGTCCTTTGGGCTGTTCGGTCTTGCTATAGGTTTGTTGGGATTGTTTGCTGTCGGATTGCCAGAGACAAGAGGGAGTGATCTATGCGACACTATGGACGAGGAAGAGTGCAAAGATCTGCGGAGTAACAACAACATCATCAATAGTGTGATTGCCTAATATGATTGTGGAAATTTTAAAATGCATGTGTATCATGTGACTCAGTGTAGATTTATTACTTATCCCATATGGTATTAATACTACGTTTAAGACTTGCGGCATATTTTGTTGTTTTGGCTATTCGAAAAGTTTCTCTTAGGATGAGGATCAAAGGATCACTCATACACAATGGAACTGCTAATGAGACGATACGGATGACAAGGATTTGTACAATAAGAAAATTGCATAAACAGTGTCATTCACGAATACGTTATCTGTAGATACATAGCCAATCATTTGTTCTTAAAGAATAAATTCTTGTCATATAAAAACAACCAAGAGTCTCCAATAGCAACAAAACAAAAACGAAAACAAAAGAGCATGCACGTTATGAAAGAGTCAAACAAAAGAGACATGGTGGAAAGAAAAGAGATAGAAGCAACATTCTCAACACGATCTTCATCCAACATTATTGATTATGGAGCCACGTCGATAATGTTTTATGTTTGAAAGTAAGATGCTCAACTTCAACAATATCTATTTAAGTGCGGTTTGTAACGCTTTGATGGATTTTCCCACAAAACTAATCACTCTTTTCTTGGTCACAAATTTAAAAACCAACAAAATTATACTCCCTTCATTTTCTTTTATAAGATGTTTTAGAAAAAAAATTTGTTTATAATTAGATGATGTTTTTAAAAATCAATGCAAAAAATAATTGTTTTAATTGTTTAAATTTTGTATATTATATTTCTATTGGTTGAATTGTTTTGGAAATAATGTTTTATTTTGGTAAAAGAGAAAATTAAATAATTTCTATGTGATGAAACTTCGGGCCCAGAAGACTGGTGCATGATTTTACCAACCCAATAAGATTTATAAACTCAACCCAAGAGATCAAGCCCAATAAGATTTATAAACCCAACCCGTCTCTTGAAAATTTCTTTTAAGCCCAATAAGGTTTATAAACCCAACCCAAGAGATCAAGGCCAACGATGAGCTGGCAGGTCACGTGATAGGACGTGCTCAATCGACCCCCTCACTCTCACTTGCCATTACCCAACCGGTACGGAGAAGGTGGTTTTCTTTCTTGTTACTGACCTTCTTCATTCAGCAGTTCAACTCTCGGGTAGTGATAATAAACCAAAGTCCAAAAAATTATTAGAAAAAAAAAGAAAAAGAAAAAAAAAAGGGGAAAATCTGAAACCAAAAACGAGAAGGGAAGGCAAAAAGGAGACGAAGAACCTTTCGCGCTCTGACGAAATTCATTATTTCACTGATATACTTGTCTTCCCTCTCTCAATCTCTCCCTCTCCTCATCGCGTTTCCCCCCACTGGATCCTTAGGATTGATCAAGTGTCGCGGCTCATGACGCAGTCGCCGGTTCAACCGCCTCCGCCGCTTCCCGCTCCGCCGCATTCCAGCGGCGGAGGTGTCTTAAGAGGCGATGTACAGGTGAGGTGCGCGGGATGTCGCGTGATTCTGAGGGTGAAGACCGGCGTTGTGGAGTTCTCGTGTCCGACTTGTCAACTTCCCCAAATGTTGCCGCCGGAGCTTCTTTCTAGGGCACGGCCGCAGTTCCCGCAGTCTCAACAGCAACAACAACAACAACAGCAACCACCGCCGATTCAGACGCTTCCACCGCCGCTTCAACCGCAGATGAAACCTATGAATTTGCAGCCTAGGCCTCCCGTGCCGGCACATGGAATCGATCCGACGAAGATGCAATTGCCTTGCGCTAACTGTCAGGCAATCCTCAATGTGCCACACGGACTCACACGGTTCTCTTGTCCTCAGTGCCATGTCGAGCTCGCTGTCGATGTCTCCAAGCTCAATCGATCTCTAACTGCTCCTCAATCTACTCCTGCTTCCGCGCCGCCGGGTCCGTCTCCGCCTCCTCCCGAAGAAGTCAACGAGGTTTTATCTTCATCTTATTTCTCAATTCATCCCAAATCTCATCGTTATGTGTTGCACAATTCTCGAATTATGTGTGTTTAGAAATGTTGAGACTGGGATTTGTATGCCCAAGAGTAGTGGTGGTTTCATAACTTCCTTGTTCAACCTTGTCATGTTCGGATCATATTTGTATGTTATACATGTTTCTGAATTAGCCTCGCTGTATCTTTGCCCCGAAACTAGGAAGCTATCGATGTGGAGAGAGAAGAAGATGAAGGTGGAACGGCGGGAGAAACGTTCATGGATTATGTGAGTGCTTCCAATCTTCACAATTTTTTTGTTTTTTGGTTTATCTTCTCGCCAGTTCAATGTGTGTTTACGACATTAGTTTATTTATATTTGCAGCGTCCTCCGAAACTTTCAATTGGGCCTCCTCATCCTGATCCAATTGTGGAAACATCATCTCTATCTGCAGTGCAGCCCCCAGAACCCACTTATGATCTAAGAATCAAGGAAGAGCTCGAAAGGTCGAAGGCTTTATCGTGCTTGCAGATTGAGACATTAGTTTACGCTTGTCAGGTTGCTTTTTAATGGCAGAAAGTTTGGTTAATGGCCTCAAACGTGTCTCGTTCCTGTATGACATTGTTTAATTTTTTTTATTATAGAGGCATCTCCAGCACCTTGATGATGGTACCAGAGCGGGCTTTTTTGTTGGAGATGGTGCTGGTGTAGGGAAAGGGCGAACAATTGCTGGGTTGATTTGGGAGAATTGGAAACATGGAAGGAGAAAAGCTTTGTAAGTCTTGTAGGACTTCATTGATAAGATGTCGATAACTCAATTCAATCTGGCTTATGATTAAACTATATATGCACAGTTGTGCCTACAGCGTGCCTTTGTTTGGTCTCTTAGATAACTCAAAGTAGGATGAGACGAGTTCTAATTCTTTTTACTCATTTTTCTCCATGATCTACATAGGTGGATTTCTGTTGGCTCAGACTTGAAGTATGATGCAAGAAGGGACTTGGACGATGTGGGTGCCACATGCGTTGGAGGTATTATCTTGATTTTGGCTGTTAATCGAGTTTGTAATTCACTTATTTTTTGGTTCCATAATACTTCGTATGTTATGCAGAAAACTTATTCTAGATACTTGTTCTGGCTGATGATGTAGAGTAAATTTACTACTTCAGGGTTATTATAAAGGACTTAATACTCTTTACTGCCTCCGTTTATGGTGTCATCACGCCTAGAGAATGTTATGGATAGCTGATGTTTGTATATGTATTCTGATTTGTGATTCTTAGTCTAGTGAGCCTGGAATTATTTTCAAAATATTAAGAGAGGGAAAAATATGACAGATCATGGCAGCGATGTTGGTGAATAAGTTTTCTGATCTTTTGCAATCAGTCAAGTGAACATTTGAGTGTCCAGTCTGATTATCATTGCTGTGTTTTGTCTGCAACTAAACAGCAATATGTTTTACGTGCAGTGAATCCTTTGAACAAGCTACCTTATTCTAAGCTTGACTCAAAGAATGTCGGTGTTAAAGACGGAGTAGTATTCTTGACATACAATAGCCTTATTGCTTCCTCTGAGAAGGGCCGTTCTCGTTTGCAGCAGCTTGTTCAATGGTGTGGACCAGAATTCGATGGTCTCTTGATCTTTGATGAGGTAGCAAATCCATGAATGATGTATATTAAATTCTTTTGCGTTAAAAATGCTCTTAGTATACCTCTGTCGTGGTAAATTGATCACTGATTTTATCATTTTTGAGCAGAAACCATTAGTACAATATGCAGCTTCAGCTAATAGTTTTTTTCTTCCTTTTATGCAGTGCCATAAAGCGAAAAATTTGGTACCCGAAGCAGGAAGTCAGCCGACACGCATAGGGCAGGCAGTTGTTGACATACAGGTCTACTACTTGAAACTGAATCTGAATGCTGACTACCCTGTTTTTATCAATGTTGCTTTTAATATTGTTTTTTTTGGCTCTAAAGTGATAATAGATACTCTCATTTGGTTTTGTTTTGGATGTACTTATTCTCCGTTGCAGATAATGTAGTTTATGTTCTAGTATGGGACGCATAATGGTAGGTTCGTCTAGCTGACTCTAGATTATGAATTTTGGAAAAGCAGGATAAGATCCCCCAAGCACGTGTTCTTTATTGCTCTGCTACTGGTGCATCTGAACCACGAAACATGGGTTATATGGTCAGGCTTGGTCTTTGGGGAGCCGGAACAAGTTTCAGTGATTTTAACAAATTTCTAGGTTTGTTTTCTATTCTATATCCTTTTGAATATAATTTGGTAGCATTTCGATTAGTATTTTCTATCTTACTTGCCTTTTAGAAAAAAAAAAAGCTTATCTTAAAGTTGAATTTGGATAAAAAAGAATAAGTGTCAGGTTTGAACTTCTGTCTAGAACATATGAAAATATTCCATAAAATGACTTTTAGTAGGATTGGCTCTGCTCACTTAATTCTTATACTTACATATCTTCTCTTACTCTGATATATGCATTGCATACCTCGGAATGAAACTTTAACAGAACCTTTGTGCAGGTGCGCTTGATAAAGGTGGGGTAGGAGCTTTGGAATTGGTTGCTATGGACATGAAAGCAAGGTTTTATAAGCCTGTTTCATACTTCAATAGCCATTCGCATTCTCGTATACATTCTAACATCCCTTCTTTGTAATAGGGGAATGTATGTATGCCGTACCCTGAGCTACAAAGGGGCTGAGTTTGAGATTGTTGAAGCTCGTTTAGAAGCAGGAATGGAGGTAAATCGTCCCTTTTTAATATCATTTTGTTTGAAAGCTGCACACACTTAATCGATTATCTAGCTCTATCATCAAATAAATGCCATGTAATATAAAGAGTAGGCCGTCTCCGAGGAAGCTTGAACCAAACTCTTACAAATATTTCAGCCCGCTTTATTTTTGCTTATGAAATTTTCAATCCGGGGGTCTTAAATTGATATCTGAATGGCCCTTTGATACTATTTGGCAAGCATGGTCATCATTCCTAGTGATCCCATGTTTTTAGTTTCAGAGAATCTGTCAATAAATTAATTAGCAGGGTTTTTTTGTGTTGTATTACTTGCTTGCTTCTGTAGGCAATGTACAACAAATCTGCAGAATTTTGGGCAGAGCTACGGATAGAGTTGTTGTCAGCAAGTGCTTTTCTCCCTAACGAGAAACCAAATTCAAGTCAGTTGTGGAGACTATACTGGTCAAGTCACCAGGTATAACCTTAATCTGAAGCAACAGTAGTGTTATTACAGTTGTTGATGATGGCCATCTTAATAGTAGAGGTTGATCGATCTGTTTATTTTATGTTACTGCAGCGTTTCTTTAGACACTTGTGTATGTCAGCTAAAGTTCCTGTAACTGTGAGGTTAGCTAAGAAAGCCTTATCAGCAAACAAGTGTGTGGTTATAGGCCTTCAGAGTACCGGAGAGGCTCGAACTGAAGAGGCTGTAACTAAATATGTGCGTTTCTCCTCATACTGCTTTTACAAAAATATTAAGTACCCCTTTACGATTCCATCTAACTAATTTCTACATGATTGATGATGTTGTCCCCCTTTTTTCTTGCAATAGGGTGTTGAGCTTGATGATTTTGTCTCGGGACCTCGAGAGCTCTTGTTGAAATTCGTGGAAGAGAATTATCCCCTGCCGGAGCAGCCTGAACCTCTCTCAGGTAACGTAATGCTATCTGTCAGAGTTTTTGCTTTTGAATCACTGGTGGAATTTATATTGTGTTCATAGTTTGCTTGTTTTGGACTTTTACAGAGGATGATAGTGTTAAAGAACTTCATAGGAAGAGGCATTCAGCTTCACCTGGTGTTTCAATTAGAGGGAGAGTAAGAAAGATGGCAAAGTGGAAACCAGCTAGTGATGATGAAAGTGATTTGGAGTCTGAAGGTAGGTTTTGGGGTGAAAACATATCTTCTGGGCACCTACTGAACAGACACAATCTCGATGCTTAGGCTGTAGGGACAGAAGGACAAGATTAGTAGTTTAATTATACATCTCTTAGGACTGCAAAACGTTAACTATTTAACACGAAATCTACGTCTAATAAGTTTATTCCCCTATGTATTCCTGTAGATCTACGATATAGGAAGATTATGACCTTGTTTTTTTATGATACATGTATTGTTCTTAGATCTCCTAGTCTTTGTATTTGCATCGTTTTGCTCGGTTTCTTCAGTTAATCAATTCTTAAATCCTCAAGGCCTGTACATTCTTCTAATCAGTGGTGTTTTCAATGCAGCTGACTCTGCTGATGATTCTAATGATTCTGATGATGAGTTCCAGATATGTCAGATATGCAGTGGGGAAGATGTACTTTACTTTAACTTGGATAGCTTCATTTCTGTTGAGGTTACGAGATGTTAATAACCTGTCTTGTCATGAAACTAGGAAAGGAAGAAGTTGCTCCATTGTTCTGAATGTGACAAGCTTTTTCATCCGGACTGTGTAGTTCCCCCAGTTACAGACTTACCATCTGAAGCGTGGATATGCTATTCTTGCAAGGAAAAGACAGAGGAGTACATTGAAGCAAGGCGTCTCTACATTGCGGAATTGCAGAAAAGGTATGTACACTGGAATAACAACATGTGTTTTGATTTCTTCCTGCTCGTATAATCGAAGCCAAGTAAAATATTTTTTTTCTAAGAATGGTTATCCATTTTGTTTCTTCTTAGGTATGAAGCAGCCTTGGAACGAAAATTAAAGATTTTAGAGATCATCCGTTCTCTAAATCTTCCAAATAATCCTTTAGATGATATTGTCGATCAGGTAACTATCATGAATCATATGCGTCTCTGTTTTTCTTAGGTATGAAGCAGCTTGTGGTTATACATGAGTCTCCTTTCTTTTTATGGAATAATGCTTTGTGTGGATGATGTTGAGTGGTATCTATGAATACTTGATTCCAAGTTATTGCATTTAGGGTGTGTTGATTGTAGACTTTGTCGTATCCGAAGGCTTAATTGTGTGATTAAATTTAATTTCTGGAAACTTAAGAATGTTACTAAATTGCTGCTGCTGTTTTAATGCAGCTTGGAGGCCCTGACAAAGTTGCAGAAATAACAGGCAGGCGAGGTATGCTTGTAAGAGCGTCTAATGGGAAAGGTGTTACATATCAAGCGAGAAACACGTAAGTTGTAAAACTCTTCTCTCTCTCTCTCTCTCTCTCTCTCTCTCTCCCTCCTCTTTTTTCTCTTTAATGCCTCTACTTATTTTTTCGTACTTTATTTATTACGTACTATTAATTTACTTTCCATTCTTGGATTTCTTGGCTCTAGAAAGGATATAACAATGGAAATGGTTAACATGCACGAGAAACAACTATTTATGGATGGTAAAAAGTTTGTTGCCATTATTTCTGAAGCTGGTTCAGCTGGTGTTTCCTTGCAAGCAGATAGAAGGGCAGTAAATCAGGTGTGTCGAGTTTATAGGTTCTCCTACTATTATATATATATTTTTGTCTTTTCGCATATCCATCATAATTACGCTATGAAAGATGGCCTCAAAGTACTTCACGTCTCAGCTTTTGGGTATTACTTAATTTGAAATTTCCTTTATCATATTTGTATGTAGAGAAGAAGGGTTCACTTGACTTTAGAGCTTCCCTGGAGTGCTGATCGTGCAATTCAGCAATTCGGAAGAACTCATCGGTCGAATCAAACATCTGCACCTGAATATAGGTTGACATGACAACGTTTGTGTGTTTGATTTTGTATCTGTCGAATTGCAAAAGTACTTGCTGTCTTTTCAATATGCAAGGTTTGATATCAGTTGCTGACGTTGATAAATACTTTGTTTTTGGCCCTGTCAGGCTACTTTTCACAAATCTCGGTGGGGAACGCCGCTTTGCCTCTATTGTTGCAAAGAGACTAGAAACTCTTGGTGCTTTAACACAGGGAGATCGCAGGAAAGTCATGCACCTCTCTAAACCACTCCCCAGTCTTTTTTTTTTCCTTTGGCTTGTTGTTACTTAAACCTAGCCAAAAAAATTGTCTCAAAATATGTTGTGGTGTATTGCAGGGCCGGCCCCTCTTTGAGTGCCTATAATTATGATAGTAACTTTGGTAAAAAATCCTTGATGGTGATGTATAGAGGAATAATGGAGCAGGTCTTCCTCACCTGTGGCCTATTTAAACTCTTTAGTTTTGCGTCTTCATTTTTAGGAACGATGATAATGGATAAAGCGTGAGATATAGTATGGCTTACTTTTCAGGAGAAACTACCCGTTGTTCCTCCTGGGTGCTCCACTGATGAACCAGAAACAATTAAAGAGTTTTTGACCAAGGCAAAGGCTGCTCTTGTTGCGGTTGGAATTGTTAGGGACAGTGTTCTGGGTAAGCTTTGCTCGTTATTTCATTTTTTTCCGTTCTGAATTTAAATTCTATTTGTAGTAAACTTCTTCCCCACTTTACCTCATTGATGATGATACAGCGAATGGGAAAGATGTTGGAAAGTTTTCTGGACGAATTATTGACTCTGACATGCATGATGTTGGACGATTTCTGAATCGCCTCTTGGGATTGCCACCTGATATTCAGAATAGGTATTATGCGTCAAATGGATTACGCTTTGAACTACTTGACCTACTTTTTTTTTTAGAAGTTGTTTCCATTCGGTTTAATGCTTTAATCTCCTTTGCCGTGCAGGCTGTTTGAATTGTTTACTAGTATATTAGATGTTCTTATACATAATGCTCGGATTGAAGGAAGTTTTGATTCGGGAATTGTGGATATGAAAGCTAATAGCGTTGAGCTGCTGAGCACTCCAAAGGTGGATATCTCTTGTTTGATTATTGGTTCTTTGTGTATTTGTGCTACTAATATATGGAATTTTCAGACCGTTCATGTGGATCAAATGTCTGGGGCTTCAACTATGCTCTTTACTTTTACTCTAGATCGTGGAATTACATGGGAGGTACTTGAATATCTTATACTCTTGGTAAATTAGTTGTATTTCACTATACAATAAATCAAAAACTTGATTCGTTGTGTGTCCCAGTCTGCGAGTTCAATGCTAGAGGGGAAGAAAAGGGATGGGCTTGGTTCGGCTAGTGATGGCTTTTATGAATCTAAAAGGGAATGGTTGGGAAGACGGCACTTCATATTAGCATTTGAGAGGTGAATCGTCATCTTCTCTAATCATTAGATATATTTTTGCGTCTATATGTGGGTGGTCCTTAACAGCTATTAAAAGACCAATAAAATAATTAATCTCGTTGCTGCGTTTTCCTTGGATTTCCAGTGCGGCCTCTGGGTTGTATAAGATAGTCCGTCCTGCGGTAGGAGAGTCGATCAGGTATCTACACTAAAGCCAGAACCTACACATTTCATATATATGCTGAATAGGAAAACTGGAAAACTGAGTCTACACATTCCAGGGAGATGTCTCTTTCAGAGTTGAAAACTAAATACCGAAGACTCTCATCGCTGGAGAAGGCTCGTAGCGGCTGGGAAGACGAGTACGAAGTTTCATCTAAACAGGTATGCTTCCTCGATGAAAATAAAATATAGAGTCTGGAATATATAGAACGGCTCTTCTTCAGGCAGAAAAATAGTTTAGCACAGAATCCTCGTGGTGTGTTTGTAAGTTCAAGCCTCGTGGGTCATCACCATTTATATGAGTTTTCTATCTGAGTACAGTGTATGCACGGACCCAAGTGTAAGCTGGGCGAGTATTGCACGGTTGGAAGAAGGATACAGGAAGTAAACGTTGTGGGTGGCCTCATTCTTCCCATCTGGGGAACCATTGAGAAAGCTCTCTCCAAACAAGTAATAACGTTTTCTTCTCTCAGCTCTCTTAGTTTGGTGATGGCACCGAGGAAAGCTACTTACAATGTATTCGGTTCTTTTGTAGTCCCGTCAAAGCCACAAGAGAATTCGAGTTGTACGCATAGAGACTACGACGGACAATCAGCGAATAGTGGGCCTCTCTATCCCCAATGCCGCTGTAGAAACTGTATTACAAGGTATTACAGTACATGCTTTTCGACACACCATCTTTTCGAAATTAGAATGATTACGTTAATACGTGTCGTTTTGCATGCTTTTGGCAGATTTAGCATGGGTTCAAGAGATCGAAGATTGAGACGACATTATTTTGTAAGAAGAAAGACTCTCTCAACCAAGTTCCCGTGCTTATTCGTATTTTCTTAATTTTTTAAACAAGGAAAAAACAATCCACTTGAGACTTTCATTTTTGTGTATATCACATGGCAAATTGGCAAGGAAGATACATAGATGTAATATTATTATCTAACAAGATTCCTTCCTCTGTTTTGGTTAAATGTATTCGTTTGTGGATGGATGATGATGCCAGATTTAATAAGAAAAAAATATAACACATTGCAATTTCTCAATAAAACAAGAATAATCTGTTGTTTCACAAACCAGAACACAACACACCTGACATATAAAATACACAAATGCCCTCAAACAGTAAAAAAAGAAAACAAGGCTTATTTCTCGACCGGAGAGAATCATCATCAAACAAAGGCCGTTGCAAAAACGCAAACAATCAATGAAACCTCTGTTTTTAACAGATGAAAGGAGCATCTGCATAACCATCATGGCAATACAAACCTGGCTGCTGAGTAAATCCTTGCTTCTTCAGAATCTTCCTTGCCCTCGTAACCATTTCCCTGTTTGATATCTCACCTTCTGTATCCTCCAATATCTTCTGTATCGCGTTACTCATGGCTCCATAGGCCTCTGCTGGTTTCCCCGGCGGAGTCGCATCCGCAGAGGTCTGGTCAGTCTGACAGCCGCTGATCAATATCCCGCTGTCTGAAAGAGGAACCGATCCTCTGGATCCACCGGCATAAACCTCCTCTTTCCTCCCAACTTCTGTCTGCATCGCCGGTTTCACGTAGTCTTCGTCGTTTAGCTTCCCCTCGAGAAACCCTGAAGCTAACTTCCCAAGCATTCCCATTAGCCCGCCTCCTTCACCGTCTCCTGCCTGAAGCTTACCCAAGATCACTTTCATGAACTTCTTCACTTTCGGGCTCGAGTCATCACCAAACGCGTCGAAAAGGCTTGGCCTGATTTTCCCGACTTCGATGTCATCGTTCCCTGTTTGCTCCTTGAGGATGTCGATTAGGGTCTGCAGAGGCAGAGACTTGGCTTTGGCAATGATCCTTTCTCCGTCTTCTAGCTCCATCTCCTTGGTCTCGATTTCTTCCGCCTCATCTTCTTCCTTCTTGTCCCCTCTAATGTGGAATCCTCTAGATTCAATCGCGCCTTCCACCTTGCTGCGCAAGAATTTCCTGAACCCGAATCTCGAAGAAGATTCTTTCTCTTCCTCCTCCTCCTCGTCTTTCTTAGTGCTCTCACCGATCTGCTCCTTGGCTTCATCGATCAGGCCACCACTGTGACAAGAGTCTGAAATCATCGTCATTCTGCAACCTTGCGGGACTCGGTCCACAAGATCCCTGAAGTCATCATCTGGAAACGACCAAACATTACATCAGACAAAGCTCTTTGGACAATTCCAGAGTCAATCATGGAAACTTAGACAAGGTATTCTTTTCGTTTTGAATCTATGCTCATTCGAATATTCTTTTAATCTAGAATAAAAAAGTATGAATTGAAAGTTAGGATAAGAGACCAATCCCAAATACACGATCAACAAATCCTAACATTTTCACCAAAATTTTCAGGATTACAAAAAAAAGTCTTCTACTTTATTAACGGATCGGATCCGAGATCAAAAATTCAAATACTATAATCTAAACAGATCCTACACGGTAAAATGGCAAAAGAGAGGATAAAAAGGTTCAAATCCTATGCTTAATGAGACTCACCTGTAATCAGATTCATGTCGCAAGGAACAATACACTCGTCGTAGCCAGTGTCATCGTCCTCCCCTGTCTCCGCCGGTAGCCTCGTACCGTGCCCACTGTAATGCACGACGAGAAAGTCGCCGGAATCCGCCGAGCCGACGAGATCCGCGAGAGCCTTGCGGATGTTCTTGCCCGTGGGTTGGGTAGAGGATTCATCGGTGTCGATCAGCACCGTGATGTCCTCCTCGGCGAAGCCGTAGCGTTCGACGAGACATTTGTACATCCGACGAACATCGTTGACGCAACCACGCAATTCCGCCTTGGTTCCTGGGTAATTGATCCCAATAAGCACCGCCTTTTTCGCCATCGACGAAGATCTGATGGATAAACTCTGAATCTGATCGGTAATCTGTCTTCTCCTTGCCGGCGATCGAAGAGCTTAATCTATTGGGGAGAGACTGAGTCCGACAAAACGTTATTTTATATACAAATTATTTAATTACTTATTTCTTTATTCGTTGATTGATTGATATGTATGCGCGTTTCCACGAATTGGAATGTACGATCTGACGTGGCATCGGATTTCTTTTTCTTGTTATTTATTACACGACCGTAGTTGTTAGAAAATCACACAAAATGCTTTATGAGCCTTATCTTTTAAATAATAGACGAAAGCCACTTTTCTAAGTTCTTAAATTTTGAGAATTTTAGTGAAATACTAGTCTTAGTTTTTTTTTAACATGTAATTGAAGGTATTCTTAAAATTTTTGTCCATTGCACATTTTGTTTTCGTTATCTTCTTCTTTCTCTTTCATGTAGTCAAGTTGTCAACCACGTCTTCAATGGCATTAAATCCAGTAATAATTGGTATAGTTACATATACTTATTACTGTTTATTAGCTAAAATATTAAGGATTGAAATGTTTTTGTAACGTATCCGAACAAAAGGTGAACAAGTCAACAACTGGAAAAGGTTTGATAAAACCAGAGCCAATAAACAACCAACACTTGGCGATGGACAAAGAACACTTGAAATTCAATAAAAGTTACAACAGCAAAAGAACATACAAATCACATAACTTATTCAACACGGAACTCCAAATACTTTTGAGGCAACTACGATTCTACGAACACAATAAAATCCTCTAACAGATAAAAGGAGCATTCACATAGCTATCGCTGCAGTAGAGCCCTGGTCGTTGAGTAAAGCCCTGTTTCTTAAGAAGCTTTCTTGTCTTCAAAACAAGCTCTTTGTATGTGATCTTACCCTTTGTCTCCTCGAGAATGATCTGTACAGCATTGGTGAATGCTCCATAAGCCATCTCAGGTTTACCCGGAGGACTTGCGTCAGCAGAAGTTTGATCAGTTTGGCAACCACTTATCAAAATACCGTTATCCGCGAGAGATCCATTGCTTGCACCTGCATAGACCTCTTGCTTGTTCCCGACATGCGTCTGCATCGCAGGTTTCACATACTCTTCATCATCGTTCAGCTTTTGCTCAAGAAACTCCTGAGCTAGTTTCCCGATCATTCCCAATATCCCGCCTTCACTTTGACCTAGTTTCAGCTTCGTTAGAATCACTTTCATGAACTTCTTCACCTTTGGCGATGCGTCTTCCCCAAACACATTGAAAAGGGTCGGTCTGATTTTCCCCACTTGGATGTCGTCGTTGCCTGTGTCGTGTTTGAGGATGTCGATTAGAGTTTGTAGAGGCAGAGACTTGTTTCCGACATGGACTTTTTCCCCGTTCTCTAGTTCAATCTCTTTAATCTTGGTTTCTTCATTCCCATCTTTGTGGTGAGGAATGTGGATCCCTCGAGATTCCAAGGCTTCTTCCACAGCTTCAAGCACGAGGCCTTTGATTCCAAACCCAGAGGATCCTCCAGTGTCTTTCTTTGGCTTCTTCTTGGTGCTCTCTCCTATCTGCTCTTTGGCTTCGTCGATGAGACCGCCACTGTGACAAGAGTCTGAGATGATTGTAATGCGTGCGTCTTTTGGCACCTTCTCCACAAGTTCCCTGAATTCATCATCTGAGAACAAAAATGTAATAAGATCAGATGAAAAAGAGCGAATCTGACTGAATCTATAAGAAAACAACAATTTTCCTGAAATGAAGGAGCAGTTTATGAGAAATTTCATTAAATTTTGTCCAAATGAAAAAACATCCAACGATGATTCCGTCGTGAGAATGAATACACAGTCTATTCCTTTTATCAATTTTCGTTTGCTTACTAGTAAATCAACATTGTTGATCCTTGAAACAGAGACACAGGCCAGTATCAATTCAATGTCAACAAGTCAATGAGTTTAGGGTTTAATTTCTTTCGGCAATGAATCTAAATCCCCTAAACCCTAATCTAAATTCTCCTGAATCTTAACTATTTTCTACATATAATCATCGATCCAACTGATAAACAAAAAAAAAGGTTCAGCTTCTCACCAAAGCAGGGAAAATTCAAAGTTATAATTTTCACTTTAGTTTTTTTACTTACCGGTGATAAGATTCATATCGCAAGGAACAATACACTCATCGTAACCAGTGTCGTCGTCTTCCCCAGTCTCTGCCGGCAATCTCGTCCCGTGTCCACTGTAATGAACGACGAGAACATCGCCCGATTCAGCCGACTCGACTAGATCCAACAACGCCCGTCTGATGTTTTTCCCGGTGGGTTTGGTGGAAGAGTCGTCGGTATCGATCAGCTCAGTGATGTTTCTCTCGGAGAATCCGAACCGATCGACGAGGCATTTGTGCATCCGACGGACATCGTTGACGCAGCCCCGTAGCTCCGCCTTGGTTCCAGGGTAATTGATTCCTATCAATACCGCTTTCTTCGCCATTTATGATTGATTCCTCAAAAGATCCGCTTTACAATTTTTTTTTTTTTTTTTTTTTTTTTTTTGATTTTGATCGTGAGCTGTTACATTTCATCCTTGTTCATGCTTTTATACACTTACACGTTAATTGAATTCAAAGGAGCCTTTAATAACGTTACCAAAAAAAAATCCTAACCAAAAAGAGAAAGATATGAAATATTTGATTAAATAAAACTTTATTCATCATCATAATTTCCATTCCTTATATTATTGGTTTAACAGTTACAGTTAAAAAATCTATGGCTTGTTCTTCCTTCCAAACAAAAGCTAAAACGTACAAAACATGTATAGATTGTGAGAAATAAGTAAGGAAATAACTTTAAGCAATCTATAACCAACTAATAATTACGCAAATGTGTCTTGTTATTGTGTACACCTTCTCACTCTCTTGCAGGCGCAGACAATCCCATTTTCTATTATAGATCAATTATTATCATCGTCTGTCAACACGTCGCTTCTTATTCGTCAAACCAAGTAACCAACGGATTCCATATCATTTTTTTTTTTTAAGTATTATGTTTCTTGTCCCACAAGATAGGTTATAATAACATTCGGGAAACAAAAATAGGGATAAGACCATAAGACCGATAATAAACCAAGAACTTGAAAACGGTATAATATAAGAAACGTCCATTACCAAACAATAAAATGTCTTACCAAACCAATGAGCGAAACACACACTCAGGCATTATTCAAATTAAAACTTTACAAAAGACAAGACACTACCCAAATCACAAAACTTATTCCACACGAAAGCAAATCAACAAACAACAAAGCCCTCCAACTTCATTTAACATATAAACTGAGCATTCACGTAACCATCGTTGCAGTACAGCCCCGGTCGTTGTTCAAACCCCTGTTTCTTCAGAAGTTTCTTAACCTTCAAAACAAGGTCTTTGTTACTAATCTTACCGTTTGTCTCCTTAATTATGATCTGTATAGCATTGGTTAGTGCTCCATAAGCCAATTCCGGGTGACCCGGTGGGCTCGCATCAGCAGAAGTTTGATCAGTTTGGCAACCACTGATCAGTATACCGTTATCCGGAAGTGCACCATTGATTGCACCTGCGTAGACCTCTTGGATCACCGGTTTCACATCATCGTTTAGCTTCTGCTCAAGAAACTCCTGAGTCAGTTTCCCAATTGTCTCCAATATCTCACCTTGACTGGTTTGACCAGTAGCAGTCTCTTGTAGGTTGCTTAGGATGACATTCATGAATTTTTTCACCTTGGGACTTGAATCTTCTCCAAACATATCGAAAAGAGTAGTTCTGATTTTCCCTACTTCGATATCATCGTTCCCTGTTTCTTGCTTCAGCATGTCGATCAAAGTCTCTAGTGGCAGAGATCTGTTCCCCATTTCATTAACCTCCTTGGTCTCTGCTTCTTCTTCTGTCTCCTTGCTGACCCTTGAGGAGTCTCCAGAGTCTTCCTTCTTTTTCTTCTTTGTGCTCTCTCCAATCTGCTCTTTGGCTTCATCGATGAGGCCACCACTGTGACAAGAGTCTGAGATGATTGTAATGGGGCAATCCTTTGGCACCATATCCACAAGATCCCTAAAATCATCATCTGTAAACAGAGTCAGAACATAAGAAAATTCAGATATCAACAACATCAAGCCATCCAATTATCTCCATTAGCATCTCATGATACAAAAAAAATTCTCTATATGATCTTAATTCAAAACCCTAACACACAGAAAAACACAATAACCCTAAAAATTTCTACATAATCCAGCAGTTTTTTTAACATATAAGCTTCATGTTTCAAGCGGTAATTTCTGCTTTTCTCTGTTGACATGAGAAAAATAGTAAGAAAACAAACATATCATAGTTTAAATTTTAATTTAAGATTTTCTATTCACAAATTATCTTTGTAAAGTACAAACGCAAACACCTAATGGAAATTTCTTTCGTTTGCAATTGGAGTTTAGGTTTACAGTTAACAAATAAATTTTTGTTCACTTACCTGTGATGAGATTCATGTCGGAAGGAACAATACACTCATCGTAGCCAGTATCATCGTCTTCCCCAGTTTCGGCGGGCAACCTCGTCCCGTGTCCACTGTAATGGACGAAGAGAACATCACCCGGTTTCGCCGGTTCAACGAGATCCAACAACGCCTGTCGGATGTTCTTGCCGGTCGGTTTGATCGTAGAGTTATCTGTGTCGATCAACAGTTTGATGTTCTTCTCGGAGAATCCGTACCGTTCTACGAGGCTTATATGCATCCGACGGACGTCGTTGACGCAGCCTCGTAGCTCCGCCTTCGTTCCCACGTAGTTGATCCCAATCAGTAACGCTTTCTTTGCCATTTCTGAACAATTATTTTGATCCTGTAATCATTCATCCTTGATGATTTTATAACCATCTTAATTTTATTAAACTAATGAAACTTATTGTTTTATTTATTTATGCCGGACCTTTTTCTATGTCAGATTTTTGTATAACTTTAGATAAAAAAAAATATTCTGAGGAGATTATAAAATTATAAGCTCTTATTTTATCAATCTTTTTCTTTAAATTTATAGTTGCAATTTCGTTAATACAAAAAACAATTACAAATGGTGTTTATAATGTAAATAATCTATATTCATCTTGATCGCATTTCGCGTCTACATATAAAATGTAAAACAAAGATATACAAAAACATAAGTTAGAAAAATACCATATATCAAAAATCTATTTTGAACTATAATGTGTGTACGAAAAACTAGGATTTGTTTTTCTTTTTCCGTCAAGTAGAGTCAATTCTTTGTGAGTAAGCTAATTGTCACATACTGTAACTTAATTTCTTAAAACGTGCAAAATTTATATAGCGTCTGACTGGTATGTCAGATGAATAATAAAATAGCGGAATAACTAAAAAATTATTAGCGGAATGAACTGAACTGAATAATATTTTAGCTGAATAATTGTGAAACGCTGAAAAGCTACTTTTAGTAGATTAATCACGTTTTGTTTTTTTTTAATTATATTTTTAACATGCTAGCGGAATCACGTTTCAAAAACATAAAAAAACGTGAAAACGTGATGAATAACATGAATGATAAAAAATAACAAAATCAAATTTCCAAAACGTGAAAACGTAAAAAAACTGCATCGTATTCAAACCCATAGCTTATAGGAAGTGGTCTAATTACTTCTTCTTTTTTATAATTCTTTCGAACTAATTATTTTAAAAATGCTAAAGAAAAGGACAATTTTTATTATTTATAGTTTAATCCCTTTCGTGAGAGTGCAAACAATCTCACGTTATAGGCACGTCGCTTTTGCTAAGCCAAATATTGTTATGGTTTTATTCCTTCTATATGGGGCTAGGTCTCCACTGTACAGGTCTCTGATTCCTTGTATCAGAAGTCAATAGAAGAACTTAGTCATACATTCTCTATATAAAAATAATATTTAAACACCACTTGCTGATAAAAGTAATTATTCATAACATTGTTCACACTTGCATAACGAAAAAACAAACAACATTCTTGAATTTAATATTAAAGTTTACATAATCCATTAAGGGTTATTATAAAATTGTCAATGACAGCCACATAAATCATGTTGGTGATGATTAATAATTGAGGTAGATGATGGAGAACTATTCCAAATAAACATAGTTTTTTTTTTTTTTCAAATCAACTTCAATAAATTAATTTATTACCTCATAAAATTACGTTCATTTTTAACATGTACACAAAATTCTAAAGTTCACAAACATTAATAACAACAGAGCAGTCTTGAATACAAGAGTCTCTACCCAGTCAACACCATAGACCATAGTTAGCATATAAATGGAGCATTCACAAAACGGTCATTACAATACAATCCTGGTCTCTGAGTAAACATCTGTTTCTTCAGAATCTCTCTTGCCTTCAAAACCAATTCCTTGTTCGTGATCTTATCTTCTTTCCCAGTCTCAGACAGAACCATCTGAATCGCGTTACTAAACGCTCCATACGCTTCTCCGCTCTTTTTCACATCTGCTGATGTCTCATCCGTCTGACATCCACTCAACAGAATCCCTCTGTCTGGAAACAATCCGTTGCTTGATCCTCCTTCGTAGATCTCACGATCACTCTTTAGTTTTGTCTGCATCGCAGGTTTCACGTAGTCTTCATCGTTCAGCTTCATTTCTATATACTCTCGAGCACTCTCTTCGACCTTACCAACTGACTCACTTTGATCATTTCTTTCCTTTAGCTCGGTGATCATCACTTTTATGAAGTTCTTCACCTTGGGGCTCGAATCTTCACCAAACACATCGAAAAGGGTCGGTCTGATTTTACCAATATCGATGTTGTCTTTGCCAGTTTTCTGTTTGAGAATACTGATGAAGCTCTCTAACGGTAGATACCTTGATTTGGCAACATCATCTCTCTCTCCTTCTTCGACGATATCTCTAGTTTTGATCCCGCTCGGTTCTTCCTGAAATCTCCTGATTCCGAAAAACGCAAGCAGCTTTACAAAGACGCTACGAAAACAGTTCCCGATATCGAATTCCAAAGAATAAACTTGAGGTTCTGAGTTTGGTTTCTTCGTGGTGCTCTCTCCGATCTGCTCCTTGGCTTCATCGATGAGTCCGCCGCTGTGACAAGAGTCTGATACGATCGTTATCTGACATCCCTCAGGAACCTGTTCCACTAAATCCCTGAAATCATCATCTGCAATGCAACACACAAGACGATAAACCTAGGATTAAGACTTAAGAGGGGAAATAATTCTAACATTCTTGCTAATGTCTATATTAGCATCTTTCAAACCTAGGATTATGAAGGGAACATAGTATTAATTGATTTAAGTTCCGAACTCAGTAACTCCCCGGAAGAGGCATATCGCTGAAAAAACAGAGTACTCTCTGTTTACCCTGTTTCTAAACAGAGCACTCTGTTTTTAAGAAAAAAACCTTATTGTTCGAATCCAGAAAGAGAAATTTCCAGTTTTGAGCCGCTTACCAGGGATCGGATTCATGTCACAAGGAACGATACATTCATCAAAACCGGTGGCATCCTCTTCCCCTGTTTCCGGTGGGACCCTCGTACCATGTCCACTATAATGCACGAACAGAACATCACCGGGCTTTGCTGGCTTTATGAGTTCCGACAACGCCTGACGGATGTTTTTGCCGGTGGGTTGAGTGTACGATTCGTCGGTGTCGATAAGCACCGTGATGTCTTCCTTGGTGAATCCGAACCGGTCAAGGAGGCACTTGTGCATCCGATGGACGTCGTTGACGCATCCTTTTAGCTCTACCTTGCTTCCGGGGTAGTTGATCCCAATCAACACCGCTTTCTTCGCCATTGTCGCTACCTTCAACAACTGTCGGAGAAAACTTTTTGACTAGATATAATGATTTTTCATTGGTTTTTGAGATCAAGATTATAGTGTAAACTAATATTATTGGGTGTTGTTAGTGGACTTTGTATTTTCCCATTTTATAATATATAGCGTGTCTTTTATTCGTTTTCTTTTTAATTTTAAATATACTAAAGTATTTCTATAAATTATTTGATTCACTAGACTTTTTTGGCGGTGATTAAATAAAATGCACTAGCATCATTAGCAAGTTATTTTGAGTAATTAAAAAAGAAGATAAAATATAGTACTTAGCTTGACATGTGGATATTGTGAGTGAGACTGACTAATTAAAAAATTACCCTTTCGCCGTCTGTGGGGATCGAACCCACGGCCACGGGATTAAAAGTCACGCGCTCTACCACTGAGCTAAGACGGCTGAGCAGTTAGTATGCCGTAATAAACTTTGAAGACCCAGACGTAGGCGGGTATCTTTTAGGCCCAACAAGATGCGTAGTGTTTACCTTAATCCAACTAAAAAACAAGGCAGCTGATTAAAGTATGGCCCAACTCTAAGCGACGCCGTTTATATAACACGCCTGAGGTTTTGTCGAACATTTGCATCATTCTTCGCTCTTCCCTAGCGCTTTTCATCTTCCCCGTTGGGTTCTCTCTCAAAATCACCGGAGGAGAAAGGGTTCAAAGCGTAATCTCTAATTGGTCGGAGAAATCCAACGTTAGATATATTATCACGGTTGGTTTTAGAAATTAGGGCACGAAACGATGCCCTTGTTTATGCCAGACGAAGAGCTGGCGCGGCTATCTAGCGATGCCGCGTCGGTGGTTGCTGAGAGAGCCGACGAGTACATACGGAAGTTGTACGCTGAGTTAGATAGTGTACGTGCGAAGGCTGATGCTGCTTCCATCACGGCGGAGCAGACGTGCTCGCTTCTCGAGCAGAAGTACCTCTCGCTCTCTCAGGATTTCTCTTCCCTTGAATCTCAGAATGCACAACTTCAGTCCGATTTGGACAATCGTTTAGCTGAACTCGCAGAGTCTCAGGCACAGAAGCACCAGCTCCATTTGCAATCGGTGAGTGTTTTTTTTTTTTGTGTGTGTTTTTCATTTGTTGAGAAATTCCCAATAGCTTACCGAGTTTCCGGTTGTTCTGATGCAGATTGAGAAGGATGGAGAGGTAGAGAGGATGACGATGGAGATGTCGGAGCTGCATAAGTCTAAGAGGCAACTCATGGAGTTGCTGGAGCAGAAAGATGCCGAGATTAGCGAGAAGAATTCCACCATTAAGAGCTACTTGGATAAAATTGTGAGCCGCTTTCTATTTTGTTACTAACAATGGGCTCGAGCGACATGTATTCTCAACCCTAATTTCTTGTTCTAATTGCTTTCTCAGGTTAAGCTGACTGACTCTAATTCGGAAAAGGAATCCAGAGTTGCTGAAGCCGGCGCAGAGTTGGCACGCTCCCAAGCCATGTGCAGTCGTCTATCTCAGGTCAGATTACTAATTGCACTGTATAACTTTGATGTAATAATAGTATATGTTAGTGTTCTTACAACAATTGTTTATGACATATGGGTTGATGAAATCAGGAGAAAGAGCTCATGGAAAGGCATACCAAATGGCTTGATGAGGAGTTAACATCCAAAGTTGACAGTTATGCTGAACTCCGTAGAAGGCATTCTGATCTTGAGGCGGAAATGTCAGCCAAGCTTGTGGATGTATAATTTCGTGGCTTATTCTCTTTGTTTCATTTTTTTTACTTTTCTAAAATGCTGTTCACTTACTTCAGTAACATTTCCTTTCTCTTCCAGCTTGAGAAAAACTATAATGAGTGTTCTAGCACGTTAAACTGGCATAAGGAAAGACTGAGAGAGCTCGAAACAAAGAATACTTCGTTACAAGAGGTATGCATGGCGTAAAACAATTACCCTCTTTGTTTCTATTAATTTGTGCACTAGGAGATTTACTTGTTTTCCTTCGTATTAAAAGGAACTCAGCTCGTGCAAAAATGCAGCAACGACCACTGAAGAGCAATACAATGCTGAACTTTTCACGGTAAGTTTTCAAGTACTTGTGTTTTTAAACATTGAACCTGATTTCGTCTCTCTTAGGTGACTGGAGAGCTAAGTATCTTATAGATCTTGTTGAGGAATTTCATATTTTTAGAAAGTAGATCTCCCTATTTGTTGTTTAGTTCAATCTAATCCATTACTTGGCTGTTGACATAGGCGAACAAGCTTGTTGAGCTGTACAAGGAAAGTTCGGAGGAATGGTCTAGAAAGGCTGGCGAACTTGAGGGTGTCATTAAGGCCTTAGAGGTAAACTTGATGTCACGAATCAGAGGAAATGGATTATGTCTTTTTGTGTTTATATGTTCCTCTGTAAAGTTCAAATTATGACAAAGCAGGCACGGTTGAGCCAGGTCGAGAGTGGTAACAAAGACAGACTTGAGAAAGAAGTGTCTATTAACCAGCAGTTAGAGAAGGTAATGAGACCCTTGATTTCCATTGCTTTATTAAACATATGTTGCTTAGCTCGGTTAACCAGTTAGATGGCATCCATTTCAACTTATATTGAGGCTGCTGCATGCAGGCAAAATTGCTGTACTCAACCTTATAATGAGATATGACACTTTAGATATACTTTGATTGTTTTCTAAAATATATTATTTCTGTATGTTTTCTACGAAGTTCTTATTTTTAGTATTTATGTGTGGGAAATTGTTTCGGTACATGTTATACTTTCGGATCTACAAGTTTCTTTTAATTTATTTGCTAGAGAGATTAATTTTTGACATCTCCAACTTCAGGAAAATGAAGACCTTAAACAAAAACTGGAGAAGTGTGAAGCAGAAATTGAGAAAATTAGGAAAACAGATGAGCTAAAGCTTATACCTTTCAGCAGTTTCACAAGGTATGACTCATTTTTCTGACAAGAAGTTGTTCATTTCTCTCAAACCATTTTATAGCCACGCGAAGAAATGCTATATATGCATTTTTTTTGTATACTTGCCACTCATACTTGCTACACATCTAGTTATAAAATGGAGCCAAAAACAAGTAAAAGTTGGGGTTTAGTAATATTGGTTGCTTCAAGAGATTCACTTCCCTACAGATTCGATAGTCCCCACCTATATCTTCTCTTACTATATAGGCCACTAAGTTTTTTGTAAACCTCCTAGCTGTTGCTAAATTACAAAAGTTTTAAGACTTGTAGGGGTTTACAGTGAAGTGATTTTGTTAAGAGTGTTTGATCCACGGAAAGAGATATTAGTGGTATATAATTAATGGTTTAATTGACCTAGTGTTCAGGGAACGATAAAATTCTCACATGTTTTCTTACTTTGTTCCAGAGGCAGAGTGGTTGACGATTCTGGGACTAGCAACATGATAGAGGAAAGCCAGGAAATAATTTCTAAGGTTCCTGCTGGTGTGTCAGGAACGGCGCTAGCAGCTTCACTTTTACGTGATGGATGGAGTGTGAGTTTCAGTCTTAGTATATATAAGTCAGTTTACCAGCGTCTCAACTCTATTGGTTGTGTATATATCATTCTTCCTTTTTATGTAGCTGGCCAAAATTTATGAGAAGTATCAAGAGGCTGTTGATGCCTTGAGGCACGAGCAATTAGGTCGAAAGGAAGCTGAGTTGATACTACAACGGGTATGGACTATTTGAACTTTTGAGTTTAAATGTTAATGTTATCTACTTTTGTTTTGTCTCTTTTTGTCTAAGCTTCGCTATTATTTTTTCCAACTGCAGTTCACTAATCACATTAGCATAACATTTTTCTTTTCCTGCTAACTTAAGTGAGACACTTTATTTTGATGTGTCAATGCCTGATCAAAACATTTAAGGTTTCCTGCTTCTTGTTAAAGCTATGTCTCTGGATTTTATCTTTAAACTAGAATTTTGGCCTTGAATCTTGCTTTTTAGGTTTTATCCGAACTAGAAGAGAAAGCGGGGTTCATCCAAGAGGAAAGAGGTATGATCCAATTTGTGCTCCCGAAGGTTTATTTCACCTGTACATAATTTTCTTAATCTTGTTGGAGACTGGAGCAGCATGATTAAACCTATATTTGGTGCAATCTGTTTTTTTTTTGTTTGTTCCCAGGTGAGTATGAACGGATGGTTGAAGCTTATTCTCTAGTTAGTCAGAAACTTCAGGATTCTGTATCTGAACAATCAAATATGGAGAAATTCATCTTGGAGCTAAAGGTAATTGGTATTATCGTACTGGCTTTTTAAGATGTATATTTGTTCTATTCTTATCCTTTTATTTGATCACAGGCTGACTTGAGGAGACATGAACGTGAAAATATTCTATCTCAGAAAGATATATCTGACCTACAGAAGCAGGTAACTTGACAATCTATTCTCCTTTGTTCACCATGTTATGATTTTATCTCCATATTTGTTGTGGTCTTCAGTTTCTAGACTAACATGATTTGCAATATTATTAGTAGTTCAGGCTTTAGCTCACAGATATATTCGTAGTTGGTTGCCTAATCAATTGCGACTTTGTTTGTGTATACACGATTTAGGTTACACTACTACTGAAGGAGTGTCGTGATGTCCAACTTCGCTGTGGAGCTGCCAGGGATGATGACGAGGATGATCATCAGTTTTCTGATGTTGAGATGGATATGGAATCTGAAGCTGATAAAATCATTTCAGAGCATCTTGTAAGTTTGAGTCTGTTTCTTGACGTCATGTTGTGTGTTAGATTTTACTTGTGAAATAAATTGTGGATGACTAATGCATGTCCTCTTGTTGGGATGAATTTCAGCTTAAGTTTAAAGATATAAATGGACTAGTTGAGCAGAATGTTAAGCTCAGGAATCTTGTTCGCAGTCTCTCAGAGCAGATTGAAAGTAGGGAAATGGAGCTGAAGGTATGAAGGATTTTAATCAGTTTTTGCTTTGGTAGAGTGTGAAGTCTTAAAATAATTTTTGGAATTTCAGGAAAAGTTTGAAATTGAGCTGAAGAAAAAGACTGATGAAACTTCTTCCAAGGTAGCTATTGTGCTTAAAAGAGCTGAAGAGCAGGGTCAAATGATTGAATCACTGCACACATCTGTAAGTCTTTCCACCCTTCAATCTCTTCTTGATTGGAATACTTGCTCAATTGCGCTTGGATTTTAATTTGATTATTTATCCTGCACATTTCATTCTTTTCAGGTTGCAATGTATAAACGACTATATGAAGAGGAACAGAAACTTCATTCATCTTATTCTCGCTCTTCAGATTTGCCTCCAGGTTCGAGCTCTATACATCAGTATGAGTTTAGTGACCATGTGTTCTTGCATACCCTCAATCATAGACTTCATCGGTTAAGTTTAATTAAATGAGGTTTCAGTTTTGTCTTTGAATTATAACCCTTTCCATATTTTTACTCCAAATTTCATTAAGGCTGAGTGGTGATGCAAGAAATCTTGACTATAGTTGATGCAAATCTCAAATTCAAACAAAAAAGTTTACTCGTTGTGTTTGTATGTGTGTTTTACTTCAAATTAAAAATTAGGTTAGGAAGCATCTGGATTTTTAAGTTATGAATGACAAGGGTACTGCGGAATATGTAACATACATAAAGTGTTCGCAGGCTGTTGCATGCTTTGCTCATTATTTGAAATACATAGTTTCAGTGGTACATTAGTTTGAAAATGGCTTGACAGAGATGTATTTTGTTAGCTGTAGTGCCAGGGAGGAATAACTTCTTGCATATGCTTGAGGATTCACAGGTATGACAGATTGCTAAATCTTTCGTTCCCTTCTTTCTTGTCGTCTCTTTTGGCGCGTCACTCACCTTGACTGGATTACTTGCTCCAGGATGCTACTAAAAGAGCCCAAGAAAAAGCTTTTGAACGCATCCGAAGTCTCGAAGAGGATTTAGCGAAGGCTAGGTATGTTTTTTTATTTGTGCAAGAAAGTTTGTATGGTCAACAAGGGTACTGCGGAATATGTAACATATTTTCTGGGTGTATTGTGAAGTTAAGACCTAGACTGTATTAGCGAAGGTAATAAAGTATGGGAAGTGTAGTGGCTCAGAAGTTTAGTAAGAAACGTGTTTGCACATGCCAGTAGATTGCTGTAAACACTCTTTTAAGCTTATGCGTTTGCAATACTTATGTAGTTTTCCTAGAGAAGTTACATGAAGTATAATCATACATCTTCATATATTTTTATTACATACGTGAAAGAAGTCTGAATGGTATGCACAAAGTGTAGCTAATAATTTTTGTCATTTTTCCTGTACATTTTGGTTGCTAGCTAAATCAAACTTTTATTAACTGAGTTTCTTCTTTGGATTTTAGGAGTGAGATAATTGCGATAAGGTCTGAACGGGATAAGTTGGCCATGGAGGCAAATTTTTCTAGGGAAAAACTAGAGGGCATCATGAAAGAATCTGAACGCAAGGTGATCTGTCACAAATTCATGTCATTAACTGCTTGTGTGGATTGTGCTTTCTACTAAGTTTTCATTTTATGTCTTTATATCAGAGAGAAGAAATGAACAGTGTTTTGGCAAGAAACATTGAGTTCTCGCAGCTGATCATTGACCACCAACGGAAGTTACGTGAGAGTTCCGAGTCTCTGCATGCAGCAGAAGAGATTGCTAGAAAGTTATCTATGGAGGTAGTATATCAATCACACTTGATTTTCTGTAATACTATCAGCTATAGGTCTGTATGATTTAATACTAACAGTCATCTGTGCTATAGGTCTCTGTTCTAAAACAAGAAAAAGAAGTGTTATCAAATGCTGAAAAAAGAGCTTATGATGAAGTTTCTGCGCTATCTCAGAGAGTTTATCGTCTTCAGGTTGAAACATGAGAGTTGCGCAAATACTATCTTAAGTTATGCATATTTTTTGTCTTTTGGCTAACCTCATGTGATGCAGGCTACCTTGGATACTATACAGAGTACGGAGGAAGTTCGCGAGGTAACAAAACTACCTTGGATTTTAGTTTACTAATTCTATACTGTGAGGATCAAAAATTAATATCCTTGCCAAAAAAACTCAGGAAGCAAGAGCTGCTGAGAGAAGGAAGCAAGAGGAGCATATCAAGCTACTTGAGGTCTATATCAGATTTAATATTACCTTTTTGTTGGCACATTCATTAACTTTCTTTAAGATTATTATGTAGAAGAGTGAATATTAAGCGATTTTTTGGACGGGATTTTCTCAGAAAGAATGGGCTGAAGCTAAAAAAGAATTGCAAGAAGAAAGGAGCAATGCGCGGAATAGCACTTCAGATCGCAACCAAACTTTGAACAATGCTGTAATGCAGGTAGAAGAAATGGGGAAAGAATTGGCTAATGCCTTGAAGGCTGTCTCGGCAGCAGAGTCCAGGGCTTCTGTGGCTGAGGTACTGTTTCAAGTCTATTTCACCTTCCTTTAATAACGTAGTTTCATGAACACATGGACCAATCCCATAGTGCATCGAGGTGTTGCACATCACCAGCACCCGACAGCGTTTAGTATGGCCAGCTCCTAGGTTGCATACTTTAGCTATTCTACGTTGACCTTTCCTAGATTGTTTTTTTTGGTTGCTACTTTTGTGAAGTGAGTCTTTGCATGTTATTTGGTTTGTGCGAATTGGCTTCACTGCTTCTGAACACGCCTGATTGCCACAAGATTACTACATTTCCTTTTTTCTGAGCCTTTGTTTGTGATTTGGCTTGATCATTTTTGGCTGTTATAATAATTATTATTTCTGTAAATGTGCAAAATTAGGCTAGACTTTCTGATTTGGAGAAGAAGTTAAGATCTTCGGATCCTAAGGTAAATATTTTTCCCTTTTTCTAATAACTGAATTGTAGACTTGATTTCAAACGGCAGAGTCCTCGGTGGAATTTGCAATTACTAATTTGTTCTTGTAATGATTTCATTTTCACACTTTTAGGCTCTTGATCTGAGCAGTGGTGGAGTTCTCTCTCTTTCTGATAATGAGGTCAGTGTAGTTCTTCAGCGATATTTATTAAATTTAAATTCTAAAATGGGATTTAAATTTGTTCAGATTTCTTGGTTGCAATATTTTTTGAGACTGCAAAGGTTTATTATTGTAAATGATGTTTACTTGTTGCTATATAGCAATCAAATATAAAATTGTTTGATGATCTCTTTTGGCTGTTGTTGTTATTTACTCTAGATATCCGCAGAACTGCGTAATGCTGAGGAGGAAATGGAAAAATTGAGGGGAGAAGTAGAATCTAGCAAAAGCCATATGCTTCAGGTATTTCCTGAATTGTCTTTAATTACTTTTGATTTCATCACCACTAGGAACTGACCTTGTGGACCATCTTGCAGTACAAGAGTATAGCTCAAGTGAATGAAACTGCGCTAAAGCAGATGGAATCTGCCCATGAGAACTTCAGACTTGAGGTATCGGTTATTATGTTCGGTTGAAACAATTATTCTCATCTCGCTATGTCCATTGTGATAGAATTAGATCTGTTGTAAGTTTTAATTTAAAATCTGATGGCTATATTTAGGCTGAAAAGAGACAAAAGTCGTTGGAAGCCGAGTGTGTTTCTTTGAGGGAGAGGGTGTCAGAACTTGAAAACGACTGTATTCAGAAATCCGAGCAAATTGCGACTGCTGCTGCAGGAAAAGAAGGTGCTCTTGTATCAGCATCAGCTGAAATTGCAAGGCTGAGAGATGAAAGCTTAGTTAAAAGGTAAATGTTCTGTTACGTGGCAAATGTATCTTTTTATGCGTGGGCATACATACACATGCTCGTCCTTAAATTTACATATTGTAATTTATTGCAGTTCCCAAATCGAAGCAATGAATATCCAAATGTCCACTTTGAAGAATGACCTGGAGACGGAACATGAGAAATGGCGTGTTGCTCAGAGAAATTATGAAAGACAGGTTTGTTAAGGCTCTCTCTATTTTAATAAACATTGTGATCATCATGCATATTCACGTTGTTGGCTGTAATACTGGTTTTTATTGAATCTAGAAACTGACATGATTTCACTACCCATCCTGTTGCTCCATTTCATGAAACTGTGGTCTTCTGAAAACTCTATTTCATATTTGTTCTCCTTTGCTCCAACGAAATCTCAACGACCTCTCTTTTTGTTTTTTTACTTTTTGGAAACCAGGTTATTTTGCAGTCTGAAACTATTCAAGAGCTGACGAAAACATCACAGGCTTTGGCTGCCCTTCAAGAGGAGGCATCTGAACTACGTAAATTGGCAGATGCAAGGGGAACGGAAAATGTAACTTCCACTCATTCAAAACTTCACTATAATTTTATTTCCCGCAATTATTGCTGTTCAGATTCGCTAACTGTTGAGAAACATAAACTTGAGTGCTGATTCCTGACACTTCTCAATGTTCTATATGTTTTTCAGTCCGAGCTTAACTCCAAGTGGAGCGAAGAGAAATGTATGCTAGAACAGCAAAAGAATATAGCGGAGAAGAAATATCATGAACTCAATGAACAGGTGGCCACTGCTCTCTGATCTTTACCTTCTTTGGCTATCTTATTGTTTTCCATGCATATGACATAAGCAATACGAACTTGGCACATTAGTGTGTTCTATTCTTATCATACATGATGATGCTAGTCTTTTCCTGTTCTTTTTGGGGGTCCATAAGGCTTTATCCTGCATGTGAATTTGTGTAGAGTTTTAATTCATGATCGTGTTACGAATATTCACTAATCTTAATTGGTCTCTGCATCAGAACAAATTACTTCATAGCCGACTTGAGGCTATGCATCTTTACTCGGCTGAGAAAGATAGCCGTTCTGGAAAAATATCATCTGGGAGCACTGACTCGGATCAACTTGGAGATTCTGGTTTGCAAAGTGTAGTTAACTATTTACGCAGATCAAATGAAATAGTAAGAGAAGTTCCTTTGTCGGATTGCTTTCTCTTTCTTTGTTCCCCGTCTGCGTACTGGTTGGTTACTTAAGTTTTGTGCATGTTTTTTGACAGGCTGAAACAGAGATATCACTGTTGAGACAGGAAAAATTACGGTTGCAATCACAAGTGAGTTGTTGTCTTCTATCATTTACCTTAGCTACCGCATTCCTTTTTAAGCATCACCTCTTCTCAATACACGTACACATGCTAAGAGTAAATTCCACTATTATTTTAAGAGTTTTGGCTGCATTTTGAATTTTCTTGCAACTTGTTATTGTCTAGCTTGAGAGTGCTGTGAAGATGGCAGAGTCTGCCCAGGGATCACTCAATGCTGAGCGGGCCAGTACCAGGGCCTCATTATTGAGTGATGATGAAATTAAATCTCTCCAGCTTCAGGTAAAGTTGAATGATGATTCGATATCTGATGACACATGAACAGATTGTCTTGCTGCTTCAGTTCTTTTTAATTGAGTTTTCTGTATTGCCAAATTCAGTACTCTCTGCTTGGAGTTTATCTTTTGGATTTTTTAACTAAGGTTGGACTGAAACTATTTGCAGGTTAGTGAGATGAGCTTGCTCCGTGAAAGCAACATGCAACTCAGGGAGGAAAACAAACACAATTTTGAGGAGTGCCAGGTCCGTACTGGAACTTTCAGGAATATTTCTTCTGCTTTATTTCGCTTGAGTGACTAAAGTCCATTGTCACACCTGATTCTGTTAACTATCTTAGAGAAAGCTGATAAAACTTGTTTGACACTTCAGAGATTGCGTGAGGTAGCTCAAAAAGCTAGGACGGAATCCGATAATTTGGAAAATTTATTGAAGCAAAAGCAAACCGAGTTAGAATTGTGTATGAAAGAGATGGAAAGGCTAAGGAAGGAGACGGATCTTCAAAAAACGAGGGTTGATGAGGCAAGCCCTTCGAACATCTTGCGCCATATATATTTATTTTCTCATTCTTAGTTACGTTATTTTTTTTTGACAAAAACACTTTACTTTTCGTTTTGTGAAGTTGCGGGAGACGTATAGAAACATTGATGTTGCTGACTACAATCGCCTCAAAGATGAAGTGCGGCAACTGGAGGTATGCTTGTAAAGATAATGTGACATAGTTGAAATTTCCGCAGTAGTCATGTTTTTTCCATGGGTGTGTATGGTGCTAATATCTCTATAAGTTAACTAGATTTGTTGTTTTGCAACAAGTTACAATGTCAATACATGATATGGTACCATTGTCTGCTGAAGGTGGTTAGTAAAAGACTGTATATCTAGACAGTACTTAGCATCGAATTTCCTGGTCAATGAAACGTCTGGGAGGCATCTTTGTCTTTTGTTTTACCTTTGACGCTGATCTACACAATGGCATATCGATCATCGAACGCATATATAATTCTAGTGTAGGATCATTGTCTTTTTGGCTGATGAGGTTTTCTGAATATTGCGGATGCTATAAAATGTGTTGAAGTTGAATTTGAATTTTTGGGAGCCCCACTGTTTAAGCTCTGCTTTTTCCATTTCGTCATCATATCCTTTTTGACGCCACGATGTGACCTTTTAGGACAAGCTGAAAGCGAAAGATGCTCATAATGAAGATTTCAAGAAGCTTATGTTAGAGAGGCAGAATAAGATATCGCAACTAGAGAAGGAGCTAACAAACTGCCAAAAAGAACTGAGTGAGAGGGAGAAGAGGTTGGACGCTGCTCAGCAAGCTCAGGTAGAATGAGAAATTTAGCGGTTACATGTAGAAGTGCCCCATCTAGATCTGTTAAACCCTATCTCTGTACTTTTTGTAGGCGACTATGCAGTCAGAGACTGAGAAGCTAAAAGCAGAGTTCTCTAAGCAGAAAGACGATTTGGAGAGGTACAAGAGAGCCTATTTTAACTTGAAGAAAAAGTACGAGAAAGAAAAGGAGGATTTGAGCAAAGAGAACCAGTCACTCTCTAAACAGTTAGAGGAAGCCAAAGAGGGTAATTATTATTTTCAAATCCGGTTGGATAAGTTTCTATTGGTGTTTGCTCATGATTTTTATTGCTGTCAAAAGCTGGAAAGAAAACAACAACTGATGCTGTGGTGGAGCAGGCCGTGAAAGAGAGAGATGAAAAAGAACAAAAGATTCAGGTATCAAAATCAATCGTATTTGTTTCTGGCTCCCTGATTTCTGCTTAAATGTGTTTCTGTGTGTTCTTAAACGGCACATATGAATGACCTCTTGCTGCAGATTTTGGATAAGTTTGTTCATACATTGAAAGATGACCTGAAGAAGAAGGATGACGAATTAACTAAAGAGAAAACGGAACGCAAGTCTGCTGAGAAGGTAGTTGGAGACTACTTGACCAAAGTTAAAAAGGTTTGCTTCTCTCCAGCCTCACTTGTGTCTCTCTTGTCAGTCACATCTCGCAGGGCATTGTTAGAAATTTAGTTCTTCCAAAATCTCCACTTTGATAATTCTCACCCAGTACCTTATAGCTCATATGCTCCCTATCTGTGTCTCAGGAGAAAACAAAAGTGGAAGAAGAGCTTGTTAAGCTAGAAAAGTATCAGACGGCTCTGGCTCAGCTCTCTGAAGAATTGAACAAATTGAAGCAAGCGGATGGAAATCTTCCCGAGGTAAATAAGTTATTAATCTTTTGGATTTATATATGGTTTTAGAGTAATTTCATTTAATTTACTAAGAATGTTCGACTATCGTTTTTCAATAGGGTACTTCAGCTCTCCAGGTTCTCTCTGGAAGCATATTGAATGACCAAGCCGCCGCCTACGTATCAGCTGTAGACTATTTTGAACGCATGGCTCGTACTATTGTCCTCAATTCTCAAGGCAGCACAAAATCTACTGATATGGTGACTGAACCTTCCTCTGCTACAGTTGAACCTTCAGCCATTACCAGAGCCTCTCCTTCAAAAGCTCAGGTGGCAACTACCCAGCAGCCACCCAAAGCATCATCAGACATGAACAAAATGAAGAGATTGACTTTACACAAACCAATCGGTGAGGTCCGCAGACCGAGTAGGAGGATTATTCGTCCCCAATTTGGCAAACCAGAGGAACCTCCGCAAGGTGATGTTGAGATGCCAGAAGCTGAGGGAGCTGGTAATGAAGGAAAACAGCCTTCCTCCCTTGTAACAGAGCGCCAAGGAACTACAATTGTACCACCTGTTCAAACACATATCCGTAAACGCCAGGCTGATTCGTTGGCTTCTGAGCCACAGCCAGGGACTCAAGGGGAAACCAGTTCCGAGACTGCCCCACCTGCGTCGAAGAAGCCGAAAGGTTCTGAGTCACAACCGGATACTGCCGAAGTTGAAAACCTCTCTAAAGAGGCAGATGTGGATGAATCCATGGATGCTACTGCTGCTGTCGATGGTGACAATGAAGAAACAGAAGCCGAGACCGCAGAGGAGGAAACCGAGGAACCTGTGGAAGCACAACAAGAAAGTGAAGCTGTAGGGCAGGATAAAGCTGATGAACCAGTAGAAGAAAATCTAACTGAGACAGAAACCATCCCTACCGAAGAAGAGTTTAGGGATCAGACCGAACAAGAGAATCAAGATCTTCTGACAGACGTGGAATTTGATAAAGAAGATGGAGAGCTCGATCTAGATACACTGGAAGATCTCGACGAGACTACGGATGTAGCTAGCATGGTGAGGAGTCCAGAGAAAGAAGAAGCACAGCCTGAGACGCTAGCTACACCCACACAGTCACCAAGTAGGGTGGAAACAACAATGGAGGAAGCGGAAACCACCATTGAACCACTACTAGAAGATGTTAAGAACGATGAAGGAAACGATGTAGCTACTGAAGAAGCCTCTGATAAACCCAACAATGGTAACGATCAGCAAGCAGCAGAAACCGATCTCAGGCCAGAGACCACAGTAGCTACAACCTCCTCTGTAGCTGCCACTCCACCTACTTCCTCTACTCCAAGCGAAACTCCAGAAACAGAAGAAACCAAAAGAGCACCGTCACCAAGTGGGACAATTGACATAACTACGAGAGCAAAGGAGAGAGCAGCTATAAGACAAGCCGCAGCAACCACTATGGGAGGAGCCGGAGCAGCCACTCAAGGAGGAACCCGAACTGCTTTTCTAACTCCCAGAGGTCGTGGTCGAGTTTTAAACATTCGAGGAGGCGTTCGACTTCCTCCTAATCGTGGTGGCCGAGTCCCACCGCGTGGTGGACGTGGACAACCCCCGAGCCAGCCGTGATTTGTAATGGGTCCGTTTCATCATTTTTCCACCGGTTAAGCCCTACAAGAGTTAGGCAGGCAGGCTCTTTATGACGGTAGAGAACTCATTTTCATGATTAAACCATTTCTACGTTTTTGTCCTCCGATTTTCAGATTTCACTATAAAACCAATTCCTATCATTGCCAAAGATTACAAATTGCAAAACATGGTAAACACAAATCCACGAAAAAAATAAAACTCAACATTACATCATACAACAAAACAATCAAACAAGAAGCAACTCGCTTGTTATAAAATCAAAGCAATCCGAAACAATCGGACGTTTTATGTTGACCCTTAAAACCCAAACCAAAACACTACAGCTTCTTCTAGTTAGTCCAGAGTTCCAGTTAAGTCTGGCTTTTCCTCTTTGACTGTATTTGAGATCTCCATTGTTTGAAAATCAGCAACCAAGTCTTCCTCTTTCTTCTGTTAGACATAAGAGAGAAAGAGCCCATCGTTAGCATACAATATATAGAACAAAAAGAGGATAATGTTTGTGAGAACTAAAGAGGAGAAACTCAGGACCTTTAATACATGAGAGAACCTTAGCTTCTTCTGTACCATAACCTTCTCTCTGTTTTCATAAAAATCGAAATCATCCAATATAGATGTCTTTGCTGCATAGTTCTTGAAGATGTTCAACACTTCATTCCCTTGTGGCAACCTCACCTATATATATGAAGGAAAATGTTTAAACAGTATAAGATGAGTTCTTCTTGACGATGATTCACTTTCTTGAGCCTCTTTTAAAAAAAAACTATTTTTTTACCTCTTGTGTGTCTCTGCTATTGGTTACAGGCTTGTTCTCATTGTTCTCTAGTATTATATGTCGTAACTGCGGATTTGGAACATCTTTGATGATGTGCCACTTGACCGGAAAATAGCCGGTCCACTTATCTTGCTGCCAAAACTCCATGCTTTTCTCATAATCCACTCTCCCAGTCATCTCAGCTACACCGCAGAATTGGCCACTTGCATTAACCTGAATCCAACCAAAACCGATCAGATTCCACAAGGGTGTCACAAAAAAGATAACTGATATCTCCAAAATCATACTGCATTACCGAGAAGAAAAGGAAAACCGGGCAGTTTCCACCGTTCTCTGCCATCTTCTTTTGAGATTCTTGATATGCACTGTCTAACTTCTTGTTCCCATTGAGAGTACTTGACCAGACATTGTACTTGATGCTCTTGTGGATGTCGTCTTCGCTATAAGATTTGATCACGAAGAAGACTGCTTCCTCGTATTTGGTCTGAAAGCTAGAGAGGTTATATTGATCCCTTCTGATCACCGAACCTACACCGTTGCTTCTTCCATTCTCTTCAACATCCAACGAACAGGACTCACATTCCCCATCGGTAACATGATCTTGAACATTTGCAGTCATGCTATTACCATTTTCTTTGTTTCTCGCTTTCGACTTCTCTGTTTCATCTCGGTTTAAAGCTCCAGACTTTTTCCTTAACGGGTCCATATGGTACGCGATTCCACCTCTTTCTTGATTGTTGTTCAGTGCGAGGGGAGCATAGTTGTTCTGTAATGCATAAAAAGATGACTCAAATCTTCTCCAATAAACGTGAAAGAGAGAAGAAACAAAGGAAAGAAAGGTTGTTACTTTTCGCGGTGTTCTAGGCCGTTCTCCCATGCCATGACCCGTGAAAGAAGTCTTGCTCTTTGAGTAATAATTGCTATGGTTATGACTTGAAGAAGATATGTTCTGTTTCAAAGGCTGGCTATTTGAAGCAACACCATACGCATACTTGTCTCCAGTAGGGTCCCATAAATAGGTGGGCGACGAAACATCTCCATAACCATATTGGTTCTGATAATATCCTTGAGCTGCGTACATAGGTGAATGAAGCGCGTGACTCGATACACCAACCGGGCTTATAGGCATGTAAGTGGGACTAGCATCATAAGATTGATGAAACCCTGGCATCAAGTAGATCAAAGATCCATTTTCCCCTTGCATTACCTTCAAAATCAAGATCAAGAAAAAAAGAGTCAAGTAAAATCTCGATTCATCAAGAAGTTATTGATTCCTTTATTCACAAGGAAGTTTTGATTACCGGGTACTGAACCTCTGTTCCATAACCATAGTATCCATTAGTATCCTTTGCTTCTCCAACTGAACCATCAAGACCTGTAAAAAAAAGCACACACTAATTCAGAATACGAACATCCAAAAAAACAAACTTTAATTATTCCAATTATCAGTGTTTTAAAAAGAAAGCAAAACCTGGATAGTAGAATCCATAGTAACCACCATAAGGACAAGGCAGGCCTTGATATGTCTCAAGAGTTTCATAATATGGCTCTGACTTATTCTTCTAAACCCCAGAGACCAAATCAAAGACACATAATGTTAAAAACGCAATCATCTTAAATTAACAGAGAAGAGAGAATGTTCTCAGAGAAATTATGCAAAAGAAAGTGAAGGTTTACCATGGAAGTGGTGGAGGCAGTGACCTTAGCAAGAGGATCAACTTTAAGGTTCTTCACCATATCTTCAAATGGCTGAAACATAAAACAAACGTTCCCCTAAGAGAATCAGATTCAGAAATCCACCAAGAAACCAATCAATACACAGATATATATGCATATGTATAGAAGAGACACAAACATCTTAAATTTCTTTTCGATGTAAGAAGACAGTTTTGAAACGTGAACTGATGTCTGAATATTTAGTCGTACCGATAAAAACTAACAACTAAGCGTGAATGAATGATATCTTTATATTATTTTCTTTTTTCTTTTTAAAGATAAGACTTTTGCGTCTAATCACAAGAAACAGAGCACTAAGCACACATATACACCCATATATATGTATGTATAGTTGTATACAAACAAAGAATTCACATAAAGGTGAAGCGAAAAAGTTAAAGACTCATAAGAACAACATAGACTACACACGTGTGTGTGTGCGTACGTGCGTGCGAAAAAGAGAGAGTACATTTACGAGGATGTTTTGGAACATGAGAAGTCATCGACGAAGAAGTACCAGAAGATATCATAGGGATTAATATTATGTAATTGATTGAAGAAAACGGAGGAAAATTTTAAACTTTTCAAACTAAGATAAAATTCAAAACACAGAAGAAACCAAAATGGAATTTTCAGTTTTACAGAGGGTTTTTTTCTATATAGAGCATAAATTATTTTTAAAAAATTAAAGAAATCTCTTCATCACGAAGAAGACATCAGCAAAAGATATCCTTTTTACCTGAGAACAAAGTAGAGATACGGAACAGAGAAAACAGAGAGATGAGAGAGAAGACGGTAATGGCTGATGAAGAAGAAAGAAGAACAGAGAGGATTTTTTTTTCTCTTATTTTTGTTTTCCTTCTTATTCTTATATATTAACTAATTTATTTATTATAGTTGCAAAATAAAGAAAAAAGAGAAATTAAAAAGGAGGTCGGGAAGAGGTACAGATGGAGGGTATAGAATAGTCCACGTCATGGAATCGTGGCATGAATGAATGTGAACCGATGGATTAGGCTTAAGACGAAAATGAAACATCTTTTCTTGCCAACTTTTCCATCTGGAATCTATTCTTACACAACTCTCTTCAATGTGCCTTCAAAAGGTAATTAAAAGTTATAAAAAAAGAGAATCTTAATTTCGCATTAGCTAACACAATTAATTCTAGAGATTATTTTCCATATGAATATATATATTCTATGAAAAAAATGAAAGTTAGGACCAATTCTCATGGTCTGGCAAACAATAAAAAGAATATAATATATTATTAGATAGTTGGAATTTTATAGATTTGACCCTATCTCTCTCTCTCTCCATGTATTCTTCAATCCGAGCAATGCCACATATGAGAAAAAACCATAGAAAATGCTTCCTTTTTTCCATTAAAAATGATATAATCTATGAGTTTTAGCATTTTGTTTTACTCCAGTATTTTTTCTAAACCACACACATAGGCACACATATTTATTCTTTTTATTTAAACATCTACACACCTATTTATTCTTGAATGTAAACAAATTTCAATATATATAGTTTGATGAAAAGAGATGAACAATTTCTATACGCTACAGTAGTTGTTTGGATATATATTAAAATGTTATTTAAGATTGTAGATTGAGATCTCATGTTTGCTGATATGCTTCCATTATTGCAATCTGAGTTTTCTTTTAAAAAATCTGTATCATTAGGTGTCAAGTGGCCCATTCGTATATATAATTGTATCTATCTACGCTTCCCACCAAAATCCAGATCCAATTCATAATTATCATTTTAAAATTGTTCCATAAAATAGGTGATATTAAAAGTCTACAAGTTTAACTATCCTAGAAAATGAACTCTAGGAAAAATTTCTCTTTATTAGATCGCGACTAAGTAATTTTTGCATCACCTTTCCAATATTAGTATTATATATCCAAAGCAGATATTGCTTTGGGATCAAGTATATTTGTCAACATCGCCGAAGAAGCCAAATAACCCCCAAAAAATCATATGAAACTATTTAATACAATAATCCAAATTTATGGAGCGCAAGAGAATTACAAGGTGCCACGTTTTGTCTTTGCCGTGGCCTAAACGTGTCTGCTTCACATCTATATGATTTTTTTTGGTTTTCAGTTTTCTTTCCGTCTTTTTTTTTTTTTTTTTATGTATTTAAGTGCTGTTGTTATATGTGATTACGTATATGTACAAGAATTTAGTTTATAAGAGCATAAGTAAATAGCAATTTTAAAGGCTACAAGTATTTATTTAACATATATAATGCATATATATATATATCGATTTAGTCTATAATGCATATATATATATATATCGATTTAGTCTTACTTAATTTTGTTGACTTTTGCATCAACATAACACAATAAGAGTTGGTGTGCATATTATAATTTCCAAAATGAAGGATACAATAGTGTAAGAGAAAACAATTAAAGGGCTAATTCTGTGAAATCTGCAGATGTTAATCTTGACCCAAATGGACTCAAATCACTTTGGGCCTTCACATATAAGACGGACATCAAAATGGGTATTTTGACTTTGTTATTGAAAGGCCCATTTTAACTCCCTCAAATCAAATTATCAGCTTCTCCTTCTTGATTCTGGTTACAAGGTACGTTGGTGACCCAACGAAATCGCTTACAAAGAGTATCAAAATGTTATTAAACAGCGGGTTTGCACAGGAGAAGTGTTCATCGCTTCATCGGTAGTGAGAATTGCAGGTTTCAAAGCTTCTCGAGTATGGCTTTAAGATGTGGTTGAAGAGGGTTTGTGGTTGTACTCATATGAAGCACGTACACTAGTTTTCCATTAGCCAATGCAAACGCTCTGCTTATCTCCTCCACCTGTGTATTGGAGAAGACAAGAACCAAAAAAGAAAATCCGAATCAGAAACGAAAAGTTGTGTGCAGAGAGAGAGGAATTGGTTAAGTGGTAACTATGAAAACTTATCGCAAGTCTTTTTAAACCTTGGATGCGTTTCCCACAAGCTCACTTTTGAGTGTGATCGATCGCTCATCTATATTGTACGTTCCGTTCTGAGATGGAGTTTAATCAGAACCAGAAAAACATCAAGTTGTGATTTTTGATTGTGTTTTTTGCAGAGTTGGTTATAGAATCTAGAAGGGAAATTAGGAGTTACCTGGACCTCGACGAGACCTGTGCTCTGAGCTATGACGACTTCAATGGTACCGTCCGGCTTCGGCCGAAAGAAGCCGCTCTCTGCGTGCATCGGCTCTCCTGATTCCAACTTCCATGTCTTCTGCGTATACGCAATCACCGGCTAGAGCAGAGACAACACACAGTTGGGAAGAAGATAGTAGGCAAAGTCAAAATTAGCTTCGAATTCGATCGGTGGGGTAAGCATATTTAGGGCAAAATCGAATCCAGGAAACGAGGGAGTTAATTGTTACCTTGCCGGAATGTGAGAAACGGAGCTCTTCGCCGTAGCGGAAGGAAGGTATGGTTGGATAATGACCTTCGCCTTTCCCTCTCCACGTTCCCAAGAGATAAGATAACGGCGCGACGAACGGGTGTAGCGGCGGCGCTTCTGTAGGTATTGGCCGTCGATTTTCGCGTTCTTCCATCTGATCCCCAAAATTTTCAACTTTCGGGAGAAACATCATCTTTTCCCCTGGACAAGTGTAGAGTAGTCAACGAAAAGTGGAGCGTGGATCTTACGCGTGTAAATTGCGCGTGCGCGTTTCTTTTTTTTTAACCAATCTGCTAAAGCATGCCCAATAAGAGTGAGTAGGCTTTAGACTGGCCCAAAACGAAATGTATATTGACGGATCTAATTAATGTTGGGTTGACTCAGCCCCCAAACTATACACTGTCTACTTAAAATCCCCTAAATTATTGACCTCTACATATTTCCACTCAAATAATTTTTTTTCTGCCTATTCCCCCAAATTCAATTAAAAATTAAAATCGCAATCAATTTACAAAATCACATTTTAGGTAGATTGCATTTTGAGGGAAATATACAGAAAACAAACTTTTTGGATAGGAATATGCAAAAGTGTAGTTTAGAGGGGAATACACATAATTTATTAAGTTCAGAGGGCTGAGCGCAATCAATTTAGTTTTTAAGTTTTTCAAAATATTTAACACATGATTAGCTTAATTATATCCAGAATATATATTTGTGTAATAAAATAAATGTATATTTTTATTAAAAGTGATAGTAATATAACAGCACAATTAAAAAACAAAACTAACATTAGTTATTATACATACATAAACATATTATTTAATTGTTTTAAAATTTTGATTTGAAATACTAATAGAGAAACTATTTTTTTGGATATACTCGATATCATAGGACTTATTTACTTGACATTAAAAATCTTAACTAATGCAAGTTTATCATTCTAATGTTTCGAGTATTTTCATTATAAATCCCTGAAATAAACGAATGTGTTGTTAAATCAGGCCATTAATAACTCATAACACATATAGGTTAGAGACTTCAGACTTAGATATATGTATCTCTTGTGCTTAAATTAATACATATGAGTAGTGAGTGGTTAGACAAAAAGTTGAAACCTCTTCTACACCATTCATGGTTCGAGTATTTTTATTTAAATTGCTAATAAGAGGATTGCATGAAATATATTTTGAGATTTACTTAACATTACACAACTTATTTATTTGATATGGTACGATTTAATTAATATAAGTTTATTATCCTATTGTTTCACGTATATTTGAAGTGTTAATAAGAGAAACTATTTTTTTAAATTTACTTTATTATACACAATTGGTTTACTTTACACATATTTTATTTGAAGTGCTAGTAGAAAGAAGTGTTATTATACAAATATATATTATGGATATAATTAAGCTAATAATGTATTAAATATTTTGAGAAAACCTAAAAATTAAATTGACTGCGCTCAGCCCCCTGAGCTTAATAAATTCTGCATATTCTCTCATAGACTACACTTCCATATATTCCCACCCAAACAATTTGTTTTCTGCATATTTCCCCTCAAAACGCAATCTAACCAAAACGCGATTTCGTAAATTGATGGCGATTTTAATTTCTAATTGAATTTGGGGAAATAGGCAGAACAATTGGGAATATGCAAAGATCGGTAGTTTGAGGGGTTTTAAATAGACAATATATAGTTTAGGGACTGACGGCAGTCAACCCATTAATGTTTCTTTTTGTTAAAACTTCCCAACCTAATTAATTGACGCTTAGCCTTATATGTTAATGTTTTTTTTTTGTTGTTGTTTAAACTTATGCTAACATTAATGTTTGCCGTAGGCCCCCGTAACGTTAATGAAATGGAATTCTGTAATATTATTGTTAGAAAAGTATCTATTATTATTAATATATACGAAGGTGACAAACTGATAGAGAATGAGAAGAAATGACAAATGATCATGGTTGGAGAAAAATCTATACAGAAAATAAAAGAGAGAGATAATGAAGGGGAGAACACAATTTCCTTTGTCGTCAAGGGACAGACCTTTTCCTCCCTCCGCTTCTCCACTTTCTTTGGAACACAGAAAATACTTTTTCTCCATCCATTTCTTTTCCTTCCTCTCTTTTCTTAATTAACCACTCTCCCTAATTTCCACCTTCTTTTCTTAAAACTACCGAATCATCATTGGTAAAAAGAAGATTTAGTTTTCCTGTAAAATCCCTTCATGGTTTCCCCAAACTATAGACATGAAAGGTAAACGTTGCAATCTTTTCTAGCTCCACTTCTTTAGTTTTCCTGCAAATAATAAAAAAAAATAACAATAAAAAAAAGTATACGTACCACGACGTGCAGACCAATCCTTTAGCTAGATTCTCTATTCAACAAGACACGAGGAGGAGGCGTTCACATTCGTGCCCTGCACCAAGTAATGTCCGCATTTGGATGATAAAGGAACTCAACCCAAATTGAACTTTAAAAAAAAAAACAAAAAGCTTTAATTTTTCTTACATTGACACAGGTTTCTCTGATCTGCAAGACTCGCCGTGCTTTCTCGCTGGCAATGTTATCGAAGCACGGAAAAAAGCTTGACTCCTCCGAGGTAGGTACTCGCGAAGGCTGCCCTAACTATAACGATCGTAATTTGCATTTCTATTTAGCAGTTTGAGATGTTTTCTTTTTCGTTTCTTGTGCAGCCAAGTCATCATGTCTCGTCCTTGGGGCCAAAAGAATCAGCTAATCACACAAATTATCCACCGTTAGATATCGTTCATCAACCTCCACAACCACGCAGAGAGATGCAGAAGCCGTCGTTCGATCCCAAGAAGATGGAGAATCTTATAAAACCAGAACCGGTTGGGTTCAGCAATCACCACCGCCCTAGCCCCAGTCCGAGAATCCCATCATCACCTGGTTCCAACATGACCGAGTCACAACCGGTCAATACATCACACCCCAACACCAAACCAAACAGTAACAGCAATAGCAACATGAGCTCAAGAAGCAACAGCATTGAGAGCACTTCCTCTAATCCTTCCAAGCCACACACGGGTGGTGACATAAGGTGGGACGCTGTGAATATGTTGACCTCCAGAGGAGTCCAGCTCGGGATCAGCGATTTCCGGCTTCTGAAACGGCTCGGCAATGGAGACATTGGGAGCGTTTACCTGGTCGAGCTCAGAGGAACCAACACCTATTTCGCCATGAAAGTCATGGACAGGGCTTCCTTGGCTAGCAGGAACAAGCTCTTGCGAGCTCAAACAGAGAGAGAGATCTTGTCTCAGCTTGATCACCCGTTCTTGCCCACACTATACTCTCACTTCGAGACCGATAAATTCTACTGCTTGGTCATGGAGTTTTGCAGCGGTGGCAATCTCTATTCCTTGAGACAGAAGCAACCCAACAAGTGTTTCACCGAAGACGCAGCGAGGTTAGTATCAAAAACCTGATTGCAGGACGACGAAAGCAATTCAATCCATAACTAGAGTTTTGTTTTCTTCTTCTTACAGATTCTTTGCCTCTGAAGTGTTATTGGCATTGGAGTATTTGCACATGCTCGGAATCGTGTACCGTGATTTGAAGCCGGAGAATGTTCTGGTCAGAGACGACGGACACATTATGCTCTCCGATTTCGATTTATCCCTCCGATGCTCCGTCAGCCCAACTCTCGTCAAATCTTCCTCCGTTCACGGCGGCGGCAGCGGAACCAGCCGGCCTGTCGGGCTCATCGACGAAGAATCGGCGGTCCAAGGCTGTGCCCAGCCGTCCACCTTCTTCCCGCGGATCCTGCAGTCCTCGAAGAAGAACCGAAAGGCGAAATCAGATTTCGGGCTTTTCGTCAACGGATCCATGCCGGAGCTCATGGCGGAGCCAACAAACGTTAAGTCGATGTCCTTCGTCGGGACACACGAGTATCTAGCACCGGAGATCATCCGCGGAGAAGGACACGGAAGCGCCGTAGATTGGTGGACCTTCGGAATCTTCATCTACGAGCTCCTCTACGGATCGACGCCGTTTAAAGGACAAGGAAACCGCGCGACGCTGCACAACGTGATCGGACAAGCGCTGAGATTCCCGGAGCTACCTCATGTGAGCTCGGCGGCGAGAGATCTCATCAAGGGCCTACTGGTTAAGGAACCACAAAAACGGATCGCTTACAAACGAGGCGCGACGGAGATCAAACAGCATCCTTTCTTCGAAGGTGTCAATTGGGCGCTGATCCGGAGCGCAACGCCGCCGCACATTCCGGAACCCGTGGATTTCTCGTGTTTCGCGAGCAAGGATAAAGAGACTATGACGGTTGCCGACGGCGGAAAGAAGAGTAACAACGGAGTCGGGGGTTGTTACAGTACCGGCGGTGGTGGTGATAACAAAATTAACGGCGGTAGTAACCCTAGTTGCCATGATCCTGATTACATTGATTTCGAATACTTTTAGCTATGACTATACTTCTTCCAGACACATACCCTTTTCTGTTGTCTGCACATTTCTAAATATATATATTTTGTATGATAATTGTTTTTTTAATCCAACCTTATTATTCATTAGAGTCCATTACGAAGTTGTATAATTCGAGGGAAAATTCTTTTATAAAATATGATTTTCATTCCGCTAACTGTAATTTTGTACATATAAAATTGAAAACATTTATTTTAAATTTGAAATCGAAAATCAAATGAGGTAATTCTCTTTTGTTTCTTGTAATTCATTCTACAATAAATTTTTTTGATAGTTTTGTTATTCATAACGAAGAATAATAATAATTATATTATTAATTGACAAACAAGTTGGTTGATTACTATTTACCTCTTATATAAAAATACTTTATTTACCCTTAATGAAATTAACAAATTAATATAATATAATTTTCAATTGATTTTCATTTTTTTAAGTTAAATTTCCAAATTCGAGTTTATATCATAAAAATATTCAGTTTACTAAAAAAGGTAACTAACATAAATCTTTTAAAAATTAATTTTAATTTGATTGTTTAACCTACTAATATTTTTGACTAACCTACTTAATTTATGCGACCAAAAGTAAAACTATAAATCTTTTAATTTTTTTTAAAACTGTATATATATTAATTAATGTTATGTTGATATGAACAAGGATCATTTGGTTTTGGTCATTTTGGATTTCTATGTTATTTTTTTATGCAAACTTTAAATTTCATTAATCTTAATCTGCCAATTTACACTAAAAGAAGAAAATTATTTATCATTTTTGATTAATGTTATGTTGATATGAAACAAGGATCCTTTGGTTTTGGTCATTTTGGATTCCTATGTAATTTTTTATGCAAACTTTAAATTTCATTAATCTTAATCTGCCAATTTACACCAAAAGAAGAGAATTATTTATCATGTTTGATAAATGCAACAAAACAACAAAGCAAACATATAACTTTATATTAGATAATATAAAAAATATTAAAAAATAAAATATAAATAATATATTTTGCTTTATCACAAAAAAACAATATACTCATGAAAATTGTATTTTTTTAAATATATTAGTTTTGGTTTCAAATAATTATAAAATCTGATTTTTTTATCTATAAATAAACTAAAGTTAATACTTTTTAAAAAAATTAATCAACCTCCGCACAATGTGCGGAAAAACACCTAGTTATCTATACAACACAAAAATTTACAGTTTCATAAGCATCATGCTTATAATTATTAACTAGTTAAACTTTTAATAAACGGAATGATGATAAGATTTTCCAATTAACAAAAAAAATAATTTTAAAAATACAAAACCCAACTAGGAGGAATAAACAAGTTGGTGTGCGGATGTGACCAATGTAAAAACGTGTGGAGGGAAAATAGTATATAAAGTTGGGCCGGCCATAAAAGCTCGACAGTGGTTAGAGAAATTGAAACGAGAAAAAGGAAATAGAAAAAAAAAGGAAATAAGAAATAAGAAATCACAGCTAGATGCATCTAACGGTTCACATTGACCAATTAAAGTCATCGAACGACAGCTGGATCATCGTCAGAGATGTTTGACTACCGACTTTGATTTTTGAATCACGACCGCTGAAATTTACATGATCAATATCTTGACCGTCAATTGCTTTTACACCTCGACTATAAATACTGGTCTCCTCTTTCACAAATCTCATCCTATCATCATCTTCCTCATTCTCTCCGTTACCTCTCGAGTCGTTTCCGCGTTGGCGTGTGATATAGATACTCTTCTGAACGCATCTCTGACCTTACGTCTTTTTGATCTCTCCCTTGATCTCACATGGGTTCCCAAATCGAATTTTGAACCGATCATCATTCCTTCACTTTTCACGGATTAATATTTCTATTTTAAATCCTATCGATGGCGTTTTCTGTTCTTGAAATCTGCTTATGGTTTTTGAAATCTAGGTTCTGGAGGATGCTTTGATCGATTGGTGATGGAATTATATTGATCTTTGTCGTCACACGTTTCCTCTGCGCTACGTCTTCAATTCTCGTTGGTGTTTCTCCTCTGAACGCATCTCTGACTTTTTGTTTCCTTCCTCACGCTTCCTCGTCTTGTGTGGATTATTTATTTCGCAAGGGAATTTTGATCCGATCATCGTCGACGCATCTGAATTTTTCACTGTTCACGGGTTAAATATGTTTTAATAGGTTTGGTCTCTAGATTGCATCGGTGGCCTTTTATGTTCCATGTTAATTACTTGTTGTCGTTTTGTTGTGTTAGATTGTGGAGGATCCTTGCTTTGGTCGATGATGGCTTTGGTTGATCGTTTTCACGCGTTTCCTCTTATGGTGGTTGATTGGTGTTTCTCTGTTTTTTGTTTTTCGTCCCCAAAGTTCTAACTTTTAATTTCCATTATTACATAAGCTGATTTTTTCCCTATTATAAGCGAAACATGTTTCTCGTTTTGATATAGAACATGGAGGCTCCAAGAGAGAATACCATCGGGATGGCTCTGAAAATCTTCTTTCCCCGTTTTAGGTTTTTCTGATTTCTCGTGCTACAGTTTGTTTTCCCTCTGAATTACTTTCCTTCGTTATAGAACGCGAACCTAGAAATTTCTATGTTGTTTTTGTGTCCCTGTCTTATTGTGTTTTCCAGATCTGTTTCACCTATTACTTCTCTCTGCTCCTCTGCGGTTTACTCACATTCAAGATGGAAGATAAATCATAAATTCTTTCGAGATGGGTTTGTTCTCTTATGTTTATGTTGGATTTACTTCAAGTTATCTATTAACGTAGTTTCCTATTGAACGTCTCTTCAACTCTTCTTTTAAGATGGCTCCACAAGTGGTTCTTTAAGGTTTTTCGTTCCTCTTTCCTTGTGAGATGTGTCTCAAATCTGTTGTTTTTTACATTCTCCATGTTGATGTGTAGGGATTCTTGGTGGGGAGACTAAAACTCTTGTCTTTCTTTTTGTTATATAGATGGTTGAGATTCCAAAAGAGAAAAGCATTGGGCTACTACTTGGTCTCTGTATGGTTTATTTGTTTTTGTGCAGTTTATCTCACGCTAGATTTTGTATGCCTATTTTGAACGACACATATGCTTTTACTTTCTTTTTGCTGTATGTAAGATGAGGATTGAAGGAGGCTTTTCATCGATGGATGGCTTTTCATCTACAGTCTTCTTCTCTGTGACTTCTTTGGTGGTTTCTTCTTTTCCCTGTTTTGGTTTACAACTTAATTACCTGGAGATATGATCCCTTTTTCCTGTTTCGACCTGTTTGTTTATAGTCCCCTGTATCGATTCATTCGGAGTGGTTTCGTCAGTGATGAATTTGAATCTTCCAGTCTTCAATGGATCAGGTGGCATGAGTTTCTTTCTACCTGGGTTTTGATTCTTAGATTCTTTTGGGCTTGTGGTTGTGTGCATCTCTTTTGATTGCAGAATTACTATTGATCGCTGTAGAATATTGGGTATTCAAGTGAAGTTATCTCCGAGCTCCTCAATGGTTGAATCTTTCCTTATTTTTAATTTCATAAGGCTGCTTCTCTCTCCGGGTTTATGTTGTTGGTTTTGTTGGCATGTTTCTTGTTGGGGTCACTGAAGGTATATGGCCTTATAAGCTTTATTCAAGGATCCAAGGTAACGTTGAAGTTTCTTCAGAGTGTTGCTCCTCCTTTTCTATGTGGAAACGTTTTGTTTTGGACAGCTCTTTTGTGTAGTCTCTGGTGATAGGTTGGCCGGGTTGGTTGAAGCTCAGATACTTTGGCTCTTGATGGGTTTGGTAATTACTTTCCTAGTTCGATTTGTATAGCAGCGAAGTTTTGCATTGATTTCCTCCAAGTATTCTACAGACCTTTTCCAGTAGCATGCGGGAGAAGAAATTTTTGTTTTAGATTGTAGAGCTTTGAAGACGAAATATTACTGCGTAGGGAAGAACGGTCTGCTTATAGTCAGGTTTCTGATTACTTCGCACCTGTACACAACTACACATCATATTGCCTCCTACAGATTCATTTTTGCTGAATGGCTATTTTTGGGAAAATATGATTTCTCTCCCTGTGTTTTTTTGTCGTTTCCAGATTTGTCCACTGCAAAGTACATCCATTTAGGTGACATGGTTATTTATAAATGGGTTTGCGCTTATTCTTTATCCTATTTTCCAGTAGCATGGTTTTTTTTTGAAGTAAGCTTTGAACTGTTCAGACGACAAGTTTGTGATTCTGTAAAAAGTTTTATTTTACTCGGGTCTCTTCGTCTTCCTCCAGATAGGAGGTTTCATTATGATCTGTTTCAGTGGAATGTTTAGTCAGAGCTCCTCTGAATCTCTGATACACAAGGCTTAAGATCCCCTTCCCTTTTTATTTTATTTTATTTTACAAGGCTACTTCTTTCCGGGCTTCATTCGTTTAAATTTGGTTTTTGTTTTTGTTAACACGTCTCTTGTTACTCACTGAAGGTTAACATCTATTCGCTATAGGTTTTGGTGATCAAATATATGGATTTTTGGGTTAGTGTATATCTCCAGTGAGACAAGGTAACGATCAAGTTCTTCTGTGTTTGCTCTTCCTGTTTTGTTATGGAAAACGTTTTGCTTTGGACACTCTTCTACAGTATAGTCTGGTGATTTGTTGGCCTTAAGGGAAGTAAGCTGTTGGTTCCTCACTGCTTGCTACATGGAATGGTTTAGTTCAGTTGACGGTTTTCTCGGCCTCTTTCCTCGTTTCTTCTTTTTGGGGGAGGGTTAATACGTTGATTATTGATATTGGCAACACGTCTTTTGCTGTTCACTGTAGGTTAATATATATCTGCTGTATATTTCGAGAGGATCCAATATATGGATTTTAGTTTTTCTTCTCCAGTGAGACAAAGGTAACGTTGAAGTTCCTCTGAGTTTTGCGCTTCCTTTTTGTTATGGAAACGTTTCGCTTTGGACACTTTTCTACAGTGTGGTCGGGTGCTTTGTTGGCTTCAAGAGACGTAATTTGTGTGTTCCTCACTGGTTTCCCAACGCAGAGTCTGGTTACATAATTAGCCTTCTCCCTGGTTTCTCCGATCCTATCTTTCCTCGTCTCTGATTTTATGAGTTTTCGGGGTTTGTTTTGTTGATTTCGGTGACACGGCTTTTTGGTTAAATATGTATATGGTTTAGATTTCGACGATGCAATATATGGATTTTTGGGTCTGAATCGAGAGGCAAGGTAACATTGAATGGTCTTGTGTGATTCGCTCCTTCCTTTCTCTTACGAAAACGGTTTGCTTTGGGCGCTCTTCTTTTGTATTGAAGCTCAGATACGGTAGCTGTTGTTCACCAAGAAGATTGTGTCTTTTGTCCTCCTTCGATGATCCTCGGTTTGCAGTTACATATATATATCATGTCACCTTTATTATATAATCTATCTGTGTTCGTATTTGGTTGTGGAAGATTTAAGCTCTGGAGATGATGTTCTTTTGTTGTACACTGCATGGGTTCAATTTTCAAGGTTTCATCTATTGCGTCTTTTTTGTTGTTGTTGCTCCTTTTAAAACGACAAGAGTGAGGCACGTATAAGTTATTTTTGCAGGTTCTGGTTGATGTTAGCACGGCATCTGATTTTCCGCCATTTTCAGAATTGAGTCGGAAATGAATCTTCGAAATTTTGGGGCGTGTATGGGCAAAATTCAATCCATCTTGTGGGGTTTCTCTCTGTAATAGTGGTGGATACATAATGGAATGGAGTCGGATTGTTTTTGTTATTGTTTGCTAGGGATTTAAAGCAAGGTTCGAACTCGTGGGTTCTTTTTGCGACATGACCTCTTTGCTAGGGGGATTTTAAAGCAAGGTTCGAATGCTAGTTCCTCTCTTCCTTGGGCTGGCTTGCATGCAAGTACTTATACCTACCTTTTGGCTAGTAGAGAGGGAGAAGTAATGTTTCCTCATCTTTTGTTTTGCTTTGCAATGGCTTGTCGCAGTTGTTATCACATATTCGAGCATACACGTTGGGGTTGAAGTTTTGATACGCATAGAGGTGTCCTCTATTGATGACATGGACCATGTACGTGTGCGGCTTTGAAACACTTGGATGATAGTTGCAGTAACATCAATTACCTTCACATCTGTAATTGTTAAGATAGAGAAGTATACAGAATAAGAGATGTCTTTTAATGACAGGTCTTAATAATAAACATGAGTTTTCCTTTTGGATCTGTCTGGATTTGGAAAAAGCGTTGAACAAAGCCACAGTATGTCTCAGGTTTTTCTTTAAGCTAATCAGGTTAATTTTTTTTTAAACTTTTAACGTCCCACTAATTGATCAGTGTCGGCTAAAAATTCAACCGACCAGGTCAACAACAAGTCAACAACTATTGGGAAGAAAAGGCACCGCGTGGACCCCATCCACCTTGTAATACAAAATCCCTATATGAATGAAATCCACACATTTCCTAAACTGTTACTTAATGAGTGACACACGAGCAACTACTAATCTTAATCTTATCGTCTTCGTATGGCTCTGCTTCTCCTCTTGGCTGTTTTCTCCTTCATTGTCGTCTTCTTGGGACTACGGCGTCTCCGTCACTTCCGTGATAGTAGAAAATATGCAACGCAGATTCCGCGTCCTGCAACTTTCAGAGGAGCTTCTCCGCAGCCGTCACTCACACCATACTCGTCCCGGCCGCTGTGGAAGTACGATGTGTTCCTCAGTTTCAGGGGGACAGATGTACGCAAAGGATTCCTCAGCCACCTCTACAAAGCCCTCACCGACAACGGGTTCCATACTTTCCGCGACGACACGGAGCTCCAGCGTGGGAACTTCATCAGCCCTGCGCTCTTGGAAGCGATCCAGCAGTCGAGATTCGCCGTCGTCGTGCTCTCCGAGAACTACGCCACCTCTCGCTGGTGTTTACAAGAGCTTGCGCATATCACAAAATGCGCCGAGAAGAAACACCTCGAATTGATCCCCGTCTTCTTCGGCGTTGATCCTTCCCATGTGAAGAAACAATCTGGAAACTTCGCAAGGGTCTTTGCCGAACACCAAAAGCTACCTGATACCGAGACGGTGGAGTCATGGAGAAAAGCTATGGCCCAAGTGGGATTGATCTCCGGCTGGGATTCAAGAAACTGGTGAGCAAATTTTCTTTACTGTGAATTATCAAGTCCTCGAAACACAATCAAATTTCATTGTTTGAGAAATGTCTACTTTTGAGACACAGGAACGAGGAGTCGAAGCTCATAGGAGAGCTTGTTCAAGATCTCTCAGACAGATTGTTCTCACCGGTGTCATCAACTGATAGTGGCGAATGGGTTGGAATGAGTACACACATGAGAAGTGTATATCCTTTGATGTGCAAAGACCCTAATGATGTCCGAATGATCGGAATCTGGGGAATGGGAGGCATTGGTAAAACCACCATCGCAAAATACGTTTACAAAGGCTTCTTGAGCAAGTTCGACGGTGCTTGCTTACTAGAGAACGTGAAAAGAGAGTTTAGACGAAATGGTCCATCGCATTTACGCGATAAGATTCTGTCCGAAATCTTTCGCAAGAAAGACATGAACACGTGGAACAGAGATTCCGATGTGATGAAGCAACGATTACGCGGCAAGAAGATTCTTCTTGTCCTCGACGATGTTGACGAGATACAACAGCTACAAGAACTGGCTGGAAGCCCTCAGTGGTTTGGACCAGGAAGCAGAATCGTTATAACCAGTCGAGACAGGCGTGTTCTTGATCAGCATGATGTGGAACGTATCTATGAAGTTAAGCCTTTGAGGACTACGCAAGCACTTCAGCTCTTTAGCAAGCATGCCTTCAAGCAGCCTCGTCCATGTGAAGATTACAGAGAGCTCTCTATCGATGTCGTGGAGCAGCTTGGTGGCCTTCCGTTGGCTCTCCAAGTCGTTGGGGGATCTCTCTATCGTCGGGATCTAGAGTTCTGGGAAGACAGACTGGATTTACTGAGAAGTAATAGCGATAATACTCTGTTGAAGGCATTGAGAGTAAGTTACGAGGCATTGGATGAGCTAGAAAAGAAGATCTTTCTTTACATTGCGGTTTGTTTCAATGGAGTGTATATGGAAAGAGTAAGAAAAGTACTAGACTTGTTTTTCGTGTCATCCAGGCGCAGAGCGTTTCCCACCAGACCGAGCATTGTAGCTCTGATGGAGAAGTGTATGATTAGTCTGTCGAAGACAAAACGGTTATGGGTTCATGACTTTCTCCAGGACATGGCCGAGGACATTATATGTGAAGGCAAAGACGAGAAGCCATGGAAACGTTTAATGCTTTGGGATTTTGAGGATATCAATCACGTATTCTCCACCAATCTGGTAAGTAACCTCACTGTTATGTTACATCTCTCATTCTTGCATCTAGACATATGAAAATGTGACTTTTATTTATCACTAGGGAGATGAAGCAATTGAGGTGGAGAGCATATTGCTGGACATGTCTAGAGGAGATGTGCTTAACATAACCCCTGGAATCTTTGAGAGGATGCCAAATCTCAAACTGCTTAAGTTTTATGCCAATTCCAGCAATGGAGAGAGCAGGACAAGGATGTTAGATGGTCTTGACTTCCTCCCTAGGCTGCGATATCTTCGCTGGGATGCTTATAATCTGAAATCCTTACCATCTCGGTTCTGCACTAGCTTTCTTGTTGAACTCAACCTCTCTCACAGCTCAATAGAAACAGTTTGGAATGGAGCTCAGGTACCCTTTAGATAAAGTAAATACCCTCTCTCATGTTCTCCTCTGGAATGAATCTTGCTGATATCTTTTTTTCTTCTTCTCTACGTTATTATGGTGCAGCAGGACCTCGCAAACTTACTGAACCTAAACCTCACAGGCTGCAAGCACCTCACCGAGTTTCCTGACCTTTCGAAGGCGACTAATCTTGAGACACTGAAACTCTCCAATTGTGAAAACTTGGTGGAGATCCCTGGCTCTTCTCTTAGTCAACTCAACAAACTCGTCCACCTAAAACTGAGCAACTGCCAGAAACTACGGAGCCTCCCAAACAACATCAACTTAAAATCTCTCAGGTTTCTCCATCTAGATGGATGCTCTAGCCTGGAAGAGTTTCCACTTATCTCAGAGACCATCGAGAAGCTGTTACTGAACGAGACAAGTATTCAAAAAGTACCACCATCAATCGAACGCCTCTCTCGTCTCAAGGAGCTACGTCTCTCAGGCTGCAAGAAGCTGATAAATCTCCCAGACAGCATCAAGAACCTCAAGTCGCTCATAGATCTCGGTCTCGCTAACTGTCCCAACGTAACATCATTCCCAGAAGTGGGGACTAACATAAGATGGTTGAATCTGAACAGTACAGCCATAGAAGCAGTGCCTTCAACAATCGGAGAGATATCAGAGCTTCATTACCTCAACTTGTCTGGCTGTGACAAGCTCGTGAACCTTCCTCCAACGCTGAGGAAACTGGTACAGCTTAAGTACTTGTATCTTAGTGGTTGCACCAACGTCACAGAGCCTCCTGAGCTCGCTGGGACCAGCACAATGAAAGCGTTGGATTTACATGGAACATCGATAACAAATCAATTGGTTGACTCCAAGAACGAGGAGCCTCCTCGGTGTGAAGTACCTGTCATTAGACGCTTCTTCATGAAGAATGTTCGTGAACACATCAAGAAACGTAAATCCAACAGATGATAAGGATCAAATACTAGATAAGGATCACCATTAGGACACGTGACTCCTGAAGAATGACTTCCACGTATAACATTTCCTCGGGCCAGGTGGCAAGGATAGAGGGTATAAATGAGTTTTGGTGGGGGCAAAGGGAAAAGATGAGTGAGAGAGAGAGAGAGATTGGTGCAAGTGTAACAAGAAGAATGTCAGGAGCGCAAGGAGCAGAGCCGATGGGGTCAAAGACGGCAACGACTTACGAGTCGGTAGAAGGAGGACAGAACAAGACGAAGCTTGATATAAGGTCAAAGGAAGACGAAGGTGGAATTCAAGTTGATAAGCTTCAGGACAAGGTCTCTGATGCTGCTGGTCTAGGCGGTCCTGTCTTTGGCGCTGGTAAAGACGACAAGAAGCAGGATCTTGGTGTTACAGGCACCGGCTAGCTGCTACATCTCTGTTTTAATATACGGTGCTTTCTGGTCTTGTAATGTTTGTTTAAGAATAAACCAAAAACAAAAATATCAATAAAGTATATACTTAACTAATATGCCTCTAGACTCTCAACTTAACACAAATCAAATCTGTTACCGGACGGACATGATAGTGGAATGTGTCACACACAGTCAACTTATCGATATGTACATGACTGAAAGTGGAAATTGTTTTAAAAAAAAAATAACGAACGACCACGGTGGGACTCGAACCCACAATCTCCCGCTCCGGAGGCGAGCGCCTTATCCATTAGGCCACGCGGTCATCTTTGCCAAAACTTATCTGTTACATTACTTATATTTAACATATCGGGTTTTCCATACTCTACCTACAAATGTCACTTATGATGTGATCATGACTGTTTCAAGATATTTGCTTCCGAATCATAAACAATTTTCTGTTTGTTGATTTTATTCGAAAGAAAACAGAGAATAACCTTTTGTCATCAGAAGAAGATGAAAAAAAACCAACATAGATACAATTCTCTTTTACTTTAAACCAGCAACTGGATTTTGATTACTTGCCAATTTCTCAAGTTGAACATCATTATTATATCTGTGTATATGGCTTGTAATCTTGTTGCTAGCTTTTCCCTTGGGAATTTTTATGAGGAAGATTCATCACCTTCCATGGGCAAGTCTGGTTCTGTTGCCCATTCGGTCCACGAGCCATCGTAAACTGGCACATCGGTTTTTCCCAGCCGGTGAAGCCCCTAACAGAGCAAGCAACCAGAGTCAGACTCCTCTCCACCGTTTATACAGAAATCTCAAATAGAAAATGGTGGATGGAGTAACTTACCATTGCCAGGATGCAAGCTGTTACGCCAGTGCCACACGAGGCCATAATAGGCTTGTCCAGTGAGATGTCTGCACCAAAAAAAGCCATGAAATCTTAACACTGCTTTATAGAGATAAGATAGTGAAACTCATTCTGCAAGTGGAGATGAAATAGTTTACCTTCTTGTTCAAATCGTTTCTTCAACTCTTCTGCTGGTAACAGTGTTTGAGAAGAAGAATCAAACATCTGCAGAAAGAAGAAAATTATCACATTAGCTGCTCAACAAGATGCAGCAGAGCAAGTGAAGGAAGGAAACAGATTCTCTAGAATTTATGATAACAGCCCATTCAGGTCTACCTGAGGAAAAGGGACACACTTGCTTCCAGGTATATGACCGCTTCTTATTCCCTTCCTGGGTTCTGGAGCAGTACCATCAAACCTGTGCAAAAAGAGTAAATCCACTATATCACACGGTACAATGAGCACTATATCACACGGTACAATGAGTATCGTTTTCTAATGACGGAACCCTAGCGAAAGCATTTCATCAGTGATAGCTTTGCAGATCAGAGTACCTGGCTTTGGAACGAGCGTCTATGTGTTGATATGTCTGATCCTCCATATTATTCTTGACCTGTGAATTGACCAAACCAGTATAAAGATACTGAGTTATATAGCAGAAATTACATTTTCACGATTAACAATTTTGAAAATTGGGTCTTCATCCACAAACAGGATATATAGACAAGTTAAGGAACATGAAATTGGGTGAACTTTACGACTCTCATACAAAGATTTGAATTTGTGGTTCAATAGACAAGAATGACCGTGGAAACAATTAAAACTATATAACATCAATACCAAGACAAAACCGTTGAGCAAATGCCAACCTGATCAAGTGCCCACACTAGATGTGGCTGAAACTTCGTCTGAAAGGTTATTGGACTGACCTGCGGAACCACAAGAGACAAAATTGATATGTGGAAAAAACGAAGAAGCACATCTTCACTCCTAAAATCTCACCATGGAAAGACAAAATAAACCATTTCCGTAAAACCTGACTTACGGTTTGTCCTTGATATATTTTCTCTATAGCCTCACTTGCGGCACTGGCTTTCAAAATAGCATCACCTGATGCACTAGATTCAACATCATAACCTGAAGCACGCCATCTTGGTAAACCTCCATCGAGCACCCATACTTTGTTATGTCCAAAAACTCGGAACATCCTGTTTAGAGAATTTAAACAAGACCTGAGAAAAGGCACAGAACAAAGCAAAAGAGTATAAACGAGAGTTATAACTCACCACCATACACGGGCTGCACTAAAGATCCCCTTTGCATCATAAACAACCACTCCATCTTTGTTCTCAATTCCAAGAGCAGAACAACCAGCAGCAAAAGCTTCCTCAGTCGGCAACATATGTGGCAACTGTTACAAGAAATTGATATATCATATTCGATGGCCGCCTTTATAGCAAACAAAGAAATTCACAAGCAAGAAGTTACAAAAGTGCAATAGGAAATTTAGGATAACATGATGTTAAGGAGCAAAGAGTCAAGATTTATTCCATCAATCTCATAGAATGAACAGCTACATACTCCCTAATTTTAGTTTGAATTATCCTGAAAATGGCAGCACAAGAAGATACTAAATATCGATAAGATTTCACTTATTCATAAAAGCGATATCAATGTGAAGTCGAGAACTTAAAAGTTAACAACACGGTTACATCTTCCGTAAAAGGGGAACATAGTGATACTTACACTTGTTGTTCGATCTGATATTCCATCCAAATCAAAGAAGAGAGCACCAGGAATATGAGCAACCTGTAGGAGAGAACAAAGTCCATCAGCATCAGGTAATGTACGAACTCCAGTAAAAGATTTTGTTTATGTACTATATCTCACCTAGAACGAATATAACACAAACAATCGTGGAATCAAGAGAATATCAATAATCTAACTGCTCATACTCTCACCTGATATTCTTGGATCGGATTCCTCTGCTCTTCTGGCATGTACCATGAAGCATCCAAGACCTGAGCAGAACAGAAACAGGTAAGTTTGAGTATGGCAGACAAGAAGAATTCAAGTGGCACAATTACCTTCAAATCAGGCTCTCTAAGATTAGAATGGAGCCAATCAACAGAGACAACAGGTTCATTGGTTGATACGGATGAAGTCGAGTAGCCTGCTTTTGCCCCAACTCCAGCAGAAGCCATGGCTCCACGAGCCCATGTAGTTGATTTGCAGGCTGTAGAAGCAGAGCCTAACTGAGAGTGAAATGCTCTGTTCTGCAATTATCATCACCACACACAAGAAAGAGAAGACCAGCCAAGGAGTCAAATTTATAATCAGAGAACGAAACGTAAGCAATTTCCAGTGTAAACTCATAAAGTCCAGTTTCAATTGAGTGACACAGACCTCCTCAACAATTACACATCCTAATTCCCAATTTAAAACATTTTTCGAAAGCTCGAAAGCACACTAGAAGCAGTGTCCAATTATACAAACAATCCAAAACACGAAATGAAAAATCCAGAACCCAGAAACAAAGGCAGCGATCAAACGAATACCCAGTTGAGAATAGATCGAGAATCAAATTCGATTACGACTTACACTCAGAAAGGCGGCGAGATTAGGGGTGTTTTGAGGAAGAAGAGAAGGAGTAATCAAGCGGTGACTTGTAGCCAAAAACCTTCTGGAGAAAAGCGTCGAAGCCATTTCACCTTTGCAATGCAACTAATTATGGGTTGATTTGAAAAGACGCCAAATTTTTTATTTGTCAGATTCCAAGCGATTTATATTTTTTAATACGGATGAAATTATCACTGCTGCCGCCACGAGCTGGTCAGGAAGAGAAGCCACGACTAGGGCGCGTTTCGCTACCCAAAACGCCGTTTTGACAATAACAAGATACAAACTAATCCGGTTTAACTAATTAATTCGGGTTTTCATTGATAAGATAAGAGTAAGAGCAAACCGTAACCAAAAGACGAACCGACGAAAATCATTTTTTCTAGAACATGGGGGAGTTCAATATTTTAAAAACATCATTTTTGATTTTTACTTTTCAAAAAACTTTTATACCTAACTTAATGGAATGCGTTTCTTTTGTCGAACATTAATCAAAAACTGAAATATGATTTTTTGGGGTTTGCAAAGTTGTCAACTTTGATCGTCGTTTGAATTGATTCCCTTAAATTTCTTAGTTCGGACAAAGCGAGCAAACAGCTCCCGTGCAGCTTCGGTCGCTTTTTCTTTTCTTCTTACAGCAACGTGGCAGACTCGTTGTTCTTAGAGAAGTGGTGCTCACTTGATAGCTCTGGGATCCCCTCTTTCTGGAAGAAGAAAAACAAACACATTCTATTACAATCCTAATGTAGATGACCATACTATCAGATATTATATATCACAATTTATGTAATAACATAGAATCATTAACAAGTTACAAAATTTCAAGCTTCGATCTGATTCGAACGTCAAAATCAAAACTGGGAAGTGGGAACAGAATAGTCTTTGATGCTCGTAACTTACAGGAATAGATAAGTCACTATAAGACTGAAATCCCAAACCAACAAAGCGATTGCAAAGAAACCAGACAAAACAAACTGAAGTTCCCACTGCCCCACCAGATTTTCTCGTGATACAGAAGAGAAAGTATATTAACCATATAGGAGAAGAAGAACATACACTCGGAAGACGAAGAATCTTCGCTCCGTGCTCTGCTTCTCTTCTTCTCCTTCGGGGCTTCGTTCGCTTCCCATGGTTTTTTCCGACTGACTACAAAAAACAGAGAAGGACATATTTATTGGATTCAAAAGGGGAATCCTTTAAGCACATATTTCTTGGATTCCACAGCCAAACGTTTCATGTTTTTGGATTTCTCGTATAGGTGCATCAACTCGGCTGCAACATCATGTGGATGACACATTACATAAACCTTCAAGAACCGTTTTTGGCTCATCCTTAGCGCTGTGGCAATGTTCACTTCTTCTACCAGCGGCTTTAGACCCATTTCAAAGACTCTCTTCACGAGATCCACACGAGGCCTTATATGAGTCTCGAGGTTGGAGAGAAGCAAGGAAGGGTGTTTAAGCACGGAATGAGCTGGAAGCTTCATCGATGCTATGACGAAAGTCATGTTTCTCTGAACTTTCTCAACTGATAAAGTGAGAAGGATGGGGCATTTCCCACACAGATGCCAAATCTCTTCCTCTGAGAAGCCGAACTTTTCCAAGTTTGCAACTTTCTCTTGGATCGTCTCCATCCTCGAAACCCCGATGATGGCTGCAACGTATTTGAACATCTTGGAGTCTCTGGTGACCCCCGTTTTCTGGATGTACTCAAACTTCTCCCTGTTCAAGCTCGTTCTTGGAATCAAGGTGGGTCGGGATATCAACATTGCGACAAGATCCTGTTGGCTGAACCCCAGCTCTCTGTAGAACTCTATCGCGGGTTTGATCTTTGCGTCGAGGTCATACAACATGAGAGACGGATTCCGGATAATGAGTTTGCGCAACACGTCTTTTGACCCCAAAAGCTCCACGAAATAGTTGATCCTTTCACCAAGGACGAGGTGAATACGGCGGCTAAAGAACCTCGGACGACAATCAACAATCTTCACAAGGTCTGATGATGTGATGCCCAGTGGTGTAAGAAGGCTTAACTTCAACTCTAGCTGAGCAACATTGGCTGTACGCAAAGCCGGCCTACGAGTAAAAAGCTTTGATATTTCATCATCGTTACAACCCCATTTCCGTAGAGCTTCCATAGGACTAAGAATCAGCCTCAGTTTCTCTTCTTCATTCAATCTCCTAGAGGATACAACCGATGACGGCTCAGAGCCGCCAATGCAGTCTTCAACTTCGTTCAGGCATAACGTCGAATACCTTATGGTTGCTGAGGCCAATAAGGGATTTCTGAAGCCCACTTTTCTGATCAAGCTCGAACTAGTAAACACTAATCTGATAACGGCTAAGATGTTCATATTTCTCTTCCCCGTTGAATGCATTTCAAGCTCGTAATCTCGATTGTGAAATCTGGAGAAGCAAAATTTCACCAAGCAGTAGCGGCATCTACAGGCTTATTCAGATGCCTTCTTCCCATTCGATTTCCAAAAGGAACAAAAGTAGCTAGAAAATTTGCGATATTTACCACATTTACCACCATGAAATTTCAGGCAATTCACGAAGCTTGTGATGAACACACTCCCGCCGATGAGAAGAATCGGAGAAGGATGAAGCGATGGAGACTGATCGGGCGATACGGATCGGGTTCCCGATACTCCGAGTCAAAACTGAAAATGAGACATAAATGTTAGAGTATTTTGTAATTTACAATAAGTTTGAAGTTTACAAATCGAGATCTCTACTAAACGTCGTCGTTTGAGGCTTTATTTTATATTTTCACAATTTTTGTTTCATCTTTTTTTTTTTTTTTACTTCCAAAAAAATTAACCGAGAAGACGTTTTCTGCAAGAAACCTAAAGCTTATTATTTCTTCACTTCGTTCGTCTCTCTCCTTTCTTCCATTATTCATTATTCGTTGTTCGATCAAAGGTAAATCATATCTAGCTAGCTTCATGGAATGGGTTTCTTTTGTTTAACAGTAATTGAAAACTGAAATATGATTTTTGGGTTTACAAAGTTGTGTCACCGATAAGTTGTTCTGCTAATTAGGTTTAGTCTGTGGTTTTAGATTTTAGCAGATTCAGAATGGGAGTTGTGAGAAGGGAGACGAGACGTCGTTCACCAAGGCTGGCGGAGAAGTATTGGGAGGCTCGTCGTAAAAAGGTGGAGGAGTATTGGCGTCGAGTGTGGGAGTCCGATGTATGTTTATATGGCTAGTGATGTTTTTTTCTTTGTAGCACAAACCCTTTCTAAAATATTCTTATTTGCTAATTTGTGTCTTAGCTAGGGCTTCGATATTGATCATCTGAAGGGTGGACTAGGCCGTAGTGGAATGGTAATTTTCAAGTGTAAACCTGATGATTACTCCGTTTTACTCCGTCTTTATGCAAAGACGGGGCTTCATCGATACAATATGCTGCAGGTATGTACGTACATCTTTAGTCTTGTTGTCTTTTGTTTTTCTTGTCCCTTATTAACTTGTTTTTGTCGCTGTGTTGTGTACTGACAGGGGACAAACCTCCAGCTTCATCACATAAAGAAATACAATAGAGACGATGAAACAGTACCTTCCTCGTATTATATAACTTTGGTTGCAAAGGATCCATCTAAGCGCCCCCTTGTGACTTTTCAGACTAGTATTCACGAATCATCATTTAATGCGTTTGATGTCGGGTGTTATGTTGCTAGACCTAAAAGTAAAAGTGAGATGTTTCTCAAGCCCCTCTCCATCATCTTATATATCAGTCTCTTGATCGAGTTGCTTGCTAATTAAAATTTATCTGTACAGAGACCAAGTGTAGGCTTTGGGATGACGAAACCGCACCCCAGTTCCTCAATTATACCGCGCCTGATCAATGGCCCTCTGATGATGCTTTGGCTGATAAAAACCGGTTTTACGGATAGGGTATTTATAAAGTCGGTTTTTTTTATTGAAATGTTTGTGCTTGCAGCACAAGCTATCCGATTTAAAGATTGTGGAGGCAGTGATAGAAACCGAGCAAACTGTGGATCCGCCGAATGAGAAACTCAAGGGAGCCAGAAATGCACTCATCTACATTGAATATGAGCAGGACTTGGGCGATGGTTTGTTTCGTAAGTACAGAGCTAGAATCAGAAGAACCGTTGATTTGAGAACGTCACGCCTCAGTCTCGTCGGCAAAAATGAGCAAGTACTGTCTGAAGAGAGTATGTTACTTGCACCGGCGGAGATCGACTAGTGAATTTTCACTTGGCCAACCAAACCTGGATTTGAATCTCAATGCTGTCTTTCGTTTTTCTGGCTGGTTGTACAATTTTGATGGGTTCATGCTTCTTTATAACTTTTTGAACTTGTTTTCTTTTCAATCATTCAAAAAGTCTCTTCGTGCGACAATCAGAATTCATGTTGGGCCCCGATACCGGGTCGGGTCTCCGATACCAAATAAGTTAGTCCATTTAGATTAGTTGAACTCAACATATTTACTATGTTTTTTAATAAGTAAAATAAATGTGAATCTTGTTAAAACATTTTTTGTTGGTCGAAGAATCTTGTTAAAACATCTAGTAAGTATGTTAAGTTCAACTTATTTTTATAAATGGACTGAATTTGTTTTTCTTTTTCTTTTGGGCTTCATATAGAATTGTAATGGGCTTCATATAAAACGGTATCGAATAGATCTCTTGTAAACGTCGTCGTGTCTCATTTTACTTTATTATATCCCAATTCTGGTTTCATTTTACTTGCAAAAAAGAAATCGGGAAGACTCTCACTGCAACCTTTTCTGCAAGAAACCCAGAGCTTATTTCTTCACTTCGTTAATCTCTCTCCTTCTTCCATTGTTCGTTGCTCGATCAAAGGTATGCTATCATATCTAGCTTCATGGAATGTGTTTCGTTTGTTGAACATTAATTGAAATCTGAAATTTGATTTTATGGGTTTTACAAAGTTGTCAATTTGTGTCTCCGATTTGAGCTTAGGGTTTGATCGTCGTTGTTTGATTTGATTCCCTTATAATTCTTTAGCTCGGATTTTGTTATCTTGTTTCTCCATTGAGGCTCTTTCTATTTTTCATCTAAGCTTTTAGTCAGATTCAATCGACTTTGCTCAGACGTAGCTTTTCGCTTGCTAAGTTGTTCTGCTAATTGGGTTTAGTTTGAGGCATCGATGATGAAAATCAGCCTGTGGCTCGTTTGATGTCTGTGGTTCTATGTTTAGCAGATTCCAGCGGATTTGTTAGAAGATTAAAAACGAATTTGCACCTTTTTTTTTTACAGATTTATCAGCTTGCTTAAGGTGCAATGGGGGACAGTCAGTACTCGTTTTCTCTCACTACGTTCAGGTATGGGCTTGCTTAAGCTATCATATACAAGTACATCTCATTTCGAGCACTTGGATCTGTTTTCCTCGGGGTTTAATTTGTGCTGTGGTTATGGAAACAGCCCATCAGGGAAGCTGGTTCAGATAGAACATGCCCTAACAGCTGTTGGATCAGGCCAAACATCATTGGGAATCAAAGGTTTGTCATCATGACTCTTGTTGTTTAAAATCATGCTATCTAAAAGAGACTTTATGGAGCATACTTGTTTTTATATAATCATATGACTCTTGGGTTTATTTATGCAGCTTCAAACGGAGTTGTCATTGCAACAGAAAAGAAACTTCCCTCTATTCTGGTTGATGAAGCGTCGGTAAGTTGTGATAATCTTTTTCTTTTGGTCAACATGTTTTGTGGAACTTTCGTAGGTGCAATTAGCTCGTTTTCCTTCTACCCCTGCTTATGGAAATTTCTTAGGTGCTATAGTTATAGCAACTGCTATGAAACTAATGTTAATATAATGTAAATTTCAGGTTCAAAAGATTCAGCATTTGACTCCTAACATTGGAGTTGTATACAGGTTCTTCCCCTCAGCTATCTGTAGCTCTTGTTTAATTAATGATTTGGTTTTGTAGCTTGAAAATTGGATTTGGGTACTTAGTGTCTCTCAGAAGCTGTTTTTTCCTTATCGTGCCTTCATCAGTTTAACTCTAACTTTGGTGTTTCTTTCTATGAAGTGGTATGGGCCCCGACTTCCGTGTTCTTGTGCGAAAGAGTAGGAAGCAGGCTGAGCAGTATCTCCGATTGTACAAAGTAATCCTAAAGATCTCTATTTTGATCTACTTTTCTTGGAATGATTCGTAATGAGTGTTTGTTTAATCTTCAATTCTTGCTGGTTCGCATAAACTTTGGATTAGTGAATCTAGTTGATATATATTGGTTCTCATTTATATAACTCAACTTCTAAGGGTTTTTTTATTGTTGCAGGAACCCATTCCCGTTACCCAGCTTGTAAGGGAGACTGCTACGGTGATGCAAGAGTTCACTCAATCGGGGTAAGTAACATTCAAAATCTAAACTGTTACTTCCTCCCATACGCTCAACACAGGGTTACTGACTAGCTTCATAGATTGAAGATTGATTTGCCGTATCCATAACTAATGAATCTTGCTTCAAATTTCTGTTTCCTTGTCCTGTTAATAGTGGGGTTAGGCCGTTTGGGGTTTCTCTACTAGTGGCTGGGTATGATGACAAGGGACCACAACTATATCAGGTATGTAGAACATTAGAGAAATATAACCATTGTTGCGTATGTTAAAAGTATCTTATTTCAGAATCTCATTTTTCCTTAGGTGGATCCCTCTGGCTCTTATTTCTCATGGAAAGCTTCGGCAATGGGAAAGAATGTTTCGAATGCAAAGACGTTTCTTGAGAAGAGGTGATATGATTTTACTATTTGTGATATTAAGTATCTGATCTTGGAAGCATGTCATGACATCATAGTCTCTTATCAGGTACACAGAAGACATGGAACTTGATGACGCCATTCACACTGCGATATTGACATTGAAGGAAGGGTGAGAATTTTTATACGAAACTCTTATTTATGTTCTTTATATGTTTTAGCATTCTTACAAAGCCTAACACATCCCTTTGCGTATTTCACAGTTTCGAGGGTGAAATCTCAAGCAAAAACATTGAGATTGGCAAAATTGGTGCTGACAAAGTGTTTAGGTAAATAAACGTACAAGACTCGAAACTAATATATAATCAAGAATCTTTGTAATGGCCACCAATGACTAAAAAGAGGATGTTACATGCATGCAGGGTGCTCACACCGGCAGAAATCGACGACTACTTGGCTGAAGTCGAGTAAACTTTCACATTCACCTTGGATTTGAATCTCAATGCTGTCTTTTGTTTCTATGGCCGGTTGCACAAAGTTGAAGGTTCATGCTTCGTTAGAACTTTTGGAACTTGTTATGATTCGAGACCCGGTTTAGAATCTGTTTTCTTTTCACTCATTTAGAAATGTTCAAAAATGTCTTCTTCTGTGAAACTCCACTATCAGAATCCATCTTGGGCCAAAACTCGAATCTAAAGCTATATGCTGTGTTGCAAATGCCGGTAGGAACATCGAATAACAAGAAAAAGGGAACTAAAATCGGTTAACCTGAACCAATTTTTGGTTTTTTCATAAGGATCGAATCTATGATTATTCGTTTTAGCTGTAACCAAAACAGTTACAAACAAATACTTTCTTGCTGCTTAAACAACAGGTTTCTACTATCTCCAGGAGAACACAGTTAGGACAAAGCTCATTGATGCTTCGTTAACAGCTTACAAACTTGAATGGACTCAATAAATATATAACAAATATTTAGAAGAGAAGTAAAAACATCATTGTTCATTTTTACTTTTTTCAAAAAACTTTATCTTGCTGAACATTAATTAATTGAAAATGTGTATCTTGCTGACTTTCCGTAAATGGAACTTGAAGTGCAAGACATTATATTACATATGTTAGATTTAGATTAATTAGTAAAGTTTACATTATATGGTGTTAGTAATATGTTAATCTTAATCACTATATATATATATATGTATTTATTATCTTGTATGATTGAACACAATCTATCAATAATAGACTACTACCCTATAATATTTTGTTTTAAAGTAAAACTAACGACCGGCATAACTTAGGGCTGAATAAAAAATTACGAAAGCAGTTAGAGAAATTTGGTGGGATGGGAGTTGTGAGAAGGGAGACGAGACGTCGTTCACCAAGGCTGGCGGAGAAGTATGCGGAGGCTCGTCGTAAAAAAGAGGCCGAGTATTGGCGTCGAGTGTGGGAGTCCGATGTATGTATGTATATATGGCTACTGATGTTTTTTTGATTGTAGCACAAACCCTCAATTTTTAAAATAGTCTTATTTGCTAATTTGCTAATTGCGTCTTAACTAGGGCTTCGATATTGATCATCTGAAGGGTGGACTAGGCCGTAGTGGAATGCGAATATTCAAGTGTGAACCTGATGATTATTCCGTTTTACTCCAGCTTTATGCTAAGACGGGGCTTCATCGATACAATATGCTGCAGGTACGTACATCTTTAGTCTTGTTGTCTTTTGTTTTTCTTGTCCCATATTAACTTGTTTTTGTTGCTGTGTTGTGTACTGTCAGGGAACAAACCTCCAGCTTCATCACATAGAGAAATACAATAGAGACGCTGAACCAATCCCTTCCTCGTATTATATAACTTTGGTTGCGAAGGATCCCTCTACCGGATCCCTTGTAACTTTTCAGACTAGTAAATGTATGTTTTTTTTCTTTGTTTGCATAACAATGAGATAGAGCACTACTTTTGTGTGGACAGGGTATATATAAAGTCTGTCTTTTCTTGAAATGTTTGTGCTTGCAGCACAAGCTATCCGATTTAAGGATTGTGGAGGCAGTGGTGGAAACCGAGCAAACTGTGAATCCGCCGAATGAGAAGCTCAAGGGAGCCAGAAATGCACTCATCTACATTGAATACGAGCAGGACTTGGGCGATGGTCGGTTTCGCAAGTACAGAGCTAGAATCAGAAGAAGCGTGGATTTGAGAACGTCACGCCTTAGTATCGTCGGCAAAAATGAGCAAGTAATGCCTGAAATTATCACGCCCTAGTAGATCGACGACTAAACTTTTTCACTTGGCCACGCAACAAACCTGGATTTGAATCTCAATGCTGTCTTTTGTTTTTCCTGAAGAATCTGTTTTCTTTTCACTCATTTAGAAATGCTCACAACCAGAATTCATGTTGGGCCAAAACTTGAATCTAAAGTTCACTAATGAATATAGGATAATATAACTCTGTTCTTGCCTAGTGCAATAACCAGAAAAGGGAACTAATATCGGTTAACCTGAATATGCGATAGTTCTTGAGCAATTTATTTCATCTCCCGCCTGAAAACCGACTACAAACACGTCTCTTAACAACTACTATCTATCTAACAAGTTCTGCAACAAGAGTTGTACGTAGAAGTTGTTTCTTGTATCATCAACCAGCAAACTTTGTTTTTTTCACCTGTGCTTGATCTTCCAGTTGTGAGCTGTTCGCGGGGCAGTGGAGATTCCCTCGTAGTATCGGGGCTCGAGTTTCCCTCTGTTCCATGCCTTGACAAAGCGAGCAAACAGCTCCCGTGCAGCTTCGGTCGTGAGGTCGTTAAAGTAAGTGCGCTTTTTTTCTTTCAGCCATGTCGCGAACTCCATGTTCTTGGAGAAGTAGTCCTCACTCGATAGCTCTGGGATCCCCTCTTTCTGGAAGAAGAAGAAACACAAAACAACACATTCTATTCAGAATCCTAATAGTAAATTTAGAGCCTACAAGACTTCAAACTACGACTAGACAACTGAATAGACCTAAAGAGTCTCCAAAGCAATCTACTTAAAGAGTGAATATAGAAAAGGGTGAGAGAGAGAGCTCACTAGCTGTTGGTCGCCTTCTGCGTGTTTCTTTTTGTGCTTATCATCCTTGGACTTCTTTGCTGAAACAAGTCTTTTGTCAGTGACAAGATCAAACAGAACAAAAAGAATACTTTCTTGCTGCCTATAATCCCTTAACTCACAGGTTTCAACTAACACAATTAGGAGGACAAGATCTCATTGATGCTTCGTTAATGGCATACATGGATAAAACTATGAACACGGCACTGCAATATCAGCAACAACACAAAGTAACATCTTACAACCTTAACTGCTCACATGCTCTATTGCTACCGCATATCAATTATCAAATCAGAAACAGGAAACGAGTTGAGATTATACGATATCATACATGAACTCGATCGGTGGTGCTTGTGAGATTTACTTTCCTTCTTCTTCTCACTTCTCCTACTTCTCCTTTCATCATCTTTCTCTGTTCCTCGATGCCTCTTAACTTTATCTTCGTCTGCCCATTTTATAAATCACGATTCAATAACATACAAATCATTAACAAGTTGCAATTTCAAGCTTCCATCTGATTCGAACAACCAAATCAAAACTGGGAACAGAATAGGTCGCTATAAGACTGTAAAATCCCAAACCAACAAAGCGATTGCAACAGATTTTCTCGTGAGACGGAAGAGAAAGTATATTAAACATATAGGAGAAGAAGAACATACACTCGGAAGACGAAGAATCTTCGCTCCGTGCTCTGCTTCTCTTCTTCTCCTTCGGGCTTCGTTCGCTTCCCATGGTTTTTTCCGACTGACTAAAAACTAAAAAGAACAGACAAGGGATTTTTATTTAGGCCCCGAGATTAGGATTCAGGTTTCCCGGGTCGGGTCGCCGAAGCCGATATTTCATCTAAAACTCCAAACTATTACATATTTCTCATATCACCCCATTGTTTTACCCAGTACAATTTAACACCCTTTTAACTTCACCTATTTTTAATTACGATTAGTGGCTAACTAAATGCTGATTAGTTAACGAATGTATTTTTGTCTTGTTCAAAACTTTGATTAAAAAAAAGGTATTAACAAAGCGTTTGGTCTACAAAGACGAGAGTCTGCATTTTCTTGAAGATGGTCTCAACGGAGCTGAACTCCAGCTCAAAACCATAGCTCCGACCACCGTACTCCACATATAAATATCTCGCCGGAGAATCTTGTGCTGGTGAAGGCAAAACCTTAGAGATCTCAGGAAACTCCGGAGATGGTGGCGAAGGCACGTGTTTCTCCTTCTTGAGAGAATAGTACACATCGGCTAAGAGAATCCATATGAGATCAGGATCAATGCAAGCCAGACCTCTCAGCGCATTCAAAGCCGCTTCTCTTAAGCCAGTTATGCCGCTGCACGCGATCCCAACGACCAACCCTGCAACTTTTTTCAAGACTGCATCCAACGCTGAAGCGCTGCGTTTGTCTCTGGAGAGCTCGGCGATCATATCGAGAAGTGCGGCCTGCACTTTCATGCTGGAAACTTCAGCAATCGAAGAAGAAGACTCGGGAGATACAGACATGGTTCTGTAAGGGAGCCGGAGAACTGGTTTGTTCTCTTCCCGGAGGTTTTTGGGGGTCATGGTGTAGAACGGAGATGTTGTTAAAAGCTTCCAGAAGTCCGGGCCGTCGCTGCGGAAACGGCGCGTGAAGAAATCTCCTCCGGATGTTTGAATGACTCGGGTTATCACGGTTAAGCATCTCCGCACAGCCTGTGGAAAATACAGCTGAGATTTAATTCCTTCTAGTAAAGAGATAAACCGCAAGAGAAAGAGAGAGATCGTACGTACCACAGGGTTTTTGTTTCGAATGCAAGCAACAAAGAAAGGCCAGATTTTGTTGATAGCGGGTAAAAGCCGGTTTTCGTCTGCTCCATCGTCGGTAGCATTCATGTAGTCTTTAAGCTGATAGAGTGAAGCAAACTCAATGACTTCTTCCATCGTTTCTTTGGTTTCTGTCTCAGCTCGATAAGCTTCTTCCACTTTAGCCAGCGCCACTACACCTTCCTGTATAATTGGAAAGTTACGGATTTAGTTCCTCGAGTGAGCTCACGAAAACTGTTCCAATGGAGGGGAATGTACCTCGATTATATCGAGGGAAACCAAGCATGAGGCTTGACTTGATGATGCAAGGAGAGGCGTGGCTGCAATTAAACATGAAGATGCGATCGATCCAACTGTGCGTCTGTATCGTTTGGAACGATTCAGTTCAAGCAGTATGTTTTCCCATTCTTCCTCGTCCTTAGCTTTGTCAGAATCTGAGCCTTTCTCTTGCCATGATGTTATCGCAACGGATGCTTTGCTCTTGACATGGTCACTATATGACTTGGCTCGGTCTGGTAATAGACAAGCCTCGTTCTTTGATGCTTTTACAATCTCAGCAACAGCCTACCAAATGCACCACAAAAAGGTTATCATGTATTCTCAAACCAAGAAAAAACTGCAGAAGAAGAATGAATTTACCTTTAAGAAGGGTAACGTTAGATTCGGATGCTGTTGTCTACCAACAATTTCTAGTTCTTGGGAAACCAATCGCATCTGCAGATCCCCCGAAACGAAAAAAAGGAAAAACTTCTTAACGCACTGATTATGATCCAACAAAGGCAATAATATTTCATGAAAAAATAAACAATTCAGTGCAAATGGCCGTACCGGTTCCTCCAACAAAGGCAATATTTCATGGGCAACTCCAATATAAGAAAGCATAGCAGCAAGAACATTTGGGACATGAGGATTAAGATCCAGGTGGCGCAACTGACGACAAATAGAGTCAACTACATAATCCGCATTTGCTACAACCAGATGCCCTACCTGCAAAACAAACAAACAATAAGCTTAAGATTTTTAATTCAAGGTCTTGTGATGTGCTTGAATCCACTTGCAATATCGTAAAATCTCACTGTTGGATGGCCTGAGGTTGCAGCAAGAAGACGTAAGACAGCATCTGAAGCATTTCTAACTTGGAAGCTAGAGCAAGTAAGGCTCTCAAGCAGAAGGTAAAGCGAAGAGTGAAGAAATCCACTTGAAGCAAAATCTTCCCCAAGGCACAAGGAAAACACTCCTACTCCTTCTATAATGACTTGGTGTAGCATTGCAGTGTCCCTTAGGAAATGCAGATTAATATGTTGAACGTCGGTATCGGTTTGTGCAGGAATTGCCTTTTGGTCCACGGGGAGATCCCACACTTCAGAAGATTGGTATTCGTGCAAGATTTTGCCAACACAATCAATCAGATGAGTTTTTGCACGTTTGTTCCATGAGATTTCCCAGGAAAGTTTGTCTCTTCCCTTTCTCGACTTCTGAAGCAGTCTTGAGAGATCATTCGTCGCTTGATCTGATAGACCAAAAATCATCTCGTTCAAGATACAAGAAGCGGTTGCCGCCTGGCGAACTGACTGTCCTGAACCAGTTCGATTACACCAAGCTTCCCAGTCTTCTCCGTTATACTCTTTTCCACGAACATCTGAAACCAGTTTACGAAAGAACCCCAGAGGAATATCCAAGATGACTGCTAAACGCCCTTCATTTTCAAATCCTGGCAAACACAACGAGATTATATTTACTATCAGTACTGTGGTCTATAAGTATAATGCAGAATAATTTCAGAAAATAGTTTCAGAGGGAAATTGAAATGACCTGTCATTAAGGATAAACCTACAAGTCTAAGGATTCCAGCGAGCATTTCGTAGAGCTTCTGGCTACCAACATGAGAGAACCAAGGAGGCATGCGAGGTAAGATATAGCTAGTGGCCGATGATATCTCCAATTTTCCTCCATCTGATTCGGTGTTATTTGGAACGGCTTGACTGTAACTGCTCTCCCGGAACCCCACTTTTAACTCTGTGATGGAAGGAAGGTAACCTGTCGACGATGATGAAGGCCTTTCTGCGATGAGTTTCTCAAGAGAACCAGTGAATGCTGAATTATGGCTCAGACAGAGGGAAAATATATCAAGGAATCTGCTAGCTGTTATCTACACAAACGAGTGCCAAGAAGCACCAATCATATATCAGAAGCCATTACTAGATCAAGGAACTGGATTCTCGCTGATAAAAGAAAGAAGTAACCAAACCTATGAGCGTGTCAGGGAAGAGAATACATACGGGAGACTGAAGATGATCCGCCAAAAATCGAGGACCAGAATAATAAGTGACTACAAGTAACTGCTTCACCACCGAAAGTGCAGGCAATTCCTCATTCCCTAAAACCACTTTTGGAAGCCTCTCAAGTAGTCTGTTGCCATTATAACACGCAACAGAAGGAGAATAAAACACACATACATATGTTAATAGACATGAACACTGAGCTTGGAAGGACAATACCTGCTAAAGATCTTGTTTATATCACTCTCTACGTGATATTTTGCACCTTCAGAGAATAGATGGTCGAGAAATTCCTGGGCTCCAGCAGAAACTTCATCAGAGTCATCAACAACCAGAGTACATACGCATTCCTGCATCAAAAATAGAATAAAATTCATCCAGTGGCAAAATCCTTGGAATGGAAATATCAAAGATCATGTGTTGTTGTTGGTTATGAACCTACCAGCATCACCAATCTGGCACCCTTTAACGAACGAGGGCTCTTGGATAGCAATCCACGTATTGCTGCTAGAAATCCCAATCTAACTTTTCCAGCTGGGTGAATAAGAATCTGAAACAAATGAAGATTCACTTTTCAGCTCCTAAAGGATTTGGGATAGAAAGTGATGAATGGGGCACAGGAGAAAGACTTTAAAAGCATACATGAGGAAATGTCTCACAAAACAGCTTATTCACGTGAGATGTAGTGCTCTCTAACCATTCCTTTGTACGTTGAACATGAAAGGAGTCACGACTCAGATTCAGACTGGATTTTTCGTGTCCATTGATGGTTTCAACAATCTCTTGGTTTGTAGTCTCTGTGAGCTCATAACTCTGCACTTGTGATTTGGTAGTCAAAGAACGAAGTTCGTTCAAAATTGAGTGTGCAGATTCATGCATCTGAGACTTGGAATCATCATCACAAATGTCGAGGGCCGATGAATTAGCCTCATCCTCCAGGACAATCATAAGAAACTCGGCCAAACATCTAATTGCTTGGTCCAACGCGTCAACACTTCCTGCAGCTCCACTTATCATTGCTCTAGAAACATGCAACACTTTGGCAATTTGGCTAACAACACCGGGTAGAAAAAACGCCAACACATCAGCAGTACCAATCTACAATGACAAATCATATTCTTATTAGGACCCATACGTGTCAGAAATGGCCCAAAAGATAGTTTTTTCCTGATCAATACATGTAAGAAAAACTTATAGTCACCTTAGCGACAAGTACGCGTAAGGCCAGAAAGGCTTGGACACGAAGGTTTGCACTTCCTCGATGTCCTCGAGAAGCCTCATCATCAGCCACCTAGATGCAGTGTGATCAAAAACGATTTACTTTAGAATTCACGCAACTATACATGACTCCATATGAACGAAAACAGGAAAGCACAGCGAGAGAAAGGGTGTTACTTTGAGAAGGATGGAGAGCCAATGACCCACAGCAGCCAAAGCAGAGTGAGACTGAAGAAACGCAAGCAAGCATTCTCGGGTTTCTGAATCATACTTAAATGACTCTGAAACTTGAGTTTGATAATCTCTTCTATGTGAGAGTTGAGGCCAGCCAAGAGTGCGCTTACACGAGCAAGAATCATCAGAGCATGGAAGCAGACCAGAGACCATCGCCCTGAAACATTTGACGATGCCTTCGCGAAACTCTTCAGCAGCCTCAGATGGCGTTAATATAGCACCACTAGTTAACTTCTTCATAATCACAACCATCTGAAAGCAGAAATTTTGCAAACATACAAATTCCAATAACTTAGCTGAGAATTCAATAACGACGAGTAAAACTAATGTAAAGTGGGAATTCAAAATCAATTCACCTGATCTACGGATCCAATGTGGCATTTCTTGAGAAGTTCCTCAAGACAAGAGATAACACCTTCTGCTACTTTATCACTCACTCTGTATGGTTTTTTGGGGAAACTCTCCGGCTGATTATTCCCGTGACTTCTGCAAGCTACTGCGGCATCCAACAGAAGAAGCAACGGGAACAAAGTGTAGCTGAAACGAACATAAGAAGAAAAAAACAGTTCTCACTTGGGTTTATGATTGCCGAAAGCAAAAAGCTGGGATTTGCGGCTATGGGGGAATGTTTACTGGAAGAAGGACTGGAGATAGGACGGAGGAGCACGGCGGAGGAGGTGGAGCAGCGCAGGGATCGTGGTCGGGTCCTTTTGAGGGTTTTGCGATAGGCTCAGAAGCTCCAAGCAGAGAACTTTGAGCTGTGCAAAGAGGGCTTCTCGTTCCGCTTCTCCCTCAACGTCGTCTCCATTGGTTTCGCGGCGGACTACGACGGACTTCTCCATTCGGTCCGATCAATCTCAGAGAAGAGAGAGAGAGAGAGAGATGGAACCGCGAAATTGAAGTCAATTCAGCAGAAAACAGTGGTGACTAGCCCTGCAACAAAAAAAATTGACCCGGCCCGATACTATTTGACCCGACCCAATGCTATTGACCTGTGATTTATACAGAATTTCCAAATAAGCCTGCAATTATACATAATTTCAAAATAAACATGATATTTATACATTATTTCAAAATAAACCCACAATTATACATAATTGCAAAATATATCTATATTTTATATAATGTCAAAATAGACATGATATCTATGCACAATTCCAAAATAAACCTAAAATCTGTGATAGAGGCCTTGAACTTGAATATTTACAATTTAACATCTTCAATGTACTGTATGTGTATCTTCACTAAATCAATTTTTCATCTATTTCAAGAGAAACTAAGATTTCTAAGAAGCCATTTTCTTTGATCTATCTCCATTGAATTTTCAGTTAGATATGGGGAAAAGGACTTTACTTGATTCATTGATTAAAGCTCAGTCACTTGTTGATGAATCTATTTCCAGACAGCAGCAACTGGTCTTGTTGTTTGTCGATTTCCAGCTTCGGATGGTTGTTAGATTATTCAAACTAATACCTACCTAATATTCTTCTCCAAAGCAAAAACCAAAAAGTGTGTTTCAGTATCAATCATTTTGTTCTTCAAGATTCTTTAGAATAGAGAAAGAATCTTCTCAGACGGTTAGTCTCAGGCCTTTAGTATAATAATATATATCTCAAAACGAGCTATGTATTTATTATCTATCGGCTACTGAGTTTTCTTCCCCTTTATACACTAAAAATGCCAAGAAATTAACTATGCAATACATTTTCTCTGTTTTCTACCTTTTCCTTAAATTGCAAGTAATATATCTTTTCTTATAAGGTAAAATCAGATATTGGATTTGTTAATGTATCATGAGCTCGTAGGTCTTCAAGAGTGATGATGACTCTTCTTCTTCTTTTTGGTCTTGTTTTCCTTGTTTATGCTGTTGGTTCTCATCTTCTTCTAACCCGAGTTCGCTTTCCAGGTGCTTGAGCCATTTCTTAACTTCATCCTCATCAGACTCTTCTTCTGCTCTTGAAGCTGAGCTGTTCTCGTTTGCAGAGGTTTGCTGAAACGAGTTCGAACCATCCAAGAAGCTCCAGATGTCAGGATCTGAATCAAAAGGGATCTCCAGGAGATTGGGTTTGTCTACTTCTTGAATAATATCATTAAGTTCGCTGTACTCAAACATGAAGCCTATGTTTGGATCATCTTCCTCCTGGTTTGGCTTGTTGGAACCACCAGAAGACACTGAAGTAGTAGACTCCTGAGAGGTCCTTCTGTTGAAAGAACCATCTGCTTGAGACTTGGCCTCTTTCCCACGAGAAACAGAATCACTCGAACAAGGAGAGGCCGGTTCATATGCAGTAGAATCAGTTCCTGAGATCTGAACCAGTCTTTTCTTTAGATGGGTATGCCACACATTCTTGATCTCGTTATCTGTTCGCCCTGGAAGTTGAGAAGCGATTTTCGACCACCTGATCAAAAATGCAGAGAGAGATAACTACTAATGTCAATATCAAATCACTTCTTGATCCACCTCAAGCAAGATATATATATATATAGAGAGAGAGTGGTTTACTTGTTCCCATAGTTTTGGTGAAGCTTAATGATCGTTTCTTCCTCCTCTACACTGAAGTTGCCTCGCTTCACATCTGGCCTGAGGTAGTTAATCCACCTTAGACGACAACTCTTCCCACACCTCAAAAGCCCTTCATACAGAATCATGGAGAAAAACCATTAAAGAGGCTTTGCTATGATCATGATCCATTGAATGAACACAAAAAGCTACAAACATACCAGATTGTTTGGGGAGAGATCTCCAGTTCTCATGACCAAACTTTTGAATGAAAGAGATGAGTTTCAAGTCCTCTTCTGGGCTCCATGGACCTCTCTTCACTTTGGTCTTGTCACAACAAGGTGCTCTTCCCTTCCCCATTCTCTCTCTCTCTCTTTCTCACGCTCCTCTCTCTCTATATGTATATGATTATATATATAATATATACACTCAAGTTTGAGATTCACTTTTTACCAAATAGAATTGGATCTCTGTTGTTTATATAAATGAGAGGTAAGAGTGTGATCTTGACATGAGAAAGATGAAAGTAAACAAAGGGATTGATAAATGTCAAATCAGATTTGTTGAGTGGGAAAAGGTTGCCTATGTTATGGTTGATTATTTGGTATGATTCCATTTTCTCATCTTTACTTGATTTGGCATCCACATGATGCATGCAACTTATCTTCTTGTCTTTTAACAGCGATGCATTCTATATTTCACATTTGTTTTAGAAGAAAATTCATACAGTATATAGTATTATTTTTATAGTTAATTATCAAATTTAACATATATTCCCCAAACTGTCTTAGGTAGTTTTGCACATGTAAAAACTGTATATCGACAAGTGCTCATTTTATCTTTTTTATATTACAGCTGCTGTGATTCTTCAAACCTTAAAAAAGAAAAAGAGCAACGTATTTTTAATGAAAATAATAGAATCACAGGTGGATACTGTGGAGCAATAATAGTTTAGATAGTGGCAAAATTAAATTTCATATACAATACCAATTTGTTTCTTATTAGGTAGTGTTTTTAACTAATTAAGAATGTACAGCTACAACTTGTTAATTAAGAAATTATCTTAAGGTATGCAATGAGATATGATAGTATTAATTTTTGTCAGCTAGTCTTGTCTTAAGTCACATAAGCAATGTGACTCCATGCATAATCACCAACTTTTGAATATAGATATATCCCGTAATCATGTAGTTCCAACACAAGGATTAAGAAATTAACTATCATGAACAATGCTGCTTAATTTTTATAAGGCGTCGTCACTCATGTCATGCCATGAAATATATATATATATATATTAGATATTTGTAATCATAAAAAAATGACGTCAAAAAGGAGTTAGAAGAAAAAAGGAAAATGATATAGAAAAATTAGAAAGCAATATCAAATCACATCCGAAAACTTCAAACATCGAAGGAGTGTGTGTGAGCATAGTGCACGAACTCACCAAACTAAAGACTAAAGAGAGTGGAAAAGGTCAGAGACTTACGTCTTTTTTGACTTCTTTAATGTTTGGTGGGTTTGGTGTTGTTGTTGGCACTTGGCTACGTTAATTACTTAATATCACCAAACCTTCATTACTTTTTTAATTTCTCTGTATCCATCCAAAAACTATTCCAAGTACTACCTGCGATATACTCACTTTTATATAGTGCAAACATCTTAAGAGTATTATTATCAGCGTCAGCGATAATTGAAGCGAAGCCGAAGTCATAAACGAAACAACTTCGTGACGTTAGTAAAATTTACTTAATATCAATTTTAAACAGAAAAATATCTTATGGCAAAAGTAAACCCCAAAATCAATCTACACTACAGTTTATATTTTATATCAATACCAAACAAGAACATGGTATTATAGTCTCACACTCAAAGTGAAGTTATATATAAGAGACCTAAAACAATGGTACATATATAGTCTAGTCTAGTCATTGTCAACTAATTTGAACTAAAATCGATATAATGTATATGTACTAAAAACAATATAATGTAGAATATACTAGGTTAAAAATGTTTAATTCAAAAATTATATAAATAAAAGTCTGGCTCGGTAAAAAAAAAAGGCGGTTTATAGGTTTTGCTTTTTTATGCGACTCTTGGTAATCAAAAGGTTGGTGAACAAACTATGAGTGGAAAAGCTTTACTGCAAATTAAAATAAAAATTAGAACTATAAGTGGACAAAAATAAAAATAAAATTTTCAACGTCCCTATGGAGTATGAACCTTATCGAAACGATGGAAAGTGGCATAAAAGATTTTCTAAAATGAAGTTTCTGTAAAAATTATGATGAAAGCACGTGTGTTGCTATTAGTAATACAGACGTCAAACTCAGTTTTGAGTGTACTGACTTTAAAGTTCAGATTTGAGCTAATGGAAATAAGGCTCTGTGTCTGTCTTGTATAGTATTTATATACTTCAATCCTATGAGTAAGCTATATATTATGATATCCCGTAAATGTTGTAAATGATAAAAATGATTTTCTACAAGTTTCATATGTTAACAACATTCGGTCTAGAATATTTTAGATGAAAAAACGATGTCTTAATTGATAAAACCAAATTCTCGATATATAGATAACTCATATGGGCCAGTTCAAATAACTTATAATATTTCACATAAAATGTGTTAAAATTTAATTGTATCAATAGATATGAGGTTAAATAAGTAGATTTAAAAGAGAAACACAAGGAAAATTCAGAACTAAAATTATCTAATAGGCACCTAAATAAGAGTTTTTCAAGTATAAGCTAACGTTGGACTAAAGTTACCAAACAAAACGGACACCTAATCTTGAAAAACATGAGATCTCAAACAATAAATAATATTATCCATCCTTGGGTTGGTAAGAAATTTGCTTAGTACTACTACTAGCAGTGATGTTTTTTTTCCTGATCACCTAACTAATCACTAAGTAGGTCCAAAGCACAATGACGCCTAACAATTTACGCATACACTATAAGAAAAGGTTTGTAGAAAAAAAATGATTACGCATGCATGACGCACATGGATTCGTATGGGAATAAATCTATTCCATCATAAACAAACTGTTTAATATTTTATATTTTTTAAAGTAATTAACCCATTTGATTTAGTAACAGCCAGTAATCATTACACTCCATATTATTATCATTCCTTATTTTCGAAACGGACTTTAAGGTCAAAAGGAATGATAACATGCGAGAGGATATACTCGGGCCGGATTTTAAGAATGATGAGCTCAATACACTTTAAATGGGCCTGTATATTTGAAAACCGTTTGATACATATCACGATGGCCCTTTGTGAGTATTTTACTACCGTATTTTACTGTTGTGCCGATCAATTTAATTCTGAATGTCCAAAATTAGAATGTTTGTGTAAGATTCAGAGCAGATATCCACAACTAAATAAATGGATGATATTTTGATTTACGTTTTTAATAATAAAAAACATGCATTATAAGTTTATAGCATATCCATTCCAACTTTATTTTTAAAAAGAAAAAATGGAGAATTCACATCTTAATACTTAATAGACTGCAGAATGAGTAAATGGCCTGGGAATTTAAGGTTTATTATATGCATTCAAATAAATTTAATATTTATCATTTAATTTCCAATTTAATAACCCCACCAATCACCCATTTAAATGCATTGAAATCCCAAGACCAGTCTCACTGCCATTTAAATTTAATTTAATTTACACTGCATTTCTATATTGGTGCGGTTACACATTTTGGGCCATCGGTTTTTTTTATGAGTAAGCATCCTTAGTTCCTTACAACAATAACAACAACATTCAGCAAAAAAAAAAAAAAATACAATAACAACAACAAAAAACCCTCCAAAAAGTTTTTAATTTGGTGAACTATTTAACTATTTTTTTGGCGTCGATTGATCTCAATCCCGATAAAGTAACGTCAAATGTGTTTCCCACACATACGTGAGTATTTGTGTATGTGTGTGTATAAGTTTGATAAAGGCTGTTATGTGTTATTAAGAATATATCGTTCGTGAGCATCATCACTTCGTCATCCTAAGAGCCTATGGAAAATTACAAAAAAAATTATTCAAAGCTCTTTAGATCTGTTCTTAAATGCATACACCTTCCTATTTCCTAAAAAGCCAATCAATTAATATTGCCATCTCTTTTTTTGCTACTAATCTTAAATACTTTTCCAAATGTTGACAGCAAAATAAAATTAAAAAAACGGAAAATAATGTCGGTATAGTTTTGCTCGTGATTGTAAATGAGCAATTTTGCTAATGTGTTTTGAAAGTCAACAACATTGAAAAGAAAGTTCGAAACGGCAATTGAATGAACATTTTTTTAAAAAAAAATCTTCGATTTTATTTGCCTAATGAATTACAGAATTTGTCATTATTAATTGATCACGGTTTGACGAAAAAGAAGGAAATTAGTCATAAATCTGTACGTCAAAAGAGTCATTAATCACTAATTGAAGTACTAAGGTGAGGTTTGAAAAGTAATAACTATGAGAGAGACGCTTAGCATTTAATGCGTCTCATTTTCTCTCTCTATCGCATTTAATAAATACACTTTGGCTCTTTGTCTTATAATTCCTCTCCTCCATTCGACGATTCCTCTTGTAACAAATTACTACCAGAAATAAAAAATACTACTCGTCTATTTTCGGAAATGCATTTGGTTAAAATGGTTTTTTGTTCGAGTATAAGTTTTTTTATTTGTAAGAAACTGGACGTTAAAGAGAATTTAATGTAACAGTTGAATATAAATGTGAGAAAAATATGGTAAGGGGGTATTTATATAAGAAGAAATCGAATAGTGAGAAAACGTGTAGAGCGTGAAGTAGGGAAAGAAAGAAAAAAAAGGGTTAGAGATGAGAACACACATTAAATTCATTAAATTTTAAATGCTAGTCAATAATGGTACAACGATAAATGTAACCCCTCATTAATATTAGCTTGTACACCAGAGAAAGCAAAGTAAATCAATTTTGAAAGAATTAAAAAAGAGAGAAATCCGAACAAAAACATTAAATAGTAAAAATATTGAATAATAAATTATAAGCAATTAATTGAAATTTTTAATTATATAACGTGCCGCATTAAATTACGCCCCACACTCTATTTCTACATTTCGGCTCTTAATATTGGCTCCGTCTATTATATAAACTCTCACTCTGCCTTTTTTACACAGCCCATTAACTCTCTCTCTCTCTCTCCCTCTCCGAATTCTGGTATGGCTGCTGACGTCAGCTCCCTCGTACGGTTACTAAGCGGTTACAAGGATGATCGAGCGGCGGTGAAAGAATCCGCCGGAACGAAATCTACGGCGGCGCTGATGACTCGCGATCTCCTTGGAATCGGCAGAGGAGGAGGCGATCGGTCACTGGAGCTTGACCTTGACCTTCAAGTCCCCTCCGGATGGGAAAAACGTCTCGATTTGAAGGTTCGTTTTTGATTTTATGTAGTTTCTTCTCCGATTGATTTTTTTCTTTCTTAAGGCGAATCGAAACGAACAGAGAGAGAGATGAATTTCAATTTTTTTCGAGATTATTGGGAATTCAGATGGATTGATCGATTTTTTTTTTTTGTGTGGCTAATTATTTTGTTGAACAGTCAGGTAAAGTTTATTTGCAACGATGCAATTCCACGAGCTCGTCGTCGTCCATAACTAACGCGGAGCAATCGAATCAAACAGTCCCGACGTTTCAGGATTTGAATTTTCCTCCGAATCCCAGCAATTCTCAGGCGAAGCCTTTGCTAAACCTCTTCGACGACACCACGCCGGAGCTGAAACTTCTCCCGTCGTCTCGCTCTCGTCCTCTCTCCATGTCACCGAACCGTAATAATTTCCAAAGCGTTTGCACGCTGGACAAGGTGAAATCAGCTCTGGAGAGAGCGGAGAGGGATCCGGGTAATTTCAAGAAACGGCAATCGCCGGACGATACGGTCTCCGATCATCATCGGACGACGGAGGTTGCGTCACCGGTGGCGGCTGGATGTCCCGGCTGTTTGTCTTACGTTTTGGTTATGAACAACAACCCGAGATGTCCGAGATGCGACACCATTGTTCCTTTGCCTACAAACTCCATGAAGAAGCCTAAGATTGATCTCAACATATCAATCTGAAACTTAATTAGAACATTTTTAAATTTTTGGTTTGGGGTCTTTGACGTTGTAAATGATAGATAAAATCAGGGGTTTATTTGGTAAAACCGAAATGAAAGAACAAAAAAAAAAATTATGGGGCACCGTAAGGATTTTTTAAGGGTATTTTTGTTTTTTGTTTTTTTGTAAATTCGTCGTTATTGATCGAACAGCATGAAAAATTACTCGGTAGAATTTATTTAGAAAGAAAAATGGAATTTACCGATTATTTAATTGTATTACGATTATTATGGATGTTTTAATTCAATCCTGGCTCGTCGTCATACTCGTATTTTCTACTTTGAATAGCCCAAAGTCCAAGGTTGGTTGGAAGGTAGTTTACATTCATTGTATATGTTCATCTAATTTCATTGTCTTTTGTAAAACAACCCACCTTTTTATTTTATTTTTACAATTGTGTTCGTGATATATATACTCCTAAACTTGGAAGTTCGAACTGAGTATCTAAGTTGTTTTTATTTTCTAGAAAAAGTAATGAGAACGAAGATTTAGAAATTTGATGATGTGGTTTGCATGCATGATGCCTTCAACAAACCCTAAAACAGATAAAATTTCTGCAAGCTCTCTTTAAAAAAAAGTTGTATTAAAAAACCTAATTAAATGGGACAACTGTTAAGTTTCTGTGTGGTTAAGTACGGAGGTATTTAATTTTATCAAAAGGGTCATTCAAAGTTTTGCTGACCAAACTTTAACTGCTTAGGTCAACAGTGCACACATATTCATATGTATGAATAACTGCAGCTAACGTAATCGCAAATAAGTGCTTATAAAAATATTAAAATCCAATATGCAAACCTTTTGATTTATGTCAACGACGTAAGGAAAAGTAGAAATGCCAATATTCACGAACAAATATGCATGCACTATATAACTTTCCCGATTTTTTTTATTACGGTCGACGAGTAGATGAGTTGAATTTATGATAGAATTTATATAAATTAAACAAGGGTGGGACCAGAAATAATAATAATTCGTAGGTAGCATAGTTTTTGGCATTTAACATATTTCTGTGTGTGTGGCATTTAAACACACACCGGATACGTATAATATATGGTTTCATATTCATCTTTATCCAAAAAATAAAAAATCTACCATATATTTTTCCTACGTGTACAGTTACAAAATTAGGTTTACGTCTATGGTGATATATGATCAACACAATTCTAAATAGGTGTCATCTTCACTGAAAATTTGGGAATATATATAACTACCTAATTTCATGTAAGAACCAACTAAAATAACAATTTAAAGTTCTATTTCGTGGATTTCAGTTATATATATAGTATTAGTACTATGGATTAAAAAAATGAGAAAGAAATAAGAGAAACTGAGCAAGTCATCCTAATGGAAACGAATTCAATTAATTGGATTGTGACGTCTATTTAATTGTAATCAATGCTCCTGCATACATTTATGAATTTTGGTTGTTCCTTAGGAAAACATTTAAAATCCACGTGTCAACTTAATGCTTCCTTCATTAATTGATTTTGGCTTATTATTATTTCATCTTTGCTTTTCAGGTAAACACCAAAAAAACCACTCCTCCTGTATCGTAACAAAATGTAACGTAACAACTTTCATTTCTTTTTTTTCAGTGGTACGTCAACCTTCGAAAATGTGAAAATTTAAAATAATAATTAGCCCTTCGAAAAAAACCCCCCCCGTCCAAGTTTCCATTATGAAATAAAAAAAATATAAATCATTTTCCTGTCCGACGTCGTTTACTCACATTGAAACTAATCCACGTAGAGACCCATTAATTTTTTTTAATTAGCGTTGCATATTACTAATCCACGTAGAGACCCATTAAAGTTAGCGTTGCATAATAATGGGCCTGGCCCTTCTTGGGGACTGTTATCTTTAAAATGAAGTATATTACTATACCTTCCTTCGTTCCCGTCACCAAAACCTTACTAAACCCTAAATTTAGGTTCATCGATTTTGTGCAGTCAGTTTTCATTTTTCAATTACATTAGTTCCTCTTATCAGTTGCTGCTTAACTAGTCGGGATAATGGGGAAAAGTCGGCGTCAACAGAAGGTTATACCCCCACCGCAGCTTCCGCCGGATGTACCCGATGAGGATATTGAGTTTTCCGACGAGGATTTGAAATTCGTCGAAGAGAACACTGATTACGCCCGATTCGTCTCGCAAATTGACACCGGTGCTATCAACAGGTGCGTTTATTTCTTTCGATAATCGATTTTTTGTTTGTTTGTGAATTTTTCTTCATTCTGGTGATTTTGAGTAGTTTTGGTTGATTATGTTTGATTGTACAAGCGTGCGATATACCAAAATCAGTACTTGCTATATCCGGGTCGAGCTTGAAGCTTCTCGTACTTATTCGCTGGTCTAATGTCAGATTCATACTTTGAGTTAGCGATTAGGTTTAATATTCAATATTCGGAAGCTATTAGCGATTATCCTATCTGGTCAGATTGTTAGAATGAAAAAGAGGTCTTCACAAGTGGTCATCTTCAATCTCTTTATTGATGATGTATCATTTCTGCTGATGCCAGGCAATGCAGTGGTAAAGCAAAGACAGTGGAGGATAGGTATGAGGAAGAACGATCAAAGAGGAAGGCACATCAAGAAGAGAACGTGAGTAACGAGATCCTAGTGGATCCTGTTGATGTGCTCCCTATTAAGACTTTAGATGGAAAACTCCATTATCGAACGGGTAATCAACGAAAACTATAAATTTTGTTGTTTAATGGCACGATTTAAGGATTATTATCTGTGGTCTTTCTGATTTGTGTCTATTGCTTGTGTTTTGAAATGGTTCAGTGTCAAAGACGTCAAAACTAGCTGAAGGCGTCGCTGATGAAGCAGAAGAGGACGATCTTGAGGATGAACATACTTTAAACAAATCTCAGAGGAGAGCAAAAGCTAAAAAGAGTAAAAAAGAGGCAAAGAAACAAGAGAAGGAATTGCCTGAAGAGATCTTACAAGAGGAAGAAGAAACACCCCAAGCAGCTGTTCTGGTGATGCCTGTTTTAAGCTCTTCTTCTTCTTTTTTTTTTTTTTTTTTCCCATTATATAAGTTGCTAAAAGTTTGAATTTTTCATTCTTCTGACATACATTTTTTTTAATGAACATCATATCTGATATCTTTCTGCATCTTCACCTTGCTAATAATACCTTTCCATCAAGATAAACGGAAATCGCTGTTTGGAGTTGATTATGCTGAGAATTGGGTGTTTTGTGACTCTGAGCCTTGTCAGTGTTTTTTATATGATTCTGTTTTGTTAACATGTGAATGCTTTTCTTCTTTTGTCACTTGTCAGGCAGAAGTGAAACAAGAACTATCTGCTGAAGAGACATTTGAAAATAAAAAAAACAGACTCGCGGAATTGGGAATGCAACTACATTCTGATCCGGAGGCAAACATCAAATCATTAAAGGAAATGTTAGATATCACCAAAGATGAGAATACAAAGATAGTGAAACTTGGCTTGTTATCGGTGTTGGCCGTATTCAAAGATATTATTCCTGGGTAATTATACTAATATCTTTCCCACATTCTTTCCTCATTTGATTTGCTATCCAGTCTCCTAATTCTTCCCCTTTATGATATTGGAATTTACACATTTGATTTTGTTGGTGGTGCCAGCTATCGGATTAGACTTCCTACAGAAAAGGAGCTCGAGATGAAGGTCTCGAAGGAAGTAAAGAAAACCCGGTTCTATGAGTCAACTTTATTAAAAGCGTACAAGGTATGCATGTCAATTATATTTGATTCTCGATTCCTCTGGAAATAATTATAAAACATTTCTTTTCCTGCTGGTGTCCTTGGCAGTCATATTTGCAGAAGTTGATTGCATTTGAAAATCAGTCAGTATATAAGCAAGTTGCCACTCGGTGCATTTGTATTTTGCTGGAAGCTGTTCCTCACTTCAACTACCGTGATAACCTGTTAATTTCTGTTGTCGGAAACATTAGCTCCCCGGACGAAGTCGTAAGGTCCTGGTTATTTTGACCCTTTTTCAGAGAATACGAATAATGTTCAACTGATATATCATAGAATCTAACCCATTGTAGAAGTGCTTATATCCCTTTTGTCATAGTCATGTCATTTTGCTGCAATTGCATCTAATTCGTCCCTATCTAACTCACTTGTTGCGCCTGTTTGTGTTTGCAGGAGACTCTGTTGCTCTACTATTAGGTCTCTTTTCTCCAATGAAGGGAAACATGGCGGTGAGCTAACCGTGAAAGCTGTACGCTTGATTGCTGATCAAGTCAAATCTCAAAATTGCCAACTTCATCCTAACTCTATTGAGGTATCTATTGCTCTTATTTCAACATTTTGAGAACTACACATTAATGCACCACTTCGCTGGCTAAAACTGTGAAAACGGCTCTTGATGGGAAAAACTAGATCACGAAGTTAACATTTTCATTTAAAAACATAGCGTAGTGATTTGGGAAGTATTCTCCAAGAACAATCTGGTTAAATATCCTTATCTCTTTGGCTCTGATGTCATTTCCCCTTGGTTCCATTTTTTATATCTGTCCTTAGGTGTTCATGTCCATACGCTTTGACGAGGATATTGGAAAGCGTGAAAAAGAGGATGAGAATAAGAAGAAAAATAAGAAAAATAATAAAAGAGATAAGCAAGAGGAGCAAAATGAGGCACAGGAGAACGAGAGGAAGAAATCCAAGCGAGAAATGATGTCTAAGATCAGAGACGAGGTAATTTACTTTTCATTTGTGCAATATATTTGTTGGTGGGAAATTTGATGTTGGTTTCCCTCATGCTGACAATCATTTATATGACCTTAACATCTAAAATGGGTTCCGTTCTTTTTGTTAGTTTGATCTAAAGTGATATCTCTCTTGATGACAATTTTTAGGTTACTGCTGATTACAAGACCTACGAACCGGATGCTATGGAACGGCGAAAGATGCAGACAGAGACACTTTCTGCTGTTTTTGAGACCTATTTCCGCATCCTGAGAAATACAATGTATTCAACTAGCGAAAGGTATTGTTTGTGTTTTCCAGTTGTCGAGAAAGAATGCTTTTGTTCTAATGAAATCCAAAAGATACTATTATCCATTTACAGAATCAGTTCTAGTAAAATCGTTCCTGTGAATTCTCATTGGCTTTACGCTCTGGTTATATAGCTTTGTCAATGTTGTTTTTGTTGACGTCATTTGGACTAATTGCAGCACGGAAGTAGACACAAGTTTGAATCCTGGTGCCTTTGGATCGCACCCTTTGCTTGCTCCATGCTTGGATGGGTTGGCAAAATTCACCCAACGATTGGATGTGTCGTACATCGGAGATCTCATGAACTATCTAAAGAAGCTTGCCTCTAGCAATAGCGCGTCCAACAACACAAAGCAGAAGAAGTCAAAACAGTTGACAGTATCTGAACGCCTGAGGTGTTGCCTTGTCGCCTTCAAAGTCATGAGGAGCAACTTAAATGCCTTGAACGTTGACTTGCAAGACTTCTTTGTCCAGCTTTACAACCTCCTTCTCGAGTACCGCCCTGGAAGGTTTGTTATACATATTTTTCCTCTTTTAACCGCGACATAAGCTGAATCAACTTGTGATGCGAAACAGAGATTCAGGCGAAGTGTTGGCCGAGTCATTGAAGATAATGCTGTGCGACGACAGGCATCAAGACATGCAAAAGACTGCCGCTTTTGTAAAACGTTTAGCCACATACGCACTATGCTTCGGCTGTGCCGAGTCTATGTCAGGTAACAGACATTACCAACACTTTGGTTTACTCATTCACATAATACTTGATCTCAAGCTAACTCTCATCCTGCTATCTGTAACAGCGCTCGTCACCTTGAAAATTCTCCTCCAGAGGAACGTCAAATGCAGAAACCTTCTAGAGAACGATGCTGGAGGCGGCTCTGTTTCCGGTTCAATCGCGGTAAGTCACAAATCTTAACTCTCGTATACAAATTTAGTTTATAATAGTCGTTAATCGCAAAATCTCGATTGCAGAAATATCAGCCGTACGCCACCGATCCTAACTTAAGCGGGGCATTCGCAACAGTGCTCTGGGAACTCAATCTGTTGACCAAACACTACCATCCGGCGATCTCAACGATGGCTACTACAATTTCCAACATGAACACTTCTCAAAACCAAACGTTTCTCTCTGCAGTCACCCCACAACAGGCGTTTGCAGATTATTCTCTTGAAAAGGAATCGTTTGAGCCTAAGAGCGAGTCTCGGAAATTAAACAGCAAACGGAAACGAGAGAGTGGTGGTGAAGAAGCCAAGGATGATCCGGAGTTCGACATGGTTGAGCTCAACAAGAAATTGAAAGAGAATTTTACTATTCTTCGAGGTATAAAAGAGGACGAGAGAGTGAGAATGGAATTGGAGAAGAAAAAACCAAGGAAGAAACTGAATAACGTGGTGAAGAAGAAACTTAAGAACCCTAAATCTAAGAAGAAAATTTGAAAAGCATTCATTTTCCATGTAATGCGATATACTTTGCTTAGGTTATGTAATGCATCATTTAAATTTTGAGGATTGTTTTTGTTAAAGTGGTGGGACGATATCATGGAAGTATCAATAACATCTTATTCAATTATTAATTCCTTAATACTTGTAATTTAAAGTGATTTAGATGTAACAGTTGCAATTATAAACTTGCATTTTGATCAACTAAATGATTACCCCGAACATTCCCTGAAAAATAGTAAATAACTTGCATGGTGTGACTTGTATTTTCTTTCTCATAATTTAATTGAAGATAAACAAGAAACAAAACACTAAAAATTCGGAGATAAAGACGAGAAAAAAAAAAACTCATTCTCCATCATCAGTAACAATCGTCAAGAACAATTTCTCCGATCAGTCAGAAAAAAGGACAAGATCGAAGAACAATTGCTGTGTATATCCCATGAAATTCGAAATTCCAAAAAAAAAAAACGAAAATCGAGATGGAGAACACAGAGAGAATCATCTACTCTGTAGTTCCAGGTAACCACAGAGACAAGTCGTCGCCGGATAACGACGCGACGAGCTCCGGTATATCACGAGACTCGTCGATTCCAGATCGGAGAATCTCGACGACTTGCTCGAAGACGAAGACGTTACACGGGATATGAAGAACTCCTTTCTGAGCGTAACCGTACTCCTGAGCAGATCGATTGAGCAGCCCAACGAAAACAGGGTGGTTCAGCAGTTTCGCACTCACCACGAACCTCTCCATCTCGTTCCCGACGTTGACTGGGACATGGCCGGACGGCACAGCCGACGCCACGTTTGCTCGCTTGACCAAGAACACTGACGACGACGACGGCTGATGCACATCGCCGCGGCGAATTTGGTTGCATCGAGAAGATTCGGCGGACGAGTCAGCGATTTGTGAGAGGCGGCGAATCAGCGGCTTCATGTCGTCTCTGATTTTTGACTGTTCTAGAGAGAAAAAACGGAGAAAGAACAAAGAAGGCAATGTTGGAATGTAATTATATATACGAGGGCAGAGAAGAGAGAGTAGTAGCACACACAGAGACGGTACTTGATTGGGTGAGGTGGGAACACATCCATTCATTTTTTTATATACAAAGTATTATTTGATTTGAGAGGACACGAAAGGTATTAAATTTTTGTTTCATAGGCAAATATATACCTGGTCAAACTTAACAATAGAACAACTACCTTATTTTGATTATACAAAAATGAGCTATTCTCTAGATTTGGTTGAATTTCCTATGCTATGCATATTTTGTTCTCCCTTTTTTAATAAACTTTCTGTCATTTCCTCATGAATCTTTGGTCAGATTACTACTACAAATAGTGGTTACCAATTTTAAAACTTTGAATTGCAAACAATAAAGCTTTTTTAAAAAAAAAACTGTGAGGATTAGTTCTGTAGCCTTTGACCATATGTATGTGTGGAATGAAACAGACGAATTTGATAAAATAGGTAGTGTATTTATCAAAAAAAAATTCATAAAAAAGTACACAGCCTTTTGGGATTACATGATTATATTTCAATTTAATATATTTATCAAAAAATTAGTAAAAGCCGTTTGCTCTTAAACAATAGAAATAAAAAGAGGGATGAACAAAATGAAAATGAATAATGTAAAAAAAAATTTTAATCAAGTTATAAATTAAGCAAATTGTTAACAAATTATTAATGATCTTATTATTTTTATATTTTCTTACGAACCGTAAAAGTATTATTAAATAACAAATTTCACTTGTACATAGAATCTAATCTATTATATATTTTGTGCTTCATATCAAACTATTTTCTGAATCCATGACAACATACATGTTTTGATCCTCATTCTACGGGAAACTTCTTTAATGAACAAAAACAAACTAACTCCAAAGTCTTAATCGTAAAACTATTGAGCTTAAAACTTACATCACTCGCTGAAATGCATTCTAAGTACGAACACTCTTGTTCTCTTCCTCCTCCATCGTATCACATATAACGGTGCCTCTAGTTTCCGGCAACGTGATTGCAAACAACCCCAACATCCCAATTGTCACACCGAATAGACCAAACGACCACAATCCATTCTCGCGACCAGCAGCCACCAGGATAGGACTGAAAACACCAGCAAAAACCAAAGCTTGTCTCGCCATAGCGATGGCTGTGTTCCTAACACACGTCGGGAACAGCTCAATAGTATATATCATCTCCATGTTAAAACAAGAGCATGCGCTAAAATATGCCACAAGCTCTAGCGCTAAGTATAACGCCCCGATGCGGTTACCGATCCTCTGTAAGACGAAAATGAGGAAACTCGAGATACCGCCTAACGCTGTGAAACCGAGAATCGCGCTTCTCCTGCTGAGTTTGTCGACAAGTAATAGTGTGACAAGATTCGCAGGCAGATCCATCAGCGCATTAAAGCCTGCACTTAGATATATGTTGAAGCTAAGAGTCGGTAAGGCTAACGGCATTCCATAGTAGACGAAACCGATCCCAAACGCAATCGCCATTACTGCCGATAATCTCTTAATCGCCCATTGTTTCTGCACCAACACCCTCAAGGCCACGTAGATGCTGACGTTAGGCAACGCATCAAATGCTAAACTCGAGAACCTCATGGCCATTTCTGCGCTATTCAGAGGTTTCGAAGATACACTTTCGAGAACCGAGATGGCCTTTTCTCGACGACCCCTAACGAGAAGCCACCTCGGGGACTCGAGGACAAAGAGCTGTACCACGCCACAATAGACAAGTGTTGGAATCGAAGTCCAGAGGCAGAGGTTTCTCCAGGATTTTCCGCGGTTTAGGTAGGCCATGACGGGAAGCGAGAGAAACCCGATCATGAAGCCGAAGAAGCTCATGACACCTACTCGTCCTCGCCACTTCTTCCCGACCAGTTCAGTGGAAAGCACAAGGGCACAAGTACCGATAGTAGACCGACCAAACCCGTTCATGAACCGGAGTAGAGCGTATACCCACACGTTCGGGGAGAAGACGGCTAGAAACGTTGAGATGGACATCACGAGACATGAAAGACAGAGCATCTTCTTCCGACCGAGAGTTGAGTCGGCGAGTGTGGAGAGAAGCAGACCACCAACTAGACATCCAAGGAAAAACGAGCTCCCAGGCAAGCCCTTGACGAAGGATCCGCTGCATTGGAGACTCCATTCCGATATTACAGACGCGTTGGGAGACAGATCCCACGACCATGCTTTGTCGGGGAGGTTACAGATGTTGGATACGTCTGGACGGCAGATCGAGCCTGACTCGGTGCAGTGCCACGTGGGTTCCGAGTCGGTGAAGACCGTGAGGAAGGTTTGTTGAGCGTCGAAAACACCGGAGAGCGAGACCAGTGTGGCTTGCATGAACTGGGCCCACCCAAAGTCTCCGATACAATGCTCAATGGTGTCGTCGAGGGATCTCGGCGCCGTGGCCGGAGTTGCGTCATCGGCCATTGCAGGAGTTTATTCCAGTTTTGCCTATGTCGCGTAGTTAGTGACTGAAGGCGAAGTTGATACTACTAATGATCCTATTCTGTAATTTAGTGACTTATCAGTATGCAGTGAACGTCAATTTCCAAAACTGTCACCTTTTTCCACACATGAAAAGAGTAAAATTATTCAAAGGGCAAAACGGAGAAAGAATGCGATGTTGGAATTTATACACACACAAGAGGCGATACTTGATTGGTGAGAGGTGTAGGACACATCCATTCATTTTTCTGTAACTTGAGAGGAAAGAAAAGGTATTAAATATAACCTTATTTTGATTATACAAAATGAGATATGATCTCTAGATTTGGATGAATTTCCTAAGCTATTTTTTCCTTTTTTAAATAAAATTTCTGTCATTTCCTCATAAATTACTTGGTCAGATTACTATTGAATTGCCAAGTTTCTTTTTTTTTTCTTTTGGCTGTAAGGATTTGATTCTATAGCCTTCTATGATAGTTTTTCGGTCAAATCCTCAATAGCTCTATGTCTTCATCACTATATTCCAATGACAGTAAAATAAAAATAAATAAAAAAGTCTAAAATGTATTTATTAGACAAGTCTTAATTATAAAACACATAAATATGATTTAAGGCAGTTGATCGTCGCCTTTGACTACATCTTTACTCTTTTTGGGAGGGAAAAAGTAATCTAAAGTGTTTTTTTGAAAACAAAGTGGGACACAAGAGAGAGAGAGAGAGAAGGAGCGGCCAAATTTACGAGAAGACGAGTGATCATATATATTGAGAAAGACTCTTGGATTCCTCTGCAACACCGGAAATTTCGAGGAGATGTCGGAGATCGCTGGTGGAGTTAGAGGAGGCCGATCGGATTTCGAGCTTCCTGATGAGATTCTATCGGTTATTCCGACGGATCCTTTCGAGCAACTAGATCTCGCTAAGAAGATCACCTCCATGGCGATTGCTTCCAAGGTGTCAAATTTGGAGGCCGAGGTTATCGAAATGAAGCAGAAACTCCATGAGAGGGAAGTCGGTATTCACGAGCTTGAGTGGAAGGCGTCTCGCCTGGAAAGAGACTTCCGAGAAGCCGATTCAATGTTGAAGATGTCCCTCCATGAAAACGTGAGATATCGCTTTCTATATCTCCCTGCTTTCTTTTATTCTGTATCAAGAAGCTTATGGCTTTGATTGCATATATATATATACCGTCTTTCTTTTATGGGGAAGATGAACCTGAGAAAGGAACGTGATTCACTTGAGGCGACAGCAAATAAACTGAGATGTGATGTCGCTAAGGTGAAGCTAGTATACTTTGTCTTCTTGTTTTATATATTGCTGCTTTTGTGATTTCTCTATGTTTACTTTTATTTTGTTTAGTAAAGGGTTTTATTTTCAGCTGGAGACATTCAAGAGGCAATTAATTCAATCCTTGAGTAATGAGAATGTTTCTGTGAATGTAAGTAGGATACTTTAGTTTTACCAGCTTCTCTTACTACAAAATTGCTTCTTAGTTAACTGTTTACTTCCACAGGAAACAGAACCTGCTGATATCAGGACATGTGACCAGTCGGTTCCTCGGTGGTTTACTCCAGTCAATGGTACTGTACTGCTTGGAATTACTATGATCATCTGAATGACTTTTGCTTATGTTTGTGTACTCAACTTATACTGTAATACTTATATGATTTTGTACTCAACTTATGCTTGTGTTTTTTGTACTTGGCAGCTTCAGAGTACACAGGGCCCAGATTGTCTGTAACTCCATACATCTCTCCATGGGTTACGCCAACTATAATCTCTCCTCGAAGCAATTATGCTGCAGGATCTCCCAGGAGAACTTCTGGTGAAAGAGAAAATACAATTCTCTGGTGCCCATCAAGCCAGCAATCATCAGCTTCAAATTCTCCTCCTCGTGCCTTCCCACTCTCAGGTTAGGTTTTCAGTTCATCTGTCTCTAACTATGTTCACATTCTCTGATTGTACTGAAACTTATGCAGCTCGGATTGATGGCAAGGAGTTTTTCCGTCAAGCCAGGTTAGCTCTTTATCCTTTTTTTTTTTCACAATTCAGACTTAACCTTTGAAGCAAACATTTTATTTTTATGTTTATCATCATCATCATCCAGGAGCCGATTATCATATGAACAATTCAGAGCCTTCTTGGCTAACATCAAAGAACTGAATGCTCACAAGCAAACCCGAGAGGTAAGCCAACAAAAGCAGTTTCTGTTTACTTTATATGTCAATCCGTGTTTGAAAGTGCATACGCATTAAAAAAAGAATGTTCTGAATTTGTTAGGAAACTCTGAGGAGAGCGGGTGAGTTATTGGGGGCAGAGAACAAAGATCTTTACTTGTCTTTCCAAGGACTTGTTACCAAGAACAAGACCTAATTAAGACCAAATAAACTTGGCATGAAAGATATGATGGGTCTTGGATCCGAAACTAAAATACAAATGATGTTTCGATCTTGTAAACACAAGAAGATTTTATATTTGTAGTAATGAGAGAAAGATAATCAGAATGGCTACCCTTTTCTTTTACCAACAGCTGAAAGACAAAAATTTGGTTCCTGCAAATTCAGATCCTGAATCTCTTTGGAGTCTCTGATTTTATATGTTTGGTCTTTCTTCTAATAATGATTCTGAGTTTGCCGCCAAGTTTTAAAAAAAACTATTTAGATACATATAGCTTGGCCCATTGGGCCTTGAATATCTAGAAGCCCAGAAAAGAGGTTTGTCTCTGTTTACCAGTTTATAGAATGGCCGCGAAAATGACACTCCTCACTCATACTGGGGAAAAATCGCGGAGCTAATCTTCCTCGGAGAATTTGTTTTTTTTTTGGTTTCGATTCTTCTTATTTAATATTCTGTCGTCTAATCTTTCATAGGGAAGGTTGAAGTGAGAAGGATTTTGTGTTGCATTGTACTTGGTGAAGATTGTGCACAGAAGGTGTTTGATAGAATGTCTAAACCGTTATTATACAGAAAACGTTCGATCTCTTTCGGTCTGGTCCAAATCCTAGAGAAGAATATGTTTAGAGAAATTGAAAATTTGGAGTCTTTTGGTGGACAATCATCTAGTAGATCGCAGGGGACGTTTGTTCAGGTGAGACACAAGTCCGGTGGAGGATGGAGACCGAAGAAGAAAGTATACCATAGAGTTCATGAGCTTGATAAAGCCATAGATTCGAAGAAGAAGCCAACTCTGATACTTGAGCTGAAATCCATCATTCAGGCGCAGAAACGTGGAAGCATTCTTCTTAGAGACCTCGAGAAGCATGTTGGGTTTGTTCATAAGTGGAATTTGATGGCTGCCATTGAGAAGTACCCTTCGATATTTTACGTTGGAGGTGGAAACAGAGAGCCTCCTTTTGTTATGCTTACTGAGAAAGCTAAAGAGATTGCAGCTGAGGAAGGTGAAGTTACAGAGTCGATGGAACCTCTTCTGGTTAACAATCTAAGGAAGCTATTGATGATGTCGGTTGATTGTCGAGTGCCTTTGGAGAAGGTTGAGTTTATTCAGACTGCAATGGGTTTGCCTCAGGATTTTAAGAGTACATTGATCCCAAAGTACCCAGAGTTTTTCTCTTTAAAGGTTATTAACGGAAATGTTCATCTTGCTTTGGAGAACTGGGACTCTTCACTGGCAATCACCGCACGGGAAGATAGGTTATCCCGTGAAGGACTCCTTGAGCCTATGGAGAACAGGAAGAAGGTTAGGATCACAAAGGATGGCAATTTCTTGGGACGAAATGCGTTTAAGATCTCTTTTCCTCCTGGGTTTAGGCCTAACGCAAGTTATCTAGAGGAATTTGAGAAGTGGCAGAAAATGGAATTTCCATCTCCGTACCTTAACGCTAGAAGATTCGATGCTGCGGATCCTAAAGCTAGGAAACGAGTTGTAGCTGTGCTTCATGAGCTGCTCAGTTTAACAATGGAGAAGAGAGTGACTTGCGCTCAACTGGAAGCATTTCACTCCGAGTACCTGCTTCCGTCTAGACTAATACTTTGCTTGATAAAGCATCAAGGGATCTTCTACATTACTAACAAAGGAGCAAGGGGTACAGTCTTTCTCAAAGAAGCTTATGCTGGTTCTAATTTGATCGAGAAATCCCCGTTGTTATTGTTCCATGATAGATTTGTTGCGCTCTGTGGTCGGAGACAAGCCAGTCTATGTAATGAAATGCAGTCTTCAAGTGTCATCTCCTGATCTTACATTGATTCTGTTCCAGAAAATAAGATTGAATTTACAGGGCTCTGATCATTAGAAGCATTTCGCTTTAACCCTTTCTTCTTACAGTCCATAGTCTTCTCATATGAAGAAAAGAAGAGTACTACTACTTGCTTAAGATATTAACTTTTGGCCAACAAACAGAACAGTAAATACTAAATGTTGATTGAGGAGGCACCTAATATGGTACCAAGAGAGACGTGACTAAGTACTGTGAATGTTGATATTGAAGTGTGTATCTGGTCCATGTGGAGGTTGTGAATGCAGGTGGTGTTATAATACACTTGTTTGTTTCTCAGTGTACACGACTCTGTTGATTGTTTTTGTGGAGAAAACGATAACGGAATCTTCCTCGTGTTTACACACGACGGAACATTTAATTTTGAAATGCAGGAGAAGGGGGTCCAGAACTCATGTGGCTTGTGAAGAGCATCATGGGAAAAGAGCCAAAGGGAAGGACAATTAAGTCGCACTCCACAATCCCCATTTTTAGACCTGAGTCGCATTCATGTTCAGAAACAAAAGGTCAGTGTTTTCATTATTAGCCCTTTTTCTTTTTTAACAGTTTTATGGTAAAATCCACAGTGCATTATACGAACCCAGTCCTGTCTCGTTCTTTTCTGCTGGCACTGTTTCTGTTTTTTACATTGAAGGCAACTTTTTTTTTTAAGATAAACAACAAAACTCTCTTTTTCATGGTGTTGGATGGTAATAGGCTGCTGAAACATCGATTTTGGTTTACGGATAGAGACTAATAATAATTAAACACTTGGTCTCTCGTGATAAACTGCGTAGTTAGTTGTCTGTTTTTGTTCTTAGTAAGGTTCCGTGTCTTGTTTGAACATGTTAACTAACCTATATATAGTCGAAACCTATCAATTTTGAAATCCATCCATTGGCACAAAAGAAAATCCAAAGTCAGATTCTTTTTTTTTTCTTTTCTTGAAACTTTAACAAGTAAATGGATTCCTGTCCTTGTCATTTGGCATCTCATCCAAAATGAAGGGTACACAATTCAAAGCATAAAGCCAAGATCTTGAGGTTGATTGAAGCATCAAGATCAATAATAATCACCCATCTTTGAATTTTTTAATTTTCTTTGCTTGGTTCTCGTTTCCTTTTCTACATTTTCCTTGATAAAGCCAAGTCACAGACCAAACGTAAGGATCATCCGCTAACATCTCGACGTATCAACCACAAATTGGAATCGATACGCTGATGTTGCATTGGATTACAGAAAACTTAGAAAACTACTGACAGAGACTTATAACCACACTATGACAGATATTTGAATTTCCTACTTGTAAATACCACCTAAAATTTGCAGTTTCTATTGATTGATCTGGGAAAACTTGTCTGTACACAGACAAAGACGTGGGCTTTCTTTGAGCCCCTATTAGATACTTTTGCATATTAAAACAACTTGACACATAAAAGATCAAACTTTAGGGATATCGTTTTCATGTATGGAGGTTTTGATATCTTGGGGACAAAATTCTATGGTCCATTATTGTACAGTGGTCCTACAGTCCCAACCATTTTTCTGTGTACTGTTTTGGACAGAAGAACACATCATGCAATCACCCAATACTATTTTCCTTCGTTGTTTGGTCCAATCTGACTCCTCTCTCTCCTTTTTTCTTTTGAAAAATCGTTTTCACCATTTCCAAAACCCCCAAATCTAATTCAGTGATCAATAAATAATCAAGTACACAAGTATTTCCACTTCTTTCCTCTGTATAGCTATTAGATCTTTACGTTAATGCATCTTCTTATACATACTGGTCTACTTATACCAACTCATTCTATGATTATATGTATTAATTAATATTGCTTTGTGGTCACTGCTTGGTGTTGATTAAAAGAATAAAGATGCCATCTTCATCTTCAGCCTGAAGCTTGCATTTCTGTTTTTTGTTTTTTTACTGTTGGACATTGCTATATTCAAAAAGGAAATCATAGACATTGTACAAAACTTTTGATTTCTCCATTCTCTCTTTTCTTTGCTTTATTTTCTCTTGATACTCATATCTTTTCATTGTTTCTTGATACCCACATCAGCACTTTCGTTACCTTTTCCCCAACAAAATATCTTTTTATTCCATTGACATAGTCCAATCTGATTTCCCTAATAAACTATCCACATGAAAAAGAAGAGGACTTTCATGTATACATTAACATTAAACCAGCATATGTATATATATATATATACATGTACTTTATATAAACCTGTTCCATCTTGGATATGATATCTGCCCACTAACCCCAACCAAACTACATAAATGATTTGGGTAGTTGGCTTTCTTTTCTTTTAGAATTTATTTTCTTTTTTAAAACTTTGGGTGCCTAATATAGACAAGAAGGAACTATTACAATCACTTTCCTAGACACTTTTCTCTGTTCAAGAGGGGAAGAGGAGTATCCATGAACAGTTAATAGTTGTGGGGATATCAGATTGAGAGAGAGAGAGAGAGAGAGAGAGAGAGAGAGAGAGCGAGAGTAATGATTTTGCCAGATTCTATAGGGTATTCAGATGGGTCTATAAACCACATTACCACTCTTATATATCTCTCTCTTCTTGCATCATCATAATCAAATTCCAAGCTATGTTATCATGTGTAATAACATTATAGAATCTGGCATAGATGAACATATGTGCAGGTCTATCGTGATCATAATCATTTATTAATATATGTTGTGAAAATTGAAAAAGTAAAGAAAGAATATAAAAAGGAAAACTCTTTGAGGTCTAAATCTAATTCACATGAGCTTTGCTGTGTTGTGTGGTTCAGTGGGATAAGACTGATTGTTAACACCATATATAATTTTTTCTTTAAATTATTCATCTTTTGAAATTGGATGGTACTAATGATGAGAAATAAACAAATTGTCTTGTGGCTTTTTCTGCAGTGATTTCAGAAGACTTCACACCAAATCCACTCAATGTAAAGAGGAAAAAAAAAAAAAAGAGAAATGGCATTTTTCTTTGGCATTGGTAAATTGGTAGGTCATTGATATTCGCACGTTAAAGGAAAAACAAAATGCTCTTTGCTGCTTTTTTATATTGTTTTAAATTTATCCCTTTGCGTTTTTTTTGTCTTAGCCAAATTCTATCTCTTCTTCAGGTTTAGAATAGTCGTATTTGCGATAATTTTGGAAACGTTTACACTTTAATAATCTAAAAAGTATATCGTTTGACAATGGAATTTTTATTTAAAAAATCAACTAATGGACAATTTAGTGATCTATCAATTAGCGTCAAGTCTACTAATGTTTAGCCATCGATGTAGAAAACCAACCACTGAGAGATAGTCCTTTGCTTAAAGGATTGGTCCAGTGATGATCTCTCAATTTTAAATTCGAATTTCCAATTTTACTGTGGGATTGTGATTCCGATTCACATTATTGACACGAGCGTTAAAAGGTTAAAAGAGGGTGACAAATGTTTTTGTTCCCATTTGGGCTCATTCATAGTTATGTAGTCAAATCAAATTGATGGCTTAGGGGTGAAAAATGATAAGTGGGACCCATTCCCAACAAGAAGATACAATTGCTAATTAATTTTTATTAATTAAATATTTTTTTCTTAGGACAAAGAACAAAAAAGGCAAAAGCTACCAAAATCAATAGGGTAGTGAGGTTGGACCATTTCATGAGTGCCCCCTTTCACAAGGTAATCTATAAAGTTTTGGTGTTCCCCATCATGACCCCTCCTCACATCTATATCTCCACTTTTAATTATTCCCAAAGTCATCTTGATGTAATCTATAATCTTTTATATCATATCATGTATATATATAATATTCCACTATGTACATTTGTATTGCTAATCAAAATCGTTTAGTTTAGTGGATGTTGCACTTCTAAAGTTGATGTTTGATTTAATCATGTATCTATAACTAGCAAATTAATTAGTTATATCATGCATTATTGAACTCACATTATAATATATGTTTCCACGGTTTGATATTCATATATTCCATTATTATTTTTTGTTCAATACGGAGTTAGCTTGAGCATTTTGGCGTTTCCAACTCCTAAGCTGACTTTTTCTGTATACATGCATAAAATTTGGATTGCCGTTTGAGCTGAATAGTTTTCTTAAGAATATGAGGAAATGTTTGAAATTTGTTTTACAAGAAATAAACACAAGATAGAAACGTATGATTTCACTCTAAATCAACATAAAATGACATTTTAGCTTTTTATCCATCACTCAACCATAAATTAATTTTGCTTACCCCATATGAAATCCAAAAGAAAAAAATTATGGAATGAAAGGTTGAATATATAGAGAATCAAATAGTATTTTTAATAAACAGTTTTCACAGTTCCAAACAAAAAAAAAATAGTAAAATCGTAGCCTCCAATGTAGTATTTAAATAAAAATTGTTTAAAAAGAATAAGAGAAACCCCACCAAAGCTGAAATATTGGACAAAAAAAATGGGTGTAAATAAATAGAAAATAATATCTAAAATAGAAGTGGACAAGTTGCATGACACAAACCCTAACACCACAACATTTGCATATCCCATCACTTTACACCAAGTCTTCCACTTTTGCTTCGTTTGTTTCGCTTATATATTATAAATTATTAAATAAAAGCATAACCGTAGGGAAATGGTCCTTAGATTCTTCAAAAGTTTCCATATAATAGAGTAATTTAAATAAAACATCAATCGGTCAAGCGTCACTCTCTCTTTTTATTTTTGTTTGTAAATTTGTTTTTGCTTGATTTGTTGCTTAGTGTGTACGTGACGTTTGGTTCCTTCCCTTCACACACTCTTATCTCCATTTTCAAAACTACAATTTTTTTAAAAACGACTCTCTAAGTTGGACAAAGTTAGAACTTAGAAGATCACCATGGTTTGTTCCAAGTTCCAACCAAATGCTAATATATCAATTAGGTAATGAAGAGCTTTTGTTGGAGGAAGTCGAATCTATATTTTGAGTTCAAGTCTCTATCGGAGAGGAACGGTGGCGTCTTAATAGGTTATTAAAATATTCTGTATTTAAAGATATTATGGGACAAAGGTTTGGAATTTCTAATTATAAAATAAAAACTCTGCATGTCCCTGTAAAAAAATGGTATTTTACTAAATTTCTGTTTCGAAGCATGTAACAAATACAAACACTAGATCACATGTCAACGTTTATGTGTAAATTTTTGATATAGTGGATGATTTAAGCAACTATGGTTTAAAGTTTTTATTTACTTTCGGCCTTAAAAATTAGCATATTCTAACGTGTTTCTTTTAAAAAAAAAAAAATTGGAAAGTCTGATTAATTAAAACAAGTAATATAGTATTGAACGTTTCAAAATGTCATGATTTAGGATATCGAACCTCTCCATTGGTTGATCCGCATGTGAAGGCACAAAGATGTCTACATCTAAATCTACTAATATACAAATCCGAAATCCACTTAGAAACGTATGATTTAATTATAAATATAATCCAATATTTTAGGTTTTGATTTTCTCTAGGCACAAAAAATATAACTAAACAGGAGGAAATAAACCAGATAAATTGGCTTTAGGACTTTTTTTATTCGTGCGACGAGTATATCCTCTTTAATGTTGGCATGATCTATTCACATCACTTTCTCGTGTACTCTCTCTTTTTATATATGAAATTATCTAAATAATCTTTTCAATAAAAATATATACTTATAGTTTCCCATAGCATTCAGAAGGTTAATCATGTATAAAAACATCTGTTAAAGTAACTTTGTTATCCAACTTGATTGAAGATTAACTATAGTCTTGTCTCACCAGTGGATTTTAATTATACGAGAACAGTGACATGAATAGAACCAACAAGTTATCAAATATCACTACGTACACCTTCTTTTGTGTGTAATGTATGCTTTATTAATAGTTTAGTGCTTAATTGTTTATACATTACATGTCAGTTTTAATTATCCCTAATATCATCGAATCTCGGATTCCCGTGGTTATTTTAATTACGATAAACACATACTTATAAATTTGCTAGAAAACAGATGGAGAATCGAGAAAAAAAAAAAAAAAAAAAAAAAACTGAGAAAATTAAATTTTTTAAAAGAAGAAGAAAGAGAAAGTGTCAGGAGGAGTACGCAGGACGAACAACAGCGACATTTGCGCGCGTCCGACGTGTCAGCTTTTTACCTCTTCCACTGTCTCTTCCCTCCCCTTCCCTCCCACACGCGTATTTGCCGGCGCGTGGCTTTCACGTCCCACCAGTGAACTGTTCTTGGGTCCCATGCAGGCACCAATTATCGTATTTGTTACTTTAAATATTTTCCTGTAGTTTTGGGATTATTGTTTTTCGTGATAATTACAAACATATAATTAAACAATTATAAAAGCAGAATAGAGATAATAAGATAATCTTTGATTTAAGCAACTATGGTTTAAAGATTTTTTTTTACTTTCGGCCTTAAAAACTAGCATATTCTTGGATTTACTTATTAAAACTAAACGATATTTGGAAAGAATGTGAAATATCAAAATGTGCGGGATTTTTTCTTTCTTAGTAGTGAAGGTTTTCCTTCTCATGATTTTGATTTCTTAGCTAAAAAAATATTCAACTAATTTCCTTACAAGTTTTTAGAAAAAAAGAATAAAAACTTCCATTAACAAAAAAAAAAAGAAAAAGAGAATAGAATAGTTTCCATAAACGGGGGTCAAGGTGACATGTTGACATGAACGCTAGCGTTTTTGGGAGATCTACAGATGGGACACGTGTGAACGCTGGACCCACAGACTCCACACAAGCACAAGTGTCTGCACGGTAAGAGCAACACACAGGATTCCCCCTCCCCACAGTTTCTGCACATCCTACCTATCGTCGCCTTATCATGCGCCCCCGTAGCTACCCTGCGCCTAACCGTTTCTTCACCCGAGCTGCTTCCGCAGCACGACTGCGCGTCGTCTTCGGCGTTTGCGTTGGCGTTTGCGTTAACGTCATCTAATCCTGCGCCGGGGACGCTTCGTAGGTCCTTAACCTGCGCCAGGACCTGCTCGAGGTTGGTGCGGAGGTTGTTGGCGGTGGCTTCGTTGGTCTGAGCGAGATCCCGCCATATTTGGTTCTCGATGGAGAGTGACTTCACGCGCTCCTCGAGCGTGTGGTTTATCTTCCCGATCCTCTCTCTCTCTTCTTCTTTGACTCGGAGCCTTTTCACCAGTCCATGCTCTATAGCCTCCATTATCGTCCTCGCTTGCCTCTTCCTCTTTTCTTGAATCTCGAATTTCACTCTCTCCATCTGATCACCATAAACAAATCAATCAGTTTCTTCTATATTGATTGATGCACATTGCTTATACACTACCACCGAAACAGTTTTGCCTATCTGATTGAAACTCTATCGTGTAATCATCCTTTTGAACTGTACGAACAATAACGAAATCGGTTTCTTAAAGAGATCACTTACATGAAGGGAGACGAATCGATCGATTTCATGCTGTTGCTGATTGATGTGGGAGGAGATATCGATGTCTTGACCCAGAAACGAAAAAGGAGTTGTCGTCGCAGTAGCGCATGATGATCTAATAAGGTTCTGATTAGGATGATGATAAGAAGTCGATCTGGAGTCTCTGGAGCGTTTTCTCGTCGGTAAAGAGAACAAATCACAGTCGACATTAGCACCGTCGGCGTAGTAAGTGAAGGAGTCGGCGGTTGTCGGAATGGTATCAGCGGTGGAGGAGCCGCCGTACATATGAAGAAAAGAAGGCGAGTCGTCCGTCACCGAGAAAGGTGAAACGCCTCCGTATCCGATTTGATTGTTTGCGCAGAAGCCGCCGTTAGTTGGTTCCATGGTGGCGCTGTTGTTATTCATCATCAATACTCTGCAGAAGCAGTACAATAAAATAAAAAATTCAGTTGAGAATCATCAATACCACAAAGAAAACTCCTCCAAAAAAGAATCTAGGAGAACAAAGAAACCCAGAAAAAAAAAAAACATCAGATCGCAGAGAGAGCGCTATAAACCTGTTGGAAAAGAGTTGAGAAGGAGAGAGAAGGAGATGGTGAGCATCGACGGCCATGGAAGGAGAGAAATGATGAGAGAATAGGGAGGAGGAGGAAGAGGAAGAAGTTTAAAAGAGATAGAAAAATTAGAAATGCATGCGTTTCGGTTTTTGTTTTGGTGCTTTGATGTGCGTGAAGAGAGCCTTTGCTTTTCTTTATTTTTTTTATTTTTATTTTTATTTTTTCTTTGAAAGACCAAATCGAAACAAACCTCAACCAAATGGTTGTTTCCTATTTATACACATGGACGCGACGAACGTGAATAGATGATGATAACAAATGCCAAATTTTAGAAAAGAATCAATTTCATATTATTTAATTTGTTTAAAAGTTAATGTAAATCTATTGTACATACTGAATTTAATTAACCTACCATTTTCTTAGGGTTTGATAATATGTGGATTTGACTTTTATGTTTATTTTTAGGTAACTTTTTTTCCATAAACTTCTCAATTTTAATACACTTTCTGAATATCAATATATATTCCAACTTTCCAGCACTGTTCTGGTATATAGTTACCTAATGCTCTGATTGAATTGAATCTTGTTGATTTTAGTTAGAATTCAATAATTTGAGATTTGGTTAATTTTTTTTTGTATCGGATGGTTATGGTGATAATTTTGAAACACACATATTGTCGGTTACAATATCTTTTGAAGTGGTAAGTTGAAGCGAAATTGAAGGAAACTTTATCTTATTTTTTAAATTAAAAAAAAATCGGTTATGTTTTCGGGTCATAGGTATTATTAGGAGAGTAACGCTCGAATTCGGTTTTTGTTTTTTTTTCGAACTTGACCACCGTACCGAATAAATAGAGTAGATCGGTTGGGCCGTGAATTTAGCGGCAGTATAGGGGTAATTTAGGACATTTACCACCGTAAAACGATGGAATTCACTTTTGAAGGAAAACACATGCAATAGAGATGGACACGTGTATAAAGGTACGAAGGAGTCATGCGTATTGCCATGTAAGCATTCCAGCGTGGCGAACAATTTTTTACTGGGACCCACAACTTGTCTTTTGTACGGTCCGTTAAAATGGGTAAAATCTTACTTTTTTCCGTTTTTGTAATATTTCTATTTCGTACGAGTTTGGCGCCATGTGATGCCACGTGGTGAATCCTCCGGGCTACTTCTGTTTGACCCTTTCTTTGACTTTTCTTTTCAATTTTTATTTAACAACATCAACAAATGTTAAATTTTTAATTACGTATTAATAGAAACATTTTAGTTCAGTAAAATATATATCAATTAATAATAAATTCATTACTATTTTTATTGTAAAATTTTTAATACATGTATTTACTTAAAGCAGATAGTGGTGTAAATAATTAGTGTGTTATTATATTCAATTTTTTGATAAATAACTGCGTATTTATTATTCATACATTTCTCATAATCTGAAGTAATCTAGGTTCAAATTCCATCATTGGTTTATTTATCCTTGAATTTAGTTTTTACATTACTCAATTAAAAATATAGAGCATCCATCCTGATGTATAAATCAGTATAAAACACAGAGAACCCAAGAGGTTAAGAAAGAGAGATAGAGACATATCCTTATGAAGATGATATCAGATAGAAAGTAACACACAAGAATTAATTCCTACTTTGATTTAGGTCCCTTTTACCTTTATTTTCTACTCCTTCTTTTACATTTTTTTGTGCTTTGTTATATTTTCTTTCCCACACATTAAAAGTGAAGAAAAAATATGCCTTTGGCTTTTAGAAGCTTTCAAGTTTCCACCATCTTAATTCGTTTCCCAAAGGCCAATTTTACAAAAGTGAATTTTGTAAAGTAAAAGAGTGCCCATGGTGCACAACTTAAATACGTGTTTGGTTATTGTATTACGAGACTGCCAAAGTATCAAAAATATAGTGAGACATTAACTAATGGGTGTCTGTCTGTTACAACTTACAAGTAAATAATATTTAAAATATGAAGTATTTTTTTTGTTCGGTAAAAAAATATGAAGTATTTTATCTTACAAAAAGAAACATAAAACTTGGAATTGTGGTTTACTCTTTGATTGAAGAACAAGTGACATTGCACCTTGACTTTGTTGTATGGTATCCTTTCTTTTCTCTTTAAATAACTTTGATTATCACTTTGTTTTTGTTTTTCTTTTCTTCTTCTCATTTGATTCAACTTAAAGTTGATGTTGGTGATATTCATGTGATACCAACATTTCAAAAGAAGAGAAAAAAAAACCATAACCATTGTAAGAATCTTAAAGGGTGCCTTACCTAGAAACTTCATCTTTCCTTAAAGGCACCACTATAATTTAATTTGTTGTAAGGAAAGAATTCGTGCTTTTGTGAAATATAATACCAATACCATATTCATATATCTTTCGGTTCATATACATAATTATTCTGTCTATCAAAGTTTTTGAAAATTGTGACTTTAATTATACTTTTGTTCCAACGACATCATATCACACACCTAGATCTTACAACAATTCAAAAGAGGCTTCACTGGATGTGTAAAGCTTCCCACTAAAGACATGTGTTTGAATTAATTGTTGCTGCTTGTTAGTGCATACATATCACATGTACTATGGTCCATACATAAGAAGCTCGTGACCTAACATATTAATCTTTAGACATTTATATTATTATTTATCAATAATGCACCAAGACACCTTTCGATCTAACATCTTAATCGAAAAGGATGATACACAACTATCGAAAAATATAACTGTACGTGATCTTAAAGTCTTTTACAGAATTTCTTGTTTTCGAGAACTAATGACAAAGTCTTCGTTCGAACTTTGAGACCGTAAAATTATTAAGATGACTTTCGAATTTTAGTGACAATTTTTACATTCAATTTTCATTGGATAATATACACTGTGTTGATGTAATATACTCTACAATATTCGAAGAAGTGCCCATACGTAAATTAAGGTGACTCCCAATTATCGGATCTAGAACTTGTGAAGACAGATGCATAAGATAAAAGAGTTAGGTTTGAGAGGTCCCGACGTAATTAAAGATGTGTTGGGCCATCACTCTTCCTTGCTCCTCAAAAAATACCTTACTTAGCCGTATCATCGAAACTTAACTTTCATTATTGTAACAAAATTTCTAAGAGTTTTTATTTATTTAATTCTAAAAAAAAATCGTTGCCCCATTAGGAGACAAGAGAAGAGGTTCTGCAAAAGACTTTAACTTGGTGTCATGTGTGGTTGTGTGCTTATGGACAGTGAGTGGTCCCTTCATTTTTTTTAATATATATTTTTATTTTAAATAGAATAAAAATAAAATAAAGGAACCAATGTGTAGATTGCATGATTCCCACTACTGCTTTCAATCTCATCTTCTGCTAAAAATGCATTATGATCCCACCACCACTTTTATTTCACTCAGACAAAAAATACGTCATAAATGTTAAAAAATATTATATATTATTTTATAAATGTACATGAATACGAGGAGAGCTATTCATCGAAATGTACTGACTTGTTACCATCAGATCATGAACCACATTAACTTCAACCAAAAAGACAAAGACAAAGGTGGTGGTTGTTGTTGTCAGATCACTGATTCACTTTCACCAGATCAAGAATTGGTTTAATCAGTTTGAATCAAAAGTAGAGATTAGACAACAGCTTATGCGTTCTTCTTAAAAGAAGCTTACACAAATCCATCACTACGTGAGCCTACTGCTTCAAGTCCCTACCATGACGAGACCAATCAGTCACATTCGTACCATCAAAATCAGTAAATGAGAACATGATTGATACCTGCAAGGTCTCTCTCATTTGGTCCCTCCAAGCTTTCTTCATGGAGATTGAAGAAACGATACTTGGGTTTTGCGAGGTGGCCGTGTGCTGCTACTGCTGTTCCCTCTTCTTCCTCTCAAAGACCTACGCATAATCCCACAAGACATCTTTATTTATTTTTTATTAGATTTGAAAAAAGCTAAACATTGATTGATAGGAGATTTTCTAGTTGTGTGGAATGATGATCCAATTTCTTGAATCTTTTGTTTGATCATAAACTCGTGAATTAGCAGATCCAAGATAAGAATGACAGCACGTTTTATAATGCGTTTCCATATTAGCCACTGATAGAAAAGTTGTGATATCTATTTAGCTAAGGACCAGGCAAACACCTCATGAAACCAATTGCATAAAGATATCTAGTCAAAAGACAAGTCCTGATGTGAAGGTCTCACCGAATGCTTTTTGAGAAAACAAAGACGCATAGCCAGAGGAATTGGATAAACTCAAACATTCCAACACTTCTGGGACCTTTTTTCAAAAAAAACTCTTCCCACAGCAAACAAGCTCTGACCATTAAAAAAGAAGAAGATAAATACCTCCTAGGACTGCGGCTCCTTGATATCCACCTAGGAGCCTGTAAGTTCACACAAGCTAGAACGTCAACACATAACTCAGCGATTCATCTATTTAGCTGAAAACGGGTCTGCAACAAGCCATACCTTACGGGAACTAGAACTAGAGTAGGAAGATGACCTTCTACGTCTTCCAGCTGGACCTCTTCCCCTGTTTCGAAGCAAAGAGGAGATTACAGTGTGTGCTATGACAGAGTACGATTACAATGGACAATCACTACTATGTAAGGAGCTAAAATAACAGAACCCACATAGATCTTGGAAACTCGATACCCAAGGCCACTTTTTTAGTCATATTTGGCTTAACGTTTATTGAAACTGGCATGCCACCATATGTTTCTTCTATCTTAGAATAAAACAAAGCAGGATCGTGGACCATACTCGTGAGTCATGAGCTAGGAGTCTTATGTACTCTAGTAGCTGTGAAACTATAAGTCTTCAACAGATATTAAAGGTAACACTGAAAAATTCACAAGACTTAACCATACCAGCCGCGTGGTATTGACCTTGAACGAGAACGAGCAGGCCTACGAATTGGTACGGTTACGTCTGCGGACTGCAGATCTTCTCGGATAGCTGCAAAGATGGCCTTAGAGGTAACCTGCATGTGCGCATTCAAGAAGTAAGCCATCAAATGAAAACAAATACAATGTGGGCAGAACATCAATAAAATTGAAGCACTGGTTTGGTTTCCCCAACTACATACGGTATACATAAGTTTATCTCATCCACTAATTACTTACACCGCACTTCTTAAGACATTAGCTCACCGTCGCCTAAATGGAAGAGGAGAATGTCTTCTAGTAGGCCTGCGCCTGGGCGGTGTACCTCCACGGAGAAGGGCTAGAGTCTCCAATCCGCGGTAGAGCTGAATCTCCCGACCGTCGTGGTGGAATCTTTCTCAGTGTCAGCACCAACATTATCAGGTTCAGGAGGCGGAGATACTTTCTGGCGTTAGCGTGAACTTTGCTCTAACAACATTTCCATCAATTTGAGCCTACATTAATCAAACAAAATGAAACAAGGGAGATGTCAATCATCAACTTTCCTATAGTAAAACATAGTTCATCTGAAATCGCAAAAGAGATATACACCATCCATGTACAGCTGTGCTTTCTCGGCATCAGCTCTTGCCTTGAATTAGAAAACAATCAACATCAATCAAAATGCAGTGAAGATCCATAAAAAAAATGAGCAATATACGATCAATTTCGACTGATGATGTTGGATATAAAGACAAGGGCATATGAAAGAGAAAGCAGCATACCGAGTATTTCTTTCAGATGGCCTTTCATTCACATTCCTGCTCAGGGTATCAATATGAAGAACAACAGATTCTAGAAAAGCTGAAGCTTTCCTGCAACCAAAAAAGAAACATGAATAAAGCTAAGAAGCTGATTATGTAAAAATGCATCTTTTTGTGTGTGTGGGGGGATGAGACAGACCTTGAGGTTCGTTTAGATTGGGGATAGCGACCTCGCTTGGGCAGGTCCCTTGGGGCTACAGAACAAAATGAACATCCTTTAGATGGAGATAAGAGCTACATTCAAGCTATAAACGAATAATCGTGCGAAACGAAGGAGGAAAGTTTCCAAATTGGAACCGTAACTACGCGCCCAAACCAAATTGGCAAATTCGATAGGAAAAAAAAAACATAACCTTTTCCGATGACATGTACGGCGCGAGGGAGAAGAAGACGACGCCCATCTTGAGTGGGAATGGGAGCGCGAAAGAGACCTCCAAGGACTCGAACTTGAGCGGGATCGAGATGATCTGGAACTTGAACTTGAGCCCGAAGCAGAGGCCAGCGACGGCCACCACTTGGTTTAGCCATGGCCCTTAACGGTTCGTTCACTCTGGTCTGTGGATTTTACACACACACACACAAGTCCGCACGTGCTGGTCATGAGTGTGTAAACTGTAAACCATGAAAAATATTTTTAAACGAAGAGAAAATTAATTTTTTTTGTGTAACCAGAAATATGTTGTATTTTAAGATTATTGATTGGTGCCCAAAAGAAAAATATTGACTGGATTTTATCGTTTCTTCTTTATTATCCCGTTTTTTTTCCCTCTTAAACATAAAAAAAAATATTTGGGACATTTTTTGATTTGCTTGTTTTTGTATTTTTTAAATTGGAAAAGCAATAATAGTCTTTGCATCATCAATCATAAATAAAAAAAAATTAGGCATCGGTATATCTTGTCATCTAGGGTTCTAGTTCTTCTCTCCCTTCTTCTCCGTATCGGTTTCTCTGCTTCCCTCGCCGTAGCCGATATGTATTGTTTCTCGATCGCGAATCGATTTCCTTTTCATTAAGCGTTTAGGGATTTCGGATTCTTCAAATTGTGATATTTAGGTAGCGTATCGCTTAGGGATCGATTTGCTCCGAGAAAAAGCTTGTTTGACCATCTGATTCCACCTCGATTTCTCAGTTTGAATAGCAGTTTTTAGGGTTTGTAGACTAATTGGATCCCGTAGTGTTTGAGATTTGGAGACGGTAGCCGATTATGGAGGCTTTTGGAATGGGCAGCAGTATAAATCAAGCTCCCGGAACCGAGAATCTCCAGAAAGTTGGAGATAATCCTTCAGGTTTGTTTTTCTTCTCTTCTTTTCTCGGATTTCTTCTCTTTTGATTTCGGTTTGTTGTTCTCCAGGTATTTGTTTTGTAGTTTGAATCTCGATCGAGTTTGATTTACTTGTTCAACTGTGGAGAAGTACACCAAACTTGAATATGCTCCTTAGTTGATTCGTTAGACCTCATTCGGCATTCGTTAGACTCTCAATAAAAAGAAGATTAGGGAAGATGTAGTTAGTATTTCAAACTTGAACATTCTCCAGTGTGTCTTTATGAATGAAATCTGAGACTAGTCTTATAGTTCTTCGTCCCTGTTTCGAGCTTTTCTGATCGAAGGTTTCTTTGGTGCAGGTAATTCAGTGTTTGATGCATCTCAGTACGCCTTTTTTGGGAACGATGTTGTGGAGGAAGTTGAGCTGGGTGGTTTGGAAGAGGAAGATGAGATATTGTCTTTCACTGGAATTGGGGATGACTTCTCATTCGATAAGGAAGAGGTTAATCTCACCTTATTTCTCTCTAGCTAGCATCTCTTTTCAGAAATCAGGAGGAGCTCTATATTTTGGCAGAGATGAAGCTTTGCTTCGGCTTTATATTCTCAGTGACTTACGGTTCCTCCTCAATATTTGCAGGTTGAAGATTCAAGACCTCTCTCTGACGTTGATGATCTTGCTATTACTTTCTCAAAGGTCAGCTATCTAATACACGTGATAATTGATCACACATGCATCACACACTTCTATTTTCTATTTCTTTTACTTGTGACCGACCATGATGAATTTTGTCTATGCTGCTACAGTTGAATAGGGATCCTGATGTATATAGAAACACGGGACCAATCACCGATAGGCGATCAAGACAGAGTGAGTTTCATTTCATACGTGCTCTAATGTTGTCACAGAATCCTTCTCCATGATCTTTTATGCATTCATATTGATTTAATATTCCATGCACTGTCTGTAATAATTTGTATCGTAGCTTTACTTAGCTCTCCGGGTACTGAATCAAAGAGATTACAGTTATTGTATCTCAAATCTGTATATATTATATTACTTTTAACTTTATGATTTAGAATTAGCTGTTGTTTCTGTCCATTTTTCTTATTAGTATGCGATGAGATATCTTTTTTTCTACAGAGTAAATGCATTTCCATGGTTTTTCAACTATCTTACAAGCAAGGCTTCAGTTTATAATTTAACAGTACAATATTTTTTTTTTGTCCTCAGATTCTTTGGCACCTGAGTGGACTCATGGGGAGGAGTTGCCAGATTGGTATGGCCAGCAGAAACTGGATTCTGATGCCATCAAAGATGACAAGGCGTGGCCGGCACAGCCTTTTTCGGCTCTGGACCCTAACAGAACAGCACCGTATCCCGAGCCACAACGTCAGCTGCATCAAAACCACAATCAACAACAGTTTCCGAGTGAACCGATTCATGTCCCGAAGTCATCTTTTGTTTCATACCCTCCTCCAGGCAGCATATCACCAGATCAGCGTTTAGGACACCCAAATGGACCATATCATTCTGGTGGGCCTCAAGTGGGATCACCAAACTTTTCTCAGTTTCCAAATTTGCAGCCTCAGTTGGCTGGCATGCATCATGGATCTCCCCAGCTCACTGGAAACATGCCTCAGTTTCGTCCTGCTCTTCCTTTGAATAGTCGCCCTCCGGCTCAATGGATGAATCGTCAAAACATGCATCCTGGTGATAATTCTGGGATTATGAATAACGCGATGCCTCATCAAAACGGTTTGATGCCCCCTCAGATGCAGGGATCTCAGAATAGGTTACAGCATCCGATGCAACCTCCTCTCGGGCATATGCCAGGAATGCAGCCGCAGTTATTTAATCCTCATCTTTCTCGATCATCATCCTCTGGAAGCTATGATGGAATGCTTGGGTTTGTTGATTCAAGGCCAGGGTCTGCTCAAGGCAACAGGCAGAACATGCGTTTTCATCAACAAGGCTATGATGGTGGGGTTCAGAGGAGATATAGTGGAAGGCCTCCATTCCGGTCTAAATGTATGTCAGCAGACGAGATAGAGAATATACTGAGGATGCAGCTTGTTGCTACACACAGCAATGATCCTTACGTTGATGATTACTACCACCAGGCCTGTCTTGCCAAGAAATCTGCTGGCGCAAAGCTGAAACATCATTTCTGTCCAAATCATCTGAGGGACCTCCATCCGCGTGCACGGACAAACAACGAGCCCCATGCTTTTCTTCAGGTTGACGCTCTTGGTAGAGTTCCTTTCTCTTCGATCCGCAGGCCTCGTCCCCTTCTTGAAGTGGACCCTCCGAACTCAACCAAATCTGGTGATCTGGAGCATAGAGCTACCGATAAGCCCCTTGACCAAGAACCCATGCTTGCAGCTAGAGTGTACATTGAGGATGGTCTTAATCTCCTCCTTGATGTTGATGATATAGATCGTTTCTTAGGGTTCAACCAACTCCAGGATGGAGGAAACCAGTTGAAACAAAGACGGCAAGCTTTGTTGGAGAGCCTTGCGGTTTCACTGCAGCTCGTTGATCCCCTTGCCAAGAATGGGCAAAGCCGGTCCCAGGATGATTTTCTCTTTCTGAGGATAATCTCTCTTCCAAAGGGTCGGAAACTACTTATAAGATATCTTCAGCTTATCTTCCCTGGCAGCGACCTAATGCGGATAGTTTGCATGGCCATCTTCCGTCATTTGAGGTCACTGTTCGGAGTCCTCTCTTCCGACCCCGATGTCACCAAAACCACAATCAAGCTTGCAAAAGTTGTAAACTTGTGCATTCACAACATGGATTTAGGACCGATCAGCGCATGCCTAGCAGCAGTTTCTTGTTCTTCTGAGCAGCCCCCGCTCCGTCCTTTAGGCAGTCCTGTCGGAGACGGAGCTTCCACGGTGCTGAAAGCTACACTCGACCGAGCCTCGGAGCTTCTGCGGGCTAATAACTTCAACAACGCGGGAATGGCTCTATGGCGTGCATCCTTTGACGAGTTCTTTAACCTTCTGATGAAGCATTGCGTCAGCAAATACGACAGTATCATGCAGAGTTTGAATTTGCAAATGCCACCACATTTGGCTACTGAGATATCTGATGCTGCGGCTCAAGCCATCGTCCGCGAAATGCCCATTGAGCTTCTACGTTCGAGTTTCCCACACATTGATGAGCAGCAAAAGAGAATCCTAATGGAGTTTTTGAAACGATCTATGCTAGGAAGCCAGAAAGCCGAGCCTGCCTTAAGTTGATAGTATCGAGGTTGATGCAAGTATAGAATCAAGAAACCTTATCGTCATGTCAAATATTTGAAGCATAAAGATCATTGCAGACAAAGAAAGGTAGAGAGAATGGGTTCGGACTCTTTTTTTTTTTTTAATTTTTTTTGCATCAAATGGACAAGACTGTTTTTGTGTCTTCTAGAGAGAAAGCAGCGGAGAAGAAGTTTGGTCTCTGTACAGAGAAAAAAAAGTCTTTAGCTTTGCAAGCAAACGAAGAGTTTTCAGGCATTTGTGTGTTTCTGCCTTCTGTTTAGTTCATCTCATCGTGGTTTCGTTATTTCTTTTAAAACTTTTTTTGTGTCTTTTTCATTGATTCTCGTTTTCTTTCTTCTTTCTATGTTTTACCAATAAACATTTGGAGTTATACTTTGGTAATGAAATCCGTTTGTATCTTCATATCATCTTCTCACAAGCTTTGGCTCGAGCATGTTTGTGCAAAGAGCGTGGTGAGGACGCGCATGTTTTTCACGCGTGGATAACAGAGGCGGAGGAAAATAGGAACCTTTCGGATCTAAACAACACAAGAGTAGAGAGAATTATTCGACCCAATTTGTTTTTTCAGATTTGAGTGGAAAGTACATTATGATCCTTTTCTTTTCTGGGTTCTGCGTAAAAAGTCCAAAACTTTCATTTCATCTCTCCTTTCCGGTTTCCGATTGCTGTCCAATTTTAGACCATGTCGACTCTGTTGAACTCAGTCTTATCCATGGCGGCGAATCCATCTCCGGAGCCGCCGAGAAAAGCACTAGGGTTTGTCTCCCACATCCCCACCGGTTTCCTCCACTTGTCCTCTGTCAATAAAGGTGTCGCAAGGGTCTTAGCTTCCACCCAGATAACGTTATCCCCCAAAGACTCCGCCTTTACCATTACCGGATCCAGTTGGAAACCCGATTTCGAATCGGGTTCTGATGACCCGAGAAGCGACGAGCCGAGCCTGAGCAATAATTTCTCTCATCTCGAAGGTCTAGTCACAAAAGGGCATAAACCCAATGTAGCTCATTCTACTCAGCTCTTGTACGACCTCTGCAAAGCCAATAGGTTGAAAAAAGCGATTCGTGTGATTGAGCTAATGGTTAGCTCCGGGATTATACCCGATGCATCCGCTTACACTTACCTTGTTAATCAGCTTTGCAAGAGAGGTAACGTTGGTTACGCGATGCAGCTCGTCGAGAAAATGGAGGATCATGGGTTTCCTTCAAATACCGTTACTTACAATGCCTTGGTTCGAGGTCTCTGTATGCTTGGCAGCTTAAACCAGAGCTTGCAGTTTGTTGAGAGGTTGATGCAGAAAGGTTTAGCTCCGAATGCTTTCACTTACTCCTTCTTGCTTGAGGCTGCTTACAAAGAACGTGGAACGGACGAAGCTGTGAAGCTCTTAGATGCCATCATTGCGAAAGGCGGCGAGCCCAATTTGGTTAGCTACAATGTGCTCTTGACTGGTTTCTGTAAAGAAGGGAGAACAGATGATGCGATGAAGCTGTTTAAGGAGTTGCCTGCTAAAGGGTTTAAGCCGAATGTTGTGAGTTATAACATTTTGCTGAGGTGTTTGTGCTGTGACGGGAGATGGGAAGAGGCGAACTCGCTGTTGGCTGAGATGGACGGTGGAGATCGATCTCCTTCCGTGGTTACCTACAACATACTGATCAATTCGTTAGCTTTCCATGGAAGAACAGAGCAGGCGATGGAGGTTTTGAGAGAGATGAGTAAAGGAAGCCATCAGTTTAGAGTCACCGCCACGAGCTTTAACCCGGTGATCACGCGTTTGTGCAAGGAAGGGAAAGTTGATCTTGTGGTGAAATGTCTAGACGAGATGATTTACAGGCGGTGTAAACCCAACGAAGGAACGTACAACGCGATAGGTGCGTTGTGCGAGCACAGCAACAAGGTGCAAGAGGCGTTTTACATCATACAGAGCTTAAGCAACAAGCAGAAATGCTGCACGCACGATTTCTACAAGAGCGTGATCACAAGCCTGTGCAGGAAAGGCAACACCTTTGCAGCGTTTCAGCTCTTGTACGAGATGACTCGGTGCGGGTTCGATCCTGACTCGCACACCTACTCGGCTCTCATCAGAGGGTTGTGTCTTGAAGGGATGTTTCAAGGAGCTATGGAGGTTTTGTCGATAATGGAGGAGACCGAGTACTGTAGACCTACGGTGGATAACTTTAACGCCATGATTCTAGGGTTTTGCAAGACGAGGAGGACGGATTTGGCATTGGATGTGTTTGAGTTGATGGTTGAGAAGAAGAAGATGCCGAATGAGACAACGTATGCGATCATAGTGGAAGGGATAGCTCATGAGGATGAACTGGAGCTGGCTAAAGAAGTTCTTGAGGAGCTGCGATCGCGCAAGGTTGTGAGACAGAATGCAGTAGATAGGATTGTGATGCAGTTCAATTTAGATTGATGTTGTAGGAAGGAAGAAGAAGAAATCATGAGGCTTTTCTACAAAACTTTATTATACGTTTTTAATCTTTTCACTCTTATGTTTTGTATCATTTTGACAAATGGATATGTAAGTTCGATGATTCATGTAAGCTTCACTTCTTTACCAGATCAGAGATCAATAAGAAGAAGTAAAGAAACACGATGTTGGTGTCTTTCTTGACATATTAGAGATACGTTTGAAACAAACAAATTCAACAAGAGAAGGATGGTGATAAAAGAGGGGAAAAGTCTAAAATTTTCTTCGTTAGATCAAAATCTTGAACAAAACAAAAGTCTGAAAATTGAAAGATGTTTCAACAGAACGAGATAAAGAGAAATGATACGAGCCACTCAGGGAGAAGCAGGAACACTATTCGTAAACATGTCTTCGAGCTTCTTCTCACTTAGATCGCTGTCTCATCTTCCTTCTCTTCCTCTTAAGCCTCCTCATGCGCTTCTTCTTCCACTGCACAAAACACAGAGCAACAGTTTATTAACCCAAATCATGATCAATTAGGAAGCAGAAATTGGCTTCAAAACTAATAAGAAAGGCATACAAATCATCAAAGATATATCATAATATGAAATTCAATACTCATTTGCTTTAATCCAGAAAGAATATAGTTTCAAACAAATCGCAGAATCAACAACCAAGCTTCAGTGAAACCAACATTCATTTCCCCTACACAAATTACTATTCGATCTTCAGGTCCGATCTATCCTAACCAAGGTTTCGATCTTCGATACTAAAACCTAAACGAATACTAAATGATCTAATGAACGAGCGATTAGAGAAAAATCTTACCTTTGCCCTCATCTTGCCGCTCTGTATCGAATCAGAGAGAAATGTGGGCTTCGTTAAACATATATACACTCACCTGTAGAAAACCCTAAATCCTATTCGAAAATAAGTTAACTTCTCAGGGGTAATTCCGTCTTTCTCAAGACGATACTAATTATTTTACCATAAAGACCTTAAAAAAAAAAAAAGCCAGAACCTCGCCGTGGAATGGAGCAGCTATCAGAATCAAACCGCCGCGATTCAGCTGACGCGACTACTTCGTCATCATCCATTGCCGTAGATGGTCACGGCGGCGGTGGTGGAGAAGCTATGGCTCGAGGCTTATCAGCGATGCTAGAGTCCGTCATAAAGGACTTCGACTCCAAAGCCCTTAATACGCTCAATAGCCAAGACCAACTCTCCGGTTCGCTCGATCGCTTAGTCCAAGGTACTGTTTATCTCTTCATCTCTCTAAATTCTCCTTCAATCGGTCTTTTATCGATCGAATCGCAGTCGCCTTCTCTCATTCTCCGTCTCCGTTTTGTTAATCGAATTAATCCAATTGATCTGATTGAGTCTCCTCGCCGTCGTGATTTTTCATTTGGTCTAACTAATTATTCAGATTCATTTACAGAACATGCTCGAATTGATCTCGATATACGCTAAAATCAATCATATTCATGAAGAGATTCTCAGATTTGAATAGTTTTTTTTTGTTATTGTGTGATGGAAACAGAGCTTGATCAATTGCTGGAAAACGCTCCATTGCCGTTCATAGTCCAACACGCATCGAGGATATCCAGTGTCAAACAAAGAGTTTCGTCGCTGAATCTGGTGCTTAAGTCTATACAACGCCGTATCGATAGCATCGATCAGATGCTCTCAGCCAACATCACACAAGGTTAATCGTTTAATTCAGAACTCTTTGGTTTAATCATGGAAATCCTAATAATACTCTCAATATTTGATTATGGTTTCTAATGACCGTAACACAGAGAAAACAGCCTCGGAGTCTACATGATCATTCATGATGACCAAACACGACGAGTGTCGCTTTCTCTCCGGTACTGCATCGAGTTTGGGAGCAAAATCAAAGAGGTGAGAGTTTTGCAAGTGTGTGAGTGTTTTTGCTCATAAACCAAACGACAGCGTTTTGTGGTGTTCGTCTTTTAGCGGGCTTTTATCTAATCGGGTCGTTTTTAGTTTGAAATACCCAATTCTCAGTCCATTAGTATTTTGTATTTGTTTTAACAATTATATAGAGCCGAAAGGGAGAAAAAAAAGGTCCATTAGTATTTTGTATTTGTTCCAAACTCTCTAGTTCGATGAACCATGGTCCATCAAATCAATCATGTAAAACAGATTTTGAAAGTGAAAATGTCGGCTCGTTTATTTTATGGTTTATATATATTATAAAAATTCGAATTGGTTGGGTAAAGGCTTTACAAAAATTAATATCTTATGTTTACAAAATCTTCTCACGTGGGTGTACGACAAAATCGGTGGGAGATACCCCGTCTATATTAACTTGTGTGTGTAAACAGAGAGTCACGTGTCTTCTGTGCTGATCACGTGGTTGAAGCCTCTATAATTGGATCTCGTAGGCTTTTAGATAAGTGGACTCTCTACTCTACATACTAGAAAGGAGACTGAATTATTATTTGATAATATGGGCCACAAATTTCTTTTGTTGATCACTTCATTTGTTTCTATAACGACCATGTTTCTCTTTATTTTCATTAAACTATATATATGGATGTGTACTTATCGATGATGATGATGGGTGTAACTTGTGAGGGAGTTAATAATAGTTAATGATGATGCAAAAAAAAAAATAGCAAGTTAAAAAGAGTATAGAGGACCGAGCCTCTGACCGGAAATTTGATTGGTCCGTTTGTGGTAAATCCATACAAACACACAAACCTAAACCAATCTCGGGAATTCCGCCAAAGGTTTTGTCTTTAAACCACAAATCTAGCTTACTTTTTTCCTCTTTTAGGCGCTGCTTTACAAATGATCATGAGTTTTGCAACATTAGCATACTCTACTAATCATAGATGTAACAACTTTCAAGACAGTATCCGCTTTTTTCTCAAGCTAAAACCCACCAAATGCTGTTAGGGTTTTCGAGTGAGTGGAGAAAGGGGACAAGAGAGAGAAACCAAAGTACAGAGGATAGAGACAGTTGATAGAGGCTTAGGGTCTTGTACTTATAACAATCTGGTGCTGGTCCAATCTTATCTTTTTTTTTTCTAGACTTAATAGTCTATACAATCTTTCCACACTTTCGTACCTTTCACGTACCCCCATTATCATAATAAGTTCGGCAAATACTGACACCTACCTAAACATGTGATTCCAAACACCAAACCACTACATCCACAGCATTCATGATGCTTAAACGAACCTTCTTTGATTAACATAACAACAATAAATAAAACCGCAAAATGCTAAAAAGTAAAATTAAAATAAGAAGGAGAGAGAAAGGGTGTGTTAAAGTCTCTGAAAAATTGCATCATTTCCGAAACTCAGAAAACGACAAAAATAAAACAATAGAAAAACAAAATAACATTAATACAATCTAGAATTAAAAAAATATCACATGAAAGAGACAGCTTAGATAAGCTTCAACGTGGGGAGAGCGCAAATACACACAGAGAGAAGCATATGAGAGAGAGAAAAAAGAATCTGTTTCCTATGACCCACGCGCACCCCTTTAGCGCGTCAACCTCACTCTCTTTCTTTCTCCCCAACTCTCAAACCACAAAGCAAGGCAGATTCCAATTCCATTGTGTAATGTCTTTTCACAGGATATGTCGAAGAACCCTAGAAAAACCCCTTAGCCTTTCACTAACAAATGGCACATACTTTATTTACACACCCTAAAATTTTAAAATCTAGAATAAACTCTGTTAAAAAAAGATTTGTCGGTACAGTTAACAAACCAAAGAACAGTGATTGGATTACTACTACTAGTAGTACTACTACTAGCTACTGTTGATCAATAAGATTGTGTTTGTAAATGATGATTAGATTCGATCCGTGGAGTTACGACCTCTATTTATACCGGCGTGCGGGTGATGTGACGACGCTCTGTTGTTGGAGCCATTCCCAATTCTATTGTGTTGCGACGAAGCTGACGAAGAAGAAGAAGAGGATGCTGAGAAAAACTGACCGAAGATCACTGAACCACCTCGGATTGAACAAACGGGAACGTTTAGCACTGGAGTCACCCTCACGTTTGCGCTGTACGATCTCTCCATCCCTCTGTGTCTATACCCGCTCGTTCCGCCATTGAAGCTGCTCGGGCTGCTTGAGCTCCGTTCGAGGCTCTGGAACACGATTTTCCCTGACGAGTTTAGCCTTGGACTGTCTACAGATAGTCCTCTGCTCATTGCTGCTTGGGATGCTTCTCCTCCCGCAGAACGCCGCATCGGGCTGCGTCCCACTCTCCCTCCGTTTCCCGCCGCCGAATGGTTGCTGTCACGTGGCTTAACTAACCTCATTCTCGGCGGATTCGGGTTCTGGCTCCGAGCGGGAGCAAAAGGATTCGCGGTGAGGTTATGGTTGAGGTTAACGATGTGGTTAGGTCTCTCGGCGTCGAGGGATAGCCTCGGGACGTCCTCGTGGTCGTGGCCGGAGGAAGAGGAGGAGAGAGACATACGAGAGGAGGATAAGGAGAGAGACTCACAGTCGGAATCCTTCAGGAGAGGAAGACTGAGTAACGAAGCCTCCGAAGAGGAGGATCCGGACGACGACGACGACCTAGAGCTCCGATGCAAAAACTGCTTCAACGACGAAGTAGACGATCTCGGATTCGAGTGAACCGCCGTGGATGCTGCCTTGCTGTTTTGGGAGAACCGCTTGAGACCTAACAACTCCCTCCACCTACTCGAGCACCGTGGAGCCTTGGGAGAAAACGGGAAACTATCGGCACCGGAGGTTTCCATCTCCACTTCCATCCTCCTGCATTTTCCGCCGGTTTCCACCGTCTCCGACGACTGCTGCTTCGTCACGAGTTTCCCGTCGGTAAAAAGCTCGTCGGCGGGAAGCATTCCGACCGGATCCTCGATCCTAAACTCGAATTCGCCAGCGCCAACTGCTTCCTCCGCGGAAACCTTCGACAGACTCAGCTTCTGCATCTCCGATGCGGCGGATCCAGAGCTCCGAGAGTCTTCACGGCTGAAGGAAGCTCGTGGGTTAAAACATCCGTAAGAAGGAAATTCCTGAGAAAGAGCAACATTGTTGACGCAAGCGGAAGCCATTACTAGCGTTCATGCAAAAAAAAAAAAAAAAAAAAACTATCGTCGTCCCGGAGACTTAAGCGGCCAGATCTAAAGTAAAAGAGAAGATAGAGAGAGAGAGAGAGAGAGAGAAAGAGAGAGAGAGGATTTTGATTTACAAATGGGTTTCTTGGAGCGTTGCGAGTTTGTTTTAGAAGGTAGGGGCCACGCTGCCAACAGTATTAAAACGAGCCAGGTGGCGCGTGCATCTCACCCGCACTCTCAGGGTATTTTCGGTAATCTGTTGGATTAACCAATGGCGGAGCCTCTCGGATAACGGCTAATCTACAGATTATAGTATATAACTTGTTTATACTTTTTGATTATCTTAATAATACTCTTGTTTTTTTATGGAAACGATTATCATCTTATCTGAAAATTTCCAAAAAGTTGAGAGGATGGAAAAGCATGAAATCATTAATAAGAAAAGATCACGTGATATCAGGGCTGCGTTTGATTATTAATTTATTAATATCAATAGATAGATAAAAACCGCGACAAAAAAAAAAAAAAAATAGGAGTATCTAACGACAAATACGAATCTGTTAGAAATCATTGACAGCTAGAGCGATTAACTGTATTCTTGCAAGAGATGAAAATTGACTATTCACTGAGTGAGTAATCTCTGTTTGATCGGAGAATATAGACAAGTAGGTTTTTACTTTTTAGGACTTTTTTCTTTTCTAGTATTTGATCGATCTACCTTCACTTTTTTCATTTGTATTCGCTAGATGTACGTTAACTGTTTCGATTAGAGGAAAAAAGGTTTTTTCACACAGAGAGCAATTGGTGTTTGTACACTCGGGTCTCTCTATATGCACTGTCTTTAATGCTTCTTCGGGTTATGGATTGTTTCTGTGTTCGTGTTACTTACTTTCTCTGTATAATGTATAACGTATACTGACTTATTGAGTGGTGCAATGTGTGAGTGTTTCTCTTTATCTGGTGCTGTGTCCATTTCAGGATGGACTGTAGACTAAATACATGGTTATAGTCACTGTCCTTTTTGTGTTTGCAGATTGCACATGACACCGATCAAGAGTGTTTTTTTTTCTTTCTTTTTCTTTTCTAAGCAACCACATGAATTTAAAGGGAATAACATGAAGGTACATTGTTTGTCTCATCACTTTCTGAGTTGCAATTCATATCGATTCAGTGATTTCTACTTTTGGTGTAGCCAATGTGAATGCGCTATTGGTTTGCATTATCATCTACCATTGTTTATAAGTCACACCACGGTTGAAATCAACTCGTAATGAAATTATGAATTAGCTAATTTATCTCTAGTCTTAATCAAGAAAATATCTAACCAAAGTCATATCAGGATTGTCTAAAACCAAAACCTCGTAGGCTTTTAACATGAATTCTCTTAATTACTAGCAATGAATCTGAATTGTTTTTCATGTCCTTTTTTTTACCTTCACACTCGTTTTGAAGAGATATAAAGGTTAATTTCTGGTTATTGTTTAACTTCAGCTTAAACATAGTCTGAATAACATCATGTGCAGAAAGATGGAGTAGATTAGGACAAGATAGCTGAACTTTTGAGTTTGCATTGTGATTCTTTTTTCATCATTTGATTCTGAATAACATCATTTCCCAAAAAAAAGGACTTTTGATTCAAGAGAGTGCAGGAGATAAATGATAAAGTCCGAGCATTGTGTCCCTTGCTTGACCAAGAACAAGGCCAATTTCATCATAACTCGCAAGACCTTTTCCTGTCCTCAAAAGCTTTAAGAAGATATATTAACTCATTTGTCCTAATTGTTTAATATCTGAAAGAAACTCAAATATTGCGATTGGCTGATTGCTATGCTACTCTGATTCTTTTTTTGTTTCTTCGAAGTTTGATGACTTAAAAATTATAAAAACATATTAACAAAAAATATTTATTTATAATATGGAAATATTTATGGGTTTCTTCTTCTTCTTCGTCTTTTCGACTCTCTCTGCTTAAACCCAGGAAAATGGATTCATGCCTAGTGTTGTCTCTGAAGCTAAACCCTTGCTTCAATCCTCTTTCGCCTCTCTATCCTTTCACGCCGTGTTCGTATTCGCCGCCGCTCCGGCTATCTTCTTGCTACTCCCGCCGCTTCTGTTCACCTGTCACCGTCAACGCCGCGAAGAAAACCTCTCAGAGCATCCGTTCTGAATTCGATGACAAAATCAACGGCGCTTTCTCTCCCGACTCTGATTCCCGCTTCCTCGATCGTGTAATTGCTCCTTCCCTCCCTTATTTTTCTTTTGTTTGGTTTACTGTGAACCTGTGTTTCCCATTAACACCATATTAGGTCTGGGTCTCCATTCATGTGATTGGGTTTGTTCATTGTCTGTTTATACTGAAATTGTCTGCGTTATTGCCTTAATGGTATCATTTTGAGCTGAAATTCTTAATCTTTTAGAGGCTGGTCACATAATCCCGCGCTTTGTCCGGAAACTGTGTCTGAAATTGCCGAGCTTTAGCTGCTGGTAACTCACAGATAGTTGTGTATAATCGTCGTTTCCAAAAGGCTTTGTCTTGTTTGATCAGTAGAAGCTCGAGCTCTATATTAGTCTATGGACCAAACAAAGGAGTTTCATTTCTCTCGTTAAGCTGTTTCTTTGGGAAATAGATACATAATTTTTGTTCGCTCTGCTTGTTGCTCTCTTGCATTGTTCCATGTCTCACTAACTTTTGATTTCCTGGCTTGTTTACAGCAAAAGGCTTTAGACGCAGCTATGAATGACATAAACAGCTCCTTTGGCAAAGGAAGTGTAACAAGATTGGGGAGTGCTGGTGGAGCACTAGTGTGAGAATCTCTGTAGATAGTCTTTCTTTGTACTTTCCTCTCTTCAAGCTGTAATGGATCCAATAGCATGGCACTATACATCTTGATTCCACCATGAGATATTAAATTTTGGAATCCTAACGTTGGTCTATGCTGCAGAGAGACCTTTCCCAGTGGTATTTTGACTCTTGATCTTGCCTTAGGTGGAGGCCTGCCAAAGGGTCGGATAGTCGAGGTTTGCTAAAAAAATATCGCACAGTTTTGTTCATAGAAACATGGCAAGTGCGACTCTTTTCTAAGTTTTTTCGTTGGTTTGTAATTCGATACTGCAGATATATGGACCAGAGAGTAGTGGCAAGACCACACTAGCACTCCATGCAATTGCTGAAGTGCAGGTTAGCTTCTTTGTGAGCTACTTCAGTCAGATATTTCGATCTTCATATTATCTTGGTTGTGTCTCTGAAACATAGTTTGCTGACTGTGCAGAAGCTTGGAGGCAATGCAATGCTTGTTGATGCAGAGCATGCCTTTGATCCATCATACTCTAAAGCATTAGGTGTTGATGTAGAGAATCTTATAGTGTGCCAGCCAGATAATGGCGAGATGGCTTTAGAAAGTACAATCCTACATTCTAAAAATCTTTTATCATGATGTGGCTAATTTGTCATGTTAAGTATATGCGTGTGATCTAACATGGTCTTGTATTGTTACAACTCATCAGTTGCAGACCGTATGTGCCGTTCGGGTGCAGTTGACCTTATTTGTGTTGATTCTGTCTCAGCACTGACTCCACGAGCCGAGATTGAAGTATGATGTCATCTCTTTCCCACTTGTAATTTTCTTCATGGTATGAACTTTTCTGAGTTTGACTTATGTACTATCACGTGTTGTTGTTGTGCATAGGGTGAGATTGGAATGCAGCAAATGGGGCTGCAAGCTCGTCTTATGAGTCAAGCTCTTCGTAAAATGTCAGGAAACGCCTCTAAAGCTGGTTGTACACTTATTTTCCTAAACCAAATAAGATACAAGGTAATTGATGACTAAATCACTCACCTTTTATGTGTTCCATTTTTTGATATTTTAATCTCTTATAGAAGAAGCACGTTGTGTTCTCGAACTAACAGTGCATTTCTCTTATGCTATGAAGATTGGTGTGTATTATGGGAATCCAGAGGTGACTAGCGGAGGAATTGCATTGAAGTTCTTCGCGTCGGTCCGCCTAGAAATTCGTTCTGCTGGGAAGATCAAATCTGTGAGGATAACATCACTTCTGCTAATTTTGTATTTTTATCTTTCTGTGTGTTGAAACTGAACTCATTTTTAATGACCAATTTACATATTTAAAGAGCAAAGGGGATGAAGATATTGGTCTTCGGGCTCGTGTAAGAGTACAGAAGAGCAAGGTTAGTATAATAGTATCAAAGGCAAAGCATGTCTCAGATTACTATAATAATAAAAGTGAATTTGCCTAATCCCTTTTCTGTTTTTGCAGGTTTCTAGACCGTATAAGCAAGCAGAGTTCGAGATTATGTTCGGGGAAGGAGTCTGTAAACTGGTATGCATCATCAGTCTCTGACAACACATAAAACGTTTTTTTCCTTGTCTTTTAACTTAAAACGTAAGTCTGTAGGGATGTGTTCTTGATTGTGCTGAAATTATGGAGGTTGTGGTCAAGAAGGGTTCTTGGTACAGCTACGAAGACCAAAGGTCGGGATTCTACATTGAAAACTCAATACATGTTGTGAAACAAGTGAATACAGATTATGAGATATGCTTTTTGTGTCTCTGTTTCAGACTCGGGCAAGGAAGAGAGAAAGCACTGCAGCACTTGAGAGAAAACCCTACTCTCCAAGACGAAATTGAAAAGGTTTCGCTTCTTTCATTATCATCCCATCTCTGATTTATTCATGTAAATATTTTCCATCAGTTCGTTCTCCTTATGCGTTTTGGTTATGGTGTTGCAGAAAGTGAGATTGTTGATGTTAGATGGAGAAGTGCATCGATCAACTCCTCTGTTTAGCAGGAGCTCCTCCTCGGTTTCACATCCTGAAGAAGAAGAAGAAGCCTCACTTGACGATTTCCAATGACTAAACTTAGGCCGAGACTTGGGATCTAATCCATCTTTTTTTTCCAGTGAGTGAGTGAGAGAGTTACACCAAAATGTTCCGATCAACAACACTCACTTTTCATCTCTTTAATCAAGGATCATCATTATGAAACTCCGCATGGTTCAGTCTATAAAATATGTTGTATTCATGTGCGTTCTTGTGCACCGAAATCGCCGAAACATGAATATATACAAACACTAGAATTCTTATAAATTCAAAGTATGTTCTGAGTTTTAACATCATTACGAAGAAGGGAACGATAATAACAGAAGCATTAATAGAAGCAGGAGTACAGAGACATGTCTTAACAACTTAAGATCTACTGAGCCAAGGCACTGGTGTTGTAGACAAGCAGTGCTCCTCCGGCGAGAATTCCGGCGAGTGTCACCGCCCAAATTGCCAACCCGGTGACTCCACCCTTGTACACGTCACCACCTGGAGCCCACTCGTCCTCGTTGTAAATAGGACTGTAAACCCAAACAAAATCAAACACATACATCATTTTATGATTCTTATACTATAAAATCACGGTATTATGATAATTATTATATTATTATAATTCACCTGTATCCATCGACGTTAGCTCCGTACTTGTCGACGAATTTGTAAACACCGTATCCCTGAGATTAAACGACATCGTTTATATAGTGAATCGACTGAATTATTAACATCAAACGACCGTTTTTATTTACGGGATCAACGGAATTTACCTTGCCCTTCCTGCCGGAGGCGTCGACGCCGTCCCTCAAGTCCATGCTGCCGTTAACTCCTACACACATATCGATTTAACGGAATCAGAGATAATTTAACGGTAGCATGCGTATGCGTAAGTGTCTCTGTGTGTATATTAAACGGACCAAATGGCTTGTCGGTCTTGATCTTCTTGACGCCACTCGCGACGATTCTCAAGGAGGAAGGAGAAGCTCTTGCGAGCGACGGCAATCCTCTCGCCGACATCTTCTCCACCGTGAAACCCGCAGGTTTCAACGTCACCGATGAAAGCATCACTGAAGCAGCCATTCTCACGAGATCAAACTTTTCTTCTCTCTATCTCTCTCACCCACTGCGTGTGTGTGTGTGTGGTCTTCAAATATGAGAGAGAGGAGATGCGATAAGTGATTCTGCTCATGACACGTGGCGTCTGTTGTGTGGCCTTCGTCTGGATATCTAACCTTACTAACGTTATCTTCAACTGGTCATGGAGATCCGTCGATCTTTATATATTCTTCATCTGTTTTGCCACGTTGGATTTTTAATTAATTTCATTTCTAGTCCCTGTAAATTGTAGTTTACGTGAACCAACCCCACTAATTTGTCTTAGTCTTAGACTCGCAGTGTCTTCCACGTTGGAGATCTTGTCAGCACATTGCACGTTGTGAATTGCCAAGCGGTGTAATGAAACGCAGATTGGTACAACGACTGCTTCCAGCGACCAGCGTTTGGAAACCGCGTTTCTGGTCGACGTTAACAAATGTGTCTAATGCTCCGTTAAGGCTCTTTAACTATGGCTTTTCAACAACTGGAAACATCAGCAAATTTGACCACTGTCTGAATTTTTAAAAATTCTTAAGCAACCAAGATTATATAAATCCGTATGCAACTGGATATGGTCAATGTTTGTGGTATGTAGTATTTTTTTTTAGGATTATTATTCTTTTTCCTTATTCTCTGCATATTCTTCGACTTGAGTCATTAAAAAACGATCAACTAGGGTATTTACTTTTAGAATATTTAGTACAAATTAAAGTCGTTTTAATTAATAACTACTGTTGATCAATCGATATACTCCGTTAGCTATACGTCTTAGTCGTAAAGAGATACAAAAATACAAAACTATCAAACTGTGATGAGAGATGAGAGTGAGTAAGGTTACATTACAACTTACAAGCCATCGATTATATATTTTTAATCGAAATATCCACCCACCACAAGTTAAATAAAACTTATTTTCCCGAGAACGCTTCCAACGAATGTGGACCCAACAGATAAATGATTTGTTTTCTAAGCCTGTTGTGTAACTTAAAAGTCAAATGAACCTTTTTCAATTTCATTAACCATTTAACTCTTCTTAAGAAAATATATAGACTTTACCGATCACAAATTCTGTTTCAGATAAACTCATCTCGACAAATTATATACAGATACACATAGAATCAAACTATATGTCCTTTTTTTTTATTGCATATCGACAGACGAATAATTTTATAATTATACTAATTTGGTATCTTTGTTGTATTCACATAATCCCAAAAACATAAGCACACGACACCTATGGGGATACAGATAATAGAGAACACATGCTTAACTAAATAATGTCAAAAGAAAACAAACAATCTTTGCAAAATAACTTCAGGGAACAAGATAAACACATGTTCAAATACCAAAACTAATTTAAAGCAAATTCTACGAGAATGTTTTACAGGTATATCAATAATGTCAATTAAAGAATTGAGCAGCAAAATTATCACAAAAATAAGAAGTGAGCAGCAATGATTGTATAACTTAATTGTTTCTTATATAATCGATTAAATTTCAAACTTATGAGAATTATGTCTAGATTAATGAATATGTGTCACAATGGTTTACAAAATTTTGTAGAGCTTGATAAAGTTAAACTTAAACGTAAAAAAACGACTTGAAAGAGTCGGTTCGGTTGGTTCTATTTATTCGTATTCAACATTTACTGAACTTAACCGGACCAACCAAGTCCGGTTGTAGCATTGTTGTTTAGTACGAGCAGCCGCAGGAGATTTCACACTCTTGGAAGTAAAGTGGGACCCATAAGATTATACTACTCCAGTAAGTAAGTATTATTAGTAAGTTCATTTAACAAAAACCAAGACTAATTAATACGCCAAAAACCAAGGCTAATTAATAATTAACGACTTAACCTCGCCTTCTTCTCTATGGATTACATCTTCTCTCTCTCTATATACGCGAAACTTTGTCGTCTCTCTCTCATCGAAGAACTTTTTGAAACTTTTCAAGTTTTGTTTTTTCTCTTTTTCACGAGCTCCTTTAGGGTTTCTGAAGCTTTAATCTTACAGTGCCCCCCTCCCAATCTACTTTAACTAAAGCTCATTTTCTTACTTTTGGTTATCACACTCTCTCTCTCTCCATCTCTCCCGGGGAAAACTTGTCGGTGGTGGTGTGTCTCCGACGAGGTTAGTTATTCGCCGGAAAATTACTATGGTCAGTGAGATTTTCTCGGATCCGATCAGATGATCGGTTTTAGAAGTGGGACCTTGATGGGTAATTTAGGGAATGTCTTTGAATGAAGCAAAGACCGGTTTTTTTTCTAAAAAAAAGGGGAAAGGAGAGATTCCTTTTGTTTTGTTTGTTTCAGATATTGCGGAGCTTTGCTTTGCCTTTCTTTAATCTGTTGTTTTGGGGAAACTTGCATGTGAAGGGATTTGCGTTGAACGAATAAGCGTGACCGGATTTTCTTCTTGCTACTGTGTTTGCTTGTATATATCTTCTCTGTGAAGTTTATGCGGCAAATCTGCTGAATAAGTTCTTGTGCATCCTAAGATCAAAGTCATGGTGGAGAAGCTAGTCTCGCCAAGAGATGAGTCTCTCTGGTTCTGTTCTCACAGCAATCAATCTGTGGCTTAACGCGAGCGTGAGCTTGGGACTAAAGTGGTGGGCTTTTCGGCGATTACATCCTCTGCGCTGTTAGATTTGAGCGATGGAAGATATTGGATTGGTTAAACAAGGCTGGAAATGGATGCAATCTCAGAAACATATGTGTTCGGATGCTTGTTCTGCGATGCGATGCTTTGGGGAGAAGATAGGAGAGGTCGTGGAGCGTCACTGGCCATTGGTGTGTAGTGGATGTGGGAAGCTATTAGGGTTGCTTCGTCTGTCGATTGTTTACTGGAAAGATTGTATCTTGAGGGGTTTCCGTTGCAGCGCCAAATTGGGATCAGCTGCTTTGCTTCTGATAATGTGGAGTTGCTTCCTCAGCCTGACTTCCTTATCTTGCTTGGTTTATGTTCTCCTCAGTATGGTATTGTCTTTAGATTCTTTACTTATGGATTTTAGATCTTTGAATAGAAATGTGTTCCACTCACCAAACTGATACTGAAACTTTTATCTTAGATCCTATTTGTAAAGTATAGATTGGAGATTTGGTTGATAGAGTTGGGTTTCACCTATTGTTTTGAATTGACTATTGCAGGGAGCTGCTGCAGCTGTTGTTCTGAACTTGGGTTGCACTCCTGGGCTCTTTATTGTAGGACTCTTTGGAATTTTGGTATTATGGATGTATGCAAACTTTTGGATCACCGGAACGTTGTTCATAGTCGGAGGCAAGTTTCAATTTTTCGCTGTGCTCTTATGCTTTTCTGCTTAGTTTGCTGGGGCTGTCTCTATTGGTCAATGAGTCTATTTGATGCTTGATCTTTGCTAGTTTGCATGGTGTTTAAATTTTCTAGTTTTGTTTGATTTCAGGCTATTTATTCTCCTTAAATCATGCCCGTGTGGTGGTTCTAATGGCGGCCTTATATGCGATGTACTGTGTTAAAGTCAGACTTGGATGGCTTGGTCTTTTGCTCTCAATGAATCTTGCTTTCCTGTCCAACGATATATTGAACTGCCTTCTTCAGTGGTGTGACAATCTAAGTGATAAACCACAAACCGAGGAACCAAAGAAACCAGAGGAAACAATCATAGAAGAAGACTATTCAGGGGAATTTGAGTATCCTTCAGTCCCTGTCGAAGAAGAAACTGAGAAAAAGGTTCATGAGAATAAGTCTTCTGCTGAACCAACTGCTCCTACAACTGTTGTTAATAGCGTGAAGGAGATCACTAGTGTTAAGATACTCCAAATAGAAACAAGTTCAGCTGATGAAATGAAGAGAATACTGAAAAGTTTGAATCACTATGAAGCATTGGGGTTCCCTCGGCATAAAAAGATCGATGCCGCGGAACTTAAGAAAGAGTATAGAAAAAAGGTGAGTCCATGCTTCCAATGCTGAATTAGGTTAATGAAACTTCTCTCTAAAGAGGTTAATGAAATGTGTGGTATGTTCTAGGCAATGTTGGTTCATCCTGATAAAAATATGGGAAGTCCGTTGGCAAGTGAATCATTCAAGAAACTTCAATGTGCTTACGAGGTAACTGGATGGCGTATAACACACTGACTTGGCAACTTTAAATGTTTATGTTATTTGTTAATTTTTTGACAGATTTGAATATCTTTTGCAGGTCCTCTCTGATTTCGTAAAGAAGAGAGATTACGATGAGCAATTACGGAAAGAAGAATCTAGGACCAGGAGTGTTTGTCAGACATCTCATGCTTCTTCACACCAGGTTTAGTTACTGTCTTTTTTTACTTACCTGTGAAATCTTCTGTCGTGTGGTCTCGTGTTCCAATTTTTGTTCTTTTTCTTCTGCAGAGTGGTCCCGATTATCGATCAGAAGAGTCGAGGCGGATACATTGCACCAAATGTGGTAATTCACACATATGGGTATGCACCAATAGGACTAAAGCAAAGGCAAGATGGTGCCAGGTGATGAATCAAACCAACTCACGAACTCTTAAAAGCATCATCGTCTTGCAATTCTATTTCAGGTCATCTAATATGTTAACTGTAGGATTGTGGTCAATATCATCAAGCGAAAGATGGAGATGGGTGGGTTGAACTCAAAGGGACATTACCCTTCGAAAGAGCACATAAGGTAAATTGAAAAAAATGCTGCTTTCTTCCTTTGTGGCTTTGATGATGAATCTGGTTTTGATTCAGTTTGCTCATATTATCCTGTCCTTTAGATTGAAATACCGCGTGCTTTTGTTTGTGCGGAAAGCAAGATCTTTGATGTCTCAGAATGGGCCATTTGTCAGGTCGGTTCTCTTACCGGTTCCCTTGAGGATTATCCTGACTGTGAAGATGATTGAGATGCATCAACATGTTTTTGATGTTTGGTTAAATAGGGAATGGCGTGTAGACCAAACACACATAGGCCAAGCTTTCATGTGAACATGGTTGGGTTAGAGAAGACAACACAGAGATCAAACTCAAGTAGGTTCCCTTGGGATCTAGATGTGGAGATGATGGATGAGGATGAAGAAGAGTTTGAGCTATGGCTTCAACAAGCTCTTGCTTCTGGTCTCTTTTGCGAAACCTCAAAACGCAGAAAAAGCTGGAGCCCTTTCAAGTTGAGCCAGATGAAAAGCAAGAAACAATGGCGAAGAACATCCACTTGATTCAAAAACTTCCATAACGGATTCACAGCAAGTGAATGCAAACCCTTGAAGAGCATTTTTTTTTTGGGGGTCGTCTTTCTCTGTAAATAGAAGCTGTGGATTTTGTCTACTTATTTGTCACTGTTGTAAACTACTCGATTGAGCTAAAAAAAATCAAAGAAGCTATTTTTGTTTCTTACAAGCATTTAAAGTCAGTTCATGAGGGAAAAAAAAAAAAAAGTCAGTTCATTTGAGAAGAAGCTCAAAATAGAAATGTTAATGATTTCACTTGAATTTATAAAGTTTTGATTTTTTTTTTAAAGAAAACATTTTCCCTTTTAAATATGTTTTGGGTAAATTGATAAATCGAACCCGTATTTGCAAAAGTTTTCCCTCCTTGTATGTTACTGACGAATCGAAAAACGTCCACCTCCATTATTATTTGTTTTTTTTTTTCGTTTTCTCCCAATCTTTTGTCTGTTCTTCGATTTTGACCTTCTGGGTTAATCACGGAGGAGTTTCCTTTTCTGGCACCGCCGCAATCTTGCTCGGCAGACGAAATAAAGAAAGCCCTAGAAACTGGGATTGTACGACGGAGAGGGAGAGGTTTGGAAATTTTGGGAATTGAATTTGATTTTGTCCTGTCCCTTCCAGATTCAAAACAAAAAACCCTAACCCTAAAATCCGCGTTTCGATTGCTTTACTGTTTGTTTGAATCCTATTCAATTCCGTTGCCTATGTTCTGTTTTCCCTTCGTGTAAACGCTTTTCTAGTTATTGGACTATTACAGATTTTGCTTCTTCCTGTCTTATTGGAGCAACTAAAATAAATATAGACACCTCTCTCTCTCTGTCCCTCTGTATATAAACTTGTAAGTAGAATTGTGGGGAAGGAGGTGAAATGAGTAGGCTCTCTTTCCGGCCACGGCCATTGGACATTCACAAGAAGCTTCCAATTTTGAAATCGTTTAAAGACTTTGAAGACGACGAGACGCCAACTTCCACCACTAGAAATTCTCAGTTGCTGCGTATAGCTTCTGTGGAGGTCGACAATGAGGTGAATTTCAATTTCTCTACTAACTTCAAAGTCTTCAAGCTTCATTTCAGTCACCATTGTTAGAGTGTAAGAAATCTTTTGTATGCATTTGGTTCTATTATCAGGTGCATCCAGTGCCAAGCAAGAAACTGGCTTCGGAAATACCAACACCTCAATTTGTTGTTGTGGATACATACGAAAGGGATTACTCCGCGACTTTTGGTCAACCTGCTTCTTATCTACGTGCAAGAGGAGGTACCAATACCTCTTATTTGATCTGTATCTCTTGAGATGAGATTGGTTGATTTATTACATGGAGATTATAAGTCTGTTCTTTTTTTCTATGCAGCTCGGTCTGAGCTTGGAGAGTTTGTGGAGTATGATCTTGACAATGAGGATGATGACTGGCTTTCTGAGTTTGATAAGGATACCAAGGACCTTTCACCTGAAATGTAAACTAACTAATCCAACTATCATATTTTGTGTACTGTTCTCATCTTAGATGGATCACTTTGCTCTATATACTCAATTTGATTGAGTTATTCTAAATGTGAAAGAAGAATCATTCATAAGCGTGCTAAATTGTTTGAAACAGGCTTGAGAGCATTATTTTTAAGCTAGAGGTGTTGGATCACAAGACGCGGGAAAGAGCAGGAGCTATTGCACCTACCCTTGGTTCTCCAGTTCCTGTGCTTTTGCAGCTTGATGCTGCTATTGAGGTATACTTTTACTTTCTTTGTGTTTCATAGTCTTTTGGATTATCATATCTCTTGTTCCTGTAGCATGTAATCATACAGAAGCAGCACATGCCATTTAAACGTGTCTTGTTGTCATCTTATTACAGGCGCTGCAGTCATTATCCGTTAATTATGGAGTCTTCCAGGCCATCTTCAACTACTGGAAAGACAAGGTTTGGCATAAACCTCATGTGGCGTCGTTTGATTATTTTGAGTTTTCTGGATGCAGACGTTGTGTTGCAATAGGTTAATGATACTTTGAAAAAAACTTTTTTGACAGTTTGAGATAAACCTTGTTTTGACATATCTTTGGGTTCTTGAAGCATACGCATAATCCTTGTGATTGGAGTACTGCTACTTTTCAGATGACAAGCCAGTTAAACACCTAGAGCAAGTTTGGCTTATAAAACTAATGCATATGTTTCCCTTTTTTTTGTATGTGGACATAGCGCAAAAGATGGCAGAAGCCTATCTTGCGGCGTTTACAGGTTTGTAACATTATTCACGGTTGAAACAATCAAGGCTCTCATGTTGAAAAGGATCTTACCTCGATGATTTAATTAAAGTTTTGCTTCTTTGATTGGAACAGCCTCCTCCACCGGTCAATGACACCAATCCCTACAATGTGTTTAGGCCAAGGGAGAAAGCTCACAGACTCCACACAAGAAGGGTAAGGCTGTTTTCGTGATACTTTTTTTCTGGTTTAAATTATAATCCAACTAGAGAAAGAAAAAACACTGATGAGGCTTTACTTCTACTATAGATGCAGAGGAGAGAAAACAATGTGCAGTCATTTGAAAAGCTTCGACAGGTAAGCGAGGCACCTGAATATCTTGGTCTTCTTTTAGTTTCTTCCTGGGCTGTTGATTATCAGTTAAGAACTTTTTAATGAATTTTATCTTGTGGGATATGTTCTTATTCAGGTTAGACGCAATCTTGACCAAGCGAAGACCATTCTGGAGGCCCTCATTAAGGTGTTCTTTATGACAGAGTTTTAAGAGTTGTATATAACTTGTATGTAACTTTAATTACATATCTTAACAAAAGGGTTGCATTTTCAAAAGTCGCTAAATTCGATGTTACCATTCTCTAGAGAGAAGAAAAGAAGAGGGATGTCATGGATGGCGAGGTTAGCCTTCAGAGAATCCAACTCCAATACAGGGTACTTACTATTTCTTCCTCCAAAAGCTCTTTGTGTTAGAAATAACATTACTGTCTTTTGATTCGCTTTTGATCTTCATATTTGGATTTGCAGCATGAAACAGAGCTCCTGGAAGATAGCTTGGCTATGCCTGGATTTCCACCCGCTACTACAACATCTTACAAGTTTGGATCAAGCGACGACGAGCTCATGGACTCAGATGACCACACGAGCACCCGTGTACGCACAAGACCTTCCGTTGTCCCTTCTTCTCGTTTCCCCAACTCAAACCTGAACGCGTCTCAACCCGGAGGCATCAAACAAGAAGTTAGAAGACGGCACTCGCATCAAGGATGGCTTCACAGACTGGTTAAAACCCTTCTCTCCCTCTCTCTCTAGTTGCTAATTAGTTAAGCAAACCTGTAATGGGTTTTTGTTGTTGTTTTTTGGACATCATTAGGATCCTAATGAACCAGTCATGCTGTTCACGAAACCACTGGTTCCGGATAAACTGGCAGCTGCAGGGATCGTTCCTCCGGCACCGGATTCATCGTCCGGTCAACCTCCGAGCCGGTTTCAGGGGAGGATTGGGCGTGGTGGCCGTATCATTTTCGATAGATGGAATCCTTTGATGCAGTCTCACATTAACTGCGGAAACTCTTTCTACATTGCACCAAATCACCGATCTACCAACTTCAATTGACATATATATATATTTCACAATCTTTCTTTGTAAAGAATTTTCTATCACTGGTGGTGATGAACATGTGTATTCAATAACTCTGTTCTCTGCTAAAAAAATTTAGCACTTTGTAACTCTAGTAGTCTGTTTATCCAGTTCTGATTTTATCCGTTGTAAGGGAATAATTCGGTTAATTCGATCATCCGGTTTTATCGCCGGTTCAGAAAACCGATAACTATTGTGCCAGGGACTCAATTGTAATAATATGTTAAATCCGTGAACGAAATTGGATTTTAGGGCTCTTTATTGATTTTAGTCGGAGGATTTCATTTCTCTCGTCAATCGCAGTGAAGAAGGAAGGACTCCAAATCGGTATTGGGTTGCTCCATCAATGGCGTCGATACTGGCTCGCAGGTCACTGAATACTCTCCGTGCTCGACATCTCGTATGAATCTCGCTCGCTCCTTGTATTTCTCCGTTTTCTGTGTCGTTTACTTCGAATTTGCAATGTCTCCTGGAGGTTTTGGGAGCTAAAGATGATTCTATTTCACTCTCTGGCTTTCGTTTCGTGTCGACGGGATTCGGAATTGCATCTGAATCGAAACTGTCTGATTTTGCGGGGTTTTCTTAGTTCCTAGATTGTAGAGTGAGAACGGAATGTGAGGGAGTGAATTTTATTCGGCTGATCCGATGAATCACGCAGGGAGATTTGATCATGATCTAATCTTGAGGGCTTCGTCTCTTTTCTTATGGCTCCTTACTCGGGACAATGGGTTACCTCTCTAATTACTTCCCTTCGTCGATAGGTTTTGTCAGGGCAAGCTTTGCAGGGATCTCATCTCTCTGGACTGCAGTCTCGTGGTATTTCGTATGGCTCCAAGAAAGGTATATATTTCTCCTCTTTTTTATTTGGGGTGTAATGTTGATGGGGCAACATTTACATTGTGGTCTTGGCCGTTTTTATATATTCTGCATCTGTAATATTCAGATGATGAAGAAGAGGAGCAACTTGCTAAGGAAATCTCCAAGGACTGGAATACTGGTAAGCTATATGATCTAGACACCTTTTTATCGTTCCTCTTTTCTCATCTTATTTCCTTGCCGTTTTCTTGATATTTTGCATTTGTGCAGTCTTTGAACGTAGCATAAACACCCTATTTCTCACTGAGATGGTCCGTGGTTTGTCACTGACCCTCAAGTACTTCTTTGATCCCAAAGTTACTGTGAGTGACATCTTTCTCAAGTCTTCAAAACTTAAGAGTGAAAGAAATTTGTATGATTCTGAAGCTTTATTTTATGTATGCAGATCAATTATCCATTTGAGAAGGGTCCACTGAGTCCTCGCTTCCGTGGTGAACATGCTCTTCGACGATATCCTACTGGGGAAGAGCGCTGCATTGCCTGCAAACTCTGTGAAGCTGTGAGTTTTGACATCTATGCTAAGGCTTAATTTGGTGTTTCTCTTTGTTTCCATAGCTCTTGCAAGGAATCTCAGGACGATGAGTACCTTTGCATTGATTTGACAAGATTGTTAATTCATTATGCTGCGGGAAACCGGTTTTGCTGATGTAGGCCATAGCTCAGGATCATAGGAGAATTATTTGAGTATTAGAATATTTACTAGAGTTCTGATGAAATGCTCATTTCCGCTGACAGTAGTACATGTTTAATGTGTAAAGATCATATAGTATCGTAGATAGCTATGAAATAATCTATTACCTCGGATTGTGATTTTGAGAGGGATACTGGTGTGTTTGGTCAGGTATGCCCAGCTCAAGCAATCACAATAGAAGCAGAGGAGCGGGAAGATGGGAGCCGCAGAACCACTAGGTCATCATCCCTTGAGTTCCCAATTACAAAACCATATGCTTTCTTTTCTACCATTTCGTGTGTTCTAATTCTCTAGAGCTCTACAGGTACGATATCGACATGACAAAATGCATTTACTGTGGTTTCTGCCAAGAAGCTTGCCCCGTTGATGCAATTGTCGAAGGACCTAACTTTGAATTCGCCACCGAGACACACGAGGTCTGTTATTTCACATCTTTATAGCTTATAGTTTTGTGGCATGCTTATTGAACTTTTGTTATGTTCCCTTCCATAGGAACTTCTCTACGACAAAGAGAAGCTTCTTGAGAATGGAGATCGATGGGAGACTGAGATTGCTGAGAATCTGAAATCAGAGAGTCTCTACCGTTGAAAACACTCTACGACAGTGTTTGCTTCACCGGGATAAACGCTTTTCTTTGCTTTCTGTTAAAAATAAAGATGAGAGATCATATGCGTTTTGAAAACTCCTCCTTTGTATTCCAGCTTTGTGCTGTGTAATTGAATTGTTTGTTTGTATCGGACCTGAGTTTGATTTTCGGTTCATGAGTTCCGGTTTAATGTTTTGGTTTTGGAAAGTCAAAGACAACAAAAAAAGACAACTACAAGGGTAAAGTTGTAAATCGAGAAAAGCATTGATCGGACGGACAGGAACATATGCGTAGTTTATCCTAATTTGTCCGATCTAACATTTTTGTGCGCGAAATTTTCATTTTTGGCCTTTTTGTTGCGCCAATTATCGTATTCAGACATCGAAATTAATATTTTAATGTGTATTTTTTTTCTTACTATTTTAGAAAAACAACGAATCCTCAGAAAGGAAAGAAAAAAACTCAAAATCCCCAAATCGAGCGAGTCCTACAGAAAAGAAACCCCAATTCGACGAACTCCGAGCCCTGAAAAATCCCCCGATTTGGGAAAAATTGTCTTCATTCGTATTCAAATTTCATCTTCTTTCTGGGATTTCTCTACCTGCTTGATCCTAATTTCCAACCTCCCTTTGGTTGAGTTCACACGTGCCGCATCGGCTGTTCACCGACTTTGTTTCGTTTCGCACACTTGATCATCGTGAATCAGTAGCAACCGGTTGGTCTCGGTGAATATTGAGGGCGAATTATCTCTCTGGGTCCTGCTCTTTGTTGCGCAAGATTGCTCCTTTTGTGTATCAATTCAAAGGTTAGGGGGTGAATTTTTAGGGTTTTTCTTTTTGTTCAATTCTGACCTTTCCTAATTTAACTTGGTTACTTTGGGTTTAATTGCTTATAATCGCCTCCTTTTGACCAGCTTCTGTAGCTTAATCTCAGTTTGTTGATACTATGAGATCAATTGTGTCAATTTTCAGCTCTTCTGATTTCACAGAATTGGTTGTTCAGCAGGACATTTCTAAAGGAGCTAATCAGGAGATGAAATTTGGATGTTGTAACTTCTGGAGGAGAGGAAAGTTATGCGGTGCTTGTTACTGTTAGTTACCAGAAGAACTAGAACAAGGCGAAGAAGACTGAAGAGGAAACATGAATGTTCAGGCTCACATGTCGGGACAGATGTCTGGTCAGGTTCCGAACCAAGGGACCATGTCCCAGCAAAATGGAAACCCCCAAATGCAGAATTTAGTTGGTGGTGGTTCTGCTCCTCCTGGTGCTGGTTTAGGACCTTCACGTGTCTCTCCCGTTGACAATGAACTTCTGAAACTTCGGCAGGGCATGCGAATCAAGATGTAAGCCTTTGGATTTTTTTTTTTTTGAATTTCCCACCATTTGCAGTTGTATGTGTGAGGTGTTTCTTCTCGTAAAGAGCTTTATTTGATTGGATTGCAGTCTGTGTCATATTGATTCTTTTTGCTGTTTAATCAAATCTTTGATCTTTTGGCTATTTTTTTTGCTCTCTCTTTCAGTTTCAACATCTTACAGCAAAAACAGCCGTCTCCAGCTGATGATGCATCAAAGGCAAAGTATATGGATGTTGCTAGGCGCTTAGAGGAAGGGCTGTTTAAAATTGCCAACACAAAGGTATTTAAACAAAATTCATTTCCTGAAGAAAACAATGCGCTAAAATTGGTGTTTTAAATGCCGCCACTAGATCCGCCTTGTTGGCTGATGTCCTAAATACTTACTTTCTAACGTGTGGCACTTGGAATTTGAACTACAGGAAGATTACATGAATCAGTCAACACTTGAACCTCGGCTGGCTAGTCTTATCAAAGGCAGACAGTTGAATAACTACAATCAGCGACATGCTAATTCTTCTTCGGTTGGAACAATGATACCCACTCCAGGATTACAACAGAGTGGGGCGAATCCAAATTTGATGATTACATCCTCTGTTGATGCTACAATGGCTGGAAGTAATAACATCACATCCACTGCTATGAATACTGGAAACCTGCTGAATTCTGGTGGCATGCTTGGAGGTTCTTTCAGTTTCAATACAACTTATATAAGTTACGGCCAGAAAATTTTCTGCCCATATTTATTCTAAACACCACCTTTCTACTTCTTGTGTTTGCAGGTAATCTGTCTAATGGATACCAGCATTCATCGAACTTTGGTCTTGGTTCTGGAGGGAATATGGCATCCATGAGCTCACAAAGAAATACTGGCCAGATGATGCCTACCCCTGGATTTGTCAACAGCAGTACTAATAACAATAACAACAATGGCCAGTCTTACTTGAGTGTTGAAGCTTCCAACAATAGTGGCGGGTTTTCTGCTGCGCCCATGATGGTACATCAGCCTCAGCAACAGCAACAGCAACTGAGGCAGGACATTGGTGGCCCAAACAGTCGTATGTTGCATAACCATGGAAGTCAAATGGGTGTTGGCCTTAGACCTGGCATGCAACTCAAAATGCCTAATGTGAATAACACCTCCATAAATGGTGGTGTTAGTATGAATGCAAAAAGTGTAGATTCAGGTACCAGAAATTCACAGCAGTCTTATGATAACCTTCAGCGTACAGGAATGCAGGGTATTCTTTCACCTCCTTTTCATGCTTGTCTAGTTTCACATGCATTGTGACTTCTTTTGGGTGCTTGTCCATCAGAATATTCAATTTTGTATTATTTACAGCTTCAGGTGAAGGATATGGCACAAACAACTCCGACCCTTTCGGATCTGGGAATTTGTATGGTGCTGTAACATCTGTTGGGACGATGACAAATACTCAGAATACCAATTCAGCAAGTTTTCAGTCCGTGCCTAGAACTAGCTCTTCTCTGGTAAGTACCCAGTGAAACTCACTTTGCACGCAACAAGGTGCACCAGTGAAACAACTATCAATTTGTCAATCTGAGCATACTGATTTGTAATTCCTTCCTGTACAATTTCTTGCAGTCACATCAACAGCAGCAGTTTCAGCAACAGCCTAATCGATTTCAGCAACAACCCAATCAATTTCAGCAACAGCAGCAGCAGTTTCTTCATCAACGGCAATTAAAGCAGCAGAACCAGCAGCAGCAGAGCCAGCAGCAGCAGAGATTTATAAGTCATGATGCTTTTGGGCAAAACCATGTGACTTCTGACATGGTTACCCATGTTAAACATGAACCTGGAATGGAGAACCCTAGCGAGTCTATCCACTCCCAGACTCCTGAGCAATTTCAGCTTTCTCAGTTTCAGAATCAATACCAGAACAATGCAGATGACCGTCATGCAGGTTCTCAGATTATCCCTGCCACAAATCAGAGTGATATGTGCACATCAGTTCCTCAAAATAGCCAACAGATACAGCAGATGTTGCACCCGCAGAGTATGGCTTCAGATTCTATTAACAGTTTTAGCAACCTCTCTGTTGGAGTGAAATCAGAACCTGGTCTGCGTGGTCACTGGCAGTCTCAGTCACAGGAACATACTCAAATGTCTAATAGTATGTCGAACGAACGGCACATTCAGGAGGATTTCCGTCAAAGAATGTCAGGAACGGATGAAGCTCAGCCCAATAATATGTCTGGAGGGTCTATTATTGGTCAAAGTCATCTCTCAACTACATCAGAATCCCCTAATCCTCAAACTCCTATAGGTACCACTTGTAAATATGGAAATGGAAACCAAGATCCGAGATTCAGAAATCAACAGAAATGGCTTCTGTTTCTACGCCATGCTCGCAGCTGCAAAGCGCCGGAAGGGAAGTGTACCGACCGGAATTGCGTTACGGTTCAGAAGCTCTGGAAGCACATGGACAGTTGTGCCGCCCCTCAATGTTCATATCCTCGCTGTCGCCCCACAAAGACGTTGATTAATCACCATAAAAGTTGTAGGGAATCTAACTGCCCTGTCTGTATTCCTGTGAAGCTCTACTTACAGCAACAGGCACATACACGGTCCCTAGCTCGTTCAAAAACTGATAGCGATGCCGCGAGGTCAGTGAATGGTGATGGGATATCAAAGGATGCAGTACAGACCTCTACTGGAGCAATATCTTGTGCTTCGCCTGGTGTTGATGTTTCAAATCATTTGCAGCCTTCTTTAAAACGGTTAAAGGTGGAGCAGTCTTCTCAGCCTGTAGACGGTGAGACGGAAAGTTGTAAAAGCTCAGCTGTTTCCGTAACAGAGGCTCAATCATCTCAGTACGCTGAACGAAAAGATCATAGGCACAGTGATGTACGTGCGCCTTCAAAGTATTTTGAAGTAAAAGCTGAGGTTTCTGAAGTTTCTGTCCAGGCAAGACCCGGTTTCAAAGAGACAAAAGTTGGAATTGTTGAAAATATTCCCAAGCAAAGGCCTGTCATTGAACCTGTTAAACCAGACTTGTCTGATGCCTCACCTCGGCAAGAGATCATCAAAATGGAGAAAGAACCCGAGCCACTGAAGAAAGAAAATCTGGCAGAGCCTGTTGATCCTCCACCAAAATCTGGAAAACCAGAGATAAAGGGTGTTTCATTAACTGAATTGTTCACTCCTGAGCAAGTGAGAGAACATATCCGTGGTCTCCGTCAGTGGGTTGGCCAGGTTTGTAATTTTCTCAACTTACGATGTTTACACAAGAACGTGATTAATTAGTAGTAATCTCTGTATACGGCTTGTTTGATTACTTTCCCCTTCTTATTTGTACTAGGATTCTCCCTCGATTAATGGAGGCTTGATTGAGCTATTCCGTTTAGTACCTTTTTACATATTTATCTAAGAAGATATTTGATAAATGATGAATCTGTCGTCCTCTATGTGCTTTCAGAGTAAAGCTAAAGCGGAAAAGAATCAGGCTATGGAGCATTCAATGAGTGAGAATTCCTGCCAGCTATGTGCAGTGGAGAAGCTTACCTTTGAGCCACCACCTATTTATTGTACCCCTTGTGGTGCCCGCATCAAGAGAAATGCTATGTATTACACCGTGGGAGCTGGTGACACTCGTCATTACTTTTGTATTCCATGTTATAATGAATCCCGCGGGGACACTATACTCGCTGAAGGGACGCCTATACCTAAGGCAAGACTCGAGAAAAAGAAAAATGATGAAGAGACTGAAGAATGGGTAAAAAGACTATCCACTCTGTAGATTTGTTTTGTTTTAGTTTCCCATTTTTGCATGGATTTTCTGAGTATATTCTATGTTCTGCTCCTATCTATGATATTTTTCAGTGGGTCCAATGTGATAAATGTGAGGCCTGGCAGCATCAGATTTGTGCTTTATTTAATGGGCGAAGGAATGACGGAGGGCAGGCTGAGTATACCTGCCCGTATTGCTTTATAGCAGAAGTGGAGCAAAGTAAGAGGAAGCCTTTACCTCAGAGTGCTGTTCTTGGAGCTAAAGATCTACCGAGAACAATTCTCAGTGACCATATAGAGCAGCGGTTATTTAAGAGGCTGAAGCAGGAAAGAACAGAGAGAGCCAGGGCTCAAGGAAAAAGTTTCGATGAGGTAATCTAGTGGTGGAGTTTTGTTAGGGTTTTATGTCTTCCATGTGTGTGTGGCCGGCCGAATCTGCGAGCTCGTCTTTTTCTATTTGTTTGCTCTAGTGACTGAAGCTGACATTGTTTTTTCTTTGACTTGATACTGGCAGATTCCTACTGCCGAGTCCCTTGTGATTAGAGTTGTTTCATCTGTTGACAAGAAGCTGGAAGTCAAATCCCGATTTCTTGAAATTTTTCGGGAGGACAATTACCCAACAGAATTTGCATACAAGTCCAAGGTAAGAATGATCAAGGCTCAATTTTGCTGTGTTTTGTTATTTATGCATTATTATTTTCCTTGGTTCATCTCTTGAAGTATTTCCCTCTCCACGCCATTTTATTTTGCCAGGTAGTTCTGTTGTTCCAAAAGATTGAAGGTGTAGAAGTATGCTTATTTGGGATGTACGTCCAAGAATTTGGTTCTGAATGCGCATTTCCTAATCAACGCCGAGTTTATCTTTCGTATTTGGATTCTGTAAAGTATTTTAGACCCGAGGTTAGATCTTATAACGGAGAGGCTCTGCGTACTTTCGTTTACCACGAAATTCTGGTGAGTCTTGGTCTTCTCAAACCTTGGTTATTAACCAATATCTGTGTTTTTTCTTTCTAAGCTATATGGAGGATTAACGGTATGATTTGATCCTGTGTTTAGATCGGTTACCTAGAATACTGCAAGTTGCGTGGTTTCACCAGCTGCTACATATGGGCTTGCCCGCCCCTGAAGGGAGAGGACTATATCTTATACTGTCATCCAGAAATTCAGAAGACGCCAAAATCCGATAAACTACGGGAGTGGTCAGTGCAGTTACCTTTTTGGGGTAAAGTTTTTGTATGGAAAAAGTCATTTACGTAATGCAAATGGTCATGTTGTTCTTTTCAGGTACTTAGCAATGTTGAGAAAAGCTTCAAAGGAGGGCATTGTTGCAGAAACTATAAATCTATATGACCATTTTTTTATGCAAACCGGTGAATGTAAAGCTAAGGTTACGGCAGCTAGGCTCCCTTATTTCGATGGTGACTACTGGCCAGGTGCAGCAGAGGATCTTATATACCAAATGAGTCAAGAAGAAGATGGCAGAAAGGGTAATAAAAAAGGAATGCTCAAGAAAACAATTACAAAAAGGGCTCTTAAAGCTTCTGGGCAGACTGATCTCTCTGGGAATGCATCCAAAGATCTCCTGCTAATGCATAAAGTGATCATTACGCTCTATACTTTACTACCTTTTCGTTTTTTGAATTTTTGTTCTTCTTGTTAAATATATTCACCTGTGTTTCCAGCTTGGTGAGACCATTCACCCAATGAAGGAAGACTTTATCATGGTCCACTTGCAACCTTCTTGCACGCATTGCTGTATACTGATGGTATCTGGAAATCGTTGGGTCTGCAGCCAGTGCAAACACTTCCAGATTTGTGATAAGTAAGAACTCTTCCTTTCCCTCTGCTTTTTGATTTAACAATCCTTTCTTTGTTGTATTGCACATAACTAATTACTGAATAAAATTTTACTCTCCCTTTCAGGTGCTATGAGGCTGAGCAGAGACGTGAAGACAGGGAAAGGCATCCTGTTAATTTTAAGGATAAACATGCGTTGTATCCCGTGAGTTGCATTTGCTTGTTGAGGGTAGTGTGTCTTTCAGCTTTGTCTGTGATCGGTTTTATGATTGTTGGTGGTATTGATTTTGCAGGTTGAGATTACGGATATTCCTGAAGATACGAGGGACAAAGATGAGATACTCGAAAGCGAGTTTTTCGACACTAGGCAAGCGTTTCTGAGTCTTTGTCAAGGGAACCATTATCAGTATGACACGTTGAGGCGGGCAAAACATTCGTCGATGATGGTCCTGTATCATCTACATAACCCAACCGCTCCTGCCTTTGTCACGACCTGCAATGCGTGTCATCTCGACATTGAAACTGGTCAAGGCTGGCGCTGTGAAGTATGTCCAGACTACGATGTGTGCAACTCGTGTTACAATAGAGATGGTGGAGTTAATCATCCTCACAAATTGACTAATCACCCATCTTTAGCTGATCAAAATGCTCAAAACAAAGAAGCAAGGCAATTGCGAGTCTTGCAGGTATATATATTGTTCTACTGTTCCTTCCTTAAGTTGGTGGTGGTTCTCTCAAATTTCTATGCAAATGTTAACATTCTTTTTCCCTCCTCCTTTGGATTTGCAGCTTAGGAAAATGCTCGATCTTCTGGTACATGCATCACAATGTCGTTCTCCACAATGTCAATATCCAAATTGCCGGAAAGTGAAGGGACTATTCCGACATGGGATACAATGCAAAGTACGTGCTTCGGGGGGATGTGTTCTATGCAAGAAAATGTGGTATCTTCTGCAACTCCACGCTCGGGCCTGCAAGGAATCCGACTGCCACGTACCTCGTTGCAGGTAAACGACCGCATGATGATGATATTCATGAAATACGTCGACCTTTGATTGGTCCATGTGATTTATGTTGATGTATCGTTGTGAACCTTATTGTCTTTACTTCAGGGACCTGAAGGAGCATCTGAGAAGATTACAGCAGCAATCAGATTCACGGCGCAGAGCAGCTGTGATGGAAATGATGAGACAAAGAGCTGCGGAAGTGGCTGGGAGCTCAGGTTAATCAAAACATGTACATTTGGAAAGATCATCAAATCAAAGTTCCTTTCCGCAAAGGTAACGAAGGTGTAGAGCCAATTGATCATTCTCCATTTTGAAGAAGAAGACCAGGCAGCTAGAGACTAATGGTGAATTTAGCTTAGATTCCTATTTAACACGCGAGGTCAAAACCCAGAGAGTGAGTTGACTTTCAGAATCAGAAGAAGAAGAAGAGCAAACTCAGGCTTGCTGAGAGATGGTTCGGTCTTAAGTTTTCGAGGTCAGTAGATTGGATGTGGTTTGGTTGGGTGATCTTTTGATTTCTATACATATTACACACGCACACACACTTTTCCTCACTTGTTTTCTTTTTGGTAATTTATTGTATTTTTGTAACTTGCCATTTCTGATTTGGGAATCGCAAGAGTGTAACATATACAGTACGTTAACGTGTTTCTTGCAAGCAAAGTAATATATATATATATATATATAGACTCTTTCTTCCACTCTTATTTTATTTCTTTTTCTATTTTGTTGAAATTGTATTCAGACTTTTAATCATAATAATTTAGTTTTTGCATTGGAAGCAAGATGTAATTATATCATTCGTTTATGTTTCTTCCTTCTATTGGGATATTATGGGATTCTTGTAATTGGAATCATCAAATTCCCGAGAAGACGACCTAGAATCTGATTGCCACGTATGTTCAAGACTCTTGCATTCATAGAATCTAAATTCTAAGCCACCAGGCGTTGACACGTGTCTAAAGAAGATAGAGTCTTGAACAAGAACCACTAGCTTAATCTTCTCGAGAAAACAAGACAATAGAGAGAATCTGATGAGAAAACTGCAAAAAACAAACAAGTAGAGTAATGATAATACACTCTCCGTCTGCTTCTATCCACCGCACGAACTTCTTGAACAATCCAAGTAGATCTCAGTGTCAGAGCCGCTTGGTCACTAGATCGGCGGCGGTTCGTGTATCCACGGCGGCGATTGGGGCCATAGCGACGGTGCTTATGATGGCTTCCGTGTCCGTAGCTTCAGCAGAGCTTCCTCCGCCGCCGCAAGACGGGGAAACGCTATCAAACGTACCGCAAACGCTATCAGGCGAAGACTGCAAGAAACAGAGGATACAACGGCCAAAATCCAAAAACGCAGAGAGATGCACCGTCAAATGCGTCAACACCTGCATTCGCAGCGGAGACGGAGAAGGACCGCTCAACATTCGAAGGTTTCTCTCTCTCTCTCAATATTTCTTTCTCTCTCTGTATCTTTGATTACTGATAGTTTTCTCTCTTACGGTTGTCTTGTTTCTAACTAAAAGACCATTAGTGGTATTCAAGCAAGGATTTCGTAGCCGTAATTACTGGTAACTTGTCTTATTCTTTTAATTAAAAATTGTATGATTAAATGTTGTTGCTTTACCATGAACTTTAATTGGATTCTTTTTTTTTTTAATTTCTGTTGTTGTTGCAGCTTAGTGGAATGTTCGGATATTTGCAATTTGATCGGAGATGGTGACTATGGACCCTGAAACGATATTTCATATAAAACAAAGAGATGATGCAGAAGAAAAAGAGGAGAAATGAACTGAGATATGTCTTCAGAATTTTTGTAGATTCTGTAAAAACAAGAAACAAAATTAATTGATCTAAACACGATTATAATCTCATAAGCGATACAATGTCTTCAAAACGGTCAGTCTCTTGAGAGTTTTGGCTGTCAGATCAATCGAGATACATTAGAAGAGAATATGTCTTGTTTATTGTTAATAACATAAGGCCCAATAGTATTTGCACCCAGAAAAGGCCCAATATTTGGTAATATGGCCTAACAGATAACTAATGGGTTTACAGAGTATGTAAATGACAACCCACTTTTTTTTTGTTTCACCCAAAATGTAGTGTTCTACCTTTTTTGTTTTCAGTGCTGTAGTTTGCAAAAAAAATTTTGGTTGAAATTGCTGTTTTACTAAATTAGTTTATAATAAAATCCATCGTTCAACCAATTGACCAAACAATCCAATGATTAGAGAAAAATTTGACTCCTTTTTTCGGGTTCATTTCGAAACCAATATTATTAATCAACAAATGAGATAAGACTTTTATTTTAGAATTTGTACTAACCAGTAATTATATGTCTCACTCCGTTAAAATGATGATTTAGTTTGATACTATGGACTCACTTAATCTCTGATGTGATTCGTTGATAATTTAATATACACATTTTTTTCTATATTATCACAATTTTATTTTGTTGGGTCTGGTCTATCGTAAACGGTATAATTAATAATAAACTGCATTATCTTTGAGCAAAAATAAAAAAAAAATAAAAAAAATAGCTGTGTACTTGAAATTGTTTGTAACTTTGTATAAGAGCCTGCACTTGAAATTGATTATAGAATAGCTGTGTGGTCCTTAACTGCTGCATCTTGAACATTATTGGCTTAGGAATCGATAAATATATATATATATCACGTATCAGTAATCCAATTGGAGGGGTTTGTATACAATTAAAGTAACATGTATTTAAAAAATGAATTATATCGATTCCTAAGCCAAGACGTGTTACTTCAATTGGATACCAACTTACCAAGTAACACCTACCCATCGAATTATTTCTTTAAGTAGAAAGAAAACAATAACTAAGGTGATAATGCTTGGTCTTAAATCTCAAACTAGATGATTCTAAATGACGTGTTAGAAAACAGTATCTTTCCAAAAAATAAACAAATTAACGTTTAAGAGTACGTACTGTAATGATATTTTGTTATTTTCTTGTTATCAGACCAATACAGTGAACCATATTGTACAAATCTGTATATGTTGAGATCACGTCCAAGTTAGTATTTTTGATAAATTATTAGCATTTCAGAAATTCTACCATTATGCATCGCTAATATAGTATTTTTGTTGACCTGCAATGCATTGTATTTTATTTTCACATTGTTCCTTGTATTCGTAAATTTATTTACAAAAAAATGGTCATCGTCTAGACCAATTTTACAATTCACGAACACTCAACCTATCTTTAATTAAGCTACAAAATTTTATGACAGGCGACTTAATGTCAAATTAACTCCTATGGTAGTATACAATTGTACGATGGACAGTTTAACTACCAGCATGTTTCCATCAAACCATAATATGTAAGAAACTACATGTTATGAAAACAAATTTTATATTTAGTATAGAATTATTGACCAAGACTTGTAACCTAGTGGTTATATTATGTAAGCCGTCGATATATCATAAGTCATAACCCAAATTCAAATATATGTATTTTGCATATTAATAACCAAAATAAAACTATTGTAAAATCAATTAATCTTTCGATTAATTAACGATCAAATATACATTCACCACAATTAGTTAAATTATATAGCGGACTTAAAATATATATATATAAAAAATTATCTATCAAAGTCTCTCACATCATATTTTAGTGTTCCTTTTATAAACTTTAGCTTATGTATCAGATTTAAAATTTATATTAAAAAGGGAAATATGTAAAATGTACATGAAGAAAACAGACATAAACATAAACTCATTGACACAGCATATAGAGAGAGATATTAGTGTTATGTGAAATGGTTGGATATTTATATCTGAGTGGTGGATCTATAAATTTAAATTACTGAGAAATAAAATAGAGTTGAATAAATGAAAATCTAAACTGTATCACTATAATATAATATATTTTAGAAATTAAAATTACTCGTAACTTGTAAAGTGACACTGTGTGAGAAACCAACAAATTTTTTTTGGGTTGAAAGATGTGCATATAACTCATATGATATAAGAATAGTATGGTCAAACCTTAATTCTTAATTATTAGGGTATCTCTAGAGCATTCACATAAACAAATCACTGGGACTTACTTGATTAGTGTATAATTTTGAAAAAAGATAAAAAAACAACAAAGTTGATCTCTTTTGATTTCTATAGTAAATTAGTTTACTAATCAATTTAAATTAAAAATTGCAATACATAATTTTCAAATAAATGGTAAAGCAAATGTTATGAATATCAGTTTAACTTAAATGATCGAGGATATTCATGATTCACGAAAGAACCAGTTGAATCATGAAAAAAAAACAGTAGTTAAATGTTGATATGTTTGAATATATTACAAAATAATAATTGAAGATCAAGCATAATACTTACCTTGTTACCTATAATTCCTTTTTGTCCTTACCGACTCACAATCCAAACCCGTTTCAGTAAAGGTTGTTCTAACATTTTGTCATTCGAATCACAAAACCAATCAACATCTAATCTTTTTTTTTTTTTTTTTTTTTTTTTTCTATTTTCTAGAATTCTATTAGCATGTAAGTGAAGTTTACACTATTATCGTTTTCATGTTTGAAACTCATGTACAAATTCGATAGTATATGTGTAAGTTGTACACGGTTTTTTGTGGTTGTAAATACTCAAATAACACTTGGCAATATTTTGAAAAGAGAAACTATTGATTTGTTGAAAAAAGGCACTCAAAACTTAAAAGTCAAAACAAATGAATGTTTGAAATTTGAAGCAAATTGTAGTCCAATTCTCTACATAATATCATTGTTTTTGTATCCTATATAGACAATACTTTTAGAAATGAATCCAAGAAAAAAAAAAACCCGCTAGTGCATTAACCCTTGGCTTGCATAAGTTAATTATGGTGTAATTCTAAAATTAAATGCAAATAGTTATGATTTTAATCCAAACAGTTAACCTTTGTGTCGACATAAAAAAAAGGGGGAGTTAACTGTATAAGTATAAAAAAATTAATCAAAGAAATGTATTAATTTGTTTTTTGCTATAATTTGTTAGCGAAATGTTGGAAAGTTTCACCTAAATTTCTCCTAAACTTTGGTTATAAATTCACTTCTTCACAGCATCTTCTAACAACCCACACCACACAACATTCTTCATTCTCTCCCCCGAGAACAAGAATCCAATGGGAGAAGCGGCGGAGCAAGCACATGGTTTCCACGTGACCACCATGAAGAAGCAGCTCATAACGGCGGTTCTTCCCCTCCAGGACCACTGGCTCCCTCTCTCAAACCTCGACCTCCTCCTCCCTCCTCTCAACGTCAGCGTTTGCTTCTGCTACAAGAAACCAAGTAACATGACTATTTCAGTGGCTCATGAAACCCTCAAGACGGCTTTGGCGGAGACTCTCGTTTCCTACTACGCTTTCGCCGGCGAGATAGTCACCAATCCCACCGGAGAGCCGGAGATTCTCTGCAACAACCGCGGCGTAGATTTTGTGGAGGCCGATGCTGACGTGGACCTCCGAGAGCTTAACCTGTATGATCCTGATGAAAGTATCGCCAAGCTTGTTCCCATCAAGAAACATGGAGTCATAGCGATTCAGGTAACAGTTTCAGCTTAAGACAACAATATAGTTCATTACAACAAGAACATAACTCTGTTTTGGTTTAATTGTCTTAATAGGTGACTCAGCTGAAATGTGGGAGCATAGTTGTGGGATGTACATTTGATCATCGTGTGGCCGATGCGTATTCCATGAACATGTTCCTTGTTTCGTGGGCCGAGATCTCTCGATGCGATGTACCAATCTCATGTGTACCATCGTTTCGAAGATCCCTGTTGAACCCACGACGACCATTGATCATGGATTCATCTATAGAAAATATGTATATGCCTGTAACGTCCTTGTCCCCTCCGCAAGAAACCACCAATCCAGACAAGATCCTGGCGAGCCGTATCTATTACATCAAAGAGGATGCATTAAAAGAGCTCCAAGCCCTAGCCAACGGCTCGAAAATTACGGTTAAAAGGACGAAACTCGAATCGTTCAGCGCGTTTCTATGGAAACTCGTGGCGAGACACGCAGCAAAAGATCCAGTCCCGGGCACGATCTCGAAACTCGGGATCGTCGTGGACGGAAGGAGGAGACTTATGGAGCAAGAAAAAAACACCTACTTCGGGAACGTTCTCTCGATCCCATTTGGTGGGCAAAGAATCGATGACTTGATCAACAAGCCACTGTCTTGGGTGACCGAAGAGGTTCACAGATTCTTGAAGAGTTCTGTGACCAAAGAACATTTCTTGAATTTGATCGACTGGGTTGAGACTAACCGCCCAACTCCTGCGGTTTCAAGAATCTACAGCACTGGATCCGACGACGGACCCGCTTTTGTGGTTTCTTCCGGGAGGAGTTTTCCGGTGACCCAAGTGAATTTCGGGTGGGGCTCGCCGGTTTTCGGATCTTATCATTTCCCATGGGGAGGTAGTGCCGGGTATGTGATGCCGATGCCTAGTTCGGTCAACGATGGAGACTGGATGGTTTACTTGCACCTTACGAAAGGACAGTTGGAGTTTATTGAGAAAGAGGCTTCACATGTGCTTGGACCAGTTGACAGTAATTACCTCAAGATTTAAAATCCTAACGGTTCGTCAATGATGGTCGATTCTGAGTAATTCGTATTTCATATTTCATTTGTGATATAATGTTTGCCTTGCGTCTTTGTATTTGAATGATTGTATTTAATTATTATTATGAGATGTTGTAACCCTATAATGTACTATCTGTCAATATGTGTATTTTGGTTCAATTCCCTTGATGTTGCTCAATCTAGTATTTGTTCATTAATTAATTTACTCGATATTTTTTTGAGTTTGTGTGTGTAAATAATATGCATTCAAAAATATCTGAATTTGGGTAGTGAGACACCAACATTCTAGTACAAAGTACAAACCATTAAGCTGCATAGTCAATTATAAACCATTAAACTGCATAATCAATTTTACTCGAATTTGTTTGTATACTACTATGTAATCTGTTATAAAATCTTTAATCCAATAGTATTATCAGTATACCTTAATAATACGCATTTGGTGGTGTCATTAGAAAGATTCCGTGCAATACCAAAATTCGTTTAACCGCCAACACCGATAGAACCAACCTTTTAGTTTAGATGATATTGACAAATAAATTGTCACAATTTTTTTATTTTTTAATCTTCTATTTGTGACTTAGTTTACATTTCATCGGAATCAATTGCAATTACAGATACAAAAAATGTTGTTTTTTCTTGAATATTAGAGTTACGATTTGGGAGTATAAACTGCTGAAATCCATTAATTATGTATATTTTAAAATAAATAATATATTAAGATTGTGATGTACGAATTAATAAAGTAGTACTGTGAAAAGTTGTTGGGATGTAAGTTTGATATATAGTATTGAATGTAAATATGTTACTATCTAACTGGAGCTTCGTTCTTGTGCGGTTGTACCATTTAAAGGATTAGTCAAGACTACTCTGACTGTTCTTGGTGACACTGATAGCTATTTATATAGTTTTAATTATCCACTAATTGTAATTGGTTGTTCATCTTCCTAGTGGTTGTATTTTAACCCCTCAAAAAGCATTAAGCAGATTTAACTACTAAACCTAGACCTACGTTTACTAAAAGAAACAAAACTATATATGTCGTTTTACTTGAGTACTGCATACTAATGCTTAATACGGTGATACGTTCATTGCGTCTGTCACTAATCACTTTGGTATATAACATAATACACATGTTCTCCAAACGTTCACGAAACAAACACAATATAAAATAATATCATATATGTACGTGTTCTCGACAAAACATACATACGTCTCACCTTTTTGATAATCGGAAAAACCTCCTAATGGTCAGACTATTCTCGGAACATATGAATCACCGGAAAATATTTACCATTTAAACTAGTTACAATAAGTATTCATATCAAATTAGAATAATTTTGTGCTGTAAAGTAAAAAAAAAGTGTGACTAACTTGTTAATGTCGCTGGGGAAGATTAGAACGATTTGGTTTTGTCAAAGTCGTGTCATAACAACTTAATGTCCTTTTTTTTGTCAACCATCTAAATGTCATTTCTAATTTGCACCCTCTTGGTTTCACCTTTTTCACATATTATCTTATAGATAAAAATCATTATAATAATTACTAGACAAACCAATTACTCTTAGATTTTAGCTCTCGAGTCAAAAGTAAGGTGAGAAAAGAATCTGAAACTTATAAATTAAATATTTCAATCCAAAGCGTATTCTGTTCAGTATATTACATACATGTTTTGTCAACAATATGTTTACGAATATAAGTCAGAAGAAGTGACCAAGACATGTAGTTGTGTCTTAATGTTGTCAGTCTGTAAGTATCACAAACATACTAACAATATAGCCCAACACATAATGAATGTTGATTACAATGTGAATAAGAGTTACATTTGAATTTTTGATGCATAATTATCTTTGTAAATTAGACTGCCAAAAATGTTTTTAAGGATCTATGTATACTAGTTTCGGTGGTCTTCAGATTTTTATAGGAGAGTTTTACTTTAAACCGTCCAATAATGGGTGTTTATAAACCACTACTGGGATAACACCAAGTATATATATTTTACATTCATGAATTACAAAAAAAAACAGATATTCACTGTTATCGCGCATCTTTCGTTCTTCCTCAAAGATCTAAAATAAATCAAATTTAGTAAACAATGGTTCAGTAGAAGTTAATGGTCGTGATTTATCATTTCTTGTCCGTGAACCAAACCTCAAAAATGTGTCTGACCCTAAATCCAATTACAATGGCACATTCTCTCAAACCATCGTCGTCTTGTCCGTGAAGCAAACCTGGGAACGTAAACCTTACCCTAAATCCATTTATTTTTATATATTTCTTGCAAATCAAGATGATGCAGAAGCTCCTATGGCTCTTGGTCGCCTCTCTCGCCATTCTTATCATTTTAGTTCAAGCAAAAACAGAGAGCCAAGAAGGTAATTACAAGAAAAATACATGTTATTATGTGATTAAACAATTAACCCGGTCGAGAAATAAATTACAAAATTTTGGCAGTCTCTGCGCTGAATGTAATGTTCACGAGCTTAAATTCGCCGTCCAAACTCAAAGGCTGGAAATCTAGCGGAGGTGATCCCTGCGACGGTTCTTGGGAAGGCGTCAAATGCAAAGGCTCTTCGGTCACCGAATTGTATATATAACCAGTCCCCTAATTTAATAAAGAACCCTAATTTCAGAAACTTACTTGCGTTACAAGTTATATTCTGTTTCCCGCTTTTTGTTTGTCCACAGACAGTTATCAGGGTTTGAGCTGAGCGGATCTCTCGGTTATCTACTAAGCAACCTCAAATCTCTCACAACTTTGTGAGAATCCTCATTTAATAATCTCTTTTAGGTATGTTTAAAATAAATTCAGAAAATAACAGTTTTGGTTATTAATTATGGTGATAGTACAGTGATCTCAGCAAAAATAATCTCAAAGGAAATATACCTTATCAGCTCCCTCCCAACATTGCCAATCTGTAAGTTCATACATTTGTTTTCTTCGATTATTTGTCACACAAGAAACGAATCGTAATCTGGACATTAATACAGAGACTTTTCTGAGAACGAGCTCGATGGAAACGTACCCTACTCGTTATCTCAAATGAATCGTCTTGAAAGCATGTGAGTGATGAAACCAAAGAAATTAGTAAAATATCTTTGTTGTTAATTAGTGTTTAAGAGACTTATTAATTTTATATGTGATATGTAGTAATCTTGGACAAAACAAGCTCGATGGAGAACTTTCAGATATGTTTCAGAAACTCACCAAACTCGAAACTCTGTAGGTACAATTCCTTTAGTTATGTATTTTCTAAACATAAAATGCTTACACAAATCATTAAATTTGAGACCTTATACACACGAATTTATGTTTTCAGGGACTTATCGCTTAATAAACTCTCCGGGAAATTACCTCAGAGTTTCGCTAATCTCACAAGCCTCAAGAAACTGTAAGAAGAAGAAGAAATAAATACATTTTAGGTTATTATCTTTCGCAAATGCTAATTAAATAGAATTTTTATTTTGTCGTGTTATTGTACAAGACATTTGCAGGAGAATCGATTCACAGGCGATATAAACGTTCTCAGGAACCTTGCCATTGATGACTTGTAAGCATTAAAAAAAAAGTCTTAATTGGTTTTTCGTCGCAAATCCAAAAAGCTTAAAAACATTCGTTTTCTTCTTACGTATGATTACAGGAACGTCGAAGACAACCAGTTCGAAGGATGGATACCAAACGAACTTAAGGAAATAGACAGTTTACTGTAAGTGAAACGGTTTGCCTGTTACACAAGAAACAGTTTCAACATGGAAAACAAAACAGTGCATGTTGAAAAATTCCCCTGTTTCACTCTGTTTTGCAATTGATTCTGTTAAAGGACCGGAGGCAACGACTGGTCAACAGAAACTGCTCCGCCACCACCACCGGGTGTTAAATATGGTCGAAAATCCGGGAGTTCTAAAGACGGAGGAGGTATGACTTCCGTGAACGGAGTGATGATAGCCGGAGCAAGCTTAGGAGTTCTTGTGTTAATCGCGGTTTTGATCGCTCTCGTCTCCAAGAAGAAGTCATCTCTCTCTCCTCATTTCATCGAAGAAGAAAACAGCAACCACACTCCAAAGTTCAAATCTCTCGCATCTCATGGATCTGCACAAGAGCTTCGCGTCGATTTCGGCAACGATTACAAAGGTATACGAGTCATCTCGACCTAACTTGTTTCACAAGTAACTAATCAAGAGGAGCCTCCTATATTTCAGGTGGGAGATCTGGAGATTCAGATGATGAAAATATGCGAGGGATCGGTTCGAAGGGACTAAAGCATTCGGTTTCATCGCGTGTGATGTCTTTCAATGATACCGAATTCGCAAACAAGCTCAACGCCAAACGAACCACTTCGAGTCGTTCTGCGACGGCATTCGAGCTCCCTGATCTGCAAACCGTAACAGCCAATTTCGCGCCTGGAAATCTACTCGGCGAAGGCTCAATCGGACGTGTTTACAGAGCCAAATATGCTGATGGACGCGTAAGCCTCTCTTCCTAACGTGTTTCACAAGTAAAATAACATCACACTTAATCCAGTTTCGTTTTTTTATTCAGACTTTGGCGGTTAAGAAAATCGATTCAACATTGTTTGATTCGGTTAAATCAGAAGGAATAACGCCGATTGTGATGAGCCTCTCAAAGATTCGGCACCAGAACATAGCAGAGCTCGTAGGTTATTGCTCAGAGCAAGGTCACAACATGCTAGTCTACGAATACTTCAGGAACGGCTCGCTCCATGAGTTCCTTCATATGTCAGATTGTTTCAGTAAACCTTTGACTTGGAACACAAGAGTCAGAATCGCCTTAGGAACCGCTCGAGCCATAGAGTATGTTCTTTAGACACAAACGCAGACGCTAACTAAATCAAATTAAACTTTTTCTTATAAAGTGGCTCACAGATATATGTTTTGTTTTGTGTAGATACTTACACGAGGCATGTTCTCCGTCTGTAATGCACAAGAACATAAAGTCCTCTAACATTTTGCTAGACGCAGATCTCA